TTGAGGGATTCTCTGGGTCTCCCTGTGCGTGTAGGGCGCGCTCTTTCAGGCACATCGTATAGTAGGATCTTCCTAACTGTGCTGTCTCCTAGGTGGTAGTAGCCCTGGAGCTGTTGCAGGCCTATTTTAGCGAATTTGAAGAGCCGGCGTATGCCCTCTTTGTGCTTGGTTCTGATCTCTGCACCTGGGAGACGTGGAGACATAGGTGGAGTGGTAAAAGGATCCATAATGGTGGAGTTGTTGATAGTTTAGTCCTAATGTGAAGAGTTTTAATTTCGAGGTTCTACAGCCTGAACGCACGGACTTTTGTCCCCATGTTCGTTAGCGAGTGCTAAACTTCCCCAAAGTTTCGGCGTTGAATATTTGAGATAAGCCCAACTTTATGATAAATGAATGCTTTTTTGTAATAATAAATCTCTACTTCCGTGAGTGATGATCTTTTTAACTTAGTTTTATTTGAGCAGTAGAGGCGAGATAAATAATCCCTCGACGGGACGGGACCTGAGTTACCTACCTAGGTAAGATGTCACGCTAGTCACGTGGCTCGAAAGACGCTAAAATTCAGCGGTTGGGAACCTCTCACCTTCTTCCATCCTCATCCGATCTCCCCTGAAACACCTTCTTAACTCCACGAGCCCATGTAAGACATCTAGAGGCTCAAGTGAGATACCTCCAAGTATAGCAATTGTTTGTACCTTCCACTCGATCCCATTGGCGCAGAGCCCCAAAATGCTCCGCCGGGGTAATATTTTGTTGGCCGGCCCTGGGGCTGCGCCACCAGTGGACCTCCACCATAACAGAGAGGATCGCGGTCAATTCTCTCGGACTTCCAGATAGAAGCTTCGCAGGTATCATGGAGCATATTTTGATGTTCATATGGGCTGATGATTCCTGGGAAACTGCTGATTGCTATCGAGCATCACCGGTTCGCGTGCAAGTACCCAAGTGCTGGTTATTTGCGCTGGTTTCTATATAATATCATCGAGTGATTGTTGTCTTTCCGCATCATCATCTTTATCTTCTTCGTCTTCTTCCTTAGTACGCATCTCTTCATCATCTAAACAGCGAACGAAAGACATTCAAAATGGACGCATCAGCACCAATCGATATCCCCGTGGTGATCATTGGAGGTGGAGGAGTCGGCCTCACTCTTTCTTGCTTCTTGTCTGATGAGAATGTTCAACATGTTCTGTTCGAAAAGCACCCTACGACCTCGATCCTCCCAAAGGCTCATTACCTCAATCAACGTACTCTCGAGATCTTCCGTCAACATGGACTAGCTGAGCCGATTCAGGAGAATGGGTGTCCTCTCGCTAACATGGCTCGTGTTGAGTGGAGGACGAGCTTGGGTGGTGATGGACCTTTTGATGGTAGACAACTTGGTTCTGTTAGTGCTGCTGGGGGCATTCCGGGCACTGAGCAAGCGGAGATGTATAGGTGAGTTTACGCAAGGCTCAGGTTAGAATTCGTTTGCTGATCTACTCAGACGTGACTCCCCAGCCACAGCATCAAACTTGCCTCTCCTCCGAATGGAGCCTATCTTCAAGAAGATTGCTGAGGAGCGAAACCCAGGTAACATCCTCTTCAACACCACTGTTGAAGATTTCGAGGAAGTTGGAGACCACGTTATTGTCCGAGTCAAGATGGCAGATGGACAGATTGTTCATTACCGTGCTCAATATGTTGTCTGCTGCGATGCTGGCAAACTATCTACTCCCAAGCTTGGCATCAAGATGGAAGGTGTCTCCGGACTGGTCGACTTTGTCAGCACTCACTTCAAAGCCGATTTCTCCAAGTACTGGGACGACCGCACTCTGATCACCCACTTCATCAACCCCGAAGGTGGCTCCATGGCTCACCTCGACTGCGGCGCCCTCATGCAAATGGGTCCCACCTGGGGCAAGCACTCGGAAGAATGGGTCCTCACCTTCGGCTTCCCAGTCGAAGACAGCAAACGCTTCGAACAAGACGCTCTCCCCCCACGCATCCGCCAACTCCTCAAACTCCCAGACCTCGAAATGGAAGTCCTCCACATATCCCACTGGGTCCTCGACCGCGTCGTCGCAGACAAGTACCGCGTCGGCCGCGTCTTCATCGCCGGTGACGCCGCACACCGTCGTCCGCCCACCACCGGTCTCGGCCTCAACACCGGCATCGAAGACGCGCTCAACGTCTCCTGGAAACTCGGGCAGGTCCTCAACGGCAAAGCCGCCCCTAGCTTAATGGATACCTACGAATCCGAGCGCCGTCCAGTCGGCATCCGTAACTCGGACTGGGCTTTCTTCACCTTCGGCAACATGCAAGTCCTGTCCGCAGGCGTGGGCCTTATCCCGGGACAGCAGGAGTACAACTACCAGCGCTTCGTCAACCTCTTCTCCGACACGGACATCGGGCGCGCCTCGCTGGCGCACATCAAGCGCATCATCGGGACCCAGAACATCGAGTACTCAGCCCACGACATCGAGCTCGGCTTCTCGTACCCGGACGGCGCGCGCGTGGACGATGGAACCGATGCCCCAACGCCCGATACCACAGGCCAGGTATACACCCCTACCACACGCCCGGGCCACAGACTCCCGCACGCGTGGCTGGAGTTTGGCGGGAAGAAGATCTCAACGCATGATTTGGTGTATACGGGGGAGTATGATTACATGCTCATCACGGACGAAGACGGGGACGTGTGGGCGGCGGCCGCGAAGCGGATCTCGAAACTGGGGGACGTTAAGGTGGGCGCGGTGAAGGTACGGGCGAGGCCACATAGTAGGCCAGAGGGACTAGCGCTCGATGTGGAGGATCGCTGGGCGGCGTTGAAGGGTGTTAAGGCTGGGGGTGCGGTGTTGGTTAGGAGGGATAATTTTGTGTGTTGGAGGAGTGCTGGGAAGGGAGTTGAGCAAGAGAAAGTGCTAAGGGAGGCGCTAGAGGAGATTGTGGGGAAGAAGGTTGTGGAGGATGTGAAGGTGAATGGGTATACGAATGGTGTAGTTGAGGATGTGAAGGTTAACGGGATTGTGGAGGAGGTGGTTGAGGTTGCTGTTGTTGCCTAAGCATTTGTCGTTGGGGGCGGGGGGTTGGTTTCTTTTGTGAAAATTGGGTCTAGATTGATTGTTGGTAGCATGTTGTGGCGTCTGTCGATATCGGCTTTTTGAGCATTATCTGTCTTTCATATTGCAATTATCTCTTGATTTTCCTCTTATTTTCACACTGGTGATATAACAACAAATCCCAAACCGCCTTCTTAACATCTCACTTTCAAATTTCAAATTATCCGTTTTAACATAATTCTCCAGAGCTCGACATTTTGGACAGAAAGACACGTGTAATCCAACATATAATCCAACATCTAATATAACAAATGCTAGGTTGCACTCACTACGCTATATCACGCAATTACATACGCTATAATACGTTTGACAAGTAAAGCGAGGAGACTATTACTCCGAATAAAGTAGCGCGCGCTTGTATGCATATAATATGTGACGTTGGGTTTTACAACCAACACATATTAGTCGACTTCTCTCGGCTACTCGCATCTGATCATTACAACCATTACGATAAGAAACACTATCACTTTCCTCTCCCGGCCGAAGTACACTACTTACTAAACTCGAATCTCACTTATGCGGAATCCTCTCAATTTCGCCGCGGTCGCCATCCTGGCCGTCTTCTTCTCACTCGCCTCCATACCCCGCCAATGGATTGATCTCCTCTCTCTCCTCCTCTCTCGCATCACCCGCACAATCCTCGGCGGAGCGGCGCCTCTTCATTGCGACATGCCCACCATCTTCGCGAATCCCGGATACATACATCGTTAGCCTCGCCGATTCTTATTCATTGGACCAGCACAAGCAAACCACCAACCGCGCGGCTGATCTCGAGCGCGCGATCCTCGATGTGGGCGTGGTGCATGATCCCTTGCTGGGAGATGTAACTATGTACGAAGCTAGGTCTGAGGATAAGTCGCTGGTTGATGCTATTCGTAAGGATCTCGGGGTGCTGTTTGTGGAGTGCAGTGGAAGGGTGTTGCTTCGTGTCCGAGAGGGTTAGGGGGGATGGTTGGTGTGAGGGGGAGAGATGAAGAGGCATGAGCTTGCATGTTAGCTGTTAGCTGTTTAGGCGGAAATACGGGCGACCTTACTGGATCCTTGCCTCATTTTACAATTGCGAAATTTAAGTTTCGTTTTCCGGGCAGGTTCGATGTCTTGTGCAAGTTTTGTGTGTGGAGTGACCTGTTAATACCTATCATATGGTGTGTACACCCAACAACAAAAGTGGTTGTTTCATCATCTCCTGCGGTCCGAGTCTTCAAACCCGCTATCAGGTCCTAAGATCTCACGGATTTCATATAGCATGCTCTATCTTCACTATGATTCTATCAACTATAATAATATCAACGTAAATAACACTCCGCACGTTCGGAAATGCCAAAGTTGTTTGGTAACTGTGTGGATTCTCTTAACGAACAGAGGTAGATATGAGATTAGTATTAATATACTTCATCCCATGCTAGCTGGCTAATCGCTACACCCGAATCACGCCCAAGCTAGGTTGTGGAGAAGCTTCAGAAGCGGAGAACATTCGGTCCGGGCGTTCTCCTTGCATTTCTGTACGCACAACAAAACGTCCATGAACCCATTTCTTCAAACGTTGAAGGATGAAACTGACGTCTTTGTAACAACACTGCATCGAGAAACTTCCTAGAGCGGAATTCTGAAGATTCTTGTTTTTCCCGCACCAGTAGTCTTTGTGTGAATCAAATCTAGATATGGGTTAGAAACTCAAGGGTCAACAAACCTAGCGAAGAATGTCCATTCTAACTCACGCTATGAAGGACCGTGATGATATCGAGGAGGCGGTACAGTAGAGTATTGTTTGGTAGGTGGTCTATATTCTGCATTGTCGGAAGGTGCTGGTTGCTGTTGCGTGGAGGATATTGAGGCGTAGGACCGAATCAAGGGTTTCGGTATTGGCCCCATTGCGGCGGAAGCTTCAGTGTGTTGCATGTTAAAATGGAGACAAGCTATCTGTTAGAGAAAGTATGTACCGCGAGATCGGCACCAAGAGAAGAGGATTATGGTGGATATTCTTTTTTATATGATACTATGAGAGATCTATATATGCACGACAAATACAAACGAGCTAGCTATGCAGAGAAGAAACAGTAAGAAATAAACAAACAGGCTAGGAAATTCATGATGCATCAAGATACACAGAGATCAACGAAGCAACAACAACCTAGCAAAACAACACAATGCACGCAAAACCCCAACAACCAAACTCCTCCCAAACGCCACGCAATGCACATCACAATTTCTTCATCAAACAAAATCATACACCCAACATCTCCCTCAAAACCGGACTCTGCGTCAACCTAAACGCCTCCTTCAAATACTCATCCCCCAGCGAAAACGGCTTCGCCATCACATTCGGCACCCACCTGCCCGCAAGCCTCTCAGGATGGATATTATCCTCCGTAATCCGCATCTCCAGAAACTTCCTATAGCTCACCACCCCGGGCCTCAAATGGGTCGAATGGAAGGGGACATCGATCCCTTTCAACGGAATCGTCGCTATTCCACGCGCGAGTTGAAGTGGTCGCTGAAGCTTATTGGATTGCGCGACGAAAGTAGCGATCAAGTCGCCGAGCTCGGTGTCGTGGCAGGGCGAGGCGGAGGAGAGGGCTTCGGAGATTAGGGAGAAGAGGTTGGCAGTCTTGGAGAGGTGGTTGAGGATCTCGCCGAGGACGTAGAGGTTTTGGAGGGAGCCGGCGCAGACGTATTGTTCGCCTTGGACGTTGAAGTTGACGATTTCGAGGAGGACGCCGGATTCATCGGCGATCATCTTGACGAGGGTGCGGAGGGCTTGTTCGTCGAAGACTGGGGGTGTGTTAGTTGGGGAGAGTGTGGGAGGGAGGGAGGGGACGTACATTTGCCGACCCGTTTGGGGTTCACGGCTACCATGGAGAAGTTGGTTTCGCCGAATTCGTCGCGTTCCATGGATACTTGCATGGTGAGGCCGCGGTAGAAGACGACGTCCATTAGGGTCTTGATGGACATGAAGCCGGAGAAGGCGGAGAGGGAACCGTATTCTCCTAGGGAGTGACCAGCGTAGACGGCGGTGTCTTGGATGACACCCTTAGAGCGCATGTCCTCGAAGGTAGCTTTTTGAAGCAGAAGGATAGACGGTTGAGCGAATTGAGTGGAGAAGAGCAGACCACGAGCTTCGGAGAACGTGTAAGATCTCGACTCACGGGTCAATCCACTAAGAATCTGTTTAGTGACCAAAGATCCATCTGGTTGAGGTACATCGATTGTCATTGCCAGGTAATTTTCGCGAATCTTGCGACCTCGCTTACCACCGAAGTGAACCGTCAAGGTTTTTGGGTTATTTCGCACGATGTCCAGGATAGACCAACCATACTTATCTAACAGATAAGCGTCGACCTCATCCCAGATGGCTTTGGCAACAGGGCTGCTGTTGTATAGGTCCATACCCATGCCCTGAGATTGACTGCCTTGTCCAGTGAAGACGTAGGCAATGGTTGCTTGTTCAATTTCAGCGCTAGCATCCAAGACCATGTCATCCGTGTCCTTCTTAAACGCAGTGATTTTGAAGATCATGCGGCCTTCAATCATGCCTGTATGTCTGAATCGAACGGTGAGTCTGTCGGACGGCAAAACCATACCTGTGAAGGTAGCAGAGAACTGGCGGAATCGAAGACGATCACCATCGCCAGCAAGATGCTCCAGAACACCTGCTGCAATAGCTGACGTGTACATTCCGTGAGTGATGGTACCTGGAAGCTCGGCCCATTCAGAGAAGATGGGCGAGACGTGGATTGGGTTGTAATCCTTGGACACACGAGCGTACATCTCGTTGCTGCCTGGTACTTGCACCTCGAGGGAAGAGTCTCCAGACCATCCAGGGTTCTTCAAGCTGGTACGAGCGATGGTTGGTGTTCCCTTACGTTCGAGGAAGTCCATCACTGGGTTTCCGAAGCATTCGCCAGTAAGGAATTTGATTGCTCCAATTTCGTGAAGATCATCGTTGCCATATTTCTCGAATACTGACCCAGTGACAGCCATGCTTCTGAATGCTTTTCTGCCCTTCCAGGAAACAGTTGTTTGAGGCTTGAACAGGAGAGACTTTCCAACAAGGGATGCAGAAGAGTTCTTTGGTACGAACCAGGATCGGTTACGGAGAACAGCATCGTCTTGCGCAGAGGTGACTTGAAGGAGGATGTCCGACTCTTGAGTTTGTCTGAAGGTAGAGTGGAAATCGTCGAAAGTTCCCTTGAACAAGAAGGTTGAGGTAACAGTCATCACTGACTTGCCAGCTCGCTCAATGACTGCCTCGACAACAACATACTTGCCAGCATCCTCGATATAGACAGCATTCACTTTGGAGTATGCAGAAATAACATCCCCAATGCGAAGAGGTTCAGCACCTTCACAGTACTTGAAGGTGTTAGATTGATGAACGAGGCGGAGAAGGTCACCATCAATGTCTCTAAGGACAAGAGGCTTCGTCATGACATCCCAAGCAACGACGATACCGACGCTGATTGGGAAGACATCACCACTAGAGAACATGGTCTCACCGTGAGGGTAAGACAAGCCGACAGTGGAAACCAGATCTTGGAGCATCTTGCGATTGAGCGTCGTCTCCTGGCCTTGGAAACGAGAGTGCACATTTAAAGACGCATCGATATCCTCACCAAACCACAGCTTGCTGTAGAACGACTTAATTCGAAGATTGCGCTGATCCATGACCTCGCTCAATCCGAATGGTGTCATGAGTGGATTGTAAGCGTATCTAAATTGAAGAACAATAGGGGTTGAGCTGTAGGCACTTGGTTGGTGAAGCTCAACGGTGATCTTGTCGTCCCTAGTGACCTCGATCTTCATGAGAGATTGAGCTCCAGTGCTATCCTCGGCTGTTCGAGAAAGAGTGTTGGTGTCTTGGTCGAAGTGCAGAAGAGATGTCCCGACTGGGCTGTCTTGCAAGAGACGAGCGAAAGGACTTGGCTTTCGGTCATGACCTTGTAGCACGAACTTGTCGGAGAATAGTGCTTGGACTGACTTTGGTGTAGTTGGTGACCAAGAGATGAGAGACATCTCTGAGCCCTCTGAGCAAGGAGTGCAAGCTCCAGACTCGGGATAGAATTCTCGTCTGATCATCTCGACATGTGCCTTGGCAATGCCATCAAGAATGTCCTTGGCAGACTCATCGGTATTGCCCATCTGAGAGTATCGAGCAGCGACAGGGCCATGCAAGATGCAAACACGTCCAGCATCCTGTCCAATAACCGCATCGACATCCTCAGACTGCCATAGAGAGTCTTTCTTGAAGTAGGTCTCAAAGTCATCGTCAAGAGCGGGGATGAAGTTCACAGGCTTGGAACCTCTAGCTTTGCATCGATGCAAGAAGAATGTGACATCCTCGGGGTTCAAGATGTTGTCTTCAGACTCAGGACAAGCTGACAGAAAGTCACTCAAGAATCGGAAAGGATCCTCGAGGGTAGAGGCTGGAATCTCAATTGATCGTGAAGCTGGTAGTCTTTCTAGAACACGAGCCGCAAAGTCCGTTGCGAAACGGGAATATGAAGCATCAACCCAGCGCTTCTGGTGAGCAACATACATCAAGTCGATGAGGCGGGCGAGGACTTCTCCATAAGTCATGTCCTCCAAATCGCAAACCTCTCCCTCCGCATCTTGTCCAAACCATGGCTTGGCATAGTCGGCGTTGAGCTTGCGAATAATATATTCTCGCTTTTGCTTGAGCTTTGCAACTCTGTCCTTGCGAGGGAGACTGAAGATGGATTTGTCGAGTTCTGCCCAGAGCTTTGTTCCTCGGTTGGCAAGTTTGTGGATTGGTTGGCCCATTTCGGAGATAACGGTGATAATTCCACCCGCTTCACCGCTGTACGTTTGCTCCCAATCTTCATCGCCGACGCCTGGAGCTTCGTAAATCAACTCCTTTGCTTGCAACGACGTATGCGCTTCCCTTGCAACCATCATGCGACTTCCGAGCAATATACCATCGAAAGGCATCAAAGGCGTCATCTTCCCGAATTTCTGAGTCCAGGTTCCGTTCAGATACGGATATGTATCTTCGCTGCTCCCGAAACCACTTCCCGCGACGAGAATCAGGTTATTGCATTTTCGAATGGCACTATACATATTGAGGATGGGTGCATCGAAGTCCTCGAAGGAGTGATGACCCCCGCCTCGTCCACCAGTCCATTGCAGGATGATAGGGAACTCGGGGTGGGCTTGCGCGATATCAATGACCTGCTTGATCGCAGTGATTGATCCTGGCTTGAATGCAATGTGCTTCAATCCTAGGGTGCTGATATACTCGGATACAATGGAAGGCGAGGGTACTCCGGCTCCGATGGTCAGTCCATCGACTGCTTTGCCAGTTTGGGCCAGCTTCTTCAGCATGGCAATCTGCCAGGCCAAGGTGTGAGGGCTTGCATAGATCAGGTTGCAAGTAATACCTCTTCCGCGAGGCACATTGGCCATTACCTTGGCGATGGCAGCAGACATAGACTCTGCGTTATGGTATCCGCCGCCAGCCATTTCAATGTGGTACCCCGCATTCATAACAGCAGAGACAAAGTCCCAGGGAACAGTCGTAGGAGTCATTCCACCGACTATCACAGGAGAACAGCCTAGGAGTCTGCTCAATCTTGTGTCGAGCATGGCCTCACCTAGGTCTGATGGCATGATACCTGGCTGGAACTTTCTGCCCCAGCTCTCCAACTCGGTGGAAGTCTCAAGCAGACGAGGAGAGAAAAGATCAGCTTTGCTGCCAATCTCCTTGTCACGAACCTCGAATTCGCTGCCAATGATGACCCGGACTCCGTGGCCATCCTTATTCTTCATCGTCAGCTCTCCAATCCCCCCTCCTGAGAGCACAATGATATGTGTCGCATTTGGAAAGTCGGTTGCCGTGGGCCAGTCACCAAGCTCGCAAGTAATAGCATCGACTAAGATACCAATCACATTGGTGTTGCCGAGCTCTCTGAGATCTCTGCCCGTCTTGCTGTGGTAGACTGGGATCATGAGTTGCTCAGCATTGAGTGACTTGGATGCAAGGTCTCTCTTTATTCTGATTGCGGCATCCTTGAGGTGGCTCGTGTGGAATGGAGCACTGATAGGTAAGAATTGGTGGTTGACCACAGGCTTTCGTTTGCTGTACGGGATTCGATCTTGATCGAGCTCTGCATCCGCTTTCAAAGAGCGGAAAAGGCTGTTGATGTGGACGAGGGAGCTCGCCGGCCCGGCGATGACAAAGTTGTCACGAGCGTTAGCAAGCGCAAGATACAACTTCTCGTGGGTCGCCAGCGTCTTGTTTGTTTTGGTAATGATCGATTCGATTTGCGATCGTTGCAGGCCTCGCACACTCAACATGCACGAAGGTCGTCCTTCTCCATTCTCCAAGCATTCTCTAGTGAGGTCGGCTGGGATTGATGATCTTGGTGATCTCTGGTGGGACTCGTAACCGATCCAGAAGAGGATCTCGACTGCTAGTTTAGCAGCATCATAGAATGATTCCCAAGAATCGGAGAGAGCGATGGCGGCTGCGACAACGATTCCTTGGGAGTGACCAGTGGCACCGTTGAGGAGAGATCGCATCTCACCAGGTGTCTTGCCCAACACTTTGCAGGAGACAGCATAGTGTGCAAGACCCAGCAGTCCGAGAATGGGGAAGCTCACTGCCGCCGTTGAGACAAAATCCCTGTCTGGAATTGTGTTGGCATTCTTCATCCATGCTTCGACATCGACGTATCGACCATAGTAGTAGTCTCGTGTTGCTGGGAGCCGCGAAAGTTCGTGGAGCAACGGTGCTGTTGCGGCTATGAGTTCGCTCAGAAGCGGAGTGTATGTGGCATAGAGTTCTGACAGCTCCTTGGCACATACTGGGTTTGATGTGCCCTGCCCACCGAATACTGTGAATATTTGTGATTGGCCATGCTCTGCAGACTCTACCAGAGCGCTTTCCTTCGTCCTCCAATCCCCGCACGTCGATGATGCGGTGAAGTATGTCTTAAGCAAGTCCCGTCTCACACTGGAACTGACATGTGAGTGGATGAGAAGGGAGTGGATATCGGTATCCACTAAGAAATCTCGTTCGAATGCTAGAAGCAGTGACTCGATCGCAGAGACTGGTGCACTGCCGTTAAGGAGGAATTGGAGATACTGCAGGGTAAGTTCTACAAGCGAACTAGGTTCATTGTCCGAGGAGCGGAGGGATAATGAATCTAGGAAAAGATCTTTCTGGTGCTTGAGGAGTTCTGAAGACTCCAATCGAATGAAGAGAATATGTCGAATGTCCTTGTAAACGAGAGGCAGCTCTGTGTCCATTGCCGTTGCATGGTCGGAGTCATCGACCGTGGATGGAGCTTTGCTTGTGAAGAAAGGGGAGATCACGACTTCGGAGGTAGTGGAAGACATGTTGACCCTAGATGAAGACGTTGATCATCTGGCAGGTCCGACAGAGAAAGAAATGATTGTGAGAGAGCGTGGGTATTTCTTTGGCGGACTTCCAGTTATGACCTTTCAAACGTACGAGATATGAGTGGATATGAGATGGTGTGCTGGACATGTGCCGCCGTTTCTACTTATCCAGCAATTTTGCATTTTCGATTTATCTTCCGCCTTTGCGGACCGGTAGGCGAGTTTGCCTGTTTTGCTTCACATGGCACACTCCCACGGCAGTGAGAAAAGTCACGGCCTATTTTTACCTAAGCTTCTGTGTCTCGAGCGGTGGCTTGGCTGAGAGGTACTTTGTCTGAGTAGTTGGTCGCTGGGTTGAGGCTGTGAACACATCACGTGCTGCTGACATCTGGTCCCCAACACCGGCAATTAAATTTCGACTGGCCGGGGGCGCAAGTGCACTTGAAAAATTATCCGCCAACACAGGGCACACCTTCTACAGCAGGATCTGGAGAAGTTTCATCCAATGTGTGCTATGTTATTGTTTTGCTTGTTAATATTCGCCGAGATAGGTTTGCGCCTGAGGGATCGCGCTCTGCGAGCTAAGCGGCCCGTGGTGAGATTAATTATAGCAGCATCGCGCTTATGGAGCATTTGAGTACGGACTCCGTCAAATATGATGAGTAGATGTATGTCAGTACTTGAAAAGGATTTCTCCATACATCTGTGTGAACTATCTATCTAGTTGTAGTATTCCGTCGTTTTGAACCTCAATTCGCCTCTCACACCTCGAACTCTTATAACAGACCAGCGACCACGTGAATCAAGGGCTGGACTGGTCATGATATTTTGAACACATTCTTTCGATCACGTTTCACTTTTCTATTTCCTTTTTATTCAGTTCGCATCGAGTCATAGTTCCTCACAACATCAAACATGGCTCGCCAATCTCATGCAGTTGAGGGTCCTGCTGGGAACAGCTCGACTACCCAAGATCAGGCACGAGCACGCAAGCTCTTAATTGAGCTGCTATCGTAAGTACTGCACTTCTCAACTCCGAATTTCATGGCTGACGCAGGATAGATATCAATTCGCATTCCCAGTGAGATGGTGAGACAAATCAAATCTGTCAATGAAGAGGGAAAAACTAATCGCCTGGAAAACTAGGATTGAGACTCAAGATGAATTCTCTCAGCGATCGGAGAACATCCAGAGATATGTGGAAGTCGGACCTGCAAAGATCCTCTCCACGATGGCCAAGAAGACGGTGACTGCACACTCGTCACAAGCGCCATCTCGCTCATCACAATTCCAATTCTTGTCGTCCAGTGATAACAAGGAGGATATTTACTACCAGTACCCAGAAGAAGAGGAGCCTGTGGCTCCGGCGGAGAGCACACCCGCTCCATCTGCGCCTATCGTTGAGGCCGTAGCGAGCGTGCAAGCAGCTGCGGTTGTTGCAACTGCTTCAGCATCGGTTTCTGCTCCGGCTGCTGCTCCGGCTGCTGCTCCGGCTGCTGCTGCGCCAGAAATTCCATTGTCTGCGTCACATGTAGTTTTGGCGCTCACTGCTCAGAAGCTCAAAAAGGCCTTTGATGTTGTTTCAACACAGAAGACGATCCGAGAACTTTCAGGAGGTGAGAAACCGACCGCCTTCTCTCCAGATTTCGACTACTGACAATTATCTAGGAAAATCCACGCTTCAAAACGAACTGATTGGTGATCTCGGAGCCGAATTCGACAATCTACCAGATGGATCCGAGGACCTCACTCTGGAAGCACTCGGCGAAGCTCTTCAGGGCAACTTTTCTGGGAAGCCAGGCAAGCAATTAGCAGCCCTGATGTCCAAATTCACATCCAGCAAAATGCCAGCAGGATTCAACCAAGGTGCTATCCAAGACCATCTTGGCGCGCATTGGGGTCTTAGCAAAGACCATTCCATCATCCCGATCGCTTTCGCTATCACAGCTGAGCCTGCAGCTCGTCTCGCAAACGCCGACGCTGCGAAAGAATTCTTGAATAGTCTTATTCCACGATATGCTTCTTTCGCGGGCATTACGCTCACGCCTGGTGGATCTGGTGGTGGTGCGAGCGCGTCTGCAACGGCAATGGTGGATTCTGCTAGCTTAGATGCACTGAAGAAGGAACAGAGAGATTACCACATGAAGCAATTCGACTTGCTTGCCAAGCATCTTGGCATCGATGATCTTCAAGGAGGCGATAAGCTTGAGGCTGCTCAACAAGCTGAGAAGGAACTGGAGAAGACACTTAGTCAGTGGAACTCTGAGTTTGACGAGCAGTTCTTTGCTGGTATCCAGTCGGCGTTCGATATTCGCAAAGGCCGAACTTACGACTCTTCTTGGAATTGGGTTAGGGAGGAATTGATTCGCTTGTTCAACGATATTGCAGCTGGAAAGGTCGAGGCTAACATCCTCGGCGCTGATGACCGTCTTCTGAACGTTCTCAACAAATGGGAACCAAGCTGTTCTAGCATGGTCGACTACCTCACATCCGAACTTGCCGACCCACAAATGCAAGCTTTCGGACGAGAAATCTCTCGTCTCGGATCTCGTACTCTGGGAGAAGATCCTACTTTCAGATACACCTTACAGTCATTATCACCAAAGACGACCATCACTCCCGGTGGAACAATCGAGTATTCGGAAATCCCACGAAAGATCAACAACTATAGTCGATTGGTCAAGCACGGCCGAAAGAATGCTGCAGGCGAACTCATTCCCTTTGTTCACATCCGCAAGCGAGAAGGTGCTCAAGCATGGAAATACGACGCTGCATCCTCTTCCCTCCTCCTCCGAACACTCGAAGCAGGAACAGGACTTGGCCTTACCTTCGCCGGCAAGACCGTGCTTGTCACAGGAGCAGGTAAGGGCTCTATTGGAGCTGAAGTTGTCAAGGGTCTTCTGTCGGGAGGTGCCAGAGTGACCGTCACGACTAGCCGAGCAGTTTCCAGCACCGCAAAGTTCTTCCAGCACATGTACCGCAAGTATGGAGCTCGCGAGGCATCCCTAACTGTTCTTCCTTTCAATCAGAGCAGTAAGAAGGATTGCGAGGCTTTGATTGCGCATATCTATGGTCCTAACTCACCAACTGGTGGAGATCTCGACTATATTCTTCCTTTCGCCGCGATTCCCGAAGCTGGCGAGCTTGACAGTCTTGATGGGAAATCGGAGCTTGCGCATAGAGCTATGCTTACCAACGTCCTGAGACTTCTGGGCGCTGTTCGCAAAGAGAAGGATGAGCGTGGAATCGATACCCGGCCAACGAACGTCATTCTTCCCCTCTCGCCAAATCACGGTACTTTTGGTGGAGATGGACTTTATGCTGAGTCGAAACTTGGTCTCGAGACCCTGTTCAACAGATTCTATTCCGAGAGCTGGTCGACATATATCACCATCTGTGGAGCAGTGATCGGATGGACGAGAGGAACTGGCTTGATGAGCGGGAACAACATCGTCGCCGAAGCAGTCGAGAAGCAGGGCGTTATCACTTTCTCTCAACCGGAGATGGCATTCAATATCCTTGCCCTCATGACTCCTTCCATTTCATCCATCTGCGAAGATGATCCAGTATACGCAGATCTTACTGGCTGTCTTGATTTCGTCACTGATCTCAAGCAAGAGATCTCTACTGCTAGGACGGCGATCTCGGATGAGAGCCGATTGCGAAAAGCTCTAGTTGAGGAGAATTCTCGCCAGCAGACTGTCCTTGCTGGGCCCAGTACTCAGGTTGCAAAGACTGATATCGCTAGCACGAAAGTTCGACGAGCGAACCTGGGCATGAACTTCCCAAATCTAGGGAGCTACGAAGACCTTACTGGAAACCTTCAATCCCTGGAAGGTATGGTAGACTTGTCACGCACAGTTGTCGTGGTTGGGTTCTCTGATCTTAGTCCATGGGGAAGCACCAGGACTCGCTGGGAAATGGAACACATGGGCGAATTCTCAATCGAAGGCTACGTCGAAATGGCCTGGATCATGGGCTTGGTGAAGCACTTCGAGGGCGATATCAAAGGCAAATCCTACGTTGGTTGGATCGACGCTAAGACTAGCGAACCTGTCAGAGATGATGAGTTCAAGGCTAAGTACTCGGAGTATATCATGGCTCATACTGGTTTACGATTCATCGAGCCTGAGGGACTTGGTGGATACGATCCTAAGCGCAAGGAGTTCTTGCACGAAGTGGCTGTAGAGGAAGATCTTCCCCCTTTCGAATCTTCAAAGGCCACAGCAGAGGCGTTCAAACTCCGCCACGGTGACAAAGTCAACATTTCTCCCATTGCTGGCTCCGAGGATTATATCGTCCGTGTTAAGCGCGGTGCTCATTTCTTGGTGCCAAAAGCTACATCTTTCGATCGTCAAGTAGCAGGTCAACTACCCACAGGCTGGGATCCTGTCCGCTATGGTATCCCAGAAGACATCGTCCAACAAGTCGACCCAATAACACTCTACGCCTTATGCTGCGTCTCGGAAGCTCTCTTGTCAGCAGGTATCAAGGATCCCTATGAGTTCTACAAACACATCCACGTCTCCGAATTAGCCATCTGTCTCGGCACCGGAGCAGGTTCCCTTCTAGCCATGCGAGGCGTCTACCGAGACCGTTATCTCGATCGCCCTGTTCAATCAGACATCCTACAAGAATCCTTCTTGAACACCATGGGGGCCTGGATCAATATGCTGCTCCTCTCCTCTACGGGAACAATCAAATCTCCAGTGGGTGCCTGCGCTACAGCCATCGAGTCCCTCGACATCGGTTGCGAGGCTATCAAGTCTGGAAACTCAAAGATAGCATTTGTTGGCGGCTGTGATGATTTCCAGGAAGAGATGTCCTACGAGTTCGCTAAAATGAAAGCAACAGCCAGCTCAGCAGACGAACTCGACAAGGGACGTCTCCCATCCGAGATGTCTCGCCCCTCAGTCACTTCTCGCAGCGGTTTCGTCGAGTCCGCAGGTTGTGGAGCCCAAATCATCATGAGCGCTGAAATTGCTCTCGAGATGGGTCTCCCGATCTACGGCATCGTGGCTTATACTCAAATGGCGTCTGACAAAATTGGACGATCGGTCCCAGCTCCAGGTCAGGGAATATTGACTGCCGCTAAGGAAGCAGAATCTGCGTTTGACTCCGACCTCCTTGATCTCGAGTTCCGCCGCCGTCATTTGAAGGAATCAGTTGCTCAGATCAAGAAGTCCCACCAAGCACGCCTAGCTCGCCTACAAGCCAAGACCGGCAGCAACTTTTCGGAGAAGATGTTACACGAGATCGAGTCAGCTACCGCCTGTAAACTCAAGCTCGCGCAGCAAATGTGGGGTAATGATATCCGTCTCCAAGATCCTACAATTGGACCTCTAAAAGCAAGTTTGGCGACCTGGGGATTGACGATCAACGATATCCAAGTCTGTTCCATGCACGGAACCTCCACAAAAGCGAACGACACCAACGAAGCCGACGTGATCAACAAACAAATGACCCACCTGGGCCGCTCAAAAGGCAACCCTCTCCTGGCCGTCTGCCAAAAGTCCCTCACAGGCCATCCAAAGGGAGCTGCAGGTGCGTGGCAGTTCAATGGTTGTATGCAGATGCTTGCCACGGGTATAGTTCCCGGAAACTGGAACGCGGATAACATCGATGATCACTTGAGGGAGTTTGAACATATCGTTTACCCGAGAGATGCCATACAGATGATGGAGGTGCGAGCTACAATGTTGACGAGCTTTGGGTTCGGGCAGAAGGGTGGCATTACGGTTTCTATCGCGCCGAAATATCTGTATACTGTCATCACTGAAGATGTATATGAGGAGTATAGAGCAAAGGTCACAAAGAGGTATGTAATATCAGAGCGTTCGAGAAGATAATCGTTACTAATGATGACCCAACAGACAACGCAAAGCCAACACAGCCTTCGTCAAAGCCCTAATGACCAACACCCTCTTCAAAGCCAAAGACTACTCACCATGGGAATCCGGCGACGCAGCCCTGACAAAAGCACTCCTCGACCCCACCGCCCGCGCCTCAAACGCAAACATCCTCAACGAATTCAAGATCAACGATCCCTCCGTCCCTCCCGCACAGCCAGTCCGCCCAGTCTCCCGCCTGAGTCGTTCCAGCTCAAGCAGTTCGATCCACCGCTCCCTGATGGATATCTCCGAAACAGGCCTCCTGTCCGGGATGGTGCAGAACATGCTCGAGTCCTCCCTCTCCCCGCCCTCTGCTCCCCACCCATCTCTGTCTACATCCGTCGGCGTAGACGTCGAAACCATCAGCTCGATCCCAATCGACAACCCCGTCTTCCTCGAACGGAACTTCACAGACGCAGAAAGAGAGTACTGCGAATCGGCAGTGAACCCACAAGCGAGTTACGCCGGCCGATGGAGCGCTAAGGAGGCCGTGTTCAAGAGTTTGCAGGTTCCCGGACAAGGACCCGGTGCGAGTATGAGGGAGATCGAGATTTTGAGCGAGGGGGGTGTCCCGAGGGTCGTGTTCCATGGGAAGGCGAAGGAGACGGCGGATAGGGAGGGGGTTACGAGTGTGCAGATTAGTATTACGCATAGTGGGGAGACGGTTACTGCTGTTGCGTTGGCGGCGAAGTTTTAGTAGCATTGGGAGAGCGGTGGTGGGTTTCTTTTGTGTTGTGTTCATGTTTATGAGGAGTCATATAGGGCGTTCGGGTTAAGTGTGCATAGCTTTTTGTTTTGTGTTTTGTTATGTTGGGTTTCCTTTTTGTTCGATGTATAGCATGCAGACTGGAATTAGGTAGAATGATATATAAAAGATTACATTCCATCACGTATCAGTTGAAGGCATTGAATCGTTCATGAGCGATGGCTTGAGTTGCAACTGGAGTGAATACATACGGATGATTTTTACTTTGATGTTTGATCGAGAGGTAAGTACTGACTGAGCGGAGTGCAAGTGAACTCCAACAATAAGAAAGACATGTTCTAGCCCCAATTGAGTATTTCCACTTACTCACTCTAATACTACAGTGCACAATAGTGAGATGGGTGAGTACCTCGAGATCGTGAACCCAATGATGAGTCACGTGATACAACAGCTCGAAGTCGTAGAAGCTAGCTAGGTATATGATCATAGGGATTGTCATCTTAACAGTTCAGTAAGATTATCAATATGCGCTTTTTTAAGACTGTATGGCTTTGGGGAAGATACGTTCTCGAAGAATGAAGTTGTCGTTACGAATTCGGCTTAGCACCGTATCTCGTAGCAAATAGGTATCATGAGGCAGGCGGCTTTCACCGCTTGGCAGGAGCTCAACCTCTACATATTTCCTCATCAATCATTCAGACGACACATCTGAAATGTCCGCATCCAGCCTATGCCAATTCGGCCATGAACGCTTGTCCATGTCTTCGCATCTGCAATATCCCCTTCACGGACCATTTCCGGACATTTCTTCTCGCACGCTTAGTGGCTGTGTTGAAGGATCTGACTCAGGCCTCTATACCCGGCTTATTGTCTTATTCGTCGATTTATTTTCCTTGGAGATCTAAAAGATGCACTTTCAGCAAAGCCTTGGAGTGACCGCGGCTTTGATTGAGTATGTGGAAAGTTTCCAGAAATGCACCGCAGCTCCCTTCACGATCGTGGCGAACATGAACTGCCTGGGTCGCAATTGAATTCACCGGCCGTACCATCTTTAGTCCCCGGTTTAGTGTAGGATTTTCTGGTTCAGTATTTGGACTGTTGTTTTCATTTCAAGGCTTCAAGAGTCAAAGTCTTGATTGTACTTCGCTTCACGTGACATTGTCCCTGTTCACACATTTCTTTCCTCATTTTCACGAATTTCATTGAAGCGACTCACTCACATCTTCTCCCTATATCCAAAAGTTCGATCATTGTCATGGGTCTCAATATCATTGTTGTTGGGGCTGGTCTCGCTGGTCTTACAGCGGCGATCTCGCTTCGCCAAGCAGGACACAACGTCCGGGTAAGTCTGCTTTTGCACAGCTACTAGATTACAAGCTAAAATATCCCCAGATCTTCGAGAAGTCCAAATTCGCTGCAGAAGTCGGAGCCGCTCTTGGACTCACTCCAAATGGCGCACAAGTTCTCAAGCCCCTCGGCTTCTCCTTCGAACGAGCTCGAGCTCGCTCAATCCGCATCTGGGACATCACTGATGGCGTCACTCTAACTGTTCTTAACAGTATGGATCTGACCGAGTCTGCGAAGAAATTTGGTCTCGAGACCTTCGCTGTACATCGTGTTGATATGCACAACGAACTTCTCCGCCTAGCTCTCGAGCCTGAAGGAGACCTCAAACCCGTTGAGCTCAAACTTTCCTCAAAAGTAGTAGATGGTAGCGCGGCGGAAGGCTGGATTCAACTTGAAGATGGCTCTAAGCACTTCGCTGATCTGATCGTTGGTGCTGATGGCATCCATTCCGTGATTAAGCCAATGGTTATTGGTCGTGATCAAGTCAAGCCAAAGTCGACAGGTCTCAGCGCATTCAGATTCTTGGTTCCGACTGAGAGGTTGAAGAACAATCCTGAGTTTGAGGCACTGATGAAGTGGAAAACTCCTGGTGCCAGTACTTTGGCTGATCCCAAAGACCCCTGCCCTGAGAGACATATGATGTGGTATGAGTGTCAGGAGTAAGCATCCATCTCCCGGAATATGCATCCTCAATACTGACAGAAGTAGCGGACACGTGCAAAACTTCGTTGGAGTCCATCCCTCTCGTGAGATCCCCGTCGCAGAAGACGGAACTCAAGGTAACCCCTCACGAACACTCGTCTTTGGACACAGCTGACAATCAGCAAGACTTCAAGGCAGCAATGCTGGAAGACTTCTCCGCTTACCACTTAGACATCAAGAAAGTAATCAGTATTGCTGACAACGTCTCCTGCTGGCCACTCAATATTCACGACCCATTGAAGACCTGGGTCAACGGAAAGATGGTGTTGATTGGAGACGCTGCTCACCCTGTGGGTCTACCTTCCCCCTTCTACTCCTGTCCCCTTTCCTTCATGACGAAGATAGCTGACAGCAGTAACATAGATGCTCCCCTTCGGCGGCCAAGGCGCAAACCAAGCCATCGAAGATGCCGGCGCATTAGGCTACCTCCTAACTGGCATCACCTCCACCGACGATCTCCCCTCCCGTCTCTCCGCATTTGAAAAAGTGCGCATAAAGCGCGCATCTCTGATTCAGACGTTGTCAAAGGTCAGAGTCGGTAAGGAGAAGGAGATCGAGGACGAAGTTAAAGCTTTTGCAGAGCCGGAGCAGAAGGTCCCTAGTTCGTTTGCCGAGAGGACGGCGCATGCTTTTGGACACAATGTACTGAAGGAAAGTGGGAGGGTTTTGCAGGGAATGGCTTAATCGATCGGTTTGTTTTGGATAGAGCGTAAGCTGGGAATTTTTCAAATGCATATCATGTATCTTTGTTTGCTGAGCACGCAATGTACCCTTCCTTTTCTGTCGAATATTGCAAAAAATAACTCACACTTATATCTGTCGCGACTTTCAAACGACATGTGAGTCCAGCGTTTTCCCTCTGATATTTCAGAGCATGTCCCAACTCTGCCCGTCAACGCCGTGCAAATAATTCTCCGGCTTGCCTACCGTACTCCGTAGGTATATACTCAACGCCCGCAATAGCTGTCCTAAACCCTTCTCAGACGCTCCCCATCAGCAGAAGTCCTTTTCCATATTCTCACTTCGGCTCAACAACAACAATCTCCCCTTCGCTACCCTCACTCTCCTGCAATTTTCGTTCTTTCTGCGCTCTCCATTTAGCGCCCCAGAACCACACGGCCCACCAGGACAAACTCCCAGTACACCAAACGGCCGAGATGAGTGTCCCAGTCCAACCTCTGCCGATACTCTTCAGCAGAGGTTCGACTAGAGCGACACCTCCTGCACTGAGCAAGCAACGAATGAGGTTTGCGGCTGCGGAAGTTGAAGATGGAGATTCGGGGTGGCAGTCGACGAGCAGAACTTGAAGACATCTGTAGGTATTGTCAGCATGATTAGAAAACTATGTCAAGTGGAGATCACTCACTGCATGCATCCGGACATCGACAGCGCATTACAGAACAACAGGAACAATGCGAGCGGCAAAGGAGGGTGATCCATATGCATGACCCACCCGTACGGAATGACAGTCACACAGCCTAAATAGGCCAATGGCAACCCAACCTCGAGTCTCGCTCTCTCAACTGGAAATCCGGTTGTGCTTGTCTGTTTATTCCTCACGATGGGAATCCCCAATTTTCTCGCATGACGTTTGAAGTTGAAATCGATCAAACGGCCGACGATCTGGCGAGCAATGAGAATCCCGGCCCCCATGGGGATATAGCAAAGCCCGACTTGGATGCTATTGTAATGGAATGTAGACTCAAGTTGAGAAGGTAGTCCAGCAAGCAGGATAAAATAGCCACCAGACTGCAGACCAGAGAAGAAGATCAGGCAAAAAGCTTCCTTGGATGCAGCGATGTATAGCGATTCCACTAGACTGGGACGACGCTTGTGTGCCAATGTACTGGGTATGATAGGAGCATCTTTCTTCCCTCTCCGTAAGTAAGCAATCAGCGGTACATTCCACTTCTGAGGCGGTACACTCCCATTGCCGACGATATTGCGGCAAGTTTCAGGGATGAAGAGTGCAATGGTCAAAATCATGACGAGGGCATAGATATCAAGGAACCAGAAGATTGCTCGCCAGCCTTGAAAGTGGACTAGGAGGCCTCCAATTAGAGGTCCCAAGGTGGGCCCGAGGTTTGAGCCAAGGGCAGCAATACCGATGTATTTTCCGCGCTGGGAGCGGGTTGAGACATCGGCAACAACGCCATTAGACAAGGAAATTGTACCGCTGCTGCCACTGCTTTGGACCATTCTGAGGAGGAGGAGAGCTATGTAACTTGTTTGGAGAGCGAGGCCGGTGTTGGCTGCGATGTATATCTGGAAGTGGGGTTAGCATAGGTTCCAAAGCAGTTGAAGCTTGCGAAAATAACTCTTGAACTCCCGCTTGAAATACTTTCACTAGTCTGAGGCACTGTAACTTACAACAAAGCATAGAAAGTAAGCAGGTCTTCGTCCATATCTATCCGAGATACCACCAATAACTGTTGGTGCCAGGGCTTGGAATATCTGTCAAAGGATGGAATTAGCTTATGATGCCACTTTCCAAGGTTGTGTCTATACCATATAAGTTGTGATGGATAAATTGATATTTTGGAGTGAAGTGTTCAAAGCAGTCGCAAGTATGGTAAGAGCAGGGTAATAGATACTTGTTGAGACAGGTGATGCAAAAGCAGCTAGAGAAGCCACCCAAGCATAGAATACCCTTTCAAATGTATTGAATATAGTGAAAGGAGGAGCTTCAACTTGAGCTTCAACTTGTCCGCTCTCTTCTGAAGAGATGGTAATCTCGTTCTTTTCGTCAGAAGATGCCATGTTGATTTGTTCTTGGCTGATGATTGGCTTTAGGATGAATACGAATAAAAGAGAATTACTTCAAACTTGAAAAGTCATGGCGGAGATAGCTCTCTTATTGAATATCACGGAAGTTGAATAATGCTTCAAAGACTTCACCGCAACTCCCCCTGCAAGGAAAACTCCGAAATCGCTCGACGTAAACTTGTGCAAACCTAATTTGACACTCGTAGCGCTCGCACCAAGACTTACTGGTTATCACTGGTTGCGGCCCGTGCCGATCTTCCGACAACGTCAAAGATCGTGGTCTGTTGGGCAATATGCGCAATGATAATGTTCTCACGTGCCGAACTGCCGTGATGCCGTCTTGCCGTTGCACAGAGGAGCCTTCCTTATTCTCATCCTTCGTCTGAATTAATGTTTGGTAACCAATAAATCGCTGGGAAGAAACCTTGTCATGTCGAAGTTTCTCGTAGTAAGCGTCAACTGTCACGGAAAAATATTCAACGATGCTGTTATCGCTGCAGTGTGCCCAATCCTTGCTGAATCCAAGCAATTAGCCTCTTCGCTGCGAGTGCCGATATGGTACCATTCGAAACGGATAAATTCATCCGCGTTCGGTACCGACTTCTCGGGGTCTAGAGCTTGAATATGCAATCAATGCACCACTCAGCCCCAAGGAGACGAGTGCCGTTTAATCAAAGAAGCTTAAATACTCGATTACTGATTAGCGAAAGTGTGCTGAATCAGGAAAGCCTTGAAGTCAATACTTTCAGCTGCCCCACTTTAACAACAAAGAAACGTTTCATGGCAGCCAAGAGCTCATTCCACGTATCTTGAAGCTCAGCAAGCCCAACGTTCGATTGTGTATTGCAAGGGCCACAAGGCCAATGGTTTGAAGAGCGCTTAAGCGGCACAGACAACCCGATGTAAGTCAGACATCGAGAAATCATGGGGAATCTATGACATGCATACGCCTTCAATCCTGAGTCCAATCATAAGGCATTGCGCAGGCATCAGATCATGGTTTGACGTACTGTACATTTAGTCTATCGGTGATGGGAGCCCAACTTGGCCCAAGGAGGTCAACAGTCCGCGTGCCGTAAAAGCCGCATCCCGCTCCACAAGTCTGAATCAACTTCATTGGTAGCAATGCAACGATAAAGAGAGATTGTTAAAGCCAGTATAGTTCAGTGTCTGTAATACAGTCACATGACTCGCCCCATTCTCAATCAAAACACTGTCCCCAAAGCCCACCTCCAGTAACGAAACTCTGGCTTGCGACAAACTTGCTCAGCGTACATCTCCCCAAGCTATCCGCATCGCAGTTTTGTAGCGGTACAACTCGATCATTGATAACGACTCTGACCAACTCTTCTACCTCGGATAGACACACCATCTTCTCGAAATAGGCACGAGCGGCAAATGGAACAGTCCACCCAGCACTGTAACCATTAGTCTGTGTAGTAGTTTCCAGAGTAATGTTGGACAGATTGGCTGTCGAGTTGTAAAGTCCAAGTGCAGCAAAGATAGAACCCAGATCATCGTCGTGGCTGAAATCCGCGTACAAAGGATGGACCAAATCCGGTCCCAGAGGGAACGTTGTCGAGAAATAATCAAGTGTATGGTTGATCGACGTGTAAGAGTTGGCATCAGTAACATAATTGCGATTGTTGGTCATTCTGGCGATGAGCTCTGCTGCAAAACCAACACCCTGCGTTGGTCCCAACGGATTCCCTTGGAGATCTGCATACCATTTTGATAGAGAGCGATAGTAGTTATAGTTCTCCCATTCCATTTCGTTGAATAGACCACAAAAGGATGAGATCGTCCCGTTGACATTTGCGATTGTGTTGAACGGGCATTGGTCCATGAGATAAATAATTTGAGATTTGCTGAGACTGGCGTCAATCAGGTTGTCGTTCACCCTGGTCTTCACCTCACTGATCCAGACATCTCGCCATGTATCTTCGGCATCATTGGCGATATCAGAATCAGGGCCGTCTTCGTAGTTGGTACATACTGTTTAACATATCGGCGCGTAATTCTACCAGTTCATGAAAGGCAATTTAATTATTGAGGAAGAGTTCTCGAGGGTGGTGACTTACATTGAGCGTACAAAGTGTTATTCTGACCATCATCTTCAGATATGAGCAAAATGGGGTACGGATAATTCGGATCAATGCTTCCACGAGCTTGGTGGAATCCTTGACTGAAATTCTGAGCAGACTCTACAACACGATCATCACTCGACGAGCGAAAGAACGGGGTATATAGAGTTGTCAATGTCTTGTATCGTTCGTAAAATTTGATCCCCGAATGGATCATCTCCTGTTGCCCAAAAGCGGTCAGGTCATTAGCGCCGAGGTCGTAGGTGTAATTCTTGATGAAATCGTATTCAGCTGAGTAGCTTGTCGTATTCGCATGAATCTGCTCGAACAACTCCTCGTACTCGGTCGTCTTGGATGTGGTTGGGAATCTGGCGCCATGACGAGAGAGGAGGTTGACGAAACTGATTGAGCAGCCAGCGGGTGTGTCTGCTGAGATGGTGCTGGGAACCGAGAAGTATGGTGCATAGTTTCCCCAATTATGGCTTATAGATGTGTCGCATTGGTAGCCAGTCTCGACTGTATCGCATTGCGCGGAACTTTGAAGTTCAGCGTGAGGTCTCAAAGGGGTTGAGGTTTGAAGTTTTGATTGAGCCGAGGAAAGGAGTTGCCAGAGGTACACCCTCGCCCAGACTTACCCGAGTGATATAAAAGTGCCAAGCAAAATGATTGACAACATCCTGAAAGTTTCAATTGATATATCTCCAAACAAACTTTAATTTTGTGCGGAATCTGTTTCATCTGATATATGCAGGGCCACGCGTACTAGCTTTTATAGGGCAGTTTCTAGCTTATGCTAATTTATTTCTAGCCATTGACAAAGCAGAATCCCTCAACGTGCTCACCCGTCACCGTCACAGTGCTGAAATAGACTGGCAGCTTATGATATCACATTTTCTTTCATAGATCTTGCGACGAGCCCATCGCAAGAACATGATTGCGAGGAAGATGCTGGATGACTCGGCTTCAAGTCTTCTCGACCCTGCGAGAGCAGACGTCTCTGAAGGACGATTGACAGTGTCCACGTTTTAAGAGCTGACTCATTGATCAGTCTTGCACCATGATATATCAGAATTGAACACTTTCCTCTCTTTCAGATCGCTCTGAACCTGATCATGATGGCTAAAGTCCCAATAAAGCTGACATTAGTTCACTGTGTCTTACGTAAACCTCTGGGAGGATAGCCAGTTTGAAGCATCTTTGTTTAAGAGCTAGGAGAATGTACCACAGAAAAGAAATCTTTGCGACCTTTATTCATAATAGAGTATAGAAAGTAAAAGAAGCCATGTAAAGTTTTCTTTGTGAAAAGGTTATAGCTTAAAAGCCTTGCAATCATTGTACAGAATCCAGCCTTTGCTGTTATTTCGCGCCAATCCTCACCTCACTTTACGGGTATACCGAGCCACCGCGAACGTATCTGCCACTTTGCTCACCCTCGTTTCACCTCGACCTCACCCATCCTCACCAGCCTTCTTGTGCGCATCCTGCTACTTCACCTCTGCTCACCCCTCTCACCTAGGATATAGTCATATTTAGTATACTGCCTGCTCTAGAATCGAGCGATCCTCTCGTATATTTCCGATCTCGACTGTTGGGAACTTTCGGCCTCTAACAAATTGTGGGTTGCTAACAATAGCATTGCCCGAAGAGAAAATTTTGCATCATTGCCTACATTATGAAAATGACTTCCTTCCAATCCAAGTTGTCTAGTAAGACGACTCAGGCTAAAATCTTGACCAAAAACTTCAATACCAAGATAGTGTGTATCTAAGATATTCTCAACTATAGGTGCAAGTGCTAAGTTGATACCAAGTCCTCTTAAAACTTGAATCTCGAAACTGAACCCGTGTCCAACAAGTATAAGCTGTCGAGGTTGTTTGCCACTATTGTTTTCAGGATATAATAGATGCTTTAATAGACTAACAAGGTCATCTTGTGTAGTATCGATTGACACCCCAAAGAGAAATTCTTTTGTATCCATAACAGTTCGATAATGTTGTGAAGATATGATTTTCCCTGGCTCTTTATATCGAGTATCGCGAGTATCTAGTGTTGAGATTCCGACTTCTCTTAATCGTATGCGGCCAGTCTTTGCAGAAAAATTGCTGTACTCGAAATCGATCGCGATAAAGACAGCATCAAGAGTATCAACCTTTTGAGAATCTGATAGCAGGCCAAGACTTTTCCGTAGGTATTGTAGACCTTGTGTGTTGATTTTGCGAAGGGGCTGCGAATGAAGAGCTCTAGCTCTAGCTTTCTTTTTTTCTTTTTCGAACGCTTTCCGCAACTTTCGTGGCACTTCCTTGTCCTCGAGAGGGGTACTCATGATGAGCTTGGAACAAGCTAGTCAGGGTCGTAGTTTTGATGCTGCCTGTAAATGAAGCGATGCTTCTCTTGCAGTGAATCAAATTTTTTGTCGATTGTGTCGTTACAGGCAGCGCTGTGCTATTTGTCTCAACATGCGCCATGGGCAAAGGGTAGTAATTTGTACGTACGACTGTAGGTACGGCTGGTAAAAGCTCGAAGTAGGGATACAGGTCGCGCGTATCAAAGGGTGGATGATAGATTGTGACGGTAGCGATGACTGATGACAAATAATCAATCGAGCAGAATCCGTGGTTTGAATTTGATCTATCCCTTCGTGTGGCCGCTATTGCCCACGCTAGCGGCCGTATAAATTCACGAGGTCTAATTGGAATGGAATAACTTCGGTAGAGGAGTTGATCCGCGAGAGAGTGGGCGAGGGCGATGGTGACAGTGAATATGGAGCTCAATTGAGTCCCCCCTCCGGTGCCTTCCACACTAGGATATGAGGGTAGTCAGCTACTAGTTTTAGCCACGCCTAACCAGAGCCCGGTCAGTAGGCTAGATAGGGGCTAACAACGAACTCTAGTTTAGAGTCATAGCCGAGCCGAAACAAGTCGCCTTCGACACTAATCTATCTACTATCACTCGTCCAAACCCGTCGGTTAAGCAGCTCTGCTCACCTTTCCGAACAGAAACCGATTTTCTTTATGTCAGAATTAGCACGTGATAATCTCCTGTTACTATTCTATTCGGCGATGGGAGAGGCGTCTTTGTTAAATTTTTCTTGTGCAACCTGTGAATCCGGCTCGAGTACTCGAAATGGCGCTAGTCGTTTAGCAACAGCAAATCGCTATCTACAAAAAGCGACTTCTAATTGTTCTTCCACACTTCTAAATTCCTCGTTCGTAGTCCTTTTCCCAAACGACATCCTCCACAGTGCCACGTCAGAAAATCAACGCCGACTTTTTTCTTCTTACATTCAGACAAGATGTGTGATCCTGTCAACGAATTGGCTCTGCTTACTCTGGGCACGAAGGTAATCAAGAGCTCGGATGGCTTGTCTAAGTCCAAGAAGCGCAAAGAGCGCCTTAAGCGCAAAAGAGACTTGAAGCAACAGGCTGCTCAACAGGAGGTGCGAACTCAACTTGCGCTTTTGAAGAAAGAGAAGGAAGATGCGCAACAACCCTTCCGGTTTTTGGACCTCCCCTATGGTATGTCACATTGTCCTTCCAGATTCTGTCTACGGTCGACGGCTTAACATGTTCCAGATATTAGACTTATGATATACAACATTCTGTACGTCAGACCTGTCTGGATCCGACCGGCAGTCAACTTCTACCGCCATCGTCCTTCGGCTGCTCTAACAGTCAAGTATTCTGTCTACAGATATCAATGGGGATGTCAGCCGCAAGAGCTTCCGCAAACGAGTGATCGCGATTTACCCACCAGGGAGGGAGAACGACGAGCTGTCGCGATAAGCTGGTCAGACGATCCCACTCCAGCGCAACTCAAGGCTTTAGAGAATGGGGCAACATGGCTACCGGATACAAAGATAGCGTCAAACGATCGTAGTAATATCAGCAACGACGTCAGCTATGGTACCATCAGAATATCGCATCAGCAGCTCCTTTACATATCAGGCTTCTTTGGTGTAAGGCTGCTCAGGACTTGCAAGCAGCTGCGAGAGGAGGGAACCCAGATTTTATATGGAGACAACAAATTCTGCTTCGATTTCGACCTGCGTAACAGGTATAGCTCCACTCGTCATCCTCAAAACTCGGATCACATTCCAGGTTTCTCAGATGATGAGGGACGTAAGCCATCCGAGGAAGAGATAAACAGAGATCTTGATCGCTTATTCGATAAGACGTGTCACCATTCTGCATTTGTTTGGAGAGACCCGTTGCTACACTTTCTCACCAGGATCGGGCCATACAATGCTAGAATCCTCAAGTCTATCAAGTTAAGCGGAAGTTTTAAGACATTATTTCCCATGTATCGACTCGGCTGCTTCGAAGATCGGCTTCCTATCTACACAACTGTACTTTCCAGAGTATGTAGCAACCTTTGCCGACTTTACATTGAAGCAGATATACCTTCTGAAATATTTGGGCCAGGAACTTTGTCATGGTGCATTATTAGACATGATACCAATCTCGAGTTAACCGAGTTAAGTGATCACGAAATGTTATACAATATCATTGGCACTCTGGTAGAAGATCTCCCACAACTGACCAAGCTCCATCTTGGCTGGAGTGGAGATGAGACAAAGGACATGGTTTGGGATCATACACAGCGGTCATATGAAGAGTCGCTATGGGGAGATGCTCTGGAATGGGTAGATATTGTGGCGGAACGTGCCGAGCGTGGTGGGGTTGTCTTGGACTCGAACGTCAAACCCGTGGAAACCCCAAGGATATCGACGATGATTCAAGAGAAAGAGGAAGAGAATGTTGGCACGGGTGAAGCTAAACAGCCAGCTACCTCAAGTCAACAGCCTCTCCTGGAAGGTTCTTGAACCTTCGATGGGCTCACCAACGTTTGGAAATGTTCTCACTCTCTGTTTGGATGGGGGCGGAGCATACATTTTCAGGTTCTTTAGTCAAGCAAGCAGAGGACAGGCATAACAAAGATGAGGCATTTACAATATGATTTCAAACTATGTTATGTGATTATTCGCTTGTATTAAAATTCGGCGTGTTGCTTAAAGCATGGTATCAAAACATAGAAATGTCTGATTTTCACGAACTAGGAAAGCTATGGATTGATAAACGTTTATTTTGGCGCATTTCTATTTGAAAATGTCTCATCCTACATTTCGTTCTCGTACCCCTTCAAAAGTGGCCAAGAAATGGGGAGATCCAAATCAAAATCCTCATTTCCATAAACTTTCTAAAGCCTATACCCTGCATCCTCCATCCTCCACTCTAAACCTCAACGCTGCCTGCTGCTGGCTTCTTTCTAGCTTTGGAGCGCCTTTCCTCTGCCACACATTAAGCAAAGGCCCTCCGTGTCCCATTTACTATTATATTTTGGGTGTCTTGCTCACGGGCAGGGATAACCACTTCTCACAGCGAAACACTCAAAGATGCGTCGGTACACGAATCCACCACATTCGACACAGACCACGACTCCGTAATCGCACATTGTGTAGTTAAAAGGTGTATATGCAGTTCGACGAGCTTCTCGTAAGCTGTGTTTTAACGAGATTGATGTATATTGGAGGTGAGGAGAAATCAATCTCAAAAGGAAGAGGAAAGTGTCTGTATATACAGAAAAATTCAATCTGTTGATTCAAATATCTGGTGCAATGACGTTACCCTTGTTGAGACTTCCATCTCAATGTTGTGAATTGGCTCGAAAATTGTTAATCATAATCATCGATCAACTTATCAATTAACAAAGGCCGCTAAATTATCACTAATACGGGTGATTCACATTCCGTCAGAGCTTCCTAGCGGACGGAAATGAAATTGGCTATAGGGCGCATTACTTGATGAGTCTTCCTGGGAGAAAAAAGAAAAATGAAACATGTGACAAGGTTACTATCTGATTGGTCCCAAGACAGAGTTCGGAAGCTCATCTTCATTATTCATACCAGGTCACTGGCTTATTTCCTCATTCTCATCATTTCACCCACTTGTATGTCCTACCTTCAGAAACCATAAAATTTATCTATATCCTGATCCCAGTAACAAGCTTGCAAAGTTCTCTCGCCTAGCATGACTTTAGCTCTCCACCTGGGCATGCGCATCCAGCTCGCTTTGCTGGAGCATTCGACAACTCTTTCGCCAAGCCGAGCACCGCAAAATGTACGTTGATCATTACCTGTACTCACGCATCTGGGAGGTTTCCAAGACTTTTTGTGACTCGCGCTTGTCTGCCGTATCGCCTCTTGCAAGATTTCTATAGTTACTGGTGTCTTCGGAAGTAATATGCAAGATGCTTTTCATGTAGAGCACATAAGCTACTTGTACGGCAAGACAAAGTCATTGAGTTGATATACGAAATTACGTCGATATCAACCCGTCATACAATCACTGTGAATGGTCTCTATGATGCCACCTGTTTGGACTGACATATGTGATAGGTTTGTCGGTAAACAACAATCCACACGCAAGCGTGGCAGATAGCACATGCAGTTGATCTCGGCAAGACGAAGCAGTAAAGAGAGCATAGTATGGAATTTAAACTTCTCTTCCAAGTATTTACAGAATAGATAAGTATATACAAACACCCAACACGTTTCCGTCTCTTTAGAAAGCACTGTCATCACCCTCCAAAATACCAGGTCACCCTGCTAGTCCATAATATTCCAAACACTTCGAACCAAAGTTCATGCCTATTTACTTATGTGATAGTAATCGACGATGAACCAGCACTTTCATAGCCTTCTGTAGCCATGATCTGGTAGTTGAAAGTTCCGAGGTCCTGAAGTCAAGATTAGTCACGTGTTCGATTCAAAAGATAACCAGCAAGTTTACTCACCATGCCGAGAGCAGCCCAAGCATTGAAGTGAGTTGCAAGAGTGATAGTTCCACTGGTACGTTCCGTTTGTCGGATTGACAAGTATTGGTTGAAGGTAGCAGTACCCTGGATGGAGGGAGCATCGGTGCGAACAACTTCGTAGATGTCGTAGACACTTCCATCAGATGTCACGGTGCCTTTGAGTGTGCCTGCCGATCCAGGGTTGTATGTGCCGTATGTTTCGATCACATAGTACTCTACGAGTGGTGATGTAGTCCACCCGTAAAGTGCGAGCAAGCTGTCACCACTAGCACTGAGGGAGCCTGTATATGAGATTGTGCTGGCGTGAATTTAGCTTTACTCTTGGTTTTAACTTGGGAGATTCTGTACTTACCGAACTGCTCCAGTGGACCATCCGATACCAGCTACGACATCTTCAGCAGCGGTAGTCCAGGTCAATTTGTAAGTTCCGGTTCCGATGTCCATAGAAACACCACTACCGCTCTCGATGTAGCAAGAGTAGTAATATCCTCCTGCTGTTCCCTAAGGTAAAATCAATGGAGTCAGCACACTATTCATGGGTGATAGCGATTTCATTTTGGAACTAAGACTTACAGTCGTGCTCGTGGTGACTATGGTATCACGTGTAGCAAGCTCATATGGCGTGGCAATGGCAGCTGCCACGCTCATAGACGCAACAAGGAAGGATCTGAGAGAAACCATTTCCGCAGTAATTGAATCGAAATTTGCTCCTGAGGTGAGGAAGATTGAATAGCAGTATTCAGCAGAAGTGATTTATATATGCTTCTTCACCGTGGACACCAGAAACGGGCCTCGGGAACAAGGAGGGTAAGCCCTGCTTCCTTTGCTGTGTCTCCTCATCTTTCTTTCCTTCCTTCTTCCCCTCTTAGGACAAAAGGTGATCGTGCGTTGGAAACTTGTTTGCATAACCACGTGTTGAAGAAATTTAAGGAGTTGAAAGGTGGATTTTGGATAGTCCGGACGGTTAAATCGATCCATAACGTCGATCATAGAAGTTTCGGTAATGATGTCTTTAGGGTTTAGGGGGCGTTGTGGGGTACATCTGGAAACGCCTCCTGTTGCGGTTAAATGAAATGGATCGGTTCGGCACCTCGATGCCTAAATACCAAATTGGTTAGATAAGATCATGTGGCACCGAAATTTTTAAGATCTCTCGGAGAATAACTTCTTTTTGTTCTTTCGAGAACCAAAACTCCTTGAGGACTCTCGAAATGGTTCAAGTTGCATCCGTTCAAAAACGACTTGTCGGGGTTCGAGTCCTCACCGTGTTGAGTTTAGCGACGATCCCCTGAGATAGCCGAGGCGAGTTTCAACATTTGCACCATTGCGCCACTTTTTCTTGTTCGCCGTTTCAGTTGAACCAAATCATCCAAAAATTGGATTGAGTTTGCGGAGCCTCATTTCCTGTCATAATACATATTAAAGCAGTAATCTCGATGAAGTATCTAGCGAGCAAACTTCGTCCCATCCACCGCGCATCTGTAATACATATGAAATCAATCTACGTCACCTTCACGAGTTTAATCTATTTGAGCTCCGGGACCGCGGTGCACCCGTCCCTGCCAAGTCCTCCGCCACCTGCTTACGGCGTGAAGAAGCAATGCGGGGAAGCTAGTGGCTGTGAGCCTTAACTCGCTGAGAAGTCAATCTAGTGGTGGAGGAGCGGCGCCAAATCCGCATTTATCCGGAGGATAGACACTTTACTTCAATACCGACAATGAGCGAGTGTTTGGATGGTGGCACAGGAGACCTGTTCGTGCAAAATCCACTTTGCGGACTTTTCTTTTTCTCTGGTCCTCGGTCAAAAGGGGCGGAGCTGTGCATTCCTTGGCTCGGAACCTACATGCCCTAGTTTTCTTGCCGTAATAGGTTTTTAACGCCTATTCCAAACGACAAATCACTTCGTAATAGCTCAACGACAATGTACGGGAGTTGGAGTTTAGTCAAGCTCAGCACTAGATCACTGACAGATTGTGGCTCAATGTATTCATCACTACTTAGGCAGCATGATATGAGCTAACACATTTTGTTATGGCAAACGAAAGAAGTTATAAACTGCCGTTCCACCTTTGTTCTGCTCGAATCATCCACTCCAGAGTCTTTCGATTAATCACTGTTTCATTGTCAACGCTCAATTTTTTGTGACAATGAAGTCAACATTGGCCACTATGGCGCTCGTCGCCTCTGCTGCGGCAGGTCCTCTGAAGCAACGGGCGACTTGTCCTAGCATCCACGTCTTTGGTGCTCGTGAGACAACGGCCTCGGCTGGTTATGGATCCTCAATCACCGTTGTGGATGACATCCTGAATGGTTATTCTGGCTCTACAGCAGAAGCTATCAATTACCCAGCATGCGGAGGTCAATCTTCTTGCGGAGGCGACAGTTACTCCCAATCGGTGGCAGCCGGTGTCTCTGCAGCTGTCACTGCTGTGAACAACTATGCCGCAGAATGTCCTAGTACTCAACTAGTTCTTGTGGGCTATTCTCAGGTATGTCCTCCTGCTCCTCATGTTTAGGGGTGGGGTTAATGAAGCAAACAGGGCTCAGAGATCTTCGATGTTGCGCTTTGTGGAGGAGGAGATCCAAACCAAGGCATCACGAACACAGCTGTACTGTTCAGCTCTGCAGCTCTCGCCAATATCAAAGCTGCCATTTTCATGGGCGACCCACTGTATCACTATGGCTTGTCGTATGACGTTGGTACTTGTACTGCTGGTGGTGTGAGAGAAACTCTTGGGAAAAAAAAGTATAAAGACTTCGGGCTGATAATCTCTAGTTTGATGCTCGTCCATCTGGCTTCACATGCTCAAGTGCAGCGAAAATCCAATCTTATTGCGACGCTACAGATCCCTACTGTTGCAATGGCAGTGATGCTGCTACGCACGAAGGGTATGGTGCTGAGTACGGGAGTGCAGCTTATTCTTTTGTCAAGTCTAAGCTTACAGGTAAGTCGACTTGAAGTGAAAACTGCTTTGGCGAAATGCTAAGAACCGTGTAGCATGATTGAGCTCCTCAGATCTTGGGAAATAGCTTATTCTCAAACTTCCCAAGAGGCCGCAGGCGACATTCAAATTTGTACATATTTTCACTTCTTGTTGTCAAATATTATGCCGGTAAAATCTAGTTGACAAAGTTTCCATTTGCCTCCAAATTTTCGCTTCGCTTAAGCCGTTTGCCGCTGCACTCTGCTACAAGGGTCATTGATGCCTCTGATATTTCTCTCGGTCCTTCACATGCAAAGCTCAAAAGTACATTCTGGCTGTGCGTCGCTTGCTTTTCGACCAAGAGACGAGTGCATTCCTCAACTCTGCATATGAACCCTCACATTCCTTACGGTTATGAGCTCGGCATTATTCATAACCTAACCGACCTTCAGACAAATCCTCCCCACCTTCCCACATTCACAATGACCATACTTTATGCGATCATTTCGTCGCATCGTTTGCCGGATGCAGTCAAGCCCAAAGGCACGGGTGCCAAAGTATCCTCGTTGAAACCCTTAATGGCGGGGAACCCGGCCCGAGCACATACATCTACGCTGGGTAAGATTGCACGGCAATTAGTGACAGTTGAGACTAACATACGATCAGGAATATCTACACCTCGCAATCTCGAACTCAACCTTCGATACCATGTCTCCGGACATTATTACCACCGTCAAGGCGAACAACAACGCGTTTCCACCAGTCTTCTTTACTACAAGCATGCCCCTGCCACTGGTTGGCCAATCATCATTAGAAGCTACTCCTAGCGAAACCAATTGTTAAGTCTAGCAATCCACCGCAGATTGTCCCTACCACAAATCTGCCTCTGCCCAACCCCGCGACTTTTATTGCGCCACCCATTCCAACATCAGCAAGCTTAAGCATGGAAAATCCGTCAACTACCTTGGGTATATTTGAGATGGACTGGTTTCCTTGGTTCGCGAAGCCCACTCCACTATGAAGTGAAAAAGAACAGCTACAACCTCATGGGTTGACTTTTCCGTCGTGCCAATGTCAAGCATGCGAATCACCGCCCATGTATTTTGATCACAGCACATAGCAGTGAATAATACTCTGGTGATTGCCTCATCTAGTCTTACTTCGCTTTACCTTAAGCAATTCGGGGTCGCGAGTTCGATGACTCTCAACGTTACACGAGGCTACATACACCTCATAACAGATGATGGATTTCATTAACAATGCGCTTGTCCTGCCATTCGTGGATACTACTCTAGCTTTCAAGTTTTCAGCTTATCGATATGAGAAGTTCTTCCAATTTGCATTTCAACTAACTTTGGTTATGCCGTGCTTCATCAAAGGAGATTCCATAAAGACTGCCCAATCATGTACTGTCAAAGCAGTCTGCACAGACAGTTTAACTTCTTCTGCTCCTCGTTCTATCATTTCCTCAGTATAATCAGCGATCAAACTCTCTTTATTGCCTTGCTCCCTCTTGATCTTCGCTACAGCAGACACAAGATTCGAAGCATCAAGGATGCAGTGTTGGAGCCCTTGACCACGATCTGGCTTTTTTTCAGCATTGATCCAGGAAGTTGCAGTTTAAAATGTCAATCTTACGTGGTGGAAGCGGATGAGCAGCATCTCCGCAAAGAGTGACTCTGCCCTGATGGTCTCCAAATGGTATCGACACCCAATATGATATTGGGTCTGTGTTGACAATCGTATCATCTGGCATCCATAAATTTGCAGACCGAAACGGTTCTGAAAGCTGACTTGCAGCTCTTCTGACCATTGCCAGTCGCTCTTCATTGCTTAGCTTGGGATCCCGTTGTCCCAACCATGAAGTTCCTACTTGAAAAGCCCAAGTCTCAGGATTGTTTAAATCTGGCATATCTTGGACTGGAAAGTGATCAGCATTAAGTCTTTGAATTCCCGTGAGGATGTTTGGTTTTTACCCGCTAAGAAACTAAAAACTCCATTTGGATTGTATCCAAATGAGTTTTGTGGGTGTCCCGAAATTACATATAATGCTTTCTTTGCATCTCCATATTTGACGATAGACATGTTATAGATGAGATCCATGGGAGTGGTCTTAGCTTTATCAGCTCCAAGTAAGAGCTTACGAACTTTGGATTTCGGGCCATCTGCACCCACGAGGATATTTCCATGATACGTCGACCCATCAGAAAAATGTGCGCTAACACCTTCTCCGTCTGATTCATGAATAATATCTTCAAGACTCTTTCCCCACAATATCTCTAAGCCATCAGCGCACAAAGTCCGAAGCTTCTTCCTCGATACTCGTTTCAGATTTGGCGTCGATATGGTTTTGAGAACGTCTCCAGTCTCACTGTTATGCAATTCAATGAACGTGTACAAGTCTGTAACGAGCTCAGGATTGCATTGAGCTTCGAATAAACGATTCGAAAGGTCTGTGGGTAGTAATTTTTCTATGATCGGGATAGACCAATGAATTCCCATGGTCCACTCTCTCCTGCGAATTTGTTCCAGGAAATTCTGCATCAAATATCGTGTAGTTAACACCAGCCTGATCGAATTTCATCATTCATCAACTCAAGGCATCGCGGTCAGGAGTTGAAGGCATACCTTCTCCAGTCCTTGAGCGATTAGCAGACCTGTTATTCCCGCACCAACAATAAGAACGTTGGGTCCAACAACAGTGTTCGTTTGTGCGGACGTCATTTTCTTCACGAATAACGATTTTCGTGAAGCGCTGACAACATCGAGAGGCACACGAGCCAGAGAGATGCTGAAGGTGCGGGCTGTGCCGCCGGGAGAGCTGCAGCGCGATACGGTCTGCAGTGTAACCTGAAATCCAAATTCGGCATGCCGTCTCAATATTGGAACCCTGCAGTCGGCTCCAAAGAATTCCATGCTGATACTTTAAGTCCCCACTTCTCCACAATTTCTGTACTCTTCTTTCAAACTGTCAGCTTTCTATCACCCCAAATCATTCACGTCAACACAATCATGCTGCCTACCTTGAAGCTTCTGTCTAAACACAGGGCGGCAGTTGGCGTCGCCGCGGTGGCAAGCACTGCTTTTGCGTTGTTTGGATATGATACCACAATTGCTGGAGGGGTCATTGCTCTCAAAAGGTGCACCTTTTGCTCTTGACCTTCTCACTTCGCTAACGACACGGCAGCTTCCAGGTCGAGTTCAAGCTTTCAACAAATGCGGTCAAGTCCGCAGATATCTCATCAAATGTCGTGGCCCTATTGAACTCCGGAGCGTTCTTTGGTGCTCTTGCTCCTGCGCTTCTATCCCGATATATTGGTCGCAAAGTGCTAATGACTATTGCTGCTTGCTTCATGCTGCTTGGCGGTACTCTTCAGACCTCTGCACAACCACCATCTATTTCCATGATTTATGGTGGACGAGTCATTTCCGGGTTTGGGGTAGGGATAGTCAGCTCTCTAATTCCCATGTACATTGCAGAGACAGCACCGAAACAGCTTCGCGGACTTCTCATGTCATTTACGGAACTTTCCCTGGTGCTTGGAAGTATGGTCGCTTACTGGACAGTGTATGGTTGCTCGTTACATCTCAAGCCCACGAGCAAGCAATGGCGAGTCCCATTAAGTCTCCAAGTTGTCCTTGGAGCAATCATTCTAAGCGGATCATTTATCATCGTCGAGTCCCCTCGTTGGCTTGGGAAACAAGATCAATGGGATGAAGCGGCAAAGGCTTTACAGTGGCTTAGAGGAGCCTCTTCTTCAGAAGAGGTGAGAGTTGAGCTAGCCGAGATCCGTGCTCAGATCGAAGAAGAGATCAAAGCAACATCTGGGCGATCAATCAAAGAGTTATTTCAACGGCAGAATCTCTTTCGCTTATTCTGGGCGTGTGGAATAATGGTTCTTGCCGTTGGAACAGGTCAGACAGCAATTTTGTACTATGCTCCGACGGTGTTCAAGCAGATAGGCTTCACCGGCCAGAATCCAGGGCTTCTCGCTAGTGGGGTGTTTACGGTCGTCAAAGTCGTTGCTACGATCTTGTTTCTTACACTGGTGGTTCAGAACTTCAAACGAAAGCATTTATTTCTGTTCGGAAGTGCTTTGATGGCTATTATGCTGTTCACACTAGGCGCGTTGCTGAAAACTCATCCGCCTATTACTGGTCACGCTGCAAATAACAGTTCAAGCGGCCGAACGATGGTGCGTCTACTTGTCTTGTCTGTAAAACCGTACTGACAAATGTAGATGGCGACTATCTACATATATATCATCGGATTTACTGTGTCTTGGGGACCTCTCAGTTGGGTCTATGTTGGAGAGTAAGTCATCCACAAGTGTTTTGGTGAACTAAGCTCATCTCTGAAGGATTTTCCCTACTCGAATCCGCGACTACGGCATGGCAATTGCTGTTATGGTAATCTGGTTCTTCAATTTCGTGATCTCGAAATGGACTCCGTTAATCTTTTTAAACCTAACTTGGAAGACATGGATGGTCAATTATTCACTTCTGCTCAAGGACCAGGCTAACGTGGGTAGCTTTTTGGAAGTTTCAATGCTATTGGCTTTATTTTCGCCATCTTCTTGCCTGAGACCAAAGGGCTGTCACTTGAGGAAATGGATGTTCTGTTTGGACTCGTAGACGAGTCCACTCGACGTTTGGATATCGAAGAACACCTTGGCGTGATAACAGATACGACTATGATAGGCATGGAGAAAGGCACTTGATGCAGAGTTGTGGTCAAAGCGAATTATAAGCATCGTTAGTGCGGATTACGAGTTGAAGTCATTAACTGGTCAAGGAAAAGCGCCACGACCGGATAAATCTCAACCACCATCAATGCGGGGTATATAACCGGTTAAAGCCAATCCAAAGATTCGTATGCAGCACGCCACATGGCAGTGAATTGAATGAGCCATCTGCACGGCGGGACAGGAAGTCCCCGAGCGCCTTCGACTGGAAGAAGGATACTCCGAGCCTGTCATGAAGTGGGAAGAGATAAGCACAAGCTAGTCCAGACAATTCGCTCGGCGTCTTCGAAAGATGCAGGTGTCTCAAATTTCCAATTTATGCGCCCTATTTCTGCGTGAGACATCTACTTCTCAGAAATCGGGCGCCATGCAGGGTTGTTTAATCGCCTTAGAATGCAGCCTCAAAGTACAGCCTCACATCCAAGATTACCCTCTTTCTCAGTAGAGTATCTAGCCTTCCGGCAGCTTCTCTTCACCCTGGGAGGAGTTTCCTCCTTGCGATGTTGTTTTGCTCTATGATCATGTTTTGTCCGCTAGAAATGTAGTAAGTGCTGCGTAGATGCAACTTTGTATGGTGCATCCGTAGGAATCGAGGCTTCGCGCTTCGCGAAAGGGATAGTGTCTCACAACAAAACACACGGGTTTGCTTCTATATCTGCACCTACTAGTCCACAGGTTCAAATCAAGTCCAAGTTCTCGACAGTAAGGCTGCAATAGAAGATGAGGACTACACATCAAGATGTTGATCACTTTCCTGGCTGGGTTTTGGGTGCGTCCCGAGAAGGGCCGGCAGTCTGCCTCGTAGCCTCGAGCAGTAGATTTGTTCTATAATGAGCAGCCTTATCAAATATGTCGTGGTTTGTATTTTCCAGATTTGCTTCTGAATGCTGGGCTTTTGGCATCATCTCCTTGTCAACATGCCACCACAACCGGTAGGACACTGCTTGCTCTGGGCTTTGCTTCACATCACAATTCTCTTTTCTCAAATCGTCCATGCCACACCTACAGTGTCTTTGATTGAAAGCTTACAGCCAACGCGAACTCGACATGTTCTTGAAGCCCGCGGTTCGGTCACATTTCCATCCTACCAAGCCAACCCTTCTACCATTCTCTGGCCACCAAATTGCGCAACCACAGACCCAGATGCATGCCTTGGTTCTAACTCTGTTAAGAGCTGTACTGTTAAGTATTGTTCCAAAATGGTAGCTTTGACTTGCTGGAACCACGTTTACGCAATTGATTTCGAATGTTTGTGCGGCTCGATGAGCAGCACCACTTGTCCCTCGTGTATAAATGGACCCTCAGATGTCAACAAACAGCTGTACTTCGCTTGGCTCGCAGCTTATTGTTACTTGGATCCAGGCTGGAGTGGCTTGCCAGCGAGTTGGAACACAAATTCGTCTAGCTGGAATACATTCCAGGTTGGTGGCATTGGATCTGCAGATTTCGAAAATTACGAGACATCGAATCCGTTTACCAGTCAGTTCATCACCGATAATCACTATTACGAAGTGAGCTTTTTTGTGCCGACTTGTGCTTCTGGCTGCGATTTTCTCAACTCAAGATGGAGTGGGACATATATAGACGGGGATGTTGTTACTGGCCTTGCTGGGGCAAACTTGCTTCCTGATAATTACTCAATTGGAGGGGCACCCCAGAGTGACTATCTTTACGTTGATCTCACGGCCGTTTGTACAGGGTGGTCTTGGTCGGACTTACAAAACAGCTGTAACGGAGTTTGTGGATCACCCACAGGTCTCAGTGAGTGCCTTCTAACTCAATTTCTTCCCCTTTCTCTCCATCACTACTGACTCTTCTCTTCAAAGCTGGGCTTCTTGTATGGCTGAACTCCAAATGTGGAGACGTCGCAGACTTCGCCGGGATGCCGTCGAATTGGCAAGATTCCCTCTCTTTTCCGAATGATACCTATCCGGCACAGGGCAGCTTCCCCTCTTGGCCAAGTTGCCTGAGCTCAATAAATGATCCAGGATGTCAGCTATCTTCGATAGAGTCGAATTGCACAGTTACAGTCTGCGCCACCGGATCTGTTGATCAGAGTGGGAACTGTGACCAGGTTCCCGCAATCAACTTGACGTGTTTCTGCCCTCAGATCAACTACGAGACTTCATGTACAAATGAATGCGCGCTCTCATGGCAGCGAGCATCTCGTCTCAACTGGATTAACGATACTTGCTCGGTATTAGGCTCTGGTACGAGTTTGCCCAGTAATTGGACTTCTCTACTTCTCATTCAGCGATCGGAGATACTTCCTTGGGGCTGGAATATATCCTCAAGCGCAATTCCCCAGTCGCAATGTCCAGCTGCTTGGAAGAGCCTTGTTGCCTTTCTAGTTGTAAATCTCTTTATGCTTCTGCTTATACCCATCCTCGGTCGACGAACTGTCGTTAAGAAAATTACTTTCGGCTTTTTTGGAGGTATAGAGTCTCGACACTGGTACTACACTGGTCCGCTTGCTGTTGGGCTTCATTTAGCCAGCAATGCTGTCAATGCTTCAATCATCAAAGGTGTCCCTGGGTATGAAAATACCAGTATAGGACACTTCACTCTGCTTTGGTGCACCCGTCCTAGACTCGCGTGGCTAGTGGTGGCTCTTCTTCCCTACCAAGCCGAAAAGTCGATGTACTTTTCTGCCACGGCCTCAATTCTATTCAGCGAAGTGGTTCTCCAGTAAGTGTAAAAATTTCAATATTCCTCATCTTTTGAAAATGACTCTGCTATGGTGTCATGATAATTTCTGCAATGAACGGTCACTAAACGGCTACTAACCTTTCGAACTCCCAGACTCATCGGATCCTACAGCATGGGGAAGGCAGCGAATTATGCTCGAATCCAGGAGTTCCTCCTTCAAGGTCATCTGGCTGGTAGTCACTTTGCGAAAGAAGCCGCAGTTATGTACGGCGGCTCCCTACTTTGGCTCACGGCGGTACCATTTGCCATTGCCGCTTGTATTTGGACTATTTTCGGAGTGAGCGAAAGGATTAATAGGTTCAGCGAATACTGGATATGGACGAGGAAGTGTACGAGGGATAATTGCGCAATTGTTTCGACACAAATTCAGTTCATCCGTACAGCTAGATCAAAGGTGAAGCCTCCTAGGGAAGGCGTGGGATGGCAATTTGCGGACATACAGCAAAGCCTGTTGGTAAGCATAGACGCGGTGATTGAGAAATGGGGGAAGTTGAATGAAACCTGGAAAAACCTGCCGCAAGAGATCCGCCGAGAACAGAACCGTAGACTGGCAGCCAAGAAGCGGGAGGAGAGAGCCAAGGATCTACTTGAGGGGACACGACAAGGAAATGCGAGATGGACGCAACGGTCACAAGCTTACGATGCGTTGAGGCTTGAGCGGCGCGATTTAGAAACAAACTGGTTTTCAAACCCCGAGACCAAGCAACGCCAAGCTCAAACTAAAAAAGCTGCCGCAAGAGATTCGATAGTTATTGTTCGGGCACACAAGGATGCGATCCAGACGGCGATTGTGGCATGCGAGCAAAGGATCCTAGTCTTCGAAAATGCCATTGCGCGTATAGAGGCTAGAATTGCTGCAGCAAATCACCAACTAATGCATATAAAGCAGAGGCTGAGGAATTTGAAGTGGAAATGGCCATGCATACATGCCGATGACGACGATGAAGTCCTTCAGTTGAACAGTCAGCATGACTCGATCTCTCGACAATGCCAAAAGGACATGGCGCAACTGGATGCTATGAGGAGCGATCCACAGTTGGTCGCTGAAAAAACCCGAGCTGGGGATCTGCAAAGCGTACTTGACATCTGGGAAGCTTTGTGCCTGTCCAAGGAGAATCTGATGCATAATTGGGATGCCAATGTGCAACAATGGGAGCTGATTGCCGAAAAAAGAAGGGAACAGGATAAAAAGGAGAACTTGATACGCTTTCCTGTGGCAATTGTGACGGGTATGCTGTTGTGTTGGATTGCTCAATGGTTGTGGTGGGCAGGCTATGTTGAGGTTGCTGGGGATAGATATTGCCCACCGAAACTCTCAACTATTGCGTCTGTTTGGACAGTATTCGCAGCTACAGGTATAGTTACTCTTCTCATGCACAACACTTTATACTGACATGCTCAAGGCTCTATGGTTGGTGCAAGCTTCTGAGCCCCAGTCTTGAAACAAGGAGCAGCTGCGTTAAAGTACCATTAAAGAGAAAAGTTGTCCCCGCACAACACACGTTTATTTTGGCTAGCATGATTCTACTTCTTTATGAAATACATATAATGTAGCTGCGGGTCACGTGAATGAAGCATCTGACATGGGACCTCGTCCTGTGCCTATATAGCAGCCGTAGATTCTAATAAATAAAAATTCTTCATCGATACTCACACGGCTTTACCTCACGTGGGAGAGCGTCAGACTGAAGTCCACTTCAGAAATTGCAATCTGAAGGCACTGTACTCGATCCACAGGAGCCGCATTATCTGCGAGTTGAGGAATACCTTGACTAAGAACACAATTCTTTTTTACCCCACCCCGAAATTACAATGTCATTCATTCATTGATTGTAAGTGTGTGTATCTGAGGGCAATAGGAGTCAAGCAATCGTGGCTTGCGGTTAAACCTTTGGATCAAAGCAATAAAATCGCTCCACCAAAACTCACAGACTTCAAGCGAACCCCTGATGGAGGGTGTTCTGGATCGCAGCTTAAATGATAGAACAAAAATGATCCCACAATACTCGTCGGCTATTCAAATGAATTATGCCTTGACCAACTCGCGATATCGACTTGTTTCCTAACAAGTCGGCCCAACTTTGGACTAGTCGGCGAGTAATGATTAAAAGAAACATCAAAAGCTGCTCTTCTTGGCCTGAATCTTGCTTCTAAGCTGACAATTTCACATTACATATCTAAAATCAAGAAGAGTTCCAGTTTTTATGTGGTCAATTATCCACGTGACTCAAAATCCTTTTATTCCAGCTTGAAACATGGTCTCAAACCGTGAAGTACTCTCCTTGAGGATTTATTCAATCTTCTCGTCAAACGTCGTGTATCTTGTTGTCATATATTTTTATGACAAACAACAGTAGCAGCACGTGAGTCAGTATTCATCAATTCAGTTAGCGTACCTCATAGCGCGACGCGCCTGCAAAAGTCCCCCGCGCCTTCAGATCTTCATCTTGTTCCCATCATCAAAACATCGACCAACATCACGTTTATCACGCATTCATAATACCTCAGATGGTAGAGGTCGCACGGCAAATTATATACGTATTGTCGCATTCTTCTTGGCCCCTGGCCTAAATCACGCTGCATTTCTTTGTTTGAAATCTAGCCGTCGGTGGACAAAATGGAGTTTGTTGCGGCACACAAGCTCCAACATCAGGCCAGTAAGCTCTACTTTGCCCCGGCGATGGACCATTACTACACAGTAATCCTCTAGGACATTTTTTTTGTACCAGTCAGAAGGATTGTATCTGTTGCTCAGCCCTTGTTAGTATAAAAATAGCCGGGGAATGTCCCTAGGCGGAGTTCAAAAATTTAGCGAGTATGCTTCAGCCTCCGCATCAATTCGCCGGGACGCGCAGATATGCTTTGGCGTATCACGCTCTTGTATCCAGTGATATCATTGACTACATACTATACCCTCATTCTCTCACTTTCACTTTCGTCCATCACTGACGTCTATCATTCCTGTTCATGCCCATTGTATGTTTTGAAGGCAGATGTTCTAACACCAAAATGGCTTCTCCTATCCTCTTCTTTGGTGATGGCTCTCTCTGTCTGCACCCATCATACAAACGGCTGCTTCTTAGTCGAAAAGATGATTCTCTTCTTTCCACCTTCCTCACTCGTGCGAGACTCGTACTTCAATGTGAGATGACCAAAATCCCATTGCCTGACAGGAAAGGCATGCCGGATTTGGCAGAATTGGAAGCTTTAATCCAAGAGGGTAGTGCACCGCTGGATCACCAATGCCTGGCACCGGCTATGCTTGTCATCATTCAATTGGGGCAATTTATCAGGTACGAGCCTCACATAGAAGACCCCACAGATCCAATAAATTGACAATATCAACAGCTATTACGAAGCGCGACCAGAAGAGCCATATCCAAGCTCGGAAGTCGCTATCACAGTTGGACTATGTGTTGGTCAACTATCTGCAATCGCAGTCAGTCAGGCAAGGAGCTTAGTAGAATTGATCCCACTTGCTGTGGAGTCGGTTCGGATAGCTTTCCGAACCGGTATGACTGCGACCATTATCAGAGATGAATTGGAGCAGCAGAGCAGCGCATCTGAAACTTGGGCAATGACTGTACCAACAGAAGTTGGCTACGACTTGCTGGACACTATTCACAAGGAAACCGTAAGATACCACAATGTATCGTCTTAGATTTTGCTAACTCGTCACAGGCCACCTTAGAGCGAAAGAAGGCATATGTCAGCGCTTCATTCCGCAAGGCGGTCACTATTCAGGGTCCTCCTACCACCCTAGATAACATTGACAGCTGGTTGAGCTCCAACCGCCCAAAAACTTTCCGCCAGCGCCTGCCAATTTACACTCCTTACCATGCCCCTCACTTGTACTCACAAGAAAACGTCTCAAAAGTCCTCGAAGGCTCTGAGGCTATCTACTCCTCTGTAGAGTGGACTGGGACTGCGCCAAGATTAATTTCGCCTGTCACTGGAAAGTACTACTCCGACTCCAGCAGACGATCCATGCTCGAAAGCGTTCTGTACGATGTCTTGAAGGAGCCCATTCAATGGGCAGATGTGAGCTCAGGCTGCGCACAATATGTTGCTGCCACCAGCATCTCAAACTGGGTGATTCGACCATTCGGTCCCACTCTCGTTGCTGGAAGCTTGGCATCTGGTCTGAAGATCGAAGCCAAGGTTGAAGCTGCTATTGATGACTTTTTCAACCCTAACAACCCAGACAAGATGGCTACTCCAGCAAGAGAGCCAATCGCCATTGTGGGTATGGCTGGCAGATTCCCTGAGGCTATGAGCCACGACGAGCTTTGGAAACTGCTCGAGGATGGCATTGATGCCTGCAAAGTGGTGAGTAATATTCAGCTGACAGCGCTTTGATGAAAAGCTAACACGTCCAGATCCCTGCTGATCGATTCGATGCCGACATCTACGTTTCCAAAGATGGACCAGCTAAGAACCCAGCCGGAACTCCATATGGATGCTTTATGAAGCAACCAGGGTTGTTCGATGCTCGATTATTCAACATGTCGCCACGTGAAGCAGAACAGACTGATCCTCAACAGCGACTTATTCTTACGACTGCTTACGAAGCACTTGAGATGTCGGGTTTCGTGCCAAACAGAACCCCCTCCACTCAGTTGGAGCGCATCGGCACATATTATGGTCAAACTGGCGACGAGTACCGTGAAATCAACGCAGCTCAAGATATCCAGACTTACTATATCTCGGGGAACGATCGTGCCTTCGGTCCTGTAAGTTAACTCTGATGATAGCGATGAGTATCAGCTGACGGGTCTGTAGGGCCGCATTAATCACTACTTCAAGTTTGGTGGTCCAAGTATGAGCGTCGATACTGCTTGCTCTTCCAGTGCTGTCGCTTTGAACGTTGCATGCTCTGCTATCTGGGCCAACGACTGCTCAACTGCCTTGGTAGGAGGCATGATGCTCTTGACCAGCCCGGACAACTTCTGTGGTCTGAGCCGTGGCCACTTCTTGAACACGACCGGAAACTGCAAGACCTTCGACGACAAGGCTGATGGGTACTGTCGTGGAGAAGCTGTAGCGACGGTTGTCATCAAACGATTGTCAGATGCGAAGGCCGACAATGACAACATTTTGGCTGTTATTCTTGGAGCAGGTACTAACTATTCAGCTGCTTCGGCCTCCATCACTCACCCTCACGGCCCAACTCAAGAAGTTCTCTATAAGAAGCTCTTGAACGAGGCTGGTCTCCACCCGTTCGACATTGACTTCGTTGAACTTCATGGAACCGGTACTCAAGCCGGTGATGCAGCTGAGATGAGCTCAGTCAGCAATGTTTTCGCACCAGCCACTCCTCAACGACCAGTCGAAACCCCTCTTTGGCTCAGCTCCGTCAAAGCCAACATTGGACATGGGGAGTCATCTTCCGGCGTCGCAGCTTTGATCAAGACTTTACTTGTTCTCCGTGAAGAGAAGGTTCCCAAGCATGTGGGTATCAAGAGTGGTATCATGAACCACACTTTCCCGGATTTCGAGCAGCGAAGAATCAAAGTCGCTTTTGGTGGACATGGTTCTTTCCCTCGCACCAAGGAGAGGAAGCGTCGTGCTTTGGTCAATAACTTTGGAGCCGCTGGTGGAAATACAGCCCTTTTGATTGAGGAAGCTCCTGAGAAAGCCGCCACCGAGATCGTTGACACAAGAACCGAGCATGTTATCAATGTTGCAGCGAAGACACTCACCTCTATCAAGAACAACATCAAGAATTTGATTGAGTATCTCGAGAAGGAACCAGCAACCAACCTTTCCGATCTTTCATACACGACCACAGCTCGAAGAATGCAACAACCCATGAAGGTTTCAGTCACAGCTTCGTCCGTCTCTGAATTGAAGGATCGTCTGGCTGCCGCTTTGGCGAGCGAAAGCTTCAAGCAATCTGCCAAAACTTCCAACATAATCTTCACATTCACTGGACAAGGCTCACTCTACCTGCCTCTTGCCAAGGACCTCTACGTCTCTTCCCAGCAATTCCAATCTGACATCAATCGCTTCAACCAGATCTGTCTCGATCAAGGATTCCCCAGCTTCCTTTCAGTCATTGATGGGAGCATCAGCGATATGGAGTTGCTGTCTCCAGCTCAGACCCAACTCGCTATTTGCGCTGTTCAGATGAGTCTGTACCGCCTCTGGTCTTCTTGGGGTGTTAACCCTACTGCGGTCATCGGCCACAGCCTTGGAGAATATGCTGCTCTCTTCGCATCTGGAATCGTCTCCGCAAACGATACTCTCTTCCTTGTTGGACTCCGAGCTTGTATCTTGGAAGCTACTTGCACCCAAAAGACTCATTGCATGCTTTCCATCCACTTGACAATGGCCAACATTGAGAAACACCTTGGAAACCGTCTTGAGAAGCTTGAAGTGGCTTGCATCAATGGTCCTGAGGACATCGTCTTGAGCGGAGCTGCAGATCTTGTCAAGGACGCCCAGGATCTTCTCAAGGCAGCTGGAGTGAAGTGCACAACTCTCAACACTCCTTATGCTTTCCATTCGGCACAGGTCGATCCTATCCTCAATGACTTCGAAGCTGCGGCTGCAAGCGTCAAGTTTATGAAGCCACGCATTCCCCTTCTCTCGCCTCTGCTCGCCACTGTTATCAGAGATGCTAGCGTTGTTGGACCATCTTATCTCCGACGACACGCTCGCGAGGCAGTCAACTTCCATCAAACTCTCCTACAGGCAGAGTCTGCTAGTCTAGCCAACAAGGAGACTGTGTGGCTCGAGCTTGGTCCTAACCCAGTCAACCTTGGTATGGTCAGATCAACTCTCGGCACTCAAGTTCGTGCTATGCCATCTCTTCGCAAGAACGAGAATGCATGGACAACTTGCGCAAAAGCGATGTCATTCTTTTACACTGCTGGTGTTGAGGTCAACTTTAACGAGTATCACCGAGATTTTGCTGCGTGCCAAAACTTGTTGACACTGCCAAGCTACGCTTTCGACGAGAAGAACTACTGGCTCGAGTATAAGAATGACTGGCTTTTGTTGAAGGATGGTGCAGCTGCTCCCTCACGCATCACTGAGATCAAGGCTGAACCCGCTATTACCACTAGTGTTCAGAGACTTGTTTCAAAGGATGTCAAAGGAAGCACGGCTTCTCTTGTGTTCGAGACTGATCTCTCTGAGCCGCACATGCACAACATCATTGCTGGACATTCCCTAAATGGCCTCGCTATGTGCCCTGCTGGCGTCTACGCAGACATAGCTCTCACTATCGGTGACTACATCCGCCGAGAGCTCAAGGTCAACGTCGACACCTCCGCTATCAATGTTGCTGATATGGAGATCCTCGGTTCTATTGTTGTTCCTGTTCCTCGAGTTGCAACGCCTCAAGTTCTCCGCATCAGCGCGACTGCAAACCTCGACACTGGCAGAATCGATCTTGAGTTTGGAACATACGCACCTGAAACGAACAAGACTAGTGCCAAAGCCCACTGTCACGTCGATTATGGGAGCGAGAAAGGATGGCTCCAACAGTGGTCAAAGAGCGCTTGGCTCGTCCAGAAGAGAATCGATGAACTCGAGCGAGGTGTGAACAATGGTACCGTCGACAAGATCACAAAGAAGATGGCCTACCAACTATTCTCATCCTTGGTCGTCTACGGAACTCAGTACCAAGGCATGCAAGAAGTCCTCATTGATGCTGAAGAGCTCGAAGCTACTGCAACCTTGAAGCTTTGCCAAGATACCAATGTTGGAGACTTTTTCGCCTCCCCTCTATGGATCGATAACCTCGCTCAACTATCTGGGTTCGTCATGAATGCAATTGGTATCGTCGATCCTAAAGTGGCTGTCTACATCTCTCACGGCTGGGGGTCCATGCAAGTAGTCGGTCCTCTAGATGCCAACAAGCCATATCGTGTCCATGTCAAGATGCAACCTCTCGACAAGTCGATCATGGCTGGTGACGTTACCGTCTTCCAGGGTGAGACTGTCATCGGTGTTCTTGGCGATGTTAAGTTCCAACGAGTGCCGAAATCGTTGTTGGATACTATGCTTGGAGGAAGTCCAAAGGCAGCTCATTCGAATGTCAAGGCTATCGCTGCAGCCGCCCCTGCTACTAAGAAAGCACCAGCCCCTAAAGCAGCTCCTAAGCTTGCTCCCAAGCGAGCACCAGTCCAAAACTCTCCTATGACCAAGATCCTCGAGCTCATGGCTGAGGAGATTGGTATTCCAGCCGCTGAAATGACCGACGACAGCGTCTTTGAAGAGATGGGTGTTGATTCCCTCCTCTCTCTAACCATCTTGTCGAAGATCCGCGAAGCACTCGGTATGGACTTGTCGCCATCTACATTCCAGGAATGCCAGACTGTCGGAGATCTTCGTCGCTCGCTTGGTGATGCTTCTGATTCGAGCTCAAGCTCTAATTCCAGCTCAAGCGATGATGATTATGACATTGTCTCTGAGACATCTCTTGAGTCTGGTATCCAGACTCCTGCTCTTATCGATGAGCCTTGCACCAATAACGCAATGGTGGACGTTCTTCACGCAGTCATCGCTGAGGAAGTAGGTGTCGACGTCGAAGAGTTGATCGCTATCGATGATCTCTCCTCGCTCGGAGTAGACTCTCTCATGAGTCTAACCATCGTGGCCGCCCTCCGCGAGAAGCTAGGAATGGACATCCCGTCCTCCCTCCTCGAAGAATGCACCTCCCTGAAATCCATGAAAGAGTCACTGAACCTTGGCCCTTCCCCTGAACCAGCAGCAAAGCCAATATCTTCGCCCAAGAAGAGCGTCGCAAACTCAATGCTCCTCCAAGGCCAACCGACAACCACATCCCAAACCCTCTTCCTCTTCCCCGACGGCTCCGGCTCCGCAACCTCCTACGCCTCCCTCCCGCTAATCTCCCCTTCCACCTCCATCATCGCCATCAACTCACCCTTCCTCAAGACCCCCGACACCTACACCGTCTCACTCGAATCCGCATCCGCACTCATGGTCACCGAACTGCAAGCCCGCCAACCCCATGGTCCCTACCTCCTCGCCGGCTGGTCAGCCGGCGGCATGTACGCCTACGAAGCCGCGCGCCTGCTCATCTCGCAGGGTGAAACCGTGTCCAAGCTCATCCTGATCGATTCGCCCTGCCGCACCGACTACGGGCCCATGCCACACGACGTCCTGGAATACGTCTCCAAGAGCGGGGTTATCAGCGGTCAAGCGACAGGTACAGCGCCTCAGTGGCTGGTGGATCATTTCCAGGGCACGATAAGAGCTGTCAGGGAATATACTCCGAAACCGTTTGAGGAGGGCAAGGGCCCGGAACAGACGTTCTGTGTGTGGGCTAAGAAGGGCGTCTTTGAGGATTGGCCGAAGGCGGAGCTGGCGGGGTTGGATTTGACGGATGCGGTGGCGAGCTGGTTGTTGAAGCCGAAGACGGATCCGGGGAGTCAGGGGTGGGAGAAGTTGCTTGGGAGGGGCATTAGATGTGTTAGTGTGGAGGGGAATCATTTTTCGATGGTGCATCCGCCGAATGTAAGTTGTTCCTTCCTTGGTGAGGAGTGAGAAGAGAGACTGACTGTGTGATAGTGCAAGAGTTTGAGTAGGGCGATTGGAGATGCATTGGAGGATGATGAGGGGAAGAGGGTTGGGAAATGGAGAATTGCTTGATTTGTTTCTTTCTGTCATGATACGATGCATGTTTTTCTTTTGTCATTTTGCTTTATGACCATGTCGATATGTCTGTCATCTCCTTATGTCTCGTTTCCTTCATTTTTCATAGCATGTCTGTATTTCCCGCGCTCATCTCATTTCACTACGTTTTGATACTTGCTTGGAGGAGTACGGCGCTGGAGTCAACACATGTTGTTGCGGCGTTTGCGAATTATTTGCAGTGAACAGGATAGATTCTCTTAGCTTAGCGTTTTGGAATGTATCTCGATTTCCATAATTCCCTTTAATCAATAGCTGCGTGGCTTACTGCTCAATTTCCGGTAGTGGATATGTCTCTGCAACAGACCATTATTGGAGCGCTCACGGTGTTCTTTTCTAACGGATGTTGCGCATTTCGCGCTATGTGCGCTGTTTGCGCTCTCAGCGTCACGTTTACTTTCCATGATGTGAACTCATACTTCAAATCGCCACCTTCATGCTACGAGCTTCAAAGACCTTCGGTATAGGCTCACAATCGATAGCTGTCATGACGTTCTAGCCATCCAATCATCACCAACACGATTTTCTATTTATCCTCAACTTTCAACTCTTGAGAATATCCATAAAAGAGCATCAAGAACCCTCTACGGTAGATGAAATATCCTCTATATCTATATAGGTACTTCAAGCTGCATAAAGACTACATCCCGCTCCACACTCACCCAGCACATGAGAAGTACCATTACCATTACTCACTCACCAAGACCTTCACATATCAGCTCTACCCCTTCATCCATCCCAACACCTTGAAATCAAACCCTCAGATCCACTATCAATCTTAGAGGAACCATCTCCCTTCCTACAAGAAACCCCACTCCCATCCATCCATCCTCCGCCCAATATATCCGCCGAAATGATCACCGAATCCACCGACCATTTCTGCCCAGAACTCTTGTAGGCAAACGAAGAGTCCTACGAAATCGATTGATCCTGTTCAAGTCAGAGAATATTCCTGCTGCTTCGATGTCACTGAGAAAGAAGAGAGGAGTTCCTTCTGCGCTCCTCCGGGAAAGGTTAAGATCGGTGTTCGTGTTTGTGAAGGAGCGTTCGTGGTGGGTTTCTAGGGATAAGGAGGAGGAGGTTGAGGAAAGGGAAGGAAGATCTGAGACGCCGAGATAGTTGTTCGCGAGCTGCTGTTGAGCGTGATGTTATTCGTGAGAGGTATCGAGAGGAGTGGCTTATTGAGAGGAAAGAGTAGAGTTGATATACGGCTCAAACATTGGTGGGGATGTTTTCATCTTTTGTTGAGTTTTTGTGTTGGCTATTAGGTGTGTTTGAAAAAAGGGGACTTTTGGGTCAAAAATTCCGCCTTGTTTGAGCATCACTGTAGGGTTCTCTCCGCCTTGGCTGTACTTTGTTGCTAGTAGACTCTGTTTAATATAGAATAGGTGATTCTTGGAAAGCTATACCGAGTCAAATCTGCGAGGACGGTGTTTGATGAGCATTGGCGATATGGCCGGACGATTGGGGACGAGGAAAAGTTCGGAGAAATTCCGGGGTTTTTTGGTTGGGATGATATGTTCTGATTTCGTAACGTTGGATAAATCAAAAGTCTGAACGTGAACAGTGATATGATCAAGTGAGGAGATAGAAAGAAGTGGGAGGAGACGTATTTACTACTGTCTTGTCGTCAGTCTGTAACGAGAAAAGAGGCGATCATTCAATGACCTTTCTACCATCGTTCATGTGCTCGTCTTCGTAGAAGAGTCTTTCACAGCCTCTCTGCCTTGGTGGTCTTTCTTCTTTGAATACAGGTTGAGATTCTCTGGTGCGGTTTGTATGTCTGAGAAACGAACGGAGAACCACCATCAGAATACGGTCAGTTCACAACGAGCAGAAGACACCGGAAAGATCTGTAGATTTGTATGACTACCAGACTATACTCATCCCTTGACCTTGTTTCTGGCCGAGTAGGATTAGGGAAAGGTGCATGGTGATCAAGTGATGCATGAGTGGCACTTTTCGAGCTCGAACACTCCAATCCCCACGCTCCCAGACTGCCAGGAGACTAATTCCCACAAGCCTCTCGGAACTATCAGTCCTCTTGTGCTGCTGTGCCTCCTACCCCATTCTCGAGAATCCTTAAGTTGGAGTGCAGAAGTTGAGATGCCGTTTTCGCATCGGGACTTTTCAACGCCCCTCTTTCGGAACTTCGAGATCGTTCAGCTCAGCACTTCACTTCAGTTGTTTCGAAGGAAGACAACAGACAGTTTTCTGATATTGAGAACACTCGTTCAGAGGATATGACTCGCAGTGACGAGTTCAACATCAGACCCTATCCACAGAAAGCAAGCCACAATAAACCAGCCTGACCGTGACGTGTTCGAGTCCTTCTGCGCCACCACCTTGCGTAGCCCATTCCTTTCTTCAATGTAGGACTCTCTCCTCACTCCAACTTCCAACTTCCAAGCCATCCCTCCACCCCAAATCCATCACTCCGCACACCGCAACAACAACTTCCCTCCAACCACCTCACTCTACCTTCCGTTCCGTAACCCAAACCCCAAACATCAAAAAGAGCCCAAACAACACCATCATCGCCGCACAAACAAACAACATAAAAGAACGGACACTCCACGGAAACTCCAAGGGGAAGTCTTCCCCTCTATATACACTTCCCGTGCCGCAACAGCCGTCCCGCACCATTGGCTCGCCGTGTACGACGCGTATGCAGCGATGCGGCGGCATCATGACAGCCCGGTTTGAGTTTCGCGTTTTAACTAGGACCCGAGGTTTGGCTGTGCGGTGAGAAGAAAGAGTGAATTGAGATACTGCGAGAGTAGGGAGGTGGAAGTTTGTGAGGGTTTGATTCGTCGTGTCGTGTAATCGCACCCGAAACAGACAAACTTTGTGAGAAATGCAGGGAGAAGGAATTGTGAGGTAGACGTTGATCTTTACATAGCTTTGAATTTGATTCTCAATCATTATTGAAGCGGCGAAACTTTTCACATCGAGAAAGTCGCCAAGATTATTGAACGAACAAACAGCAGCATCAGACGAAAACGACAAAACAGGCAATATTGCGAATGGAACATGAAACAGAGAAAATTCACATGTCGATCAATCCAACATTAACCACCACCTCGGCTTCGCTTCCGAATAATAGCAAGGATACGGATACGGACCGGCATATCGATATTCACAGGATACCTACCTAGGCAAGTAAGTATCCTAGTTCTTTGCATATGGTCGCTGTACGTTGTCAGACTCTTAACGGCTGCGGATCGCAAAGCATCCGTTGATAAATGTGCATTCCCGCTCTTATTTTCGTCGCTGGTCAACAGACACAACGAATACATCAAAGAAAACAGCGAGAAGGAACAGAAAAGTGGCGATGTCTCGGCCATATACTTTTCTTCTCTCACCAAACTTGGAAAGAGATTCACGAACCGGACTCGGACATCGAAAATAGCCTCATGAACAACAGCGGTTACTTCTTCCCGGCGGTTATTTCTTCTCCACATAGTGGGAGGGAGCCTCATCCTATTCTCCTTCGCTCCTTCCTGCTTTCCTTTCTATTCTCTGGATATCGATACTTCGAATTGCAGAAACGAAGTTTGGAAGAAAGACGAAAATTCGGTTCCAGAAGAGCGGACCTCCGCTGCTAAATTGATGGAAGCGAAATCTCTGTACCACGAAAACCGTTACACCAACCCCACGATTACCATATATTACATCACTCTCACCAACTTTCATGCATTTCCATCTTTCTCAGCCAGAACCCAACAACAATTCTTCGAACCAAGCAAAATTCCCGACACGGCACAATGCGGCACATTTTCTCGGCCCCAGATTCCCGCCCGCGGAGCCTCCGGGGTATCCGGGCGGGATGATGGATGGATGGACGCAGGTACACATGTACCGCCACCTACATAAAGGGCTGATGATCCACTTTGTCACACCTTTCCTTCTCGTGTTACTTTATGTTTCATTGAAGGTTCATCGAAGCCAAGGATGATGTTGTGTTGTTGCACGAACACACGATGATTCCGCCGCCAAGCCTTACCCGCCAAGATTTCTTGCGATCTCCGCTGAGTGTGTGTTCCGCCAAGGATATGATACGGCGGGTCGTCGTGCAGGATACCAAGACATGACGAGGATACCCTGAGGTGGGGTTTCCAAGCATACCAAGCATCTCCCAAGACATTCCAAGAGGTGAAGTCCTATCAAGCTTCCCCAAGAACACCAAGACTTTCCAAGAAGCGCTACCAAGAACAGCGGAGAATACCAAGACATTCCAAGAAATACCAAGAGGTGGAGTCTGGTTAAGCATTTCCAAGACAACGAGTTTCTATCAAGCTTTTCCAAGGCGCCCCAAGACGCCAAATTTATCAAGCAATCCCAAGAAGTCCCAAGGAGACGCGAACTTCGACCAAGACCCAAAGTCCAACCAAGCATTTCCAACCCACAATCTCCACCAGACTTTCCTCATATAGCTACGATTTTTTTTGACCTCACCCAAATCCAAACTTCAACACCAGCCAAACATCCCCACGCATCATTCGGCGCCTTCTCGCCAAGCCTCCCGCTAATCGCTTCAGCCGGAATCTGGGGGATGATATTCATCACTACAGATTTCCGCTATTGGATATTTGGTGTTGTTGATTTCTCTGCTTGAAAGTAGAGAAGATTAGTGGGAGTTTGGGGGTGTTGAATTTGAGGTGTTGGTGACGGAAGCATTGAGAGGGTGCGTGATTTTTGGTGATGTGGAGAATTTTTGGTTGGAGGTGAGGTACGTTGAGGTGTTGATTTTTGAAGATTACGAAGGGATTGGCTGCGAATGAAGGAGATTGAGGGATGGTGGGAGATTTGAGATGGTCTGCTCGTGCTGAGGAAGGCGGTGGTGGAATTGGTTGAAAGCACGAGACGAGGACCACGATTTTGGAACGCGGAAATCTTGAAGCGACGACGAGGATACACAGCAGAGAACAACAACAACAAGGAAAATCAAGAATCACAGCAGAAATAAGAGGACAAGTAAGTGTGATAAATATATACAACACATGCACGCTACAGCACATTGCTAAATAAAATCTAGATGCCCCATCAAAACAAAAAAGCCTCCCTCCATCTGACGACGACGACGACGAAGAAAATTCGTCCGTCTCCTCGATATGATATGATAAGTATGAACCCAACGCCACGCTTCTATGCAGCCACCAACTCATAAAACCCAAAATGGACTCAAACGCCCATGCCATCCATCGACATCAAATTATTGCTCTTCAACCCCCGATGCAGAAGCTGCACCGTACTCTCCAAGTTCCCCAACAACTGCTGCACATAATCCGCATCGGGCGTGCCCTCTCTATTATCCGCCCCAGCGCCATGCATCTGTATATCCAAGCCTCCCAACTTCTGCTGCGTCGACCGCTCCTTCAAACACTCGATCGCAAACTGGATCTTACCCAGCGTCTGGCTCACCAGCAAATCCAACACCAAATTCTGCTCATCGCCTGTAATATCATAATTGCCTACCCTTAAACCGGCTGTGCCGTCGTCAAAGAAGGCGTCGAACTCGGTGCTACGGTTGCAGACCCGTTGCAGCAGCCGCAAGACGACGCGGAACGACATCGCGGATAGGAGAAGGGCTTCTTGGTCCTCGTCCGGCTGGCAGATGTGGCATTGGATGAACTGCTTCCAGGGCTCGAGAACCTGCTTCACGCCATCGAGGACGACGTCGATGGGCGGCGGGGTGGTGGCTTGCCAGAGGGTTTTGAGGCGGACGAGCAGCTTGGCGTGGTGGTTTAGACAGGAGCATTTACTGGAGTTTGACGACGGGGAGCTGGTTGAGGAGGGAGTGAGGGGCAGTGAGAAGTAGTCAACGGTGAGATCGGTGTGGGAGAAGAGGCCCAGGGGGTTCTTGTCGAAGTCGTGGGAGAGGATGGGGTCGTTGCCGAACATGTGGCTGGTTGATGTGTTGAGGGCCGATGAGGCGTCGAGCAGGGCGTCGGTGGGGAAATCATCGAATCCCGTTCCTGGGCCGCCGAAGGTCCAGAAGGCGTCTCTGCTGTCGAGGAAGGAGAGGTTGTTGACCATCTCGGGGGAGATGTTGGGGGTGGGCATGCCGCTCATCAAAGCAGGCGTGCTCATGCCAGAGTTCATGGCCGAGCTCATGGGTGGTTGAGGATCAGAGGGGGTTCTGCTTCGACTTCTCTCGCTGCTGTTGGAGGCGGCGTTTGCGTTCATCAGGTCGAGGGTGCGTTTGTTCTTGGTCCCGCGTGGTCGTCCGGCTCGGTTCGACTCGCTGTATACGCAGCGGTCTCCAGAGGCTGCACAGCCGGCACATGGGGTGCCTCGAGAGCACTTTACTTTGGCTCGGTGGCAGGAGTTGCAGGCGTGCCGTAACTTCTTTGCTCGTTGCTCGGAGGAGACTTGTGGTTGAGGGTCCGATGTCCAGGATGAAGACATGGTGAGTGATGTGTATGTGTGGAGGTGAGTGAAGGTGGGTGACTGAGTATTGTTGAGTTGCTTCCTGTTGAAGAAGACCAGAGCAGACGAGGGTATATGAAGGTAATATACAATCCACGTGGAGGTGCCCGAGAGTTTGGGTACGAGTGATGCAACGGATGCGAGATGCGCTGTTGATCAATTGACCGCGAGAGAAAGAGAGAAGTGATGATAGATGAGGTTTCTTTGGTGGTCCACCGTCGCGGGATCCCAGGGGACTGATATATAATTATATCACGGTTCGTGAAGCTGGCGATCTGACTGTAGGATTCTTCCCCGAAGCGGACTCGCGCAGGCACAGTTCTGGGAGCTTGACCCTTTGACTGGGTCGACTTCGTGGCTCTGGAGCATTTTGGCCTTATCTGATAATGAGCATCAGAACTATGACCCGAAGCAGCAAGGTGGCTGGGGAATTGTTGTTTGCCATGGCCCCCCTGCCCTGCGAATTGTTGACATGTAGGTCAGGGAGGGGAGATGTGGAGCGGATTGCAAACTGACTGTGCATTCTCTTCCAGTGCCCGTTTTTCTTTGGGTCTTACTGTTTTCTTGGCTTTTCTTACTCTTCCTGTGGTGGATTTTTCTTGGTTGGTGGGCTAATTAGTCTGGAATCTTATTACTGCGCTGTGCAACCGCTAACGCTGACAGGCCCGACTCCGCCGCGCCCGCCCCCATTGCCCCATTGACGACTCGAACACCCCCCTCCCCTTCACGAGGAGCGAGCATTTCCCTGCTGTGCTGGACTGGACGAGACGACGGTGAAAAGTGGAATCGAATGGATGGATGGGAAAGGATAGCATGACGAGACAGCTGCACTAGGATGTTTGCGGTAATCAGATTCCCTCTCGGGACATTCTTGGAGCTCAGGATTCGACCAGCGTGTGGCGTGGCGGAACTTTTATTTCGCTGGCTCGAGATGCTATCAGAACGAATTGTTCGCCTGTTGGCTCTGGTGGGATTGATTGGGGATTGGGTAGGAAAGTCAGTCAGCCAGCAGGTGGTTCAGTGCGGTGGATTGCAGTATCATGGGCTTCACGTGTAGGGAAGGACCAGCAGAGGATGCGATGATGATCATGATGGAATCGTATTGTACTCGGTTCCGAGAACAAGCATGTATGGGTACGAGGGTACAGTACAGTACAGTACAGTACAGTACAGTACAGGTACTTGGTCACATCTCGAATCCCACCGCCCCAGCCAGATACGGCTGCTACCTGGACCATGTGCTGGAGTGCAGTGTGATTGCAGCAGACAGACATCCATCCTATCCTCTGGTGCAACAAGGTATCGTGTTGGTTGTGTAGCCCATCCTCGTGCTGCTGTGATGGAGTCTTCCGTGCAGCGGTCACGTATGGAGTATGAGCAAGTAAGTGGAAATCTACATGGCCGACGGACGGGAAGGACATGGGTTTTCCAGCGTGAATGCAAATGCAAATGCAAATGCACGAATTCGATGGCCAACCGCAAAACACAAATCACTTGGCTGGCTGCAGTTGCGCTCCACCGCTGCACCCATGCGGCGTACCGCGATATAGAGCGGTGGCTTGAACAGATGGTGGTCGGTAGCGATTAGTATCTGCGTACCCTGTAAGCCTTGTCTTAGCCCCCTGTGAGATGTGCCTGCCTGCCCTTGTTGGTCGCGATTAACCTGATCTCGTTCAGTGGATTCAGGGCACCGAGCGCGGTGGACCTACACTGCCTGCAGGCTGCAGGGCTCGCATAGACAACACTAGAGCTGACCCCCTGGAAGCCACCAAGAATCCGAATTACAGAGTACGTACCCGATGTGGCCTCCACCACCCGTTGGCTTGGCGACGTCCACTAACCGGCGACGTCCACTAACCGGCTACTGCGCCTGCGATTATTTTGGAGTCGCACAGTGCCACCACCCATTGCGATGGTAGATTGTCTCATTTTACGCTCCTTCTCGCCTTTACTCGATCATTGGTTCAACTCGTCACTCAACCAACATTCGCCTTTTAGTCAACAAGCTTAATTAACAAATCGTCAAAATAGCTAAAACAAGCAAACAAGCAAACAAGCAAACAAGCAATTTTACAAACGCCGACAAGCCTCTTCCTGCCGGCCTGGCGTCCTGGGCAAGGCTTGAATGAACTTCGGAGGACACCACCGCGAGCAGCGAACACCTGCAGGGAAAGGGCACAATGCCACGCGATGGCACTAACAGGCTTCTACCTGCCTTCTTCAAGCCTTCTAGCTTGCCCGCCAAGAGATAGCGGATCTGAAGTGAGCGTCGTGCTCGTGCTCGTGCTCGTAGTTCTGACCACTGAGCGCCTGGGTGCTGGTCAGGAGTCTCTGCGGGGAACCAGATAGACATCTCATCCATCTCATGCTAACTAGGCATTCAAGAACATGCCTGCAGGCATCTCGCTGTCGTTTGCCTGCATTCGTTGTTGCTACTGCTACTGCTGCTGTCGTCGCAAGCTGTCGGTATCTCGGGGTCGACGATCCCTTCAGCCAAGCCTCTAACACTGGACGAAGGACCGACATCCATCATCCATCCATCCATCCATCCATTCATTCACTCTCCATCACTGCTGCTGTCGTCTCAGACTCGCAGCGGCCGAAATGGAGATCACCATTCCCCTTCTCAGCCTCGAAATGGCTGCTGACTTTTTCCTCTTTCCAATTCAACAATTTGACGGATGTCTCCTTGCTGCTGCTGCTCGCTCAGCTCTGACTGGCCAATCTGACATGCCGCCAGAAACGAGCTCTCAGCCCGAACTGGTTCCATCGTGGACCAACTCAATCTCACCACGCGCGACGCTTTTTCGATTGCCGGGCGGAACATTCCTCTCAACGTTGGTGGCTTGCGGCACTGACACCTGGAAAACCAAAACGTGCCAGCCAGAGGTAATTCGCCCACTCGCTCACTCCAGCCTTCCATCCTGGTCCTCCTCGTGCGTACTGCTTCTGTCTGACCGGACAGGGCAGGGGGCTCATTCTGGGTGCATTGTGGATTACGGAGTGAACTCATACCCGTTCAGGAACAGTGGGAAGCATCCTTCCTGGATCGAGTGTCAATTCCCCCATTCGTGCTGAGGTGCAGCCAGTAAGTCTAGTTTGATCCTTCACTCTGCTATGCTATGCTATGCTATGCTATGGCTTATTTTCCATTCCGCGGGAATCTTGGGTCTTGGCTCTTGGGATTCTTTCGTTCGCTCGTTCGTTGGTCTTGTTTCGTTTTGTTCTCCGGGCCTTCGATGCATGGATGGGTGGAAGGTCCATGGGGCAGGTCTAAATTAGGAAGGTTGCACAAAGTTAAGGATTAGGTTCTGAGATCACTGGACTCTGGCTCTGGCTCCGGCTCCTACGGAGGCTGTGAAGGTTCCGTTTTCCATTCCATGTTCTCTCTGAAGATTGCTCTAAGGTAATGCGATTTCGGAAAGGAGACCGATTGAAACTCCAAGGAGAATTTTGCGGTGCCCACTACTGGGTTGACATCAGATTTTCGTCTGATGTCAAGGTGATGCTATTCTCAGAGTTTGAGCCGCATTCATGGTGGGACCCACAGACAGACATCGCGGAGCTGTCAGAAACACTTGCACGGCGAATTCTTCAACGGGTACCAGAGCTACGGGTCATTGATTGATTTGGATGCAAAGATGTTTTCCAGAACTTCGTTTTCCCAAGGAAAGGTGTTGTATATAGTATGTCTTTAATCCTTCTCAATCATTCTCATTCGCTTTCATCATCATCTCATACATTCTCTCTTTGTTTGCCTGTCTGTCTCTCAATATGATACTCCAACCTTTTACTTGCTTGGCGGCTCTCGCTTCGCTGTCTGCGGCTGCGATCTTGCCTAAGGATGTGAATTCTTCCTTTTGTTCGGGAACGAGTACTGAGAAGGGACTCACGCCTGGTTGTCAACATGGTCCTCAGTCGAGGCAGTGTTGGGGGAGATATGATATCAATACTAATTGGTATGATGTTACTCCGTATACTGGTGTTACGAGAGAATACTGGCTGGAAGCTGTTAACATTACTGCTTCGCCTGATGTAAGTTTCTTTCTCCGGTAGATGGCTTCAACTAACGGTCTTAGGGATTCGAACAATACGTTCTTGCATTCAACGGCACTATTCCTGGTCCCACAATCTTTGCTGATTGGGGTGATGATGGCAAGTTGAAAGCACTATTTTGTAATAATCTTTCTGATAGTGTTTAGTTATTGTTCACGTCACAAACAAGATGCCAAATAATGGTACTTCCATCCACTGGCACGGTGTCCGTCAATACCTCAACAATGAGAACGATGGTGTACCAGGCGTAACCCAGTGTCCCATCGCCCCGGGAGAGACCTACACCTACAAATGGCGTGCAACCCAATACGGATCTTCATGGTAATTACTCTCCAACCCTTTACAACACTACCTCTAACACTACACAGGTACCATTCTCATTTCTCTTTCCAATACTCCATGGGCCTCCAAGGAGCAATCATCATCAACGGCCCCGCAACCGCAGACTACGATGAAGATCTCGGCGCCCTCTTCATGCAAGACTGGGCACATATCGACCCCTTCAACGAATGGTGGTGGGACCGCCCAACCAACGGGCCCCCCGCCCAACAATCCGCCTTGATCAACGGGACCAACGTCTTCAACTGCCCCACGAACGGGACCTCCCCCCGCTGTCTCGGCACCGGCAAACGCTTCGAGATGAACTTCGAATCCGGCAAGAAGTACCGCCTCCGCATCATCAACACAGGCCTCTACTCCAACTTCCGCTTCGCCATCGACGGCCACCAGCTCACCGTCATCGGCATGGACTTCGTCCCCCTCGTCCCCTACACCACCGACAACGTCATCATCTCCATGGGCCAACGCTACGACATCATCATCGAAGCCAATGCTCCGCCAGCCGACTACTGGCTCCGCCCCATCTGGCAGCGCTCCTGCTGCGACAACGACGTCTGGAACAACACCCTGGGCATCGTGCGCTACAACTCCCGCTCCACCGCTCTCCCGACCTCTACCAATCCCGCGACACTTTATCCAGACGCATGTGACGACGAACCGTACTACAAGCTGTCCCCCTGGGTCCCGCTATCTGTCCCGGCGCCGAAAAATACCTGGGACGTGAAACCGCTGAACTTGTACTACGAGTTCGTGCCCATGCCCGCCGGCTTCCTGTTCACGCTCAATAACAGCTACATCTGGGTCAACTTCTCACAACCCACGAACCTCCTGCTCACCGACGGGGTGCCCGAGTCGAATTTCACCAACACGGGCTACAACCCCGTCAAAGGCTTCACAGACTACTCCGCCTTCCCCATCACCGTCGTCGACGACTGGGTATACTTCGCTTTGCAAGACATCTCGCACCGCAACCGCTCGCACCCGATGCATCTGCACGGCCACGATTACTACGTGCTAGCTCAAGGCTCTGGCAATTTCACGAATCTGGGAGAATTGAATCTGGTGAACCCGCCGCGGAGGGATGTTGCTACCCTGCCGAGTAATGGGCATATGGTGATGGCGTTCAAGACGGACAATCCGGGGAGCTGGTTGATGCATTGTCATATTGCGGCGCATAGTAGTGAGGGGTTGGGGTTGCAGTTTATTGAGAGGGAGAAGGAGATTGTGGGGACGTTTAAGGCGGAGAGTCAGCTTAATGAGACGTGTAGGGCGTGGGGGGAGTATTGGGCGAAGGATCAGATTTATGTGCAGGAGGACTCGGGGATTTAAGGGGGAGAGGGGGATAGTTTTAATTTCTAGTGTTTTTTGTTGCATTTTTGGATGAGGGGGAGGTGGTTTGTGGTGGTTCGTTGTGTGTGCATAGTTTGCGTTGTATGTCTTGCTTGGGAAAATTTATACGGAGGGTTGTTGCATTTAGATTGGGAGATTGGAAATTGGAGTGTCGAGAATCCTCATATAAATATTACTTACTTCAAGTCTATTCTTCATTTGTTTCCTCTTGATCCGTGACCTGTCCGTCTCTTGGAAGAAATAACCGACTCGAATTTCATTCAAACATCCACGGTCTCTCCGCGGCCACCACACTTCTGTCCCATCTCGCATTCGTTCCCTTCTTGTCTGTCTCTCCGACGATCGATCGATCGATCTGTGACGCCCGATTTCTTCACGCCATTCTACCATTCAGCCACTCTCCCTCCTTGTTTGTATCCTTACCAACTTAAACTTTATTTCAACCTCCTTTACCTACCCAGTTACCTAGGCAGTCATCAGATGCGGAACGTCACTTTACTCATCTCATATGCGCAACACCCCTCCATCGGCCCAGGGCCCAACAAATACCCGCTCAGCGAAATGTCACCGATGTTGCTAAACTTTATTCCAACCTCCCTCCCTCCCCTCTCTCTCCTTTTTGACGTTGTAATAAAGTTATCGGATAACTAAAGAAGTGACATTCCACTACTGTACTGTACGATCTCTCTGGTGTTGAGTGCGAATAACAAAACAGCAGGATGTCACTCACAGCGGCGTGCGTTAGCGATTTTGATTTTCAGTGGGGTGTGGTGGGGGTTCTTGGCGGTGGGTGACGCTGTAGAGCTTGGCGCTGGCTGGGCGACTTGGCCGGCAGTGAGTGAGTGAGTGACAGGTCTTGGTGCCCCGAACGCCCAGGGCTTGGAAATCGATGGGCGGGCTGGGCGTGGACTGGGCGAGGCTTGTGTGCACTACAGGTGTGTGTTTGTAGGATAAAGGTGTGCTGGGTCGTGATGCCAAAAGTTACATATGTTTTCGGTGTTCGATGTGCTGAAAGAGCAGAGCATCACACGCTGAGTAAAGTGAGAAAAGTGATTTTCAGCACCGCGGCGATATCAATGGCAATGGAACGTAGCATCTACAGTATCTCAGCATACCACTAATAATGACGCATCATAGCGCATCGCACTCAAGCCCAGCAGCTCAGTTAGCCACTGTACCGTACATTCCCAGCGTCTCAATGCTCAGCGCATCGCATTCAAACAACCAGTAGCACATCCCAACATCTCGATGCTCAGCGCATCAACCAGTAAATTTCAGCGACCCAATAATCACCCATCCTCCCCACACTCGGAATTCCGCCTGCCAAGATGTCTCATTTCTTTCTTTGAATCCTTTAATCATCTTCCCAAGTTCCGAGTCTGAGAAATGAGCTTCCCTTCTATTCTATTCTATTCATAGCCCCTCCGCATCCCCATCTGCTCCACGATCTTCATCTTCATCTCCTCAACGAGCTTTTTCCTCCGTCTCGGTCCGCAGTCTTCACGATCCCACCATCCTCGTCCTCATCATCATCATCATCATCATCCAGAAAGAACAAATTACAAACCACAATCCGTTACAAATCCCATCACGCAACACCACTTCACCATCTCAGGGGGTCGTGTGTCGCGTGTCCAGCTTCCCCATCCAGGTACGTACACCCATACGAAGTACCCTTTTTGTTTACTTGGCAGCTTACTGGCTACGTAAGGTACTCTGAGTCTTGGTCTCCTCTCTCAGCCTGGCTAGTATTATAGACTGCGGGACTCCATCCATCCATCCCAGCCTTGCTGTTTGTACTTTCGTACCTACCAGGCAAGCTAACAAATCAACACCTTACTAAGTAGCTAGCAGGATATCGCATCAGCCTCATTTCCCTCTCCCTTCCATTTCCTTCCTTACCTTACCTTACCCCCTTCCCCTCCTCCCTGTGCCTCCCTGTCTTCCGCTTGTCCAGGAAGGGAAAGTAAGCACCCAAAAATAAAACTCCAAAAAAATATTACTTATTCAACGGGTAATATTTAATCTGCCCTTTCCACTTTCTCACTGCGCTGTGCTGTGCTGTCTAGCCGGAGTTGGTATAGGTTTTTTTTGGGTGCTTACTGACTGACTTACCGATTGACTTGGGTTTGTACGGAGTGGGAACCCGAGACGGGGAGAGAGAAAGGAGATGAGGATGGATGAATGGAGTAATGTTCTAGAATCTTACGTGCGTGGGTTCTGGAAGGTGAGAGGAGAGGAGAGGTGAGAGAGGTACGAGGTGCGTATCAGGCTGAATAGGACCGTTGTTGGGGGGCTGAGATTTGGGTTGGAGGACTGAGTCAGGCCGGCAGGCAGGTATTTGATGAGGGAATTGAATCAGATTAGGGAATTGGTGAGTGACTGCATGCAAAACATGCACGTTATCGGCCAGGAAGGATATATCCTTTGATTCCGCAATCAGAGGAAGGATGGTTGGTATGCTGGAAAAGAGAGAGAGAGAGAGAGATGCACGGTATCGGTCAGGAAGGATATTTCCTGTTGATTATTCCACAATCCTGAGAAGAAGATGAAGGTCGCCGGCCGAATGCGTGCATCTTCACGGGGGAACTCAAAAACATCACGATCAAGATTAGACTTGATTGATTGATTACCCTGCATGCATCTTTGGAAGCGCCGTGAGTCTTCTAGTCTACTGACTGTTCAGCGGAGATCAAAGAAAGTGATCTTCACGATGAAGATCTTATCTTTTCTTTATCAAGAAAAGAGTGAGGAAGGGAAAGGATCGTGAGATGCAGAATTCCTGCATTGGGACGGACGATCATCTCTCAACACAGAAAAGTATCGTGGCTTTTGACGGGTGTTTCTTGTTTGCATTAGTCCTTGGGTATTCGGTCCGCGAGATTCAAGCTAGGTAGGTAGACTTTCCGCTCGCTCGCTCGCTCGCTCAATTCAAGCTACAGTACCTAGGTAAGTATCTTCCCTTCCTTCCATTGATCTTGGCGCACACGCGGCGGCTGCGAGCTGGCGCTTAAAGAGATAAGTGCCGTGGAGTGAAATGTAGGGCGGCTGGATGGATGGATGGAACTACTCGTGCAGTACATTGCATGAGCGCGAGATAATGCAGGGACCGATGATCATTTCTTGAGGAGGAATAAGTCGTTTTCTCGAAGTTTAGTGAAAGTTAGGGAGAGGATTTAAGCGCTGGTGAGGATATACTTCTGCTAGGTCAGGACTTGATCCCGTCCCGTCTTCAGCGCGCTAATCAGATAGTCGTATCTTTTAAGCGCCGCCGTGCACGAGAACCTCTAATGAACTTCCTCCTTCCTCATTGGAAGAACTCTCTGCGCATGCATTGTCAAAAGTAAACGAAAGGTCAAAGAATCTGACTGACCGACTAAAGAAGTAAAGAGCGTCAAATACGAAGGATCCAACGAAAATAGAGTGCTTAACCATACCTTCGCACCCCAGCCGGTCTGGGATTCGCGGTGCCATTCAGTCGGGTCTTGGCAAGGGAGGCTGGCTGGCTTGCTTGTAAGGCTGATTTAATTTAATTTCATTAATTTACCTCGTTTGCAGATCCAGATAGTAAGCGGAACAATTCATCCAAACCAATTATATTTTCTTGCTCGTACATACGAAGGGGAGAAAATGCCGTGCAGACGCGTCCGTAGTAGAGCAGAGCTTCCGTGACACGACACGTTGTCAGTCACCGACTTTGAGTATGGTGGTGGCGTGGAGGGGGGTACTGTTTTCTGCAGTACTGGACTGGATTGGATATTCAAAATATTGTTCGTTGCATTGAATGTTCAATTAACCATGGAGATCAAAGCAGTGACGTACATCTGAAACGAGCATTTCCGGAAAGTCCCAAATAGCATCACTCACTCATATCACCTAAATCTTATGTACATACCTATACGTACCTGACTATAGCCAAGACAACACAGCCAGCTGGCTGGCTTCCACGTGAGCCCTATATCTCGTCAGCATCTCTCTGGTACTCCTCCATTTATCCTAAATCACCCAAAATCTAGACCGCAACCAAATGCAACGCAAGTAGCTCAATAGTGGAACTCGATTCTTTCAATACTCAGTACGCCTCCGCCTTACACGGACTACCAACCCGTGATTCCCTCACCCGCATAGGTACCTACCCCCTCCACATCCCGATTGCACGTGAAATTACCAATAAGTAGGTAAGAACGAAGCCGCGAATCAGAATATAGACCGAGAAACCCTCCGCGGAAACGAGACGAGCGGACCATGGAGGATCCGTGGATGAAGGATTTTGGGTCTAGCTACTTGCGAAACGGTGAGTGAGAAATGGAAGGGGGAGAGAGAGAAGGCTGTGCCTCGGTCGTGCTGGTTGGTGTAGTTGTGTTGTAGTGTGGTGGGGAAGGCCGGGACCGTGCCAAGCGAACGATGCCCGTCTTGGTGATGCTTGAATGGCCTTGGACTGGCCTTGGTGAAGGCTTGAGGGTTTGAGGGAGGGTTTGATGGTTTTGCCAAGGTGGCGCGGTAAGGTGTTATCTAATCTCCTTTCTTTATGGGTTACCGGTAAATCTGTTACATAAGTGGATGTACAGAGCTCTCTCAACGATTTAAAGTGAGAGCTTGGTGACTGTAGTAAGAGATACGAATAATCGCACAACAATATTACGAAGGAAACAACCACAAGAAAAACAACAGATGAACAGCTCAGCCTAGCCCATCTCAGCACTCAGATTACCACCTTTCCTTTCCTTACCGTGGCTGATAAGAGATCCCATCTCATCTCTCGGGAAGATCCGCATTCCATTGCCCCCTGCCCTACCCTGCCCCATTTCCTACCCCTGCGCCATACTTTCCTCAATGCCACACTCGTGGCGCTTGGCGCGACCAATCAAGAATCTTAGTCTAGACCCTGGACATATGCCCTGTTGACTCTAGGGTAAGGCACAGCTGGATAGATAGATGAAGTGCAGTGTCAGTGCATTTACGAAGATTACATGACATTCCATTCCATTACCTGAGACAACAAAACCTGGAATTTGGACATTTGTGGTGAGCTGGATGGATGGATGGATGGATGGATGGATAATATACCAAAGTCAGGTCCAACATCACCTGAAAACTGATCTCGGGAATCATCTCGGTACATGTCGGCCCCGTAAATCACGATTTGTCTCGGGTTATGTCTCGAGGCGTATTCTGATTGGCGCGGGTTGTAAAAAAGCCCGAGCGGGAGCTGATTGGGTATTGCGGAGTTGGATTTGGGGGCCGACGAGTCGGTGTTCAAGATGGATAAGTAGTAGCGCAAGGCTGTGCTGGACGCAAAAAACCAACATTCAAACAACTTCTTAAGAGATTGGGATTCCGCCCGTCGGTGAACGAAATATTTATTCTGAGGATTATTTTGTATCTTTCGAGGATTTTGATTCACTTTGTTTTTGGAGACGAGGCTTTTCATCAAGAAGAGAGAGGGTGTTTCTTTTTGGCTCTGGACGATCAGCCTTGTGCAACATCAGCAAACAAATACCAACAAACACACTTCCAACCTCCGACCTTCAACCTTCTCTTCTCCTCAACAACAACAACAACAACAACATACCTACCTACCTACAACCCCTCTCAACACCATCACCATGACGCACACCGCCGCCAAAATCGGCGTCATAATCTGCTCCTCCCGCAAACCCCGCGCCTGCCCCCAAATAACCGACTTCATCATCTCCACCATCAACAGCCTACCCCTCCGCGGGGATCGCATCAACAACACAATCCTCACCCCCATCGACCTCGCCGAATGGAACCTCCCGATGTTCGACGAATCCGACGTGCCCTCGCAAGTGCACGACCCCTCCAAATACGACCACGCACACACGCGCGCCTGGGCCGCCGAGGTCCTCAAGTACGACGCCTTCATCTTCGTCGTGCCGCAGTACAACTGGGGATACCCGGCGGTCGTGAAGAACGCGATCGATTACCTGTACCACGAGTGGAAGGGCAAGGCGGCGCTGGTGGTCAGCTATGGGGGACATGGCGGCGGGAAGTGTAATGCGCAGTTGAGGCAGGTGCTGTGTGGGGTGAATATGATTCCGACGCAGACGAGTGTCGAGTTGAGTTTTCCCGGGCGCGAGTTCACGGTTAAGGCCGCCAGGGGCAAGAATTTGGAGTTGGATGGGAGTGGGAAGCCCGGGACGACGTGGGGCGGGCAGGAGAGGGAACAGATTGCCAAGGCGTATAATGAGTTGTTGAAGATTGCGGGTGCAAATGTAAGCGAGTCGCAGGAATGAATGGATGGGAGATAAAGGTTAGAGTGGTTGTGGGGATGATTGCCTTTTTCTTCTTCTGCCCGCTTCTTCCTTCTTTCCTTCCCTTTGCTCGTTCGTTTGGTTTTGATAGAGTGGTGCTGATGATGCCATTTTCAACAGGGTCTCCAGAAAGCGTGGAAATCCGCAACGATGAAATTAGGCATGGTGAAGAAGGAGATCGCGAGGAAGAACCAAAAGGGTGATCAGGCTGCGTCGGATGAGCATGCTGAGGGTGCATCTGCTAGAGCATAGAGAGATCCGACATGAAAAACAAAATACCATAAATGAGCGAGCGAGCTGGAAGGAGTTTGTCTTTTTTGGGGGGCTGAGAAGATTGGAGATACCGACCGACATGCATGGATTTCATGACGATACACTACATAGATGAATGGATTTGGGATTTTCTTTTTGGTATTTGAATTCCTTTCTTGTGACCGTTCAAGTGTTTGTATTGTTGCTCCAAACAAACAAACAAACCGACCACCACCCCGTCTTTGCTTGAATACCTAATTCACATTACAAAACATCGAAGAATAAATCTCAGATTTTCTTTCTAGCCATCTCAACTTTCTTCCTCGCAACTTTCAACGCCTCTGCCGTTGCAACAAACAAATCCCTATCATTATGCTCTGTTTTCATTCCCTGCATTTCATCTCACCTTACACTACACAAGGAAAAAAGAAAGAAATCTTTTCCCTTCCCAATGTTCCCCATCTCCTGCTCCCTACCTTCTATTGCCACAATCGCGCGATTGCAAGCGGCGAAGCATGTATGTCTACCTCCCTAGTCATGTACCTCGGAATCTCCAACCATCCCCTCCCCTCCCCTCTCCTCCTTCCCATTTAATCTCACCGTATTCCCATAAGGTTGCAAATACACATGGTAGATACCCCGGGTGATCGACGCTGGATGTTGGTGGCGCCAACCTGCGAGGATTCATTAATTAGAGATCTTCAAACTCGCTTCTGGATTGATTGATGGATGTTGGTGGCGTCGTGAAAGCGAAACGAGGCGGATCTGGGGAGCGGGAGCGGGAGGAGGGTGGAGGGAGGTGAAATGCCATTTGTTGGCCAAGGGGCCAGCGAGCCTTTTGGACTCCATTACCGGGTCGGTTGTGGTGTATCGGTTCCGGGGGCCTGTATATAAGTGAAGAGAACGAGGGGAGAGAGGTATGAGACGTATTTTGAGTGTGAATTGCTTGGTTTGATGTTCGTTACACCACATTACTTGAATTGTGCGTTGATGTGGTGTAGGTAGCGAAAGCTAGGACTCTGCAAAGGAGAGTGGTTATGGAGTGTGCTCGGTTAGTATATATGATGGAGGACTATGTCTGGAGGGGTTACAGGACTGGGAAGAAATTTCATATGGAGCTTAGTTGTTCTAGATGGAGAGACTACCCACTGCAGGGAAGGGAAATGAAAGGTGGTGTTGGGAGAAAGGTAAGATGTTACTTTTTAGGATTGAGGAATTTCGTTTTATTAGTACAGTGCTTGTTGGCTCATTCCATGCTCAAGATATATATGTTCAAGAACTTCGAGGAATAGAAGACCATTCCAACAAGTACGATATTTTTCTTTAGTTGACTCAACTCTCGACGCCCCTCTCCATCTCGAAACACAGCACTATCTCAACATACCAGCCCTCTTTTCCTTTTTTTCCTTATCCCACCACGAACGATCCTAAACAAACAGCACTACCTTTCGGAAGAGCACACCTTTCTCTTGCTCGGCGGTAACCTGATCACTTCCCTCGAATTTATAGAAATGTTCTTTGACTTGGATAATTTTATGCCTAGATGATTTACTCGCATTCTATTTTGGTTTTTCGAGATATTTCGGATTACCCCTTTTCCCTACAACTTTCTCTCTTTCATTTCTATTGTCAGAAAACACACTACTAATTACCTTCCTTATTCTGCCTTCAACACAGGTAGAAGCTTTCACATTGCACAACATGAACTCACGAAACTTAGATTCTTCCCCCTTTCCCTAGCTCCTAGCAACTTTCAAGGTCTTCTATCGTCACAAACAAACTAAACCACCCTGTCTTTGCTTGCATAATTCACGCTCCACCACAGAAAACAATAAGCCCGCATTCCTCTCTAATGTTCAACTCTTCCTCGCAACTTTTAAAGTCCTCAATTGCCACAATCAAGCCAAACCACTACCTCGTCTTTGCTTGCCTCACTTGTGTTCCACCACATAGAATCATGAAACCAGGATTTCTCTCCAACATCCACCATTCCTACCCGCACTTTCCTCTCTTCCATTTCTATTGCCACAAACAAACCAAACCACTACCTTATCTCTGCTAGCATAATTCACCTTCCACCACATAATAGTCGTAGATCTCTTCCGGCACTATAACTTTCTTCCCTGCAACAGCCCCATTACTCAAAAATTCCCATTGCCACAAACAACCCACTACCTTTTTCCCGCTCCCTTTCCTTACTAGCTAGCATGGCATGGCATTTCACGTTACACTACATAAACATGCCCTCAGATTTTCTTCAAGGCGATCGAATCTGTCTCTCGCGATTGTTGATGTTTTTATTGCCACAAACAAACCCTTCCTTACTTTTGTTTTGCCACTTTTACTGCTGGCATACTGTAGCATTTCACGATACACCACATCCCAGAATCTGCAAACCTGAAACATAGATCCCTCCGTTCTCGCATCTTGTGTAGATCTTATTGCCACAATCAAAAACCACTTAGTTTTTTCCCTACTACCTTTGATACCGGCATGATTCCACATTACACAACATCAACCTCACCTCACAAAAGCCCAAATATCCTCTCCAACACTCTGCCTTTTCCATCCTTCCTCGCAGTTTTGCCACTTGCCACAAATTCGCGATGCCAGTCGTGTCGTGATCTACACGGCAAAGCATACATGCATAGGTACACGTATGTGTGTGCATATCATGTACCTCATTCCCCCCCCCCTTCCGAATCCTCGCGTCGTATTCCCATAAGGTTTCAAACACCACATGGCAGCTCGCTGGATGTTGGTAGCGCCCGTTCCTGGGATCGTCAAATGTCAAACCCGCTTCTGGACCAGGATGGATGTGTGTTGGTGGCGCTGCTGGGAAGGGAAAGACGAGGGTGGTGGGTTTGGGATTGGGATGATGAGGTAAGCTTCACGCATCGCTTTCTAAGTCGAGTCAATGGAGTGTACGAGTTAAGGTGAGGCACATTGGACAGGATGTTGAACAAGATGTTAGAAGGGAAGGGAAATGTAGGGGCGGAGTTGAAACGTTTGTATGCTATTGAGCAGAGAATAGATAATCGAGGGTATAAATCAATCCATCCGTGGCTATTTACCCATTCCCAGGCCCTGCCATTTCCCACGACAAGTCTATCCCGATGACAAGAATAAAAATTGAGCCAAGAGATACTCACCAACTCCCCAAAGCCCCCGTCCCCAAATCCTGCATCCCAGGAAACAAATTATTCCCAAACCCCCCATCAAACTCCCCCATCATATTAAAATCCATATTCCACATCCCCATCGGCTCCACACCCCCCATCGCCAACGCATCGAACGCCTGCCCGCCCCCCATAAAGAAGTCCGAATTGACATCCATCCCCATCTCCGGCGTCTGCACAAACGACAGCGGCGGCGGCGTCGTGAGACTCAGTCCCTGCAGCGCTTCGTCGACTCTCTTCTCCTTGCCCGTTTTAGCTCTGATATCTGTGATGAATTGCGGTTCAGTCAGATGAAGCGGTTGACCATCTACGCTTTCGAGAGCAGCTTCCCGCGCTTCCCATGCTTTGATTAAGAGCCCGAACATGTGTCTGAAGAGGACCGAGCGTATGGATAGAGTTGCTAATTTCCGCTCGTCGAAATTAATCCTGATGGCTTCCCATGCGCGATCAACGAGGGGACCGATGGTCGAGCGACGAAGTTCTTGCACGAGCGCGACGTAGGCCGGGAACGGGAAGTGGTAGTCTGCGAACCAGATGAAGCCTTTGGTCAGAGGACAGGTTCGGACCAAGGTATCGAGCTCGATCATGCGGATGGCGTTGTCGGTCATCTTGTTGCGGTGCGGTTGCTGGATGCCCGTTTCGGGATTGTGGTGTTGAGCTATACATTCTCCCAGGCGCCATTTTCCGACAAAGGAGCGGGACAGGCAGGAGGAGCCGAAGTGGAGGGGGATCTGGAGATCGCAGTGCTTGAGGTATTTTGCTTCGATCATTTCTTCTACTTCGTCTAGGGTTTTGGGTTGTCCGGGTCCGGGTTGCCGTGCGAGGGGCTTGAGGAATGGGGAGCAGAAGTCGAGATAGAAGGGAGCGTGACGGATCCAGTCTGCGATCTCGCAGCGGAGCATAATGAAAAGACATTCTGTTGCTCCATCTCGAGGGGCGGGAGGCTCTTTGATGTGGGGGTAGAGATCGCTATCATTGACATTCAGGGGAAGACTGCAATCCCATGCTGGATTCATGGCTGTAGTTGTTAGCATGTGTTTTTGCAAAAGATAAATTCCTTACTTGAATCCTTGCTACCTGCCATCTCGCCAATTCTGCCGTCCAAGAGAACTATCTGCCACCATAACCTTCGACGCATTTCTGCTTCGAAGGGTGGATGTTCTTTGTTGTGTGCTTCGGAATGAAGGCCCATTCTTTGAGCAATACGAGCAGCCATACCAAGCATTGCCGAAAGAGATCTAGGATCGATATTCTTCTACATGTCAGTATGCTCGAGATGAGTATGCGGTGATCTTACTTGACGAATAGAAAGCTACTTGATATTAGCAGGGTTGACACACTCTAGGAGACGACTCACCAGATATAAGAAAAGTGCACCCAAAACTCTTAGATTAGTAGTACGCAAGAAACTGACGTTGATAAGAGCCTGTTGACATCCATTCCGGTATCTCAGAATTAACGTTTCTCTGTCTTGACCGAAGATGTTGAAGCAATCATCATCTGCCATTGACAAAATGGCTGTGGAGTAGATTCCAAACATCATAGCCTCTAGAGCAGGGTCGATTTCGCTGAGATTGCTACTAGCCTCGATGATCTGCTGTTGGACTGTTGGACTGTGCGTGATCTTGAGAAGAGGGTTCACATTGTCCAGGTACACGTGCCATAATCGGAAGATGTGTACAGGGTCCGGATGCAATAACGTGAGGTTCTTTGGCTCCATCCCAGACCCGAATAGGATGTGGTCATTATTGTCATACATCTGATCCCATGATTTCTCAATGGTGGCTTCTTCAAACTCATCCGAGTCATACTCAGAATCCCTAGTCGCTCGAAACTATAATATATTAGATCAGGACTGCAATATGAAGGCATTCAAAATACCTCTCGATTAATTGCACGCCAGAATGTCCTGGGGGTTATTCGTGAGCGATGTCTCAGTCATTCAAGATGTTAACTTACTTTCTACCTCCTGGCCATTCCTGCGATGCTTCTGTTTCACCAGGAGATGGCTTGTCGAGACCTACACTGCTTGTCTTACGGACTTTCTCATCATCACCCTCAGAGTCCGATGCATCATGTGCATCGTGAGGTGACTGAGCCGAGTTCACACCCAGTCGTGGATGGGTTAAGGGCTCCACCTCGACGCCTTTTTGGCGCAGTAGATCTTCATATCGTCTCAATCTCTCGAGAAGATCGCTCTCAGGGAATTGCCTTCGTCGACGACGAGGTTGCAGGGTTGAAGGTATACATTCAACCTGGGCCTTAATACAGTTTGCACCTGCATGGCATGAGCATAAGTCTACCCGCACGTGCAGGTGAAATCGCAAGAATCAGATGAAAACACATCACTTGACGCGGGATGAAGATACACTGATCAGAGAAGGGTTGACGAGATAGCATAGAGGGGTCAATGGAGGGGCATAACTTACAAGGACTCTTCCTGTCACAGCGTACCTTCCTCTGCTGGCATAGCACGCAGGCCAGAATTCTGGGAGGCATGTCGGGGACTCTGTTGAATGGTATTTGAGGACCAAGATCCTATCCGGGACCAGGTCAGGGCCGAGCCGCAGATGAACGAGAAGCGAATTGTGGGATTTGCTAGATTTGCCGCAGCTGCAGCAGGATGGGATGGGATGGGATGCAATGGATTTCGGAGGTCCAGGTCCAGATGATGATTAAGGTTGTCTTGGATGGATGCTGCTCTGAGGGCAAGGTAAGTCAAGGTGGGGTGAAGCAAGTTAAAGTCCGAAAACTAATGCTGGCTGCCTTGTGCCGCCACGCATACAGTACAGTATTGAAACGTTGACCCTTGCACAATTCTTTGCCTCACACCATCCCCATCCCAGTTTATGCATGCATATAATTTGTGTAGGGGGTTTAAAATTATGCCAGGGCGACACAAGCAGGAATATCTCGTAATCTGGCTTCTCCAGGTAAAGAATCGGCCGGGGGAACTTCTCGGGCGATATCTCAATCCGACGCTGTCCGAGAAGGGCTAGAGCAAACCAGGGAAGGTGCATTTTGTTCCCATCGATCACGTGTAGTTACACTGAAATGTTGTCGACCAATCAATGGGGATCTACTTCAAGACATCGCGATACCAACATGCAACAAATAATGCCCGTTCCATGGCTCATCGGGTCCAGGGAAGGTTTCGCACTTTGGAAAATGCGACGTCTTGGTATAAGGGCCATCCATCTTGGCCAACGGCTCTTTCTCTCTTTCCTATTAATCATCACTCCTTGATCTCGTGGCGTTTCTGAGCAGGGCAGGGCAATTTTCTTTATTTATCCCTTCTCAAGATGGAGTCATCACGAGAATCTTCTCAGGAAAGGGAGAAGTTGGAGAGAAATGCTCCAATTGTAGCGGATGTTGCTTCGTCATCGGAAGATATTGCTGCCAAATATGAACAAGCAGAGCAGAACTATCAACCAAAGTCCTTCAAATTTTGGACTATCCTGATAGGTCTATATCTCGCCGTTTTTATCGTTGCCTTGGTAAGCCCCAAACCTCACTTCACACTCAGTCACTAACCTCACTAGGACCGTACAATCATAGCAACAGCCATTCCAGCCATCACAGATGAATTCCACTCTCTTCAAGATGTCGGCTGGTATGCTTCCGCCTACATGCTCACGGGTGCCTCATCCAATCTTGTCTTTGGTAAAATCTACAAATACTACTCCACGAAATGGTCTTTCCTCGCCTCAATCTTCGTCTTTGAAGTGGGATCAGCCCTTTGCGGTGCAGCTCCAAACTCTATTGCCCTCATCGTCGGTCGAGCAATCGCTGGTCTCGGCTCATCAGGAATCTTCTCTGGAGGACTGATGATTATGGTCCCTCTCATCCCCCTCCGAAAACGTCCCATCTACTATGCACTCTTCGGCATCGCATTCGGCGTTTCTTCAGTCCTAGGCCCAGTTCTCGGAGGACTCTTCACAGATAAAGCAACTTGGAGATGGTGTTTCTACATCAACCTCCCCATCGGCGCCATCACCGTCCTCGCCGTCCTCTTCTTCCTCCGCATCGACTCCGCCCACGAGAAAGTCTCCTTGAAAGAAAAACTCATCCAACTCGACCCCATCGGCACCTTCTTCCTAATCCCCAGCGTCGTCTCCCTAATCCTCGCCCTCCAATGGGGCGGCACGACCTACGCGTGGTCCTCCGCCAAAGTAATCGGCCTCCTCGTCTGCTTCGCCACCCTCTTCATCCTCTTCTGGCTCGTGCAAATCTATCTCCCTCGCACCGCCACCGTCAAAATATCCATCATCACCCAACGCTCCATCGCCTTCGGCGCCATCTTCATGTTCGCCCTCACCGGCTCCCTCTTCATCATCGTCTACTACCTCCCCATCTGGTTCCAAGTCGTCAAAGGCGACTCCGCCGTCCACTCCGGCATCTCCACCCTCCCCCTCGTCCTCGGCCTCGTGGTCTTCTCCCTCGTTTCCGGGAAAGCGACCCAGAAACTAGGATACTACGTCCCCTTCATGCTCGCCTCCCCGCTCCTGACCACCGTCGGCGCCGCCCTGCTCTATACCCTCGCCCCGGCCTCCAACCACGAGAAATGGATCGGGTACCAAGTGCTCTACGGCCTCGGCACCGGCGCCGCTATGCAGCTGCCCATGCTCGCCGTGCAGGCCGTTTTGCCAGCGGCGGACATCTCGTCCGGCATGGCGCTCATGTTCTTCGCGCAGCAGCTCGGGGGTGCGATTTTCGTTGCGGTGGGACAGAATATCTTTTCCTCGCGCGTGGTGAGCCAGTTGACGGGCGTGCCGGGCATTGATGCGCAGCAGATTGTTCATCTGGGCGCCACGCAGCTGAGGGAGGTGGTGCCGGCGCAGGATTTGGGAGTTGTAGTTCAGGCGTTTAATTATGGGTGTGTGGGCACGTTTTTGGTGGCGGTGGGGTTGAGTGGCGCGACGTTGTTGGCGGCGGCGGGGATGGAGTGGAAGAATATTAATGAGAAGGAGGAGAAGGATGGGGTGGAGGCTGAGATGAGGTTTGAGTAAACGAGAAAATGTTGTGATTGTGGGATGGGTAGATTGTTGGGCGTTCAGGTGGTATTTTGTTCTTGGGGATTGGATTTGCATAGACTGGCGGTGATATCCTTTTGAGTAGCATTAAAAACACATGGAATGAATAACTTCTCTTGGTCATCTTACTTGACTAGATACCAAATTTATCTAATCAAAGTCAGTGCATTATGTTCGAATATCAATAACACACAGCAAGAGACAGGAGTTGACTCCCATCTAGTCCCGCATTACCTCCATCCAATCAGACCCCAACCCCAATCTTTTGTTGCACATCTACACGAGAGTTTTTGGGAGAATACGGCAAAATTTCGACAGTCGGGAGCAATGGATTCTGGAACATCGACCCGCCAAGGCCCCTAAAGTTCATTTCTATGAGTTAATCGAGATCAAGGTATATCACTCTGCACTTACCCCGCTTCAGTATCCAATCTCACTGCCACTTGCTGTATCAATGGTATAAACCCAGCACACAACATCTTGCTCCTTTCCTTGGAATGCTGAAAGAGAGTAGCTATCTCCTCTACGCTCTGAAGATGGAACGCTTTGAAATAAAGCTGCAACCTGTATCTTCTCCATTCAAATCCCAAAGGTGATCATCTGTATACAATATATGACTACTCCCCAATCAGTGAGATATCTACCTCTCCCCCTTTCCCCCTCTTCTCCTTGCCGTAGGTATCCTAATTCCAAGATAAGTACTAGCAACATTTGAACTGTCATTTAGCACCTTGCGCTTAAGGAGCAGACAACGAATTTCTCTACAGTATCCATGGTAGATTGTTAACTGGAATTAGCTTAACAGGAGTGATTGATTTTTTTTTTTTTTTTTTTTGCACTCCCCAATTTTACCAGATCTGGTGTATCGAGATGCTTCCTTTCTGGCAATGGTATCCTTACTCGAAGGCTCAAGTATATATGATAACAAGTCGATTCAATGTGAGATGATACATATATTACATATATTCCAGGTCATCCACTCTCTCTGATTAGAAGCCTTGTGCTGTCTTTATCCATCTCCGTTGTTAGGACCAAGCTTTCTTCTTTGCTTGTGGTGAGTTGTGGGTAGATTTTGTTTTTCACCAACATCTGCTAGTCAGACGGCACTGTCCAGCACATCTAACCTAAATATCATTATGTGCTCAAAGCTATTCCTGCCGATTTGTGAGCCTCTCCTCCTACCGCAGCAGAGCGGCTGTCTTTGATCTGTATCTTGTGTAATTTTTGTGCCAGTACTTCCTTCTTCCTTGCTCGACTTGACCCCTGGTCCAGAAAAGAGAGAAGCGACTCAGGCGGGTACGGTAAGCTTGAGGTGGTTAAATGCCGCTTGTGAGGCTCGATATCTCCATCTTCCATATTCCAATGTAGTCTGCAAAAATAGTGGCTTGTGATCTGTGTCTCATGCACTCCATCGCTTCCTAAGCCTTTTCTCGGTTTGACCCCTGATTCAATCGATAGCGGAGCCCGTCGCTCGGGTGGGTAAGTTTGCTGCCACCACATTCTGGTTGTGAACCTTGTTATCCCACATACCTCATCTTCCAGTGTGTAGCCTGCAATACTCGTGGTCTATGATCTGTGTTCTTCTCGCTGCAGTCCTTCCCGACACTTATTCCAAGCGATAGCGGAGCGAGTTGCTTGGTAGGTAAGTTGGATGTGAGGGATTGGATGACTTGGCAAATGTGGAAGCTGGTGGACAACTTGACGGTTAGGTTTGAACTGACCATACTCTAGAATTCTAGAGATATGATGTTAGAAATTGGACCAGATGGCAAAGAAAGAATGGCTGCTGGCAGCTGGGGTGGGCAGATACTTACGAAAACAAGCGGCTCGTCTTGAGAAACAAAAGAAGTTGACTTGGAACAAATTGAGAGACTCACACGAGACTTCATCTCTTGGCCAATGATATTGTTTAGAAGTGTTGAATTGACCTTGTGTAGGATGCTAGAAGACAGATTTTAGAGTTTGGAAGAGTCGGAAGGACGGGAAGCTGATGATAGTCGAGCATGGACAAACACTCACGAAAACAAGCGGCCGCTCAGCTTTCATAGTAGCAAGAGTCAACTCGAAGTATGTCAACAGACTCACAAAGGATCTTGTTTCATCACATCCAACGATGTTGTTCAGAACTATTCGACTCAAAGACGCGAAAACATCTGCTGTTGTATAATAGAGCAACAAGGAATATTGTAAGAGTCGATTATTCTGTGGCTTGTGAGAGAACGTAAAATAAAACCGTAGAGATGTCTCTAGATAAAAAATAGACCGGAGTTCACTTCATCCTTGAATTTTGGGTTTCTTATCAGAAGCGGCCGCTTGTATCGTCCTACAACTCAGCAAAAGTGTGCTCCAGTTGTGCAGATATACGACTCTAACCTCGAAGCCTCCTGTCCTCAAAGGCTTTTCTGCGCGCCGCTTGTGTCCGATTGCATTATCCTGCTCGCCGTGATTGTTATCGTCCCTTAATCTATGAATTGCTTTTACCTATCTTCCCCCGTTGTCTATAGCCAGCCTAGATTGAGAGCATGAAGCTAAGGAGAGGAGGTCGTTCCGTCCTGTTAAAATTATGTCAGTTTGAAATAACGCGTTGTACTTGGAGTTACTTTAAGGTAGCTTAAGCGCATGGAGCTCGGAGGAGAACGTTGTTCCATCCCATCAAAACTACGTCGGGTTGAAATGGCGTGTTATTTACTTAGACTCGCTTTGAGATAACTTGATAGGATAGAGCTCGGAGGAGGAAATTATTCCGTCTCGTCAAAACTACGCCGTACTGAGATAGGGTGATACTTACTTGGAGTCGGTTTGAGATAGCTTGTACGGCTACCCTTTAGTACAAATGGGCAAAAAGAAGGATTTTTCTTGGATTTCATGAAAAACTGTGGTTTGCCTAACAAAAAAAGAGTTATTTGACCTAAAAAAAATTGAACCCAACTCACCTCATCCACCTTTCGGCCCACTCATTGTCAGTCATCTCTATTCTCCCTGCCTTCACCTTAGTACTCCTCGCCTCCATAATCCTGACAACCCGCCGTTTTAGCTCACTCATGTGCTACATCAAGTGAAAATGGATGAAATAAGGGTGGCAAACAATTCTTGAATTAGTATCCAAACTCAAACAAAGCTATAACTGAGCTCTTCTTTGATTTGTTAGCTCTTACCAAGCTCTCTAGATATCCTTCCCCCCTCACTTCACGCCTCATCTACTAGTATATCACTACTTTGTTAATATCAACAATAGTGAGGCGAGTAACAATGAATTAGGCACGTTAAGGTAGGCAGCAAGGCGGGTAATTTAAGTAAGGCAATGGGTAAAGGACATTGATGATATATTGCTAAGCAAATCTTATGCTACACGAACCCTTCTTTTTACTCATTTGTGCTAAGGGTCAACCGCACTTGACAGTGTGGACGTCAGAGGAGGAGGTGGTTCCGTTCCATCAAAACTACGTCGGTTTGAGATAATTTTGAAAGTATAGAGCTCGGAGGAGCAGGTTGTTCCGTCCCGTCAAAACTACGTCGGTTTAAACTAGCGTGTTTATCACTTTGAGAGTCGCGTATCTCAAATTCACAACTCCTTCTTTCCTCCCAAGACAAACATCATCTTCACCACAACATGGAGCTGGACAAATTCCATAAGTTCCCTGAACTACCGGTCGAGTTGAGGAGAGAGATTGTAAGTAGTAAATATTCTACGATTGCACCAGATGCTGATTCTTTACAGTGGAAGCTCACTCCCCTGCACTCGCGCACAATCGAGATCGGAGTAGACTTTGCAGGTCCAGACGAACTCAGTGGCCTCCGGTTCTCTTCCTTCACTGACAATCCTGGTACCCTCTCTGCCAACAAAGAGAGTCGAGAAATTACCCTCCCATTCTACCAAATCATCCTCGGAGGCGATCACACGGTTCGTCGCGGAACTCTATACTGCAACTTCGATAAAGACATTGTCTCATTCTTCGGCGAGGACTTCGAACCTTTGGAAGGTGGCGCTGTATTTCAACCTTTCTACACCTACCGCGGAAGAGTACAAAAGATCAGTTGGATTGCTAGAGAACGGTTCGAGAAGATTCAAAAGGTCATCATTAATAATATGCTGTGGTCTCCCCACCAAACAAATCTCTTCCAACCCCGCGGTCCGAACCTGAGCTACGGTACAAGAACCTTTCAGAAAGGCTTATTCTTCGGTCACTTTCCGGAGTTGAGGGAGGTTACTTTGGTTGCGAGGACTGGAAGGGAAGGTTGCGGTTGTCTTTACAATCCTAGATTTCAGCGTGAGGCATTGGAGGTATTGAAGGAATTTTTTCGAAATAAGGAAGGCTATGCAGTCCCAAACTTCAAGCTCATAATCCCAAGAAATGCTGAGCCTGGACCTGAGGATCCCGACTTTATGCTCTACCGACCTATGGACTAGAGGGGAGGGATGGAGAGACAACTGAATATACTTCGAGAAAGCGTGCAAGAGCACATACTCCAGATAGCAAATGAATGCTCTTGAGTACTCGCCATAATTATATCTTCAATTATTGTGCTTCTATCCGTAAATCGTAAAATTTCTCCGTCGCACTTATCTCGATCACGTGGATGCGCCCCCTTAAACTCGGCTAATTAAGGGGCCGAGCTCCGATGCTCCGATGGCCGGACACAGTTTGTGCCTGAAAAATATAGCTAGACTCGACTTCTTTGTGATGGCAGCTAAGCTCTAAGTACATAAAACCGATCTGTCACTCATCACGTCTCTGGATGGTAAGGATTTCGGTCTGCTACGTCCTCTGTCTCTCCGCTGACTTGAAGCTATCTAGGAATCGACAAGACGAATCCTGAGCGAAAATACCTCTACAATATTGGAACAAGAAAGAGCCCTTTCTCCATCTTCCAAGCGCGAATTTTCACATCTCGAACTCTGTCCCCACCAACGCCGCATCTTTACAATTTGGTTAAGACCCGAATCCGAACTACAACTCTACAATCCGACTCGTGCTCTTGAAGCTTCTCAGATAATGCCTTGTTCGTCGAATCTGGCCTGATAGTGTTTAATGTTTCGGTGCATATTTGGAACCTCTCTTCGCGCCGATCTAAGCCGTCCATCCTTCGCAAGGGCTAAATATCTTAGTCTCTCCCAGCTCTTTCCTCGGGTATATTACATTGGCTTTAGGATTAACAATCTCATGAAATAGGAGTTCTGATCCAGCAGGATGCCTTCCACTGTACAATATCACTTGCAACTCTGCGGTCTCGGAGAGCTTTACACAGATGATTGTTAGAAACAATATAACGTCTGACCTCTGCCCAGACGCCTACTGCTTCCAAGTCCAATACGTGTTGCGAGTGCCAACCATCACTCTGTTAACCCGACGAATTCCTTAACTTATCTAATGAAGCTTTGGCTGACTTGTCTCTAGGGCAAGATCACACGCATGATCATAGAGCGTATTGGAAGAGACTTCTTAAGTTCGATGCTGCAAACGGAGGTGTTTGATAAGAGGGAGGTGCTTGTCACCGGCTTTGAATACACTTGGAGGATGGTATCTACGCTGACAGCTGCAGAATGGTAGGCATGAAGCATTGTAATAGCTAGATGGTGGGTATAGTGAAGGCCAGGATATAAGGGGGCTTTGGCTATAGAGCAGGTCTCTGTGAGGGGAGGCCAGAAGTCTACAATGGGACGAGCGTATTGAGGCCATACGTTCAGCAAAGACGAGAGCAGGCGACAATTACCGGCTAAGGCGTATAGACTGGTCACAGGCACATTAGGGTACTCTCTGAGGAGGAGCCTCCCTGAAAGATGGTCCGTCCCGCTCGACAGGTTATGTCAGTCAGTACAGCTGGCATAGTAATCTGGAGGCTAGATAATGGTTAAATAGGCTTGAACTTTGGATACCTCCCTGAGGCAGGGTATTTAAAGAAGTAGAGCGTACATAGATACAGCTGCATGCCTAGATGCAGCTACACAGCTTAATGGAATGTAAAAAAAACGAAGAGAAAGAAAGAAAGAAAGAGATCCACCTCTCTCAAGTTGAAGCGCGGGAGGCTACTAGCGCGCAGCCTGGGTAACCATAATACCAGAAAGTTGCAAACCTGTTTACGTTCCACGCGACGTTGACTTGATTAATTCGAACAGCATACAAATGAAACTCCACAATCTATTGCCCGACATGGATACTTCATCAGCTAATCTAGCAGTCTTGCAATCACTTCCTGACCCAAATCTCCAGCTTTACGACCAACACCTTACCGCTACGTGGCTTGGGTCCTTCTCCGAATTGCCTGCTGAGGTAAGGATCCGTATCTGGTAAGTCTGATCTCGTATTAAAGCACTGTATTATATTACGGGAGCTTCAGAGCTATCTAAATATTGATCGTGCTTTTAACAATACTAACTCATAGTCAGGGAGCTTTCTTTCAGCCGCCGTCAAGTCCATATGATTCCAAAGTCACCCCGCCGATCCGACCACATCAGACGAAAACAGCCATCGATTGAGACCCTAAGATGTGCCCGTCAACAACCCGCAGCTTTTTGCGTCAACGCCGAGAGCCGCGCAGTAGCTCTCGAGAACCATGTCAAAATTGCTGATGACGCCAATGCCCCAAACAGCGGCGCCACATATGTCCATAAAGAGCTCGACCGCTTGGTAATTTACATGGGAACAACGTCTTCAATGTTAACGGATGAATACAATCTTGCTAGCCCCGGCCCTGCACTTCGAGATCTGCTCCCCAAGTTCAAGAGAGTCGAGCTGGTTTTTGAAAGTTGAGACGTACATTCTGGTGTCAAAGTGTTCTTACCGTCTAATTGACATTTTCAAGATCCGAGTGTTTGAGTTTAAGACAGACATCCCATAAGTCTTTAGGTACTAAGAGTATTCGAAATTGTATCCAGTCTTCAGATCCACTTGTGTTACATTGACGTGATGACCAGTGACCCTGTTGATGTGGATAATCGGATCTTCCCAGAGTATCCCACATTGACCCATCTCTAAGAAAATATTCATTGTACCCTGATTGCTAATACCTCCAAATTAGTTCTCCCATCCTTCTTTTTGACGAGTTGACATGCATGCAGCTTCCCGTAGGGCATACCGAACTGTCTCGTTCTCCTCTCCAATCGAAAAATTCGTTGTCGCGGATCCTAACGCTGACAGGACGCAACAGCCACAAACGGCAGTGCAAATAAGCTAATGCACCTAATATTCTCTCGGATCTCGAATTATAAGGTTGCTGAGTTTTGGTTTCTTTGAATTTCCGCCGGCGAAAGCCGTTTTGATGGTACCGCTACACGACAGGAGCTTGGCGTCAGCTGAGGCACCGAGTACAGGTACGAGATACTTAGCTTGGCTTGCATGCTTATTGCGGTGTCAGCGATAACGAGATGGATTTGAGAGTGTGAAGAGGAGGTGCGAATCGTCGGGTGAGCCCGGTGAGCGTTTCTGGAAGGTGGATCGAAAGGTTCTAGATTAATTAAGTTATGTCGGAATGTCTGTCGAGAAGATTGAGGCCGAGGACCATTGGCTGGCAGGATAGAGGGTGCCAGAAGAGCAGGAATGGTCGGGACACAAGGATTTGTACAGGAAGTGCAGGAAGTGGAGGAAGTGGAGGAAGTGTGACTTGCCAAGCATCACTTCTAGGAGTGCTGGTGGTCCTCCTGACGACAACGAAGAAGCAAGGAAGGAAACAGGTTCAGTTGGTGGAAGAACCTCTACCGCCCATGATGAAGATAGCTCAGAGTATTGAACTTGGCTTTGAATCAAAGACGCTCGCGAGGAGGGCAACGGTAATCAATTTTCAAGCTGGGCATGGACTATCGAGAGGGAAAACAGTGAGTTGAGCGGTGTATTGAGCCAATCACAGGAATAGCAGCCCAACGAAATTGTGTGAGGCGTCTCGATAGTTCGTTCAAAGGATATCAGACTGCGTAGCTAGTCGATGATCATCACTCATATCTACCACCAGACTTACCTCTGAAGAGGCCCCGCTGCAACCTCGGAACGCTACAGTACGCTTTGAAAAGTAAGCATATCGAGAGCAAGACTCCAATTTGCAAGTACTTGATATTGTCAGTTTTTTCAATCTGTGTAGGAACTGAGAACTAACGTGCGCAGCTCCCTGACTTGACAAGAACATCGATTTCACTTGCCCATGTACGCTGGGAGCCACAAACTGCCAATCAAGTCTGTGTAACCAGCTCGCTCCCAGTCGTCTTTTATGACACGGCAACTGGTTGGCGGCAAGCTAAGCCCTACTGGGCTGAGAATGTGGATTAGAGCGATTTAAAGGAGGTAGGTGCAGTTACATAGACTTGATTGGCCGTCGTTCCCATCTGCTGTTGGAGTTAGTAAGCCAATGTGTACTATTTAGCACGCCAACACGAACGCATGTCGTTTTGAGACCAACTTTCTTGGTTACTGTATTGGCTGCCTGGTTGCGTGTGGCGCAAACCCAACTGAACGGAAGCGACTCAGAGCACGGCAGAAGACCACCCCGCGCTGCTTCAAAACGAAGAGTTCGTTTGGCCCTACCTTCGTAACGGCACAGTTCAAGCTTCGTATTACTATGCTGTTGGTTGGTGCCGCATATAGCCGAAAAGGGCATACATAGCTTTACATTGTTCAATCCCTCGACAGTATCACCCCTAACAAAAGATTAGGAATACAGGCGTACACTAAAAGTGGCTCTCGCCCCGTTTTGAGACGCAAGCAGGTCTAAGAAGTTCGTCAGCAGGAGTCAAGCTTTTGGTTAGTTCCCCGCCAATAAAATTTCATATCATGGGAGGTTTGTTGCCTAGAAAGCGGGGGTTTGGGATCGAACCACTCGTCTTTCCTCGGGCGCTCTATCCCGACCAACATCACCAACATTGCCAACATCGCCAGTATGCAATGCAACATTTCACAAGAACCTTGCAGCCGAACGGAATGTTGGGTCGAAGTGCGGGGTTAGGCCATCGTCGCCGCTCGCACATATATATACTTAGTGTTTGATTCAGGAGGTCTTTCCACTTTCATTCTCAATTTCCCTCCACCAAACATCAGCCAAACATCAACCATCTGCTTCTCGTCATAACAAATCGCTACTTTCCTATACCGTCCATCGTTATGGCTACGTGTGCTGGAGAGTCTCTAGTCAACTCTTGCTGTCAGAGTTGTTGCCCAAACCCATATAGCTGTAATGGATGCAGCGCAGAATGCCAGACGTGCAGAATGTAATGGGGTGAATATTTGTCAAGCCGGTCTTTTTATGGAGAAATTCAGCTAATTTAACATACAGATTCAGTCGTAATCTTTTATTTCCTACTGCAGGGCGGGGAGCGCGGGGGTGGGGGTGGGGGTGGGGATAGAGAGCGGTTGGACTTCGCTTAGAGGGATAGTAGTGGGAAAGTCCACAGTCGCTACAGTGCTCATCTCAGAAAATAGTGGTATTCAACATACGAGCTGTAGGCTCCGTAGAGCGGAGCGGTAGGAAGCTCGTTTAACATATTATCAAATAAAGGGATTTCATAGTCTTAACCCCCTATTTATAAATATGTTTAGAGTTAACTCTTGACACAATTCTCCCATTTCGGAAGCATCCCCTATAAAACAACCCCAAGGAGGCGGGCAGGAGTACTACCTATGGCAGTGATATCTTTATCGAGACCATCACCGTCCAGATCTGGATTTTCACGTGCACGTGCTGATGATCGTGTAGGTACGTCAGGCGGAACATCAAGACGAAGATGAATAAAACATGACGGCGAGCATTTGCACGTTTGACTCCATTGCACAGTCGAGGTCGCATATGCCATTTATCCCCAGGTGCCGCCGCCACCGCCCCTGCCACCGTAACGCTGCGCCGACAACCACCAGTCGTCCTCGCCAGCAACTTGTTGTACAAGGGCTGTATCCGCTTCTGCTTCCGTCGCTTCGACATGGTTTCTAACCCCAAGTCCCCCCACCCCCTCCCCGTCCCTGCCTCTTCTGCGCACTAAGCCTCCAATCATCCTCCGCAGCAAACTTATTATAAAGCGGCTGTATCCTCTCCGCCTTCTTCCTCTTGCTCAATTTATCCGTCGGCGCCACCTTGAAGAAGGATGGCGCCGCCTCGACGAGCCACTTTGGCTCGATACTCGTGGTATAGTGCATGTATTCCCGTGTTGTGAGCACAACTTCGTGATAAATCACCCATTCGGCCTGCTTGCCAAACAGCGCGGAACTTGGATGAAGATACACTGGCGTGCCTTCGATGAGAGTTTTGTACCCTTCTTGCGGGTCTTTGCGTGCGGAGTTCCGGAAGAAGCCAGAGCAGAGCGCTTGTTGGACTTTCTGTGTGTTGCGCCCGCAGGAGACAATCGGGTGTTTATACCGCTCCATAATCTTCACAAGCTGATCCCTCACATCCTTCGCTCTGCGCATGCTTCGCGCTTGAATGAAATTCTCAAAGCACCAAGGGTTGGCGTATTTATTCTGTTTCCAGGAGTTGTAGACGTTGAGCAGCGTAAGGTGGTCACCGTGCGGGTCGTGGAACTTGGCTTTCTTCTGGTCGGCCTGCGTTTGCTTTTCCTTAGGCCGGTAGAAGACGGTTGGCATGGAGAGCATGGCCACAATGCTAAGAATCTCGTCCGAGCAGCCGATGTCCACGGCTGCGATGAGGACTTTGGCGAGGGAGGGGTCCATGGGGAAATCAGCCATTTTGCGACCGAGGCGGGTGAGGAGACCTTCGTCGTCTAGAGCGGATAAGGCGTAGAGTTCTTCGAGAGCTGTTAACATTGTATTTGTGGGCGGAGGGTCCATGAAGTCGAAGTGTAGCAGATCGTTGATTCCCATTGCTTTGAGCATCAAAATGGTGTGTGAAAGATTTTGTCTCTGAATTTCGGGAATAGACGTAGGTAGCATCTCGGATTGGAAGGCAGCTTCAGTGTAAAGACGGAAACATTTTCCAGGGCCAGTTCTTCCTGCACGACCAGATCGTTGCTTTGCTTGAGCTTGAGAAATGGGCGTCACAACGAGAGAGTCCATTCCCAGCTTGGGATCATACGCATTCTGTTTGACAAAACCAGGATCGATGACATAGTAGATATGGTCAATCGTAATGGACGTCTCTGCAATGTTAGTGGCAATGACGACTTTTCTGCTTCCAGGAGGTGCTGGATCGAAAATCTTGCTCTGCATCTCACTGGGTAATGCTGAGTACACCGGGAGAATGATGAGCTCGGGAACACTTGGTCCAAGCGCTTTCATCCGCTCGAACAAAATCTCACAGCTGGTATCGATTTCCTCCTGACCAGTCAAGAAGAGGAGGATGTCTCCAGGGGGTTCCGTGAGATGGATCTGCATTACCGTGACTAGAGCTGCGTCCAAATAATCAGACTCTGGTTCACGAGAGTACATGATTTCGACCGGGAAAGTTCTTCCCGGAATGGAAAAGATCGGACATTCGTTGAAATACGCCGAGAATTTGTCGGCATCAAGAGTTGCGGACGTGACGATGACCTTTAGGTCTTGTCGACGCTTTAGGGTCTTCTTGAGTAGTGCGAATAGGACATCGGTCGAAATCGTACGCTCGTGTGCCTCGTCCAACATGATCACGGAATATCTCTTCAGCTCTGGATCCATGAGAACCTCTCGTTCCAACATGCCATCGGTCATGTATTTGATCTTGGTCGCGGCACTGGTGCAGTCTTCGAATCGAATGGCGTATCCAACCTCCTGGCCTAGCTGACAACCGACCTCTTCTGCAACACGTTTTGCTACCGACATAGCAGCAACACGACGTGGTTGGGTACAACCAATCATGCCATTGTTAGCAAAACCTGCTTCAGCTAGATATTGAGTTAATTGTGTTGTCTTTCCCGAGCCAGTGTCTCCAACTACAATCAGTAGTTGATTGGCGTGTACAGCCTTGATGAGTTCTGATCTGAATCTGTAGACTGGCAGCGATTCTCGTTGTTGCTTGATCGTCATGTCTGTTCTTCGTCCAAAAGACTGTTCCTTATTTTGCGTTACTTGCTTCCATTCAGGCACGACTTCAGTTGCTGTCGGGGGTTTGGCGGTGCGTAGATCACTAGCGAACTTTCTCTCATCCGGTACAGCCATGGGATCATTCCACTGCGCCGATAAGTCAACCTTCAAACTTTCTTCTGCAGCTTTATCCTGCGCCTCTTGTTGCCTTAATTCTCGTCGATCCTTCGCAAGAGTAGTCCCAGCCATAGCAGCTCGATTCATGGAGCCATCTGGAGCCTTGACCACTCGGATAGGAGAGAGTTCAAGAGACTGTTTGGTCTGGCCGGCCAAAAATGGCGGCTCTTCTTCTCGCAGCTCGATATCAACATCTTCTTCCAACTCCATTTCTCCCTCGCCATTCAATGTGGCGTTGTATTCTTCATCGAGATCTGGGTAATCCGAAGCCTTCACAACCCCAGAAGCAATAAGTTGCCGGATTTCCCATCGCTCTGGAGAGGTCATTCTCTTCTTTACCTTCCGAGAGTTGTTTGTCATGTCGCCTTCAAAGACCAACACTTTATCGTCTATCAAGCCATACTCGTTCTTGGTCCCGCCTAACCTCTCCATGTTTGCTCCTGACTGTATTCTGGCTTGTGGAGCCATGTCTCTGCCGGTTTCCTGATCAACATCTTTCATGGAAAGCCCAATCCTGGAACCTTCAATCTTGACGACCTTGATCTTCACTGGCTGGCCCCTTGATACCAGATCCGAGGGGTGGTTCACACGCTGACCCTCGACCAAGGCTGACACATGCACCAGGCCATCCACCTTCCCTTTGACCCCATGTATATTCACAAATGCTCCAAAATCTTTCACTCCCGTAATATGACCATCATAAACCTTGAAAAGAATAGGCTCGTCGTCAATTTCAGGAGTAGGGGGCCGTCTGAACTGCTCGTCTTCGTCTCGTCTTCGTCTGCTGCTTTTGTGACTGTTTCTAGAATGCCGATGATCATCCTCGTCCTCGTAGCCATTCTTCCTTCGTCTTCTATCCTCCAAAGACCGTGACCGTGACCTATATTTCTCCTTTCGACTTCGACCTCTATCATAATCTTCGTCAGGACTTCGACTTCGTTTTCGACTCGTCCGCGCAGGCTTCTCTGTCCTCGCCTTGCTCTCAAGTCCTTCTAACAGCGCAAGAGTATCATCTATGGCATCGGTCGAGCCATTTGCTCCTCCATCTTCCTGTGCATCCACATAGTCCTGCCATGGCAACTCCTTGTCCGGCAGCGCAAGGCCCTTGAAAACCTTAGTCTTCTCCTCCACCCTGCGCGATCCATTCTCCGCCTCGCCATTTGTGCCTTTCCCGTTCTTGTATTTCGGGTGCATAGTCTTGACCAAGCGGTCGACACTCTCGATCAAGCTCTGAGGGAACTCGGCGCCCATCGCCTCCAGCTTCTTCTGGAACTCGTCAAGGGACTTGCATTCTGCATGCTGGGCGATGATGAACTCGGCGAGGGTCTTGTCGCCGATGCCGAGATGGTTCTGCAACTCTGAGGCCACTTTTGAGACCAGAGAGAGTAGTTCGAGGGATTCGAGGTCGTCCATAGCTGCGCTGTGGCGGATGATTCTGTCGTCGCAACTTTCTTGAAGATGTTGTTTCGAGCCTTGTGATGATTTTCGCGCTAAGCCTAATCCAGTCGGAGCCCTTTTCAAACGCCACCAGCCTGCAGGTGAGCACGATCAAATCTCCAGCCTCATAAAAGGCTACCTAGAGTTTCAAACATCTCACCCAAAGGACACGATCATTATGTTAAACGCGTTCTCTATTCTCCTACTTTCAAGAATATCGAGGTAATTCAAGGCTTCTATTGCAACCCTTCTTTTTTTCTTTTTAGGGCCCGAGGCAGTTCATAGCTGATGTTCTCCTGCTCACGATTTTCTTATCAAATGCTTTCTCGATTCAATTGCAAACAGGCCAAGCCAGCCTTATATCCGGGCAACGCGTCTGAACCAAAACATTTATTTGCCTCCTTTCTTTTTTTCCTCGAGTGCGAGTGCAACTCGAATAGCCACTCTTGCCCAACACGTGCTCCAGAATCGATTCTTCTCCCCGCAAACTTCAATATTCCATCTCGGCTTGTCGACGAATCTGTGCCGCAGTTGCTCGCTTGAGCAGATGGATATGGAACCCAGCACCGAAGACCTGCGTTCTCAAGTCCTACAAAATACTCTTCTACAGATCTCGTCGCCAGCACCGGCGGGGCTACTAAATGCTGCGTAATCTATCTTGGCGACTTGGCGACTTGGTCGAGCAGTGTGAAGCACAACCTTGCCGACATAACAATTTCGATTATCTCTGCCTAATCACCTGGCTGCAAGAGCAAGCAACTTGCCAGCTGTGCAAGAGTGATGTCCACGAAGTCCGATACGAGCTAGGTGAGGATGGGAGGCAAGGAAAGGTCTACAAACTCACGGGGAGGTCCGGGCCTGAGACGTCGAGTGACCGGGCTGAAGAACGCTTGAGCAGATCGGTGTACGAAGACGAAACTATTCAGAGACAACGTTTCGTCTACCGGCTTGACCTCTACTCTCTTCACGTAGGTCCGAACAGGCGACAACCTGCGGCGTCGAGATACAGAGAGCTGTCACCGCAACTCTTCATGACGGACCCAGAGCTCGTATCTCGAGCTAGAATGTGGCCACGCCGCGAGCTGCGTGTCTTCAAAATTCTCTATGCAGACGGCGACTCGCTAGATGACCACGATCCCATCCGCAGACGCAGAGCTGGCAATGCAGAGTTCTTGCTCAAATACACCGTTGCCATTCTCAAAACAATGGATTTTTTTTTGATCCCAAAGTCGCAATCTTCTGTTGAGCAATTATACCTGCCTTGGATCTTGTTTGGGCAGACGCTACCTAATTAGGTCTGAGAAAGTTCACGATGCAAGCCTCTAGCTTCGCATACTCTGCAAATCCGTACCGACTTCTTGCTAGTCTTCATTTGCTTTGCGAGAGAGATCTGAGTCCTGGTCTGAATCTTGAAGTTGACTTTCGATTGGAAGAAATCCCTCATTTTTTAGCCTCATTTTTTTGGAGTTGGCAGGCTTTTAGGCAGTGTGTTGGTAAAGTTGATAATACCAAGGGTTTGAGTAAATCGATAACGAGTTATGATTAGCGAAGCAGACTCGTACCATAATAAGGCTCGCTTATTACACGGACTACGTAATATTCTAGGAAAGCTGTGAGTATGTTAATTGCTCAGTATATATTACCAAAAAGTATGCCATAGCGTTTTCTATACCCCAATAAGCTTGTAAAATTAAACGGCAAATATTTATCGAACTCATTCACATCAAACAGCCAATCTTCTCTAGGACATGAGCCTATCACATAGATAACAAACTATCCTCACCATCGAACGGAGGCTAATGCACACAATATCAAGCCGTTCCCACATTCGTCATCAGATCTTGCCGGTGTCAACTCACTCTCCTCTGCAACAACGGCCTGCCGAGCCAGACTAGGAAGGTACATGGATGACGGCACGGGAACCTCGGGCTCTATCTGCAAGTACATCTTCTAGAAGAAGTGGCTTAAGCTTTGTGTTATCGGGTGACTTTGTTAGTGCTTTAGGGTCCAAGTGGCTTGATCAGATCTTAGGTTGACTTCTTGAGCTGGGTTCGAAGTTTGCATTCATAGGTGGGTAGAAAAGGGCCGGGTACAGCAGAACTAGGAGCGGGATCGATATTGATGCCATTTGAGAAGTTCATTTTCAAGTAGTTGAGAGACAAGCGTTCTAAAAATTGGTCCATGTACTTGAGGAGTCAGTAAGAGTGAGTTTGGGACAACTGCATCTCCGTTATTAGCGCAAAAGTACTGCACATCTCCTCGGCTGTAGATTTCCATACCAGGTGCGGGAAGACTTATATAGTTTCGGCACACGTCCGAACCGTTATTCAACTGGCCAATAGCCAGTTGAAATTCTGGGTGGCGAACGCACAGCTCAGGAGATACTCCAAGTTTAGGTTCGTTCTTTTGTTTACGAAGAGCCAGAAAAGCTCAAAGTTTGGTATTGTCTGTCTATTTGACGGAGTGAGATTGAATCCTACAAAGGATCCGAGGCCGCAGAGGAGGAAAGGATACTGATCCTGTGATAAGTTGCGCCAAGAGGAAAGAGATGAGAAAGAGGGAGAGCTCTACTTGATTTCTAGCTTTTAGTGGATTAGACATAAGATGCCATAATTTTACAACAAGGAAAGCTGCTCCCGCCATCACTCTCAACAATCGATCTTTGTCATGCGCATGAGTCAAGTGTGTCACGACGATCGGGTTGACTTGTATGACTGGCTTATCGGAGACTGGAGACGATCCTTGTCGATCTTTAAAGCTAAGATAGGTAAGCTAAAAAAGCACTGAGCGCTTAGGCGGACGGGAGCTGCCTAATGCGGCAGGTGTCAGATACTCATACCTATCGACCACCATCTAAACTTACCGGGCTTGGGCACGGTCGCAAACATCGGATTATTAGTAAGTGCGTGTTGTTTTGACTATAGTGCTATAATTCTAAGTCAACTCTGTGCTAAAAGTTATTCAAGTTAGAAGCAGATTAGACCTTTTTTCCTCCTTGCTGTTATATATTTACAAAAGACGTATAAATAGAATGATTGTATGGGTGCAAAGAGATTGGGCGTGGCGAAATCGCCAACTTCGGATGAACCTTGCCCTGTCGGCCCTACCCATATTTCGATATCCAATTGCGTGATCTGCCTTGCATTTACCTCCATCCCGCACATACCAATCGCAAGTGCAGAGCGCATCCCCCGGCACCTCATTACCCCGCTTTGGAATCCTACTCTTACTCGTAGGCGAATCAGGGTGCGCTACCGCTTGGTTACCCCTTAATCAAGTGGTACTTGAGGCTCAAAAGCTTATCTTATATGCCGATCCGTAGACAGAAGGTGGCAGACCTCAGCTTGGCTCTCAGTGCCGACAGGTCAGGAACAGAAGGTGGGGTATTTTTTAAGCTTGCAGCTCAATGCCGATCCCCTCGAGAACAGAAGGTGGCATATTTCAAGCGTGACCTGCTCCCCGAATGGCGCAACTCCTGATAACAACGACTTGCCCCATAGGGAGTTGAGAATCACGCTTTGGATCGACACCTTCCTCATGCGAGAAGCAGGAAGATTGACCATGAACAACACGGGTGGTGAGTGGTGAGTTGTTGAAGTACAGTATAGGCCATGTATAAGTAGATCGCTTCTCCCTTTAGACAATGACTCTCTCTTCATCAGCTACTATCTTTACTCTCAGTCTCTCACTTGTCCAACGAGTTCTGCCTCTTCTTAAACGATGTATTTCGCCACCGTTCTTGCCCTTGCTGCCGCCGCAGTCTCGGCATCGCCAGTTGAGCGCAGAGCCCAGACAGTCGCTGTGCCTTTGAAGCATGTCTCCAACTTCACGTCAATCAAGAATGTCGTCAGCAAAGGAAAGGCCCGTCTCAACGCAATCAACGGTATCAATTCCGTCGGCGTTACTGCTGCGGTTAGCTCTGGCTCGGTCACTAACGAAGATGTCACCTACGTCGCCCCGGTTGTGATTGGTGGTAAAACCTGGGAGCTCATCGTCGACACTGGGTGTAAGTCCCTTCTTCTAAACGCTTCGAGGCGCTCTTGGAGTTATCTGCTAATTTGATGCTGTTTAGCTTCAAACACCTGGTGCGGTGCGCAGACATCGTGTGAGAAGACTTCGACTGGCAAGTCTACCGGCGGCTCTGTCGAAGTTAGCTACGGCAGCGGCTCGTTCTCTGGCACCGAGTATACAGACACGGTCACCTTCGCTGGCCTCACTGTCACAAAACAGTCGATCGGCGCTGCTTCTCAAGCCTCTGGATTCGACGGTGTCGATGGTATTATCGGTTTCGGCCCAGTCGATCTGACTGAGGATACTGTCTCCAACGCAAACACCGTTCCAACTTTCATGGACAACCTTTACAGCCAGGGCTCTATCTCGACTGAAGTCCTCGGTGTTTCCTTCAGACCCGAATCCGGAAGCGACACCGATGACACCAACGGCGAACTGACTCTGGGTGGTACTGATAGCACTAAGTACTCTGGAACCCTCACCTACTTCCCGAAGCTTACGAGCGGTGATGCTTCGGCCTACTGGGGTATTGCGGTCGCTGAGTTCAGCATCGGCTCGACCAACCTCGGAACTGCCTCTGGCATTGTTGACACCGGAACCACTTTGATCTACATCCCAACTTCAGCCTACAACAAATTCCTCTCTGCCACCGGTGGCAAGACCGATAGCTCATCTGGCCTTGCCGAATTCAGCACAGCTCCGACCGCGACCTTCGGTATCAAGTTTGGGTCGACCACTTACACCCTCACCCCCTCGCAATATCTTGTCCCAACTGCCCAGTACAGCTACTACGGCCTCACCTCTGGCAAGTACTACGCCTGGATCAACGACGGTGGCAGCTCGGGTGTGGACTGCATCATTGGCCAGAAGTTCTTGGAGCAGTACTACGCAGTCTTTGACACCACCAACTCTCGCATTGGCTTCGCTACCGGTGTTTAAGGCTGTGTTGATTTGGTTTCATTTGTAACTGCTGTTGATATCTGGCATATAGCGAATCTGTATTCGGCTACGTACTCGTGAACATTTATCTAATTCAGTAATAAAATCAGTGGTAGCGTCTCCTCGGCCTTGTCGTCTCCCTTGCTCGGTGAAATCATGCAGGCCTTCAATATCGCGGCGACTGTTGAAGTAGCGTTTGCAGTTAGGTCGAAATCCTGGTCTGGCATTGATCCCTGAATATATTGCGTGTTGGGGCAGAACAGTAGTATAGGAAGAGCAATTTCAGACGATAATGCTCGGAGGATAGATGCCAGAAGAGGTGTCAAAGAAGAGTCATCCCTGATTATGTCTTAGGCAACTTTTCGCCTTTCGTAGTAGTGTATAGCCAGAAGGTAAGGTAATTTCGTCAAGGACCCCAACATCAGGCACGTAGTAGCTTCCTGCTCCATCTCTTCACTTGATGCCACCTGCTCTGCTTCTTGGGCTTCTTATTTTCAACAGGAGAATCCTCTGAATCAGAGTTCGGATGCCCATTCGGGAAAATTGTATCGTCATAAGAAGGTAGGTCAGGTGTAGTTGGGTAGGTATTTTGGCCTGTACTTGAAGGCTGACGAGTTCCTCGAGGATCATCTCGCCGACGAAGATGCAGAGTGAGTCTGGCCTGAGATCTTCGTTCCTGGATGAATCTCCACTCCTCTTCTCTGACAGAGCTCAAATGCGTCATCATTTGGGACTGATTGTCGAAGACAGCGAGGAGTTGCCGGTTGTCCCCGCTGCCGTGGTGCATTTGTCTCCGTTCATTGCCAGTCCAGCCTAAACAACCGATTGCAATGTATGGAATTCTCACATCGGGCTTCCGTTTCTTGACCATTGCGACATAGTATAGCTTGATGTCGTAGACAGTTCCCAACATGAATTTGCTTTGAGTACCAATCGACCTCTCCTCACCTGCCACGAGAATCTGTTCCAGACTAGAGAATTTCTCAAACATAGTGATAGGCTTCTTCCGGTCATCGGTATAACTAGCATGTACGATGATGTTTCGGACATTCTCCAGCTCAGGAAGAAGGGAATCGAGGGGGTCTGCCAGAGGCGTCACGTGGGCAGGGTCGACCAAGCCAATCCACCCAGGATTGAAGAAGAGGTAGTCAATTAAAGAGCTGAACCATATGTATCCCGAGGATCCGGGTAGTTTCTTGTACGAGGCGTAAAGAATTGATGCTTCACGTGACTCTCGGCATACCTCGAAAAGAGGCAAAGATCTTGTTGGCGCGCTGAACACATTCCTCTCGTTCTTTCGGATCCATTTGACCATGCGAGGTGTGAGGCTCTGATTCCATATCTGAAGGCGTATCTCCGTCGGCAGAGCAGCGAAGACTGTGAAGACAGCCTCTTGCTTTATCGGCGCTCCAGCTTGACCATTGCCCGAGACTCTCTGGTGCTCTGTCTCATGGGGAGGGCGCTCATTCATATCCTGAAGATCCGTTCCCTCAATGTGAGTTATTTCGCCTGTTCCCTCCATTCTCCTTGGGACGATGATTGAAAGAAGCTGGACAAGGCTGTGAACTGGTTGGAAGTGTCGTTGGTTGTGACCTGGCACAATGTGGCGATGCTGACGATTGCTTATCCAATAATTGGAGTACAATGTCCACAACGCGTTCAAAGATTCATACTATAATGCATCTCGACAAAATTCGAGACAAGAGTCGACTGTACTATACAGACGAGAGAGAGCAGAGCAGAAAAGGGATGAAAGCATTTATCCCACGAGATCACGTGTGGCTATAGTAGCCTCGCGGAAGCCAACGACGTGGACGTGACTCAAAAGTGTGGCAACTTTTACCTGTCTTGGTCTTCCACTTTCAACTTCAATTCTACAACATTCATATTTCCCAAGTTCTGACCGGACTTCGTTCGTTGTCGAATATCATTAACATTAGGTATTTCTAGGTGTTGCTATTCGGCAGCTCTTCTGAACTTCACATGCACACCACAAATCTTGCGACTTTTTGGACTTGTAACTTCGAAAACCGCAAACATGGCGACAGAAAACACAAAAACGGTACCCACGACATTTCATCGTTTCTCCGAATTGCCAGCTGAACTTCGCATTGAAATATTCCAACTCTCATATATCCCTCGACGAATCAAGCTTCGCAAGCATAGCAGCAGACCAAAACTTGCCCCTCGCTCATCTTGTGCTCTGTTGCTAGTCAGTCACGAAGCGCATTCAATCTTCATCGAAAGCTACACTCGTTGCTTGTACGAACACGGATTACCATCACAATACATCAACTTCGCCATCGACACACTATGCATCAATTCCGGCGACAAAGGATTAAGGAATCTCATCAAACAGTACCCAAAAACCATGGAGAAAGTGCAATGGCTGGACGTGAGACCATCAGATCGCACTGGAAGGGTTGATTGGACGGCGTGCAAGGTTCAGGATATGACTTCGCTACGACTCCTGACATTGCGCTGGTCGGATCTGGAAGGAGAGCTTGTTAGCGGCTACTTCTTCTCGGAACCTCTCGTTGAGACTATCTTCGGTCTGAGAAGAGCTTTTCTTGCAAGACAGAGTGAGACGGGGCAAGCACTGCCTGTAATCGCAGCTCTTTGCGGTCCGGGTGAGCAAACTCGAGGAAGTGTTATTCGCGGTGCCGGGGACCTGGGCTTGGCTTTGAAGGCGCCGTCTGCTGTTACTTGGGAGAGATTTGAGGTTGATATGAGCCCGGTGTGGAGGAAGAATTGGCCCGGTCGGGAAAAATACACGAGTAGAAAGTGGCTTGCTGAGGAGTTTGTGTCGGCGTGATGGGAGGTCGTTTCGAGCAAGTAACTTCTGTTCAATGTATTATCGAACTCTGTCTACTCAATCCTGACTCAATCCTGAAAAAACGTCCCCTCAAGTTTTGAGAGCATGAGTCTAGGTGATGACAAAATTCGTCATATCCCTAGGTATGTAATCTTAACAAGAAGCGAGAATCTCACTTGGAGCAACCATCACTCGCATAACATGTTGAACTCCGAATCGCACTTACACAGCCTTCAATTCTCTCTACCACGTCATCTCCATCCCTTCCTTCCTGCTCCTTCTTCAACAACAAGTCGAGCAATGAAAACAACAAAGCCAACACGCTGCCTTATCCGAAGCCCTCTTCTCCTTTTCCTCCTTCTTCGCATCTACCAACATCAGCCCCCTTCCTCATCCCCACCACACATCACAAGAAACATACCTTCCACCTCTACCTCCTCAACCGGCAGTCCTTGCTCCGCACGTCTCTGCTCCCGGATATTTTTCCACTTCTCCATCCCTTCCACGATTTCCTGGTCCTTGGTCGACATTTGATTCGCGGTAGACGAGGGTTGCTGTGTCCAGACACCAGCCTGGGAATCTTGCGCGGACATTGCAATTTAGTTTCGAGAATAAAAGATAGAAAGGAATGAGGAGTGAGAAACGAAGATTTATTCGAGAAGTTAGAGAATCTACAAAGGGGAATGAGGCTGTGCAAACCGCAGGATCTGCAGGGTTACTAGTACAGCGAGGAAAGGCCAAGACTTAGACCCTGGATGAGTGATTGGATGTTAACGTACGAGGAGAGTATTATATCACCAATCAACGGGCTCTAAGTTAAGGTTATTTCGGCTTTCGCTGTATTATTCGAAGTTCACTGATGAATTCTTTCAAAGTGACTGAAGCTTCCATCCTCTCCGCACTGACCGCTGCCGGTACTCCAATCTTCAAAAAAATAATTGATAGACATGTGTCATATGGAAACCGACCTAGTCTCAATCTTAAACCCAACATTATCCAGCCTGTCAACAAATCCTTTGCCAAGACAGGCTGGCGTGTAGATCCCACCACCAAGATTCAGGCTACCATCATGTACCGTAGCCGCAGCCTGCGCCAAAAACGCACCAGTCACTGCATAAAAAAATTAAGTCTGCTCTCATGCGGGGAATGACCATACTAACACGAATACATGCTCCCGTGGTATGTAGCCTGGCAATAAGCTTGCACTTCTTCTGTTGGCCTATCTGGAGTCGCAAGAGCTCGATATTCAATTATGTCGTCCTTGGCTTGTTCCATGCTCGGGCCCTCTCCAGGTTTGTACACCAATCTCTTGACCAGCTTTCTCATGGATGATGACTTTGCTAGCAAAAGAGCTGTCATCGCGGTTCCGTAATGTACCATCCTACCCGAGAACCAATTGCCTGTTTTCGTGTATTCCTCGAAACTAAAATCGGGACCATAGCTTTCTTCTTGCTTGCTATGAATTTGACTGAGCAGTCCCCAAGTACGATATACGATAGCGCGATCCATGGCACCACTTAAGAATGTCGTGACTCGGCCTAGATGAGGGATGGTCTTGGTTCCTGGAAAGATGGGAGCGGTGGCCTGGTTAGGATTGGGCACGGGTGACAGTGCGTACGGTTTCATCGCTGTATGCACTTCCTCGAGAGAACATACGTCGAATATCGACAAGAGACTGCTGACGGTGCCACCAGATGGTACAGAACTGTGTGTCTTTTAAGCGACTACTTCCCTCCACGGAAGGTGCTATTACTTACTCAAGCCGGTGAACTGAAACCACCACATCCCGCGTTTTCGCCCTGAACTCCATCCGATTGTACTTCGCAAGTGACCAGGTGATCAGGTCGGCTGGCGACGATTCAAGACCGAGTTGAGGGAACAACATGCTACCAGACTCCTTTGCAACGGCATCGTACTTCTTGATCATACTGGCGGTAAATGTGACTTCACCAGTGGAGTCCAAGTAATGAGTGCCATTTTCCGCACATGCCTTGAAAGCCTATATACGGTCAGCCTTGGTTCTTTCTTTATACCTAACATGCTTGAATTTACATACATACTCGCCATAAAGGCCGTAAGGTCCCACTGTAGTGACTACACGAATCAGTTCACTGGACGATAAGAAGTTCGAAAGAAAGTGGTACTGAGGATAAAAGTCTTCTTCGCCAAGGTATTCAGATCCTCTTCTGTCAGCGCAACTACCTCGATATCTAGTGCTACAATTAGCTTCAATCATTGCTTGCACCAGTCCCAAGATAGGGACCGCAATCGTTGCATTGTATAGCCAGAGATCACATTTCCGTTCGATATTTGCGTCCAGTTTCATAGACCCAGTTTGCACGCAAATCATGGACAAAACTCACCAGGCTGTAGACGATCAGGGTTCAACTTCCTTAGCTCGTCGCTGAACTTCTCAAGCTTATCCCTTGAGCGTCCAGCAATCGCCCACCTGAGATCTGTGGGTAGATGGTTGGCAATATGTTCAGCTGTGAGCTTCCCAGTATAGCCTTGGAAATGTCTCATTAGCATCGTTATGTTTTTTCCCCGAAACTCTCACGAACCTGTAGCACCAAACACAACCAGGTCATAATGACGGCCATGTTCGTATGGCATCGTGTAGGTGGTTTCAGTGAAAGTCCAGGGAGTCGTTGAACAATAGAGTGTGATGATATTGGGTTTGTGTTTTTTTTGAGACAAATATACAGCCAATACTCGAGAGTAGAGATGAAATAGATGTATATTAGGACTGAAATGACACTGGATTCTCTGTCCCTTTAAAAGAGTTGAAATGTCCCCTGCTTCAGCCTCCATCACGTGCTCGGCTTGAAAGTCACCCCGCTTCCCCTGTTCCTAGGAACGCCACATCTCCACTGTTCCTGCAGCTTATTGCGGCTCTCCGCGCACTGGACTTGAGACCGGCTTAATGGCGCCACCGAGCGCTGATAGACTTGTAGATTTTGACTCAATTATTATGCTTCTCTTGCGGTAATTATCCCCAATGACAAACAAAAGTTCCGAAATCATGCGTTGAACTAGTGCATAAAGCTCTAGATCCGCTTAGAGAAATTTACAATGACCAAAAAGGCTGCCAAGTCGTGCGCTGGTGAATATTTTTAAACCAGTGAATTCTGGAATGACGGACAAGAATTCCGGAATTATGTACAATCTAGTGAATTCTGGGATGACGGATATCAATCCCGAAATCATATACCAGTGAATCACGGGCTCTAGAAATCTCCTCTTCTCCTTTGTCTATAAATACAAGCGGCCGCCTCCTCCGCTTCTTCCTTTCTTCTCATCAACAAGATCTTGCACCCAACTTTATGGGATTCAAAGTTGACTGTTGCCAAGCTATCTCTTGCTGTCAACATTCTGTCTCAAGTGATTAAATAATCCGCAGTATGAGTGATTATCAACCAAAGTCCCTTGGTACTGCGTGTTATGATAGAACAGCGACTTGCTCCCACTTTCATGATAGGCGTACAATACAATCAAAAAACCTCAGCAAGCGATAGCCCTGGTGCGCCCATCTGCTTTTCAATAATCACCATTTTCTTTTTGAATTCCAAATTCCTACCTTTCCCCCAAATTTTTCGCAGACGCTCCCGTACAGAATGAATGTACTCTTCTTCAGAGTCCTTGAAGGCAAGTTTGTAATCGATAGACGGCATCAGGGGAGGTATGTCGCTAGCTGTCATCTTCTGCGAAATTATATGACTCAAAACCTCGGGGCGAATCTTTGCATAATATAGACAATTCCAATCGAGCTCTTCCTGCATCTGCCCTGACACGTGCTCGGGAGGGAATAATCCGTTGTTCAATATCCTTTCTTCGTACTCGATCGGGTCCATGAAGCGGACCGACGAACTATCGTCTTGGTCGGCTGCCCATTCAGCAAGCACGATTGTGAGCTTTTCGAGGCGAGGGAAAACTCGCAGCAAGATATCCGATACCAATAGCTCGAGCGAGCACCCCCCACGAGCGGATAATGGTTCGTCCAGGCGTACCAGAATAGCAACCCTGCTAATCGTCGCCAAACCCCCTTCTCGGACTCGAAACATCTCTTTTATGAAGGCAGGGTAATTGGCACCATTGGGGGAGACCGTGTTGTAACGAACGTAGATTGTGTCCCTGTCGAAGTCAAAATAGGTGTTACCAGGAGCATAAGGCGTGGCAAACGTTTTGTTATAGTGTTTTGATGCTACTGCGCGGGATTCTTGGCAGACAGATAGCAGACTCGGCGGAGAGCAGTCTGATCTGAAAGCGACCTCTGTCACAAAGGGAGAGCGGATCGACTCCTCGTAGTCGCTTTCCGAGTCCGATTCGTCTTCTTGTGTAGGACGTGGATCTGCGCTTCCAGACGCGGCGGTCTCTCCATCGCGCAATTCAGGTGCATCCAAAGTGTCATGCCCCTCATCCTTTATCGCCATGTGTCTCGTCTCATCTTTACAAGGTACGAGGTTCAGGCATATCGTTCTGGGACCTGGAATAGCGAATTCCCACTATGATATCTTCGGGTCAGTACGGCATCGTATCTCAGGAATTATTTGGCTGTATCCGAAGAAGACACTTACGATTCTCAATCTCAATTCTGTAGGTAACAGGCCAAACACAGTGAACGTGCGTTCCATTGCTACGATTTCTTTGTTCGACATAGTACGACAGAGGAAGAGAAGCGAAGACAAGACATGACAAAAGTATTCAATAGCGCGTTCTGCAGTCTGTAGTCTGTATACTTTACAGGATGAATGCCGGATTTGTATGTTTCGCTATTGATGTTCGAGTTGGTTTGTTCTGTTCTGAGATGTTCCGGAGTCTGTGCACCCTCGCTAATCGTGCACTAAAATTCTGCCCTAGACTCCGCCTTTTAGCGCATCCCAGCTGTACGGTACAGGCAAAGTCTGCAAAATATTGTACCTAGGTGCCTAGGTAAGTTTCATAACCTAGTCTTAAGAAAGTTTGATTTTCATCTTGTGTTGGTTTCTTTCTCAACAGCGATTCTCTGTTCTGCAATATCTCCAGGAACGGTAAGCACAGCCAACCTTAAGGATTTCACTATTATCAACGAGCATGAAGCGCAGTGAAATTTACTGTCCCAAGTGAAATAATTCATCACAGATACATACATATCTACCTATTCCCACTCAGACGCAGGACTCATTTCCTCTTGGTAGCATTCCCCTTCTTCGAGGAGCCTGAAGCCTTCTCGGCTACATTATCCAACACCTTCTGTGCCTTCTGCGCACCTTCCTTTCTAACAGCCACACTGGCATCAGCTCCCGCTGGGGCAGCTAACGGTCTAGCAGCAACCTTCTCCTCGATTTGCTCTTCATCTCCTCCTTGGCCGAATTCGTTGACTCTTGTGTAGTCAACCTTGTATTTGTAGCTCTGGTACAGGTAGACGAAGAAGATAACATCGTCTCTCAGGGTAGCAAGACGATGCAATAAGGGCATCTTGACGGTGAATGCGAAGAGATCGTCGATGAAGGTGTTGAGTGTCTTGTACATCATGGTTCTGCCGGGCATGTGTGCCACTGACTTGAGGCGGTAATTGATGTAGAGGGATGGAACCATCATGAGGAATCCGTAAGCGTAGACGGATCCTACGAGGGTAGTGATCACGAATGAGTACCAAGATTTATGAGTCTCGTATTTGAGGGAATAGCCAGCGTAAGCGAGGAGGAGCGGGACGGCAATCATGTAGAGGTACTTGAAAGCAATTTCATCATACTCCTTGGTCTTTTCTTCAACGTCGGAAAGCGTGTGAGTGTCTTCGAATGCAATTCGGTATGGGATGAAAGAGTTGGGCGCGTCTCGAATTCGGACATTGACGACAGTGGTGATCTTCCAGAGTTCGAGCACAATGCCCATACCTTGAGAGAACAAGATCATCCAACCTGAGATTGTTAACGACGTGAGCAATAAGGAGTGTGGGATACCTACTGGTGTTTTCATTGTTATCCATTAAGTAAAGGAAGATAACAGCTTGCATGAAGACATTTGCGAGAATAGATCTGACCGAGATACCGACATTGTTCTTCTTGTTTCGGTAATGACTGATGTCCGATTTGAAAGCCAACATTTCAAAGATCATGTGAAGGATACTGACAACGACAGTCGTGCCCAGGAGGTAAATGTTTGTGTCAAGGAGGACTTCTTTGATCATTTCGAACTCAGTGCCGTCTCCACCTCCAGCTTGCATTTGACCTAAAAAGGTTAATCACCGACGTTTGAATTCGCATCAATAACATACCATTAGCAGCATTTCTGGCAGTTTGCTTGACACCTTCATCCACGCTAGCAATAAGACTGAACTTCCAATTCGCAAGGTGGTTGAGGTTGATGTGGAGAGGCAAAGTAGTAACAGTGGAGTTCAGAGGCATCATATGTGTTCTGAGTTGCCAGAAAGTGTTCACGAACAAAACAGGATAATACCATCCATTCTGTCCAGTGGCATCTCGAGCACCTGTCGCCTCAGGGTGAACGTATTGGCGGACAGCTGGTTGAAGAGTTGGGAACAACATAACACCGGCATCCGGGACGAAAGACATGGTAAAGTTCGGATGATAATGGGATTTGATGATAGGTCCAGTTGGGACTTCTTCCACCTCCTATTGTTTCATTAGTATACATCTTCAACTGGAACCATAATTTCCTACCGTTTCAGTCTCATTGGCAGCAGCAAGAAGATTCTTTGTTTTCTTGATCTTCTTCTGCGCAATGTATTGCGTCAGCGGATGAACGAAATGGTAAGCTTTCGTCGGGTCGTATCCTTGAACTGAAGGGTCGATGCTGCTGCCAGCTAGAGCAATGTAAAAGTGTCCCCATAGCGTTCCGTTGTTTTGAACCTCCTTCGGCACCTCAAAACTTGTATCAATAACCCTGTTCTCGTCATAGTTTCCAAACTTAAATCCATTCTCTTCAACAACAATTCTGTCCTTCGGTACTTTTGCCAACGGCTCCGAAACAAACGTTGGAGAAACAACAATTGTGATATCCAATGAACTATCGAGAGGCCAGATAGGTGCGAGTCTCTGCGGAATAGGATTGTACGCCGCGCCCTCGTCAAGGTGATTTGGTCTCGACATAAAAGGTGGGATAGCAGCAGTGTTTGCAGGAACAGTAACAACAGCTCCGGAAGCGTCGGTCGTGGTCGTCGTGGCACCTTTATTTCCCATGAATTGTCCCATAATAAATTGCATACCAAAGAAGATAGCAAGTCCTTGAATGGCAGACTTAATCATGGGCTGTGACCGAGGCTATTAGCATATGTCTCTCCGTTGATGGATAGCAAGACTTACGCTCATGCCGCTCTCAGTCTGTGCTTGCGCACCGGCAACTGCTGGAGCTGCTGGAGGAGGCATCTTGAAGAATTGTCGATGTTCGGAACCTCTTGCTCAATCGCTCGAGATGAGGTTGAACAAGGTGACGAGGAGCAAAAGTTTCCAGCTCGGCTAGGATAATCAGAGACCCTTCCTGATCCAGATCAACCAATCATCTTTCACGTAGGCTTTTCGCGGCTGCACGGCTGGAAACAGCGACAAGGGCTGCAAGAATGTGTCATACACCGTGAACTTGGTCGAGTTAACGAATGCGGTATTTTGTTGAGAACATTCATGAACATAGGAAATTCTTGAACATTGATTTCTTCTACTATCTGTCCTTATCAACTGTCTCGTCTTTTCGCCCACTTTCAGAGCAAATCAGACAAGTCAACTGACCACACTTGTGCTACCGAATACTTGAGTACAAGATCAGCCTTGTTTAAGCCGTATGCGCTCTCCTCGAACATTGGTTTTTCCACAACATCAATTGATTCCGAATCAGACTCAAATAGAGTAATTGACTTAATACATACGATTTCAAATTCCCAGTCAAATCTTTCTATACTGCATTCCAATATGGCTTCAGGCGGGGCATCACCAGCGGCGAAACCTACAGATCTCTCAACCCCACTTCACGGCCTCTCCAAGTTAAATCCCAACCATGTTCTTAGCATTGCGAGCGACGAGAATGCCACTCCTTCCAATGGCTCACCAACAGTCAAGGTCTGCGTCTTCTGTGGCTCCTCCGCAGGAAAGTCACCAGCGCATATGGTAAGTCGCAACTATTTCGCCTTGCTCGGGCAATTGATGTCCCCGCTACTCTTTCCTATTACTTCTTACCTTTAATTATTACCTTTAATTTGGCAAAGCTAACTCCCTCACAGGAAGCAGCCCGCTCCCTAGCCAAAGTCTTCCACGAAAACAACATCTCCCTCGTCTACGGCGGCGGAACAGTAGGCCTCATGGGCGAAGTAGCACGTACTCTCGTCTCTCTCTCCGGTCCCACGTCCGTCCACGGCATTATCCCCGCTCCCCTGGTAAAATACGAACGAGGACCCGACTCGACAATAGCCAACGACCCCTCGTTCCTCCCAGACTACAATACCTATGGCAAGACGACAGTAGTGAAAGACATGCACACCCGCAAGCAAATGATGGCGCAAGAGGTGCTGGCTGGGGGTCAGGGAAGCGGATTTGTGGCTTTGAGTGGTGGGTATGGGACTTTGGAGGAGCTGATGGAGGTTGTTACTTGGAATCAGTTGGGGATTCATAATAGAGGCGTGGTGATTTATAATGTGGAGGGGTATTGGGATGGTTTATTGAACTGGGTCAAGGGAAGTGTGGAGGCGGGCTTTGTGGGAGAGGGTACGAAGGGAATTATCAAGGAAGCAAAGACTGGCCAGGAGTGCGTGGAGGGTTTGAAGGACTACAAGGTGGCAGAAGGTCGGTTCAAGTTGGAGTGGGGCAATGAATAGGTGGCAAGCACACATGGAGTGCTGACGGGTCCTCCAATGATGATTATAGCTCTCTCACTAGAGACGCGTATGGATTTAGCGCTTGCTTTTGGCGTCGGTACACAAAGAAGGGCATTGGAACCAGGTAGATCGTGGCTGGGAGGTGTTGCAAAAACTCCTCTCGTATAGACCTAGAGCAAATGCTTAGACTTCGCCCTTCTATCATTGTTCCTGTATGTTGTACAATGCCATTTTCATTCATCACCCAGCTCCCCAGACCCCTACGAATCGACCTCCATTCCCCCCTCCGCAGTCTCATTACCCTCTGCCACCAAATCCACCCATTGCTTAACCTCCATCCCATCATAAAGCTTGAATGCCTCAATAGCCTTTGCACCCTCCGCTCTAACACCAACAACACCGACACTGCAATTCTCTACCGTTAACTCCTTGTCCTGTGCCAAACTCTCCTTCAAAGCCGCCAGCCCATGCTTAACTAACTCCTCTCTCCCCGCATCCGCAAACTTCTCCAAATTTCTCTCCAAATACGTCCTCGCCATCTGACTCCGAGCTCCAATCGCACAAGCAACCATCTCCTGCGTCATACCCGAAGGCTGGAACTCGAATAGATGCGGTCCCGTCTCATCCACACCCGCAACCAGGAGTCCGACACCATATGGTCTCTTTCCGTAATGTTGGGTATTGGTTTGTGCTCTGTCGCCGATGGAGGATACGAGGCGTTCGAGGGGGATGGCGCGGCCGTAGGTCAGGCGGGAAGAGAGGGATTGTTGCTTCATGAAGTTGGAGAGGACGCGGGCATCGGATGCTAAGCCTGCCAGGGCCAGACCGAGATGTTCGTCGATGGCGATGACTTTCTTTTGGTAGGAGGACAGCTCTTCTGCGTTGCGCTGAGGATTTGGTTAGTTGTTTTGTGATTCAGAGATGGAGAGAAATGGATGCACCTTTAATGCGACAAGGACGGCATGTGTCTTGCTGACTATTCCTACGACGACACTTCCTTGCTTCACAGCTTCGGAGGCATATTCAACTTGGAAGATTCGTCCTTGTGGCGAGCTATAGGTGCTAATATCAGCTTCATCTTCAATCCAAACGCGCCTGTAGAACTCACAAGGTGACGGAGTCGTTATCATAATTGTTTCGGAACATCTTGACGTGTCTGCAGCTCTAGCTGCTTGTGTATGTATCGTAAAGAGCGGCAATGGAACGACAGAAGACGATGCGGTGAAATGCTGGACTGATGAGAGTTTCTTTGGGCAAGGCAGATACGCCGACGAAGCTCGCTCTTGCTCTTTCCAGAATTAAGGTTGCCGTAGTTTAGCAGGGCACGCTTACCGGGGTGCAACTTGAGCCTCGCGAGGGCGGACGTCAGCTCAAGAACAAGATCACGCAGGCAGGACAACGGCGATTTCAACCACCGCGATCTCATCAACTCTGCGACTCTACTCTAATACGATAATCTGCATGGAGGAGTAGTGAGTTGATTATCGGAACCTGGTCATACATTCAGTTGGAAAGGAAGCGCTCATCCCGAAACATCGCAACGCAGCCTCACGATAACACCCACCTCAAGAACCAACCCACTACCACCCTATATGCAATTCAAGATGACCGCGGGACTCAAAACGATCATTTCACTCTCCTTTGTACATCCCCTCAATCATCTTCTCCCTCCATTTCTCCCTTTCCGAGCTTAGAGGCTAACCGCCCATCAGGTTCTAGCAATAGGTTTCCTTCTAGTCATTCTCTCCTGCGCCCTGTTCCACCAATACCTTCCTCTCCTCGTCGTCGCGACCTACGTCCTTGCTCCGCTGCCAAACTGGATCTGTGGACGATGCGCCAATCCCGATGATTTCGTCGAGAGCTCGGGTAATGCGGTTGTGGATTTCGGGCGCTTCTGCACGGGGTTCTTGGTCTTGATGGGTGTTGGTAAGTTCATATTTCTCTTATGATTGCTAGGCTTCGTATACTGGAATGAAGCTTGCGTTTGCAAGATGATAGGAACCTGTGGAATGGGAGATGGGCGTGGGGCTGCTAGCAAGGCTGGAGGGTAAAAGATTTTGAAATCAGTGCTAACGTAGCATCTAGCTCTTCCGGTATTGCTTGCACACTCAGCGATCATTCGATGGGATGCATGTGTCATGTCCATCATTGGAGGTGGACTCATCTATGGCACCATCATCGCCTTCTCAATGTTCTTTGAAGAGGAGCAAGAATTCTAAATCAGGAAGCAGAGTGTCCGGAAATGGGAGGGAGAATGGAAATCGAACCGGCAACCTAGCCAAGGGAGGACGAAAGAAGGGAAAAGGAGCACTTGTATGTGTAAAGTGTAGCATATCATCAGCACGGTCTTGGGTTTTTCACGACGTTCGAGCAAGGTAGCGCGCGAAATTTTGATATTTCAAATCTATCTATTGAAACAGACCCTTTCTATCTATTGGGTATCGTTGAGTATTTTGAGCCGCCGTGTATATGCAACGCCTGACCATGACCCTAATACGTTGAGTATCCCCTCTTGTTGAATGTTGTAATCAAAAACGCCACGCTAGCCGACGTGAGTCCCAGTATATGCAAAATGTCACTGTCTAAACAATCCCAACGTACCACTTAGCTTGGTCAACATCTCCTCTCTTTCTCCCCTTGCCGTGCTGAGAGCTGTAACTGCACCGCCGGCTCCGATGTGCCAAGTTTCTGTCTCTATCTTCTCACCAGTCTCGAAAATCTCAACACCATCTTCGTCGTCCCATTTGAACATGCACCTGATTGTCACACTCCAGTCACCTCGTCCGGCTACGTCCATATAGCCTACTACACCCGAGTACAAGCTTCTGTCTTTCCCACCCTCAATCTCTTGCAAGATCTCACAGCTTCTTTTCTTCGGCGCCCCAGTCATGCTTCCAGGTGGTAGACTAGCTGCGAGAACATCGAGTCCAGTGTACCTCTTTCTCATCGCCTCCTCGACTTCCTTCTCACGCATATGCCATTTTAGATCCGGATCAACAGCTTGTGGTATTTGTCCCTGGACAATTGAGATCATCTGGAAGACGCTCTTGTACTCTTCTACAACCATAAGCCTAGGGACAGCAACATTCCCGCTTCCGCACACGCCGTGAAGATCATGGCGCACAAGATCAACAATCATCAGATTCTCGGCTTTCTCTTTCGGGATATCGAGGAGCGCGGTGGCTTGTGCAAGGGTCGATACCTCGGCGGATTTCCGGACGGTGCCTTTCATTGGTCGAAGCTCGCATTTTCCTTCTGCGGAGTACTTTAAGAAGCGTTCAGGAGATGCAGAGACGAGAGTTGCGGAGCCGAGTCGAATATAGGATGCGAACGGTGCTGGCTGGCGGGAACGAAGAGTCTTGTATAGATCCCAGGAGGAAATTGAGCGGGATTTGCGGAGAGTGACCAGTGTTTGGTCTGTAAGGCAGATCTCATAGGAATCGCCACTGCGAATGGATTCTTGGCACTTGTGAACCTTCTGCTCGTAATCGGCATCTTCTGGGGTGGTGATGGAAAGCACGGATTCGCTCGAGGTGTTTCGTAATGTGCTTTGGAAAGGGTTTCGCTGCGTGAACTTCGCTGGTAATCGTGCCATGTTTCTAATATGTACCATAGTCCCATTCAAGAGAAAGTTGCTCACTGGAGGGCTTGCTTTAGACGTGTGGGTGTGATTGTGAGTTGTAGCTATGCCGCTGAGGGTATTGCCGTTGTAATGAAACTTGATGCTGCAAGGCAAAGGAATGCCATGTTTCGATATAGCACGGAGGAGCTGCTCTTTTGTTGTTCCTTCTGCTATATTCGAATATGTGGTAGTATATGGTGAGAAGCTGTCAAGGGGAAACAGGGCATTCTGTAGCAGCGAGCGAATTCTGTTCTGCCAGGAAGCTGATTTGCTAGCATCAGAATTCGGAGCTAGCTCCTGGAGGTAGATAATATTCTTGACATGATCGATTACCATGCTTCGGGTGACCCACGCAAATGACAAGTCGGGACGACCGACATTACTGGCACCTGTCTTGACAGGTATGACTCCAATGCTTTGGAGACCTAGCTCATAGGTAGTGTAGCCCATGAAACCTCCCCAGAAAGGAGATTCCTTGCCAACCTCTGCTGGGACGACGTTTAGCACTTGTCTGCGGTCCAAATGCTTTGCAAGAAATGGCCAGATCCCCCCATAGGGATCTATATCTAAAATTTGAGAATATTGATCTCCGGGTTTGCGGCAAATTGAACGAAGACTGTTTTCTCCAGAAGTGTATTCGTATCTCAAGCAGTCATCAATCTCGAGGCCAATTATGCTATACTTCCCTCGAACATCTGCAGACCCCACAGATTTCTCATGTGCGTTCGAGGACTCGAAAACGATACGATCACCTCTATCTCCTTGGACGATTTCCGAGATCTCTACAACAGAGACATTTGCTGGGATTGGAACAACAAGAGAATGGCAGACCAAATCATTCACAGCGTGGATCTTGGGAACAATTGAGGTCAGCCCCATATGTCCATCTAATTTTTCCAGACGTGTCTTCTCATGCTGTGACAGCAGACTCTCCCGCACTGCAGTCCGGCCTTGTATCGGTCCATCGAAGCTAAGTCGTCGTTTCCGATGAAGATTATTCCAGCATGTTGCATGAAAAAACCATTGTTCAAGGACTTTCGTACTTTCCGGGTTCGTGCAAATCGACTCTGGGTGATACTGAAGGGCCCAAAATGGCTTCGAAACATGCTGAACTGCAACCAAAACTCTAGCATCTTCCACACCGGCATCGTTCGCAATAGACAGGTCATGCTCGACCCATGCTAAAGGCTGGAGATCTGGACATCGTGTTGAGGGCTTCCATTTTTGTACTTCCCACTGCCCGTTCGGTACTGAGTCCTGGCCAATATCAACGCACAGACTTTGGTAAAGCGTTGCGGCAATCTCTCCAACATTGTGGAATATCGATTGCTGGCCCTCGACCTTGTTCTCTCCAGCGTGTTGTATTCGGCGTACGATTCCATGCTGCGGACCTTTCAATCTTCTAACCTTCGCACCAAACTCGAGACACAAACTCTGGAAGCCCAAGCATATCCCCAGAACTGGCAGCAACTCATTCTCGCTGAGCTTCCATATTCTCCTTATAAGACCTACATCCTCTTCTTTCGCCGGATGTCCCGGACCAGGTCCACAGATTACCGCAACATAGTGTCTCAATTCCTCATGCAAACCAGCATCGGTGGCTAAGGCGGGGTTGTCGATTTTTATTGTTCGGACGGAAACATCGAGAGTCGTTTCCAGAAGCGAGATTATATTGTTCGAGAAGCTGTCGTATGCATCGATGAATAATATCAGAGGCTTCGGTATTAGCATAGTTACATGCAATTGGGGCCGTGTGTCGTCGCACTGGAGGAATGATTTTCGTGACTGTTCGGTGATATATTTCTCTAAACTTTTGCTCAAACCAAGTCGGTGTACAACGGCAGTTTCCCCATTTCGGGTCTAGTCTACCTGCGGGGTTTTCTTCCTGCATGAGCACTTGCATGATCGACAATAAAACTAACAATGAAGTGGGCTCAAGCTGTAATCGCTGTCTCAATAAAGATGCCTGACCAAACACAAGAAGTAAGTGCTTCTCGACTTGGGCACAGTCTTTTGGTGGTCGTACTAAAGTATCAATGCTTCTGTCATCTCTTTTTTATTTAGCACAGCTGCCCATTGTACGGATTCATTTGAGTCAGGAAAGCTCCACTGTCCGGTCGTGGCTGATCGGCCTCGTTGTATTGCCTACTCCGCATTAGCTTGCTACCCCGCGTTGGTCTTCAGACCATCAGAGCAGTGTACACGGATAACGTCCACCTCCTCGAATTGTCTTCAGGGCTCAATATTTTCCTTTTACTGCTTCACCAAGTGTTCCAGTCACTCATGACGCCGTTTTGTAGGTCAAAATCTCATGATTCATCGGTGGTTTTTCCCAATAGAGAATTTGATATTTTCGAGTCATCCAATCTCATGTCTATATCTTCTTCCTTCCAAGCCGAGAATGATTGCTTTCGCTAGTCCCAACCCATACACTCTTTTGAAACACCCTGTCTCTTGGACAGTACGCTCCTTTACAAACGCTTCCCCAGCCACTTCATGTACTATGAGATACACTCTTGCCGCGGCCTTTATGTGGCCATGGATCGTCATTGCAGGTTCTTTGACCGATATCAAACATGTTGTATTCTTGATGCAGTCCGGAAGATCTTTTGATCATGTGAGCACATCTTTATCATCCATGTGAAGTTGCTGATCTTGTCTGCAGTATTTCGGGACAATGTCAGGAGTCAAAGGGTTTGCGGATCTAAATTACTAGATCAATCCAGATGGACAAGACGTGTTTGACCAGTCTGTTACCAGTTCTCTCAAAGGAGGTCTAGAAGTGAATACTAAGACTGATCTTAGGATTGTCACTCCAGGCCAAAGCTCGACAGAGGGTGTACCCGCAGGATCATCTATTTTACCTTGGCCTGCTTCATACCTCGGCGGTAATTGGACTGACGTTGCTCAGTGTATGATTGGGGGCTACGATGGTTGGAGCCAGTCGCATCAGGTATGGGATAACGGTGCAAATGATGACTGGGCTTCCGCCAACACGCCAAACAGCATGGCCTATTTCACAAGAGATGACATCCCTACACATTTTGGAATTGCAGAAGCTTACACAGTAGGAGATATGTATCAAGTGAGTCTGTCTGTTACTTTTGAAGACGCGACTAACTTACTTTTAAAGCAAGCCGTAATGTCTTCAATTGACCCAAATCGAGTCTTCTTCTTTTCGGGATCAGCTGGCATTCCTGGCGGGCCTCAACAGTCAGACGAAGGTGGCCCAGTACTTCAGGACTCGGCGGGTTGGCCCGGTAAGCACATACCTATGTCGAGCGTCGATGCAATCCTAACGTGCAAACTCCAGGTTGTGGTCACACAGATCCTAATTTAGACTGTTGGCCCTTGAAATGGCATCCAATCATGAAACATCTCCAAGATGCCAATGTCACTTGGCAAGTCTATCAAGACACTCCATACGCACATGGTCAGCAAATATTGGCAGGCTTCGAAGACTTCAATATCACAGCACCTGGAGATCCCATGTACAATAGAGGCCTTGCAGTTAATGAAAGCAACTCGTTCATCACCTTCATCGATCAAGCCATGAATGGAACATTACCTCAAGTAAGTTGGATCATCGCGAACGAAACTCTCAGAACGGCCCGAGTTTAGGCCCAGAGACGGTGCGTGGCTACAAGAAGCGATTGTAGCTGCAACAAGTTCGGGCGAATCTCAGAATACAACAGCTTTGTTCATTTCATACGATGGTAAGGACCAATTGATCGGTCATAAAGGAAACGCTGACTGGTAAAGATGCTGGAGGATGGTTCGACCATGTGCCTCCTACTCATTCACCCAACGGAACAGCAGGAGAATGGATGCAAGATCCGTACGGAGGTGCTGGCTACACTCCAGCAGGCCCTGGGTTTCGAGTTCCATTCTAAATTATTTCACCATGGACTATGAATGGCAATGTCTTCACAGAGCATGCTGATCATTCATCCCAAAGTAAGTGATCCTTCTCTATTACTGATCAACTATTGACCAGACAAGTCATGTTTCTAGGTTTGTTGTCCAGACTCTACAAGACATTATGCACGCTGATGACAATTGAAAGAGAAATGGCTGCAAGCGCTTGGGTATAATGTAACGACTTGTAAGTGACTTTTACTTACGTTCGTCCCTAGTTTTTGTTTCTAAGCTATCATACTTGGAATTTTTGTTCACAATTTATTCGCCGATGTATCGCGCCGAAGTTCAATCATTTACATGGAGACTGAGTCTTCTGGAAATCTTTGCTCCTAGGAATGGTCACTAATTTCTGGATAAAGCTGAGATAAACCCATGGCGACGACAATATATGTCTAATCTGATCAATGCATTTGACTTCAATAATGTACGTTGTCTGTTATAACTCATTTCAGCTACCAATACCCTTCTCGTTCTGATGTACGTCCACAGCCGAATTACTCGGTTCCGAATCCACCATGGCCAGCAACACCCCCTAACGACACGGTTCTGAGCAGCTTTTGTGGTCAGTATCCAGACCGAAATCCTCTTATTCCCATCAACGAGACTCGATCGTCTGCCCTCGCCACCGAGGAAGGCTTCAAGCAAGTTCGAGGAAACCTTACCGAAGGACGTTACCTTGTATTCGAACAGAACGGATATGCACTGGCTAACACTGGCGGTGCCGAAATGACAACCATGGTTGCGACTCCCGATCACGAACTTATCGTCCAACAATGGGTTGTCGAGCAATATGAAGCGTTTGTGCCAAATTTCAAATTCTACAGCGTTGTCGACAAAAGATATGTCGAGAATGTGGTGATTGAGTACCTTGGCGCTGATGTGGGGTATAGTCTATTCTGTGACGGGTTATACTGTACGTACCTAGGATGACCCTATTTTTCATGACTAAGAGTCTTATGTTCTCAATATCTGGTGAGTTGCTGCTGACTTTTTTGTCAACCAGGGGGCATAGAAAACAACGAGACAGCAGGCATTATGCAATTCAGTTCCAAGCCAGCGGGATTCAACATTTACAGCGTCACTTATGGGAACAGCGCGTGGACTTGACATTGTTGTACTGAGAACAGATCGTGAATGGCCTACGACATATTATATGTATGGATGTGACCGGGGGCAAGACTTGTACAGTATATGCACTGGAGTAAGGAGCATTCTATCAAATCAAAGAATTTTCCAATTTCTTATCTCAGATCGCTTCTGATCCATTAATTGAGACTATATAGACGGGCAAGGAAGTAATAGACCCGACAGGGTGGGACGTCAAATCAATTCCAGGTAAGCAATTCATCAAACATTATCTTCAGACCATACCATCTCATTTCTCCAATGTCTTCTCCTTCTTCTCAAGCTCCATCCTTTCCAACAAACTCAAGAAAGGAGGCAAAAACAACTCAGTCTCAGCTTCAAACCCCTGATGATGTCCCGGAACAACAACCCTCTCACAGCCCAAAATGGCAGCTTGCTCCTCGGTCGCCACACTAAACCAGGCATCCTTACTTCGCTCTCCTGCCATAACCGCAATGCTCGTCCCATTCTTCACCAACTTCCTCAAGTCAGGCGTATAGATCGACGCCGTCCAAAACTCATACTCCCAGAAGCTCGGCTCGTTCCTGGGATCTGAACGTGTGGGAGGAACACCAACATCATCGTATCCGATGAAGAACTTGCGAAATTCCTGCTGTGCGGCTTGGATCCCAACAGTTCGATATAGCTGCTCGCAAGTATATAGCTTGTTGTATACCTCAGTCGAGTTCGGGAGAAGGGATGATGTTGGCGCCTCGTGGCAAACGATGCGGTCGACCATGTCAGGAAAGTCGATACCAAATTGAAAAGCGATGACGCCCCCGAGACTGCTGCCGAAAATGATGGATTTGGAGAAGCCCATAGCTTTGATGATGGCTGCGACATCGCGAGCTTGCTGGGGGTGGCTGAGTGGCTTGCTCTTTTCGACTTGGCTGTTGGACATTTGGCGGCGGTCGAACGTCACGCAAGTGAAGGTTGGTGACATGAGCTCCATGATGGCATTGTACTGCAAGCCGTGACCGTTGCCCCCTGGTATGAAGGTTATGAGAGGGCCAGTGCCGTAAAAGTAGTAGTGTAGGTTGCAGCCTTCGTTTTCGACTGTGGCGTGGGTGGGTTTGAATTCCATCTTGGGTTTGCGGATTGCTTCTCTGGCACAAAGACGCTTTATGAGGTCGAGTAGGGAGTACATATACATATACGTCTCTGTGAAAGCTTCGCGTATATCTTCCTTCCTCGGCTCGCCGATTCTGTTGCCTGCAGGGTGACGAATTTTGTATGTATTATCAAGCAGCTCGAAGTTGATTGGTAGAACTCACGACATGCTTAAATGAAGGTATACTATCTCAACGATGGATCCTCTAATGTGGTTCTGAGGAATCTTCTTATACTTGTCGGAGTTTGTTGTCACCATGAAGGTCACCGATTATCGGTGGGGGTTGTGTGCGACCAATTTTCGTTTCGGGAGTCTTCGTGATACATCACTCGGAACTTTGCGCCAAGTCTCACAATAGTTCTTGCCGGGCGCTGCTATGTATCTTCCGAGAGTAGTGCGTCACTTCAACTCCTGTGGTGTTGCTTATGATGGATCACAATAATCGTCCCCGGTTTGGTCAAGTGATTAGACGTGGGCCTCAATCATGTTACTGTCAGCACGCCTTTACGAAGCCAACCACTCAATAGATATCATCGTTCATAGCCTTTCTTTCCACTCCCGATATATCGATCACATTGAAAGCTCAGATGAGCTCAGCCATAACTCTAACCCCCTTTGATTCCATTTTCGGCATGGCGACCTGGAAATCATGCACGAATGCCACATCACTCTCGTCCGTCTGCCACAAGGTCATGTCGAACTTCTTGATCAGTGCAAATACAACCAAATACAATTCAGCTCGTGCAAGTTCGATTCCCAAGCATTTGCGTCCTCCCTTTCCAAACGCCATCTGGAACTTCCGGCGTTCACGGCCTTCCTCGCCGAGCCAACGACCTGGATAAAATGCGAAAGGGTCAGGGAACACAGTTTCCGCCGTTTGTGAGCTCAGAGTTGTGATGCTAATTGGAGTTCCAGGAGGGATAGTATATGATGTCCCTGCTTTGACAGGAAATGTGACGTACTGGGACGGTTTGTAAGTCAGTGTGTCTTGGGCAATACGTGCTGCCCTAGCAGTGACACCAAACGAAAGTCTATTGCCTTCCTCGATCACTGCTGACAGATAAGGCAGTTGCTCGAGTCTATTCCAAGATGCGTCATCTGAAGTAGTCGCGAGCTCAGTACGAAGTCTACTAAGAATGGCAAGATTCGAGAGTAAGTGACAGAATATCACATTCAGGGTCTTCGCAGGCGATTCACCTCCGGCGAGGACTAGCAGTGCGCCTTCCTGCTCAAGACGAAGAAGAGCCTTTTCGGAAGGAGGTAGCACCGGGCTGTCAAGAACGGAGGCATACACGGACTCTTTACCTGTTGGCCCAAGAGGCTTCTCATCGTGGACTTTCGAAGATTTAGCTTTCATAATTCTCAGCAGCTCTTCTCGCACTCTCTGTATATGGATGTTAGAAAAATTGGATAACATGCAATTTCAGCACTCAAGTCAAACAGTGAAAGCATGTCGATGAGTCCAGGTGGCATGATTGACTTGCTTATAGACAATGGAAGCGATTCCAAGAAATCGGGTAGCCATGGAAAGTGCTTGTTGATGTTTATCCCCATCAGAAGAGAGTTACTATTCTCGCGTAGTGTAGCAACTTTTCCCTCATCTGACAAAAGATCCGATTGATGAGCGAACAAGAAATTTGTGACTACACTTCGGCCTGTCAGTATCTTCCAGTTGTCGTCGTGCTTCCAACTTACTCATTGGAGAACGCGAAGAATAAATCGGACAGATTTGCTGGTATCTTTTCCACTGCATGCTTCCCAATCACCTGGCACAATTGTTCAACCTTTCGAGTGATCAAAGGTTCAAGGTACAGGACATTGCGTCTGCTGAAGAAGGGACTCAAAGCTTCACGCCGCTTCCTGTGCATTTCGTGGCTCACCGTCGTACCCACACCTCCAGAAACTCGTAAAGTCCTCAACTGATATTCATACTTGTCTCTATAAGACATTGACGGAGCATACACTGTATCTAGAAATCCAACATCGTTGACGTGGATTTCGTCTGGTGTGACACGTATGATTGGCCCTGCAGAGTAGCCATTAGTAACGGTTCGAGTACATCAAATTGCATTGGGAGCGTACCGTATTTTTTGTGTAGTTCTTGGATCTGGAATACATATCGACCTTGGTGAATGACATCGAAATAGAACTCATACCACCACTGCAACGAATTAGCATAGTACAACATCCAAACGCGGGTGAGAGGCTTTGAGAGCTGAGAGCCTGGAGCTTTCTCAGAAGTAATATGTCTCGGCTTTGCCTGGTTCTCAGAGCCCTCATATGCAAGAAAATAGTAATTTAGCAAAGGGATTCAACCATACAGTCAAAGCTGCAAGTTTTGGTCCTGGTATATGTGCCAGAGGGTGGAAGAAGATTCGACGAAGACCTTCCACAATGGTCAGCAACGAAGCCAAAATCAATGTAGTCCCCAAGACTTGAAGAATCGTCATAACTGCGAGAATTCAAGTTCCGGTTGAAGCGGCGCTGAAAGTGATAGTGGAGGAAGTCAAAGTCGCAAGTCTACATCTACGAGGGGGCTTCCGAAACTCTGATATACCGATACTCTCGGAGTGATTGAAAAATCCTGTAACAAAAGTACCTTCTAGACGGCACAGTAAGAAGCTAACGGAGATAACATCGAGCCAACTTCCTGGTCTTACGTCATGTGACGTAGCAATTAGAAATGAGTTCTTATATAGCTGGGAAAGCGATGAATTTATGCGTATAATAAAACAATTTTTTATCAAAAAACATAATAAATAAAATTAAATTAATATATATTATTTTTGTAATAAAAAGAATAATATTTTAAAAATTGCGTTTATTATATTACGTTTAATATAAATAATATAAATTAATCATTTTCGATTTAATATATAAAAAATATAATTTAAAATAACTATTATTTATAGACGTTCAAAGCGGCTTTCAGATATTTACTACCAGACATTAAATTAGAGAAAAAATGCAGGTTAACGGGAAATGAGACTGACTCACATTGCTTCGGGTGTATTAGAGAAATGGTGGTAATGATATGATAGCTTGTAACAGAGATCACCAGTGTCGTGATGCTCGTATCCAAAATGGTTGATTTGGATCTTGAACGCTTCTTGATGAATCTCGAACCCTTCAGCGTCACGCTTCTGGGCAATCCGGATATTTCCCAAGACTCTTAGGCCCCAACTTCTCCTAATCATGGTCAGCTGGCGTAATGAGACGGAATTGCTCTAGCTTACCGAGCCCAAACTTTATTGGGGGCCTTGTTAAGGTTATCGATGAGCTTGAGTGCCTTTTCAACGATCTCTGAGCCTTTATCAAGCTGCCCACTCTTCCAGTAGGCCCAGCTGGCGTTTATGTATGCCAGGGCCAAAGTGTTGCCAAATACCAGCTCGTTGTGCAATGCAGTTAGCTTTTCCTGAAGAAGTAGTCCTTGCTGGTGGTAATGAAGAGATTTCGCAACGTCATTCATTGCCAGAGAGGAATTACCAAGCGTCGAGTATGATCTAGCAAGCATGCGATCCCGATCTTGACTTGAATCCGATGTTAGGAGGACCTCAAGTGCTTTAGAATACATCTCGTGAGCTCTTTTAGCAAAATTCGAGTTTCGCAGCATATTCCCCTCGACATCGTAGATACTCGTCAGTAACAACGGTGCGTTCTTCTCCTTACAGACTTTCTCGACGGTCGGGAATATTTTTATTGCATTGTAAGATCCCCGACCGTTAAGGAACCTGTCTGGTAATCAGTTGCCGTACAGAGTTCATCGATGATCTCCGCCTCTCAGTCGTACTTACATGAGAGCATATGCAAGCACTTAATGAAGACTTCAAGGGAACGGAAGTTCATCCTGCATAGTCCTATAATTCTCTTCCAGAGACAGGATATGTGACATCACTCGCTCATAAAATGCCCAATCGCAATCCAGGTCTGCCTCACCTACAACGCCGAATCTCTCAGAAAGAGCGAACAGTATGCTTTGAGCGTTTTGAAAGGCTTGATTACGTGTTTGTTTGCTAGACAACCCTAACGACTGTGATTGAACCAGACGATGCATCGAGATGTTAGTTTGTGGGATTCCCGCGACAAGACTTCGATTATCTATTTCAGAAGACGACACCGAAACATTAACATCTAACGAGTGAAATATTTGCGCGGTTAAAGTTGGAGGCCTGAATGCGACTCCGGTTGTGACGCCTTAATGAGAGAGTGCGTTGTGAGTTCTTCGATGACCAAGCAAAAATCTAGGTCGGAAGTGGAAATACTGCATCCTAAATCTTTGAACTCCACGAGAAAGTCCTCGAGAATACCTGAAGTCGTCAATTATTTGAAAATGCGATTGCAAGACAGATTATGATTTGTATCTTACCATCGGGATCGAGAAAATGACATGGTCTCCAAAAGCGCCAATGCTTGTGAGCTCAGAGCTTGAATACAGATGTTCCAAACTGTTGCTACAGTCTCATCGTACGGAAAAGTGGATCCTTTTGGCGGCTTGGAATGTATATGTATTGCGTTCTTGGGGTCTTGGTAGATCCGGAGCATCTGCGTGGCAGGGCATCTTGAAGCTTTCATGAATCCGGCAATTTGGCTTAGGGCCAAGGGTAGCCCGCCAAGCAAACGGACAAGCTCGGTAACGCTACTTTCATTGTCAATGAGTTTAGCATCATCTGGGCTTGAGAGAAGTGATCTCAGGAGAATATCGCCTTCATGGGCTTTTAGCGGCTCGATAGTCAATGCATCTAGGGAAGCGAGACGTAATGAAAACTCATTATTTCTCGTTGTCAAAAGTATAGATCCGCTTTTCCCAGACGGCCAAAATCTTTTCAGGTCTTGGAAGGTAACATTTGTTGCGTTGTCGAAAACAACAAGCTAGCGAGTGCCTATTAGATTTTGGAAATTAGCATGTGTCGAGGTTTGAAGTGGTTCTACTAACTAGTATTCGCAAGCCATCCAAGAACAATTGACATGCAGTGTTTCGGATCACTTCAAGCGTCTATGGATTCGAGACACATTCGGCGGGCAATCTCAACATAGGCTTGAAGCATTATTTCCCCGCTTTCTACACTAATCCACAAGATGACTGGGTAGTCATTAATATGCTCGTACACGAAGTGAAGAGCTATCTCGGTCTTTCCCACGCCCCCCAGACTGGTGATGATGGTAGAGGCCTGGGAAGGCGGCCCTTTGGGCAACAATACCTTGTCGATTTGCGCCAGGTATTCCTGTCTGGGGTAGATGTTTGCAGCTGATCAGGTCTGGCCACATAAAGTTGATGAGGGATTGAATCTCCATTACTCAAATAAGAATCAGTGGTATTATATCAGTGGGCAAGAAATCAGTGATGTGATGCTGTTTCGGATCCATAGCTCTACAGATTAGCCAAGTAAATGAGGAATTATAAAAGGCTCACCTCGTTCAAATGCTGACTTTTTTTTGTCTTTTAGTAGGTGCACATGCCTCTGGACCACTGATCAATGACGAAACAAACGAATGCTCCTGGGGAGAAAGTATCGAGACTCGGCTGTTTCTCTTTCACGTCCATTGATGCTTGTCGGTGATAGTATGATTCGAATGGAACAATAAGGATATAAGGAGAACGTAGGTGCGAGCTCGCGCTGCAAAGTACAGCGAGGCTGGGCTGCCATATTTCTTGCTGAAATTGCTTGTTTTAGAATGTGTAGATAGACTAGGTGGCTCATCGTAGCTGTACCTGTTGTATGAGATATTCAAAAGTGAACAGTTCCTAGGGAAAGTTTCCGGTAAATTGCGGATCTGCCGTTCCCTTTAAGTTTACGACGAGTAGAGGAGGATGGCATACATACTAGGGATATCTGAAGATGTTTGGCCTTTCGCCTGAAGTGACTTCAGGTGCGGGAGATCCGGTGCTGAAGGTTGTAAAGAAAATGGACGGTTCTCAACGGAATTTCCGCAGTGAATTAGTAATCAGTGAACGTAATCTTGAGCCTCAATTGATATTTGGTAACCTGTCAATCAAAAGGAATTTCCTCGCATATGTGACTGCCCCTCGCACTTCGACCAGATTTTGGCTCCACAACATAGGGGGTCGCGCTAGCTTGCCGTCCGCCTTGCGAGTTCGCTACGCTGTCTTTGTCTCACTTTTACGCGTTTCGGTAGGTCCCAGTTACATTTCGCTGTCGGCCTTCTTCTGCAACGAAAATTCGTTTTAGGAGGCACTCCTGATACTACTGACTCTCTTCCAAAAGCTATTTCTTGTCCCTCGGCGCTGTGCTTGGCTCCGTTGGTGCCCGCTACCATGAACATCAAAATTCCTCCGCATTCCCAGTTGCATAACATGGAGCGTATCCTGTTCTTCTGCAATAACTCCAAATTCGTCACATCGTCTAGAATGATCGCGACTTTCAATGCCAGTGATTCGGCAGCAGAAGCAGAGTTGGGAGATCTTCCGCCTCGTCCAGTGACCGTCCTCAACGTTGTCGACAGGGAAATACCCGACTCTACTTGGCTGAAGGCGAAGAAATCCCAAATGCTTGCTGACGATGATGTCTTCAATGAAGAATTCTTCAAGTGTATTATTCTTTCCAATGCATTGCAGCTACCTACTGGAATCTCTCGCAGCGAAGTTCGTCTGGAAGATGGGTCTAAATCAACTATTCACGAAGTGAGAACAGGGGGATCTGTGAGAAATGGCCCGTACTTTGCCATAGGCTCAGCTTTGTTTCAAGTTTTCAAGCTTTACGACGACCCGCAAGACGCCTTTATGTTTGGTGTTCAAGTCGACGAGGATCAGCCTGAGAGGTAAGCTATACTGTCCACTCCTACAAAATACAGTCCACCAGAATCCTCCCTCTAATACCTTGGCTAATTCTTGAAGTTTTATCCAATACTTTGAAAGCGTTATTCCAGTACCATCTCGTTTATATTTCGATCCACCAAATCTCAAACATCCACTCAGTGGCAAGCGCTTTGCCGTGAAGGACGTTTATGACATGAAAGGAGTCCCAACGAGTGCATCGTGTCGAGATTACCAATCCTTTATTGGCAAAGCTGATGTGACGGCCGAAATGATTCTAAGATTAACGCGTGCTGGGGCCGTAATTGTGGGGAAAACAAAGACAGCTCAATTTGCTTGCGGAGAAAATGCCCCTGACTGGGTGGACTACTCTTGTCCCTTCAATCCACGTGGCGATGGGTACATGGATCCTGATGGCAGCAGTACTGGAAGTGGTGCTGAATTAGCTGCCTACGAGTGGCTTGATCACAGTATTGGAACAGACAGTAAGTCTATTATCCATACTCTGCCGTTGCGCTGCGCTGACTTGAAAGCACTTGGAAGTATGGTTGGTCCCTCGGCAAGCAACGGAGTGTTCGGTATTCGCCCAACACATGGCATTTCCAACTTGCAAGGCGTATTCCCCGTTTCAAGGTATGATAGTACATTTTCGGTCTAATCCAGGAATCAGTCTTCTGACATTAAATAGGCTACTAGATACCGCTGGTTGCTTCTCTCGATCTATATCCGATCTTAAAACAGTGGGACTATCTTGGTACGAGGGGCAAATAGAGAACCCTAGGTTTCAAGTAGGGCTTTCATTCTGTATGTAAAATGCGCCTTTATTGACGTTTGAGCCATAGTCACCTTTACGTGTACTGTATGCGCCGGAGGAATTCAACAAATTTTCGGAACCAAAACGCCTGATCATGGATGCGTTTATTGAGGATCTCGAAACGGTCCTGAAAATTTCCAAGACGGATTTCAGCATTGCTTCGACCTGGGATGAAGAAGCCCCTCCTTCTTGCACCAGGCCCATCCAGAAATTCCTCGCAACGGTAAGAAAAACGGCCGAGCCGCAACGAAAGCATTCCATTGATAATAATCACAGACTCTTGCTCACATCCAGCTGTACGATTGTTATCACAACAACGCAAAATGGCGGAACTCATTCAAGGAGACGCGCGGTCGTGAGCCGTATGTGAATCCTATAGTCAGATTCAAATGGTATGTTTCCTAAGTTAACAATGAGGACGTCAACTCATAAAGTCCAAGGGGTCTAGGAGCAAATCTCACACCACAAGACTACGAGAAAGCATGTAGTGAAAGAGAGACTTATCGTACCTTTCTGCGAGAGGAAGTATTCAACGAGAGCACAGTTCTTGTACTCCCGTGCGGGTCACCTATTCCCCGCTACAGAGATGTTTATGATCGGTAAGTGGTTATTCTTTAGCAAGAAAACATCTGACCTTCCTCAGACCGCCAGCAGAGAGTGGTTACAACTTGCAAGGTTTTGGCTTCCTACGAGATTTATATGGTTTTCTAGGAGGTCTTCCACTGTTGATTATTCCCGGTAAGCCCCCTTGGGAATCACTATTTCTTTTACAGAGCTGATAGATTTTGATCGCAAGTTGGTCAGGCGCTAGTTGAGTCCTCTGTAACCAAAGAGATGGTGTCTCAGCCAGTTTGTATCTCTATGGTTGGAGCACCAGGTAAACCAATTGCAAACGTACATTTAACAATAGTAACTAAGTGATTAGGTACGGATGGCCAACTGATAAATCTTGCAGAGCATATCATTAAGGAAAGCGGAAGACCTTTGCAAGTCAAGGTTGGAAGGACACTTTTCGAAGTATAAGATCAAGTTCTCGGAGTAAATACGCTTGGTGGAGTAAAAGCTTGTAGCTGAGACAGTTCTTAGAGAGCGCATCGGAATGCATTATCACATGCTTAACTTCGTGAAATAACAAATCAACCAAGTCCTACGTATAGATCTGTGAAGTCTCACCCGCGCCCCCTAAGCGCATTCCAAACCATGAGGCTCCTCCGCCTTGACAACTCCCGCGGAACAAACAGAACACAGTAGCCCGGACCTTCATTAACAAATGAGTTGCATGGATTTATATTACTACTCTATATCTGACCTCACGCAACGATTGTGAACTCCATATCCATTCTCTTTGGAAAGAGCCAGAGCCACAACATGCTGCGAGGAGAATCTACCTTGAGACTGAACGATGTATTTTTGGGGGGATCTTGTTTGAGTTCCCTGGGAGCTGACTTTATACCCCTGAATATAGTCGTGTAGAGTTGGCAACTTTGGCACGGCAGAACCGAATAGTAAGTAAATGATATCTTGCCAGTAGAAGGGAGGGCAGGAACGTGACTAAGCAACCTGAGTAGAGGGTGAGGCGAGAGTGAGTAGCGCCTGAGCAGAGCGGCGATGCTGACTAACCGCATTCGAAGGGAATTCGAAAAAGTGTCGTCTGAGATTACCACTATAATCTGCGACGAATCTTGACCTCACCAAAGTCCATTTCCGTCTTTGGACCTGAGCAGTCGCTGCTCTAACCTGAGCTGAGCCCTAAGCACGCTGATAAGTCAGCTGGGTCATGCTTAGGGGATCCTCTTCTGCCCCTCTCGCAAATCGGTTATAGTTTCCATGTTTTCAAATATAAATCTTGTTAATGCCTGTTATCTGAAACATAGCCGCCTCTTTGAACCTATCAAGATGTCGTGACGGTATCCGTTCTCGCTCCCCTTTCAAACTTACAAAGGTCCCTGCCGTAGCAGATTTGGATCCCCTCTAGTCCAGATGCACGTGACTGGGTTATTCAGGTTCAACTTACCGAATATCACGCTATCGCATACGAGTATATGACTTTAATTTTCTGAGCACTTATTCAACTGCGATACGACAAAAACTCGCGCTCAAATACACACACAACTGCAAATTATTTTGCATAATTATCATTTTATTATTATTATTATTTTTACAAAAGACGGCACTACAAATCCTTGCTCCGTCAACGTCCTAGGGCTCCTTCTAGGCGTTCTACTATTCATGTAAGACGGGGTACAATCTTCCCAGTAGCAAAGTTGCGCTAAGCAAGGGGAATAAAACTTCCGGTGCTTCTCTTAGACAAGGTATCGTGCAATATCAGGCAACATCGGCACGACTCCGTAGCTGTATCAAGGAGTACGACAGCTGGTGTCCTGAGCATCGTGGGATCCACGCAGATGTGAAATTGTATCGGGAGGGGATCATACTAAGGTTCCGTACCAGGCGCTGAGACTATGCTAGCAAGATGAGGCAGAGCATCTCGGCGGCAGTGCATTGATCGAGGGGTCGGATGACTTCTGTGGCTGCTAGTCGCCGTGAGATTCATGCAGCGGCCGGATTGCACCGAGGAAGTGGTTGTATTGCGATTTAGGCTACCCTGAGAAGCAGGAGAGTCATGTATGCAAGCAACGCAAACGAGTAAAAGCACCACGGACCCCGATGTTGCAGTACGTCTCCCGATTCCGTGTTTCGTCCGTACAATATGCTAACATTGTGGGGCCTAAGTCCCCAAACGAGATGGTACATCTATCCTTGAGGCTACCGAAGAAGAAACAGTCGTCAAAAATCTCCAAGTATGCACGCGCTGCTGCGTGCAAGTTCCGCATTCCGTATCCTTGAACTCTAAATCTGCCTTTGAAAACGTTCGATTGCTTGTCTTTGACGACTGGCTCTACCACTGCCAGCATTATTAATGTACTTGCAAGCCCATCTGCTTAAATCTACCGCACTATGGCTACGGCTATGAAATATTCCTCGAGGCGCGAGTCTCCGATCACGTTCAGATCCATATTCGTAGTAGCGAGACATTGGTAATTCGTTGCGTGGTATATGATTGCCTTCTCGTCCAGAATAATGAAGTCTAAGAAGTGCTTGCAGTATTATTGTTTTCTGGTGAAAAATGCGTCCGGCATGAGGCACAGAACATGATTTTATAGGGGTGAATATGTGAGTCGACAAAGGCATGAGATTGCACAGATCCATTATATAGATCGCTTCGGGAGGAAGAAGGAAAATGATTCAGCTAGAGGTCTGCTCACGAGGCAGCGGAGCGAAACTTGTGTTTGCTCATTCTTCCATTAGCACTTGAATTGGGTTGATATTGTCTGTACGGAGCTCATCAAATTACAAACGCGAGAGTCATAAAGTGGGTTTTCTTCTCGAAGCGGAATAGCAGAAAACTTTCGAATAATATAGAGTCCTCAATTAAAGCTACCAGCAAGGAACATGGCTACATTATATAACTTTAAGAGATATGCTTGAAGTGGAAATAAGCACGCCACTGCTTGCCCCAGACCCATATTGGAATGGAGAGGAAAAAGAGAGCCACTTCAATGCCTCCGATAGTGTCGAACACGCGGGCGGAACCCCACCTGGTTACCCAATCGTTTACTCCAACTGTGAAGAAAAAATCAGCTTGTTCAATTGTACTCGAGGTATTTTGAGACTCACAGGAGAGGCCGAAGAAGAGGAAGTTCTTCACAACCATGCCGATAATGAACACCTCCACCGAAATGTCCCTGTATGCGTCAATTATATATGTGCCGACAGCAACGGACATGAACTGCTGTGATGCTAGGGCGATGCCCCAGATAACAGTCATCACTACAGGCGAGTATCCCCGTTCGACAAAATTGCCGAAACAGAAGAATCCAATGCTAGCGGTGACCAGGAAAGGAAGCAAGAGGATGAGCCGAAATTCCGGTTCGTAGACTCCCCTGTTCCTCTTGGCAAGGCCAATTACAAGAGGGTCAGACATCAGGCCGGAAACAACAGACCCCAAGATGCCACCGATACATGGTCCCGCAGACATGTAGCCGATGTGAGCAGAATCCAACAGATATGGCGGGGCGGAGAAGATTTGTGCGATGATGAAACTGATCACCACAAACCAGGCAGTAGTGATCGAGAGGAAGAGGGTCGACCAGATCACAGCCGGGTTGGCGAGAATGGTGAAGGGTCGGAGAAGCATCAAAAGGATACTATCTGGCGAGTAAACTCCGCTGAAAGGCAGTAAACGCTTGGCGAATGGATTGCGCGGCTTCGGGGCGTCCTCCCCTACCTGAGCTTTCTCCACAGTGTCTACACTCGGCTCGACATTTTCAACGTACGAATGGTTTTCTTTCATGGCGCTGAGCAGATCAATGTTCTTTATGGGGGTTATGTTAGTTACTGAGGGTGCCGAGTGAAGGATTGAAACTTACGTTGTTAGAACTCGTGTCTATGTTATAGATAGGTGCTCTGTTATAGGCTGTTTCCCAGCCGAAAATTACAAGCAGGAAAACGCCAATGCCCAGGAAGATTGCTAGCATCCAGAACATCCATCGCCATCCAAGTCTTTCGGTGATCACCCCGGAAAGTAGAGCAGGAAGGTTTGCTAGACCTGAAATTGCGATAGTTAGGGCTGCAACCCGAATGCCACGCTCATGGACATGGTACAAATCGCCGATGATCGAGTACATGACTATAATAATTAGACATGTTACACCACAGGAGTGGGCTGGATGGCTTACCAGACTCCCACATGGCGGTACCAAGACCTTGAACAACTCTCGCTCCCAACAGCGACCCATAGCTTTGTGCTGCACCACCCCACACGGTACCGACAAAAGCTACTGTGATAGAAAATAGAAACCCAGGCCGTTTCCCGTATTTATGGCACAGTGCCGATATGAAAATCCCGATCTAGGTGACAACGATGTTAGCCAGGCGTCCGGAGATTTTGCCTTCCTCCCCTTGGATAAATGGAGAACTTACACCCCCCACTGCACAAAGTTGATATCCGGTCAATAACGAGACCTCGGTGAAAGTGATGTTAAAGTCCTCCACCAAGATGAGAGCCGATGCCGACAGTAACGGGCCGATCCTGTGATCCTAGTCAGATGAAGTTTTCATTGGAGAAGAATGGCTTTGACTTACCCTCCTACACTCAACAAGGTAACGTATAAGTACATCAGCAGCATCAAGTCGCGTTGCCAAAGAGGCCAACGAAGGGGATCGTTGAGGTCGTTGGAGGGCTGTGGGACCAGGACAATGTGCTGTTGTTTGCCCGTTGCACGTTTCAGCGTTGAAGAGACAACACTACCACCGACGGCGTCATCCTCGAGAAGAGATGTCCCAGGAACATGTTCCAGGCGGTTTGATTCGAGAATTCCCCAGGCCATTGTGATATCCGTTTAGGAAAAATGAAAGCACCGCGAGTCTTTCGTTTCTGAAACTTAGACTTTGATGGTCTTGGGAGCTGTCTCTAGATCATGCAGAGCTTCGTATACTTAAGTATCTCAAGCTGTCAGAAATGCTGGAAGAGGGCCCAGCAGACGGGGTAAAAGATGGAGGCTAGCCCTCAATGAGACGCAACCCCCGCCCCGCCGCTAGCTTCCCAAGAGGCTCCACATACCCCACATATCCCCGCATGCTCAAATCGGACGGCCTAATGGAGCATGGCGGCGCTCTCCCGTGATTTCGTTATCTTTTCGCGGCATGGGACTCTGGCGTTTGCTAGACTCACCAGGTGAATATCATTGTTGGTGATTGATTACACAAGCAACATGAAAAGGATGAATCCGAGAACACTTTGATCCGTACAAACGTCCCTGATACGCCAATAGCGACGAAACTCATTGCGTACCCGAATATTAGCCGACGTGACAAAATCACCAAACAACACCACTCCCTGAATCTAGTATAATTGGCTCAATATGACTCCAATAAATCGCACGACTCTTAGTGATGGGTAAGTAGTTTGCCTGGTTAGTGAATCTCTCCCAGTCATGATCGGTCTTCCAATGGAGAGGTCATCCCAACTGATAGCAATCGTCCTACGCCTCCCACGTGCGTTCGGACACTCTGTTGTAATTGGGGTTCTACTTTAGCGAAGTCCAACTGGGGAATTCTTGTTGGGTTCCTCCCTAAGGTCCGGAGTTTCAGGCTTCAAGTCCCTAGATTCCTAGCGATAGGTACTGAGTGTAAGTTCAAAAGCTCGAGCAAAACATAGTCTCCACCTCTCAACGAGCTAGACCTGCGCTCAACAATTCACCATGGGCATAGGAAACGGCTCCGTCAGACCCCCACTAGCCATCCCACCCTGGATGAAAACTGTTGTACAGATTGACATACTTTCGTCGAAGGAAAACTATGCGCGGACAAAGTTTCTGAACCTGATGAGATGGAATGCTGGGAAACTTCCTCGACTTTGGCACGTATGGCGTAGATCAGACTTGAAGTGAGGCTTATATATTTCATTCTGTTGAAGCCGCAATGCAGCGACCAAGGAATTGTGGCTTTTTATCAACATAATAGCTGTCGATATGAAACTAAGTATGAGCTTTCATCAACGGCGAGACTCGATGAAATCCAACATGAAGTGGCGAACCGTCGCACTTTACGTGCCAGCAGTGATTAAGGAATCGTTTGTTCAAACAGTAGCCATAACAGATAGCTAACACGGTGATGCTTACACAAGAGTTGTAAAATAGGTTAATAAGTCAATTCATAGAATTTTAACTATATGCGTCTTCCCAGAACTTTTTCGATTCCTGCCCCAGCCATCTCTGACTCGCATTCGGGTAATCGATCATTTTCCTGAAGTACAACTGATCTAGGCTCAACTCCACGCACTGCCCGGTCATAGAGGCCGTGTCCAGGAAGGTGTCCAGGGCCTTGGTTACGGTGGTCATGGGCGTGATGTGCTCCTTGGGGAAGAGCGCGAGCATGTGTGGCGGGCAGAGGTTCGTGGGCACGAAGGCCGGACAGATACAGTTGACGGTGATGCTCTCCTTGGCGAAGGGGCTGTCCTCACCGCAGGAGCGGGTGAAGCCGACTAATCCGTGCTTTGCGGCGGTGTATAGTGGATTTGTGCTCATGGGACTAAGTGCACGAGGTTATTATCCAGCTCTTGCAATCAAGGACGTTGACGGCGACTCCTCTCGACGAACTTACTAGAAGCCAGCTGCAGACGACGTGATTATCACCTTTCCTCCTGGTACCGCGTTCTGGCGCGCATAGTGCTTGAATAGCCACACCCCTTGAATCGGGGCATTCAAGTCTACTTCGATTGTTTGGAGGCTCAACGGTTCTACCGTGCCGTCCTCTTTCACCGGGCTGCCAACTTCATAAATGTTCTGGCTGTCAGCTATGCCTGCATTGGCGCACAAGACGTCTAGTCGCCGGCCTCCCCATTCGAAAGCTGCCTTGAACAGGGCGGCCTGACCCGCATATGATGCGACATCTGTGTGTATGAATAGGGTGTCTTCACCGAGTTCGGCAGACTGCTTTTCGCCCTCCAGTGCATTGAAGTCAGCCATAACAACACGGTGGCCGCGAGACAGGAGGTGTTTTGTGAACGCGAGGCCAATACCTGACGCTGCACCTGTAACTATCGCGACCCGTTTCGACATCGTACTGAATGTTGGACGCGCTGAAACTTGGCGCATAGAGGATCACAATTTTTTTTTTAATTATCTCGAATATCAAGGAGACGAGCGTGACGTTGCTGATGGTGCTGGTAAGAAATCGATGTGGAGTTCCAGCGTTCTGGAGGTCGGTGCGCTGCGGGGTACTTTACAGATAGGGTGGGGTATAGCGCTTGGCTCGAGTGGCTTTGAAATCAAACAATCAACGAGACCGCTACGCTACGCTAATCACCTCAATGCTGCTGCGCCACCGCGACAAGGTGCAAACGGGATCACGTTTTTAATCGCTCGTGACTAGACCGTGGATGTTGAAGACACGCCAGAGAGAGCTGGACCTCAATAATGGAACGTTGGATGCAGTATCATGGTTTTGCGTAGGAGTAAATGAAGCTCATGTGAATTGAAAACTAGCCAGGCCACTATTTCCAGTTACGTAGTCCCATTACCTGTCTCGCGGCCCCCAATATTCAGGAGTTATCCGAGTATTTGACCTTGTCTTTGATACTCTCCGGGCTTTTGCTCTACTGAATATTTTCACGTGCCATTAACGGGTCTATGCGAGACGATCATCTTCAAACTGCCCGTGTTACGTTCAGTACGTCCATTGGCAATCTTCCTCTTGGTGGAGTCTGTGTCTGTGCGAGGTATTTAGAGAACTAAAGCAGATTGTATTCAATAGCTAGCTACAATGAAATACGGCCCATGTTCCCCAAGTCCCGCTCATATCCAAAACCAATTCAATTTCTATTCTTAGCTTTGAGCGCCTGGCTCGTCTCATTCTGCAACATCTGCTCAACTTCCTTTGCATGTGTTGAGAAATTGTCAACCAGGTCATCCCACATTTTGGGGTCATGTTCGTGCTTCTTGTCGCTAGACCAAGCCCAATCAGTAATAGTAAAAGGCCGGCTCGACTCAAACATGATAGCAATAGCTCCCTTAGATATCTGCATCAGGGGCGGCGGGCTTGCAGAAGCTTCTTTGAATTCTGCATAAGCGACTCCATGAGGTACCTGTTAATTTCGGAGTCAGTATTGCCTAACCAGGGAAATATTCTTGAGTTGAGACAACATTTCGTGAGTTATTTACTCTCAAGACATGTCTCGAGAATAAAAATAACTCGCGAGACGTTTGAAAGAGGGAATCTGTGCTCAGATAAATGCCACTTACCATGCCGCATTCAAAGGAAACACCGCCAGGTTGAAATTCATCTGAGCGGCCGCCGTACTCTCCATAGATGAGCCCCATAAGCTCGGAGGCAACATTCCGATGGTAATATGGTGGCCGGTAGGTGTGAGATGCAACATCCCAGCGTGGAGAGAAGATCAGGAAGTCGGCCAAAGGCGCGATTGGGTCACGAGACTTCGCGGTAAGGACGCAGAAGATTGACGGGTCGATGTGATCGACGGAAATTGACCCGATATTCACGAACTTTGTCAGATCATATTTGTATGGGACCTGAATGAAATTAGCGATAATTATGTAGACAGCAGTAGTGGAGGGTGCATTTACATAGTTCCCGTGCCAAGCAACAACATCAAAGGGCGAGTGATATTGCGTACTGTAGAAGAATTTGCCGCTAAGCTTATAAACAACTTCCCATTTCTCCTTCTTCACTTCGTACTGTGCCTTCGGATGTAAGAAGTCCCTGGCATTCGCAAGCCCATTGGCGCCGAGTGGGCCGAGCTCTGGCAGCTCGAAGTTTGCTCCCCAGATCTCTAAGATGTAACCGCGGGAAGGACCGTCCGGCAGCTCTACACGGAATCGTTGGCCGCGTTGTATGACAACAATCTCCCCAGGTTGAACAAAGAGTGGTCCAAATTCGGTTTGAATATCTAAGCTGCCTTGTTGGGGGACAATAAGAAAGTCCCCATCAGAGTTCACAAAAGCTCTTTTGTCCATGCTCTTATTGGCCATGTAGACATGTGTGGCAATGCCTTCGCGGAGACTGGGATCCCCAGAGCCTGCAACAGTCTTCAAACCGGAGACGAAGTCTACGTCCGAACCAGCTGGAATTTCAAAAGGCAACCAGGCAACCTGCTGTGGCGACACATGCACGCGAGGGTTGAGAGGAAGGAAATTTGCCTCAGTGTCCGGATTGTCTGGCATGTCCGTCTGCGAGAGATGTTAGCCCGTGGACTGCTGTCAGATGAAAGACATAGTGTGTGCTGGGGTTTTGTGGTTATATTGCTTGAAGGATGGACTCACAAAACCTTGATGTGCCACAGCTGGGCGGACTCTATAAAGCCAAGATTTCTTATTCGAGTGGCGAGGAGCGACGAACGCTGACGCCGTCATCTGTTCTGTGTATAGACCAAAGCGAACGCATCTGGGACTGTTCTGGCCCTGGGGAATGGTTCCTGGTATGGCTTCTGATTCAAAGCTGAAGGATATTAGTTGTGAAGACAAGACATCTGTGCTTGTGACGATGGTATACCTGTTGTTGAAACCGCTCAAATACTATTTATCTCCGTGTTAATAAGAAATCTATTCGAGTATCTGATGTTTGCGGACTCCAAAGCATACTCACCTCATAGGGATCGTTCTTACGAACAGCAAACGAAGGAATGGCGCCATCTTTCTGGGTCTCCGCCCAATGAAAGATGTCTTGGTAGTTTTCGGCACCCACTTCTTCAGGCATGTCTGCAAAGTCTACCGTGGTGAGGATTTATGTTAGATATGGTGGAAGAAATTATCGAAGTACGAGTTGTGGAACACGCGAGGAACAAGTTTATATATGGAAGTCAAGGCGCGGCGGAGAAGACCCCACGACACTGAATGTGGGCACGGGGTGGGGTAAGCGGGAGTGGTGTCTGTCTGGAGGAGGTACCTTTTCCGAAGCGATGATGCACACTCCCTTGACCATCAAGGAGAAATGCTTAGCATACGTCCAGGCGGCAAGAGTCGACTTGGTGATTTCAATCGAAAGGGGGGAAGTATAAGTATAATCGGCCTCGGAAAGGTCATTTCGAGAAGGAGATTGTGAAAGGCACCAAACGGAGTCACGTGCGCATCCCCACAGCGCAGGTTGGAATCACCAAACAAAGGGCCACGCGCAGGCGATGCAGGTAGTCAAAAGAAGGGCAGAAAGGGCAGAATATGCTTGAATTAAGGTGAATGATGGATGAAGCTCTCTATGTAAACGTAAACCCTAAACGGACGCTCAAAGCGCCCACCCAATAGAGTGAGGATCGAGCTACGAGACTAAGCTAAAAAGGGTAAGTCAATCACCTAGCCAATCACCAACCCTGCACAGTCGCTTACTTCGGAGAAGCTCTTCCCCGCAGTTTACCAAGTCTTTTCGTCATGCACCCCGATCCCCGTTGAAAACCATCAATTTGACCGCTAATGCGACAGCTCAAGATCTCTACGAGCTGACGGGGCATCAATGGTGTCCCTATCTCAAGGCACGGTCATGCCTTCGGATCATGACAGCCCTGTAGGCCTCGAGGGTCACGGCTATGAGCAGACCAACGATGGAGGAACGGCACGTAGCCAGGACGCAGATGGACTTCAGCCGATACAGCTTGCTTGTCGACAGGCCTCAAGGAACAAATATGTCTGTTCAATATGCGGCCAGGCGTTCATCAGAGGAGAACATCTCCGGCGGCACGAGCAATCTCGTAAGTCGATCTTATGCAGGCCCTGATCTAATCGCAAGCCCGATTACTAACTGTAAGAGCCCTCAGACAGTAAAGAGAAACCGTACAAATGTCGTAGGTGTCGTAGCAAATTCGCTAGAAGAGATACAATGCTACGGCACATCCGGAATTTTCATCTCGACCTCAAAGCCGCCCCCCACTCTGTGATGGATGTTGACGTGCCAAGCCCGAATTCGTCGCCACTGTCTGCGAACACGGATATCACAGAGGCATCTGGATCTCAACTAGGTGGCGAGCATTTAGACATCGGTGCTGGGGAGGGTCTTATGGCAGTAGGATCCGGCTATCCTCTAGGTCCGAGTGGAGGAAACCTGAGATTAGGAGGCTTCTACGGCCATGCAAATCCTCAACAAGTAGACAAGCCAAGCAGTATGGACGCGTCACAAGATCTCAGATTTTCCGAGTCAGTGGAGAACAACTACAGACCAAGCGATGTGGAGAGCGCCAGTGTCCCTGCAAGGCCAGATAACTTTGAGGCTCCTCAGCCAGATGTATCCAGCGGTGCATATCTACCCGAAGAGTCATTGTGGTTCCCAGATGGCGAGTCAAACATCTTTGACATCAACGATCTAGCGACGATGTTTTCAACCAACATGCCACAGTCTACTCCAGGCCGACACACGCCCTTAATAGGCTTCTTAGGCGAGCAGTCCGAGGACTTCTTCTTTACTGCGCCCCATGCTTCCCAATCCATGGGTTTCTCGGAAGACGAAGAGTACCTCCATGCTGTTATAGCTACGACAGATAAGACCTATGATGCTGCGAACTCTCCTGTTGTGACCGACTCAGAAGTGAGCACCTGTGTGGAGATGATTAATTTGTTCTCAATATCAAAGCTGCCACTTTCAAAAAACATGATCAATCGTTATTTCAAAGCTTATGTCCAATATTTCGACCCTCACACTCCAATCGTACATCTTGCCGCATTTAAGATTGACAATGCACCAGGTAAGCTGCCTTCAGTCTGGGGAGGGGGTTTCCTGCTAACGACTTATGAAAAAGTTTCACTCACATTGGCGATGCTCACTATTGGAGCTCTTTATGCTAGTGAACCGGACAGAGCATCTGCTCTTTATAGCATGGCTAGCGAGTGTCTAGAACAGGTGGGCACTATATATCACCCTTGTAGCACTTGGAGATATTTACCAGTCACAGGCAGAAAGGCAAGGGGCACTACTTGATATCCACGAACAAGATCCTTATGGAGTTGTAGGCACAGTACAGAGCCGAGTGTTGCTGGCTCAATATGCTCTTTGTAGTAGTAAAGGTACCCTGGTCGATGCTGGTCTCGTACATCTTTTGAAGGCTGAGTCTGTAGGTTATTGCCTATTCCTTTCATCTTCTGAGGACCATACTAATTGTTAGATATTCCGGGCTGGGATTCCCAGCGGCCATTCTAGTGATGAATGGACTTCGTGGATTTACGCCGAGTCCTTTAGAAGGTAAGTATCTGCGACTTCGTTATTATGCTCTTTTATTGACGTAACTAGGGTTGAGCTGTGGACGCTGGTTCTTTGCGCTGCATTCGGCGCTGATGGACAAGTGCCTGTGCACCTCCCCAGTCTCGGACATATTCACCATCAACTGCCTTGCTCACAACAAATCTGGACAGAATCGTCAAAGGACGGTTGGTTAACAGCGACTGCCAACGGGGCCAAGTCGTTACATCCCGTGACCTTTACTTCTTCCCTCGCAATCTTGATACAAGGTGGCCCCCTCACCGAGGAAGTGAGTCCGTTTGGAACGCTTGTCCTTATTGCAGGGCTCTTGGTCTATATCCTGACCCTCGAACGTACGACATCACTGGACTCGAGTAATACCAGGTCTCATTGGGTACCATCTGCAGAAAAGTCCTTGAAGGAGTGGGAGAAGACTTGGAAGAACCATTCTCAAGGACCGGCGCACTCCCCAAGCGGCAAAAATGAACATTTACTCGCGGACTGTGTCCCGCTATTCTTGACTGCCTGTTATCATACCTACGCGTCTCGCTTGCTAAAGCATTTGAAGGCATCACTGGAACTCAAGATGTTGTCAGATGCTCCTCGATTGACACCAGATGCTGCACCAAACGGAAACTCCATAAGGGGAAATATCCTCCCGACGGTCAACGGTGCAATATCATGGAAAACGTGGGAGCAACTGTTGACTCCGCAAAGCGAGATCGAGTGGAATGATCTCACTCAGGCAGTCAGACTCGCTGCTGGTTATATATTAGTCCGCGCCAAACAAGGATTTCGTAATGTCGCACGCACCGCACCACTGGAGATGGGTTTCCATAACGTTTTATCTGGATTTGAAGGAGGTGAGTCTCTCTTTCGCTTGACAAGAGTTTGGAACCTAATGTAGCAGCGCTCCTTGTATCTTGTTGGGTATTCGCAGCCTCAAGGGAGAGACGGTCGGATCCAAACGCGGTATTGTTACATCGTATCGTCCAAGATGTCGTACGAGAGATGGACGAGCAGATGTGCCATGAGGTGCAAGTTAAGAAGTACCCTGCAATTGCATCCCTTGCTGGTCTTCAGTCTATGATGAGTCAAGGCTGGGTATGGTCCTGTAAGTGACATCACTCTTCAAGATACACAACGCGTGCCTGACTGACCCTTTAACCGCAGTGGCCCATAGAAGAGCAGAGCAGCTGCAACTACACGAAACTAGGATCATAGCGGCACTGGACCAGAGGGGGCAGACTCAAGGTTAAATGCGACAAAAGTGTTACAGATTATTCTAGCTAATACCAGCCCCTCTTTCGCCTTTATGAAACACAGTCATCGGAGCGAGAAGTGAAAGTAACGATTGTGTAGCTACGGATCTATACCCGTGTCGCGCCCAGCAGCTTCACGATGTCGCTAACGTCCTCCACCAAATCAAGCTCCCAACATGCCTTTATGATGGCATCTGCAAATTTTCTGTCCAGAGAACACTCCGCCTGCCTCGAGAACTTTTCTTCGAGGAATGCTTTGCTTAGAGGATTCTCCACTGACCCGAGGGCTCGTTCTATTCGTATGGTTTTCTCCGAAATGGCACCTCCTGAGGAAGGTCGTGATCTGAAATGAAGGATTGCTTCATCATCCCTCATCTTATCGTCTATGCGCACCGTAATAAGGTCCCTTACCGCATAAACTTGAGCGTCATGAGCAGCCGTAGCGTCCGAGAACTCGGCAACACCCGCGCGGCCATGAACCAAAGCGACCGCACAGCCGTGATAGAGCGAGAAGATCGTTTCAAGGCCGTTGCGCGGGTGTCGAACATTACAAAGCCGGACCAGTTGCGGATTGGCCACGACCTCTAGCTTGGCGATATCTTCCACCCGTTTCGGGCCCTCTGCCGTTTTGTTGGCACTTGAGAAGAAGGCATACATCTCGAGGCAGGCATCTATGAGCGGATGGATCACGATCCCGCACGGGTATGGCTTGAACGAAACTCGAAGTATCTGCCACGGCCCACCGCGGGCCAGTGCTGCGATCTGACTCGTGTCGATGGTTGTCGAAACCAGTCTCGCCCACGCTTCAATGGGAGCGACGCAGCTAGCAAACCCTTCTTTCGCCATTTTCGCAGCCGTGATACCGTTCCGCGCATGTTGGCCCGCGTGCAGCGTTTTCGTGTCTGTCCCGAACATCGCACGTGTCCCCGATGCCATGCTGGATGCGTGCCCCAATGCTGCCGCGAACTGGTTGGGAGGGAGCCGTAACAACTTTGCAATGCCCGCCGCGCCGCTGAACGATCCCGTTAAACCAGTGATATGCCTACCCGCATGTGTATTAGCTATTCAGTATAAGAAATAAAATCAAACTGGAGATTCATCCTTTACCATCCATCTGCATAACTCGACGGAGATACTGCCAACGCGACAGCACACTGTGTTTCGACGGCGACGGCGAAAGCCAAGATCACTTCCTTGCCGGATAGGTGATGTGCTTCTGCGAATGGGAGAATCGCCGCGATGGCGGTGCACGCCACATGGATGACTGTTTCCAAATGTGTGTCGTCGTAGTCTGCCGTCGTCGCCGCAATGCCATTGAGAATTGCCCCATCCTCCAAGTTGGTGCGTTCTGGTCGGCCCCATATTGTGACAGCCCCGGATGCGCCCCTTTCTGCTGGCGCGCCAGGGAGAAGCGCAGCAAGGGCCTTACGACGGGGAGACGCATTTGCGGATCCAAGAGCGCAGCCTATGATGTTCAAGATGGCTTGTTTGGAGCGCTCAATCACTTCTTGCGGGAGATCTTCATAAGCCAGTTGCGACAGGAATGTGGCAAGTTGCAGCGTCTCGTCTTCAACTTGAGCGGACGCCATTCTCCCGAAAAATCATTCGCAGCAAAAGTAAAGAGGTATGGAGATATCACGATGAGAAAATAGGTATCGAGACGAACTTCGCCTCCCCTACGCCACGGAGTCAACAGAGCTCTGTGATTGGTGAGCGTGAACGTGAGCGTTTGCCCTCGCTGTGGAGAACACCCCACCCGACGTGGTTCCCGCGGGGCCCCCGCACACCTGCTCCTCGATCCAGGCACCCCGCCTTGCACCGTGTTGCGGGGTGGCCGATAGCTACCGGAGCTGGAAAGGAACTGGACAATACCTTGAAATGCCAGTTGATATGATTCCTTGCGAGGCAAAGACTACCTTACATTATTGCCTGCCTCCTCAGTGTTCATCTTCAGGATCTGTTCTTGAGCTTGGTGCAGACTACGACACCTCAAATCAGGAAGCCATAATGCCAACCACTTCACCCAAAATATACAGCAGCATATATCCGTACATCGATGCCGCCAATTTCAAAAACGCCCATAAAGGCAAGGTGGTTCTCGTAACCGGTGAGAAACTCTCAGAAGATGCCCGAATCCACGAGAAGAGATCAAGACTGAATCACGCGCCACTATAGGGGCGGGTCGCGGTATTGGCCAGCAGATCGCGCTGCACTTTGCCCTGGCAGGTGCAGCTACCGTCGTCCTTCTCGATCTCGTCGTCGCCAACCTCGCGGAGACCATCAAACTCTGCGAAGGCCACGGCTCCCAAGCGCTGCCGTTTGCATGCAACGTGAGCAAGCAGGAGCAGGTGAATGCTGTGTTTAACGAGATCTTTTCTAAAGTTGGAGACATTGACATCCTCATCAACGTGGCAGGCGTGTGCAATGCCAAGCCCATCCTACTGGAGACGTACGCCGCGATCTGGGGGGACATCGAGGTCAATCTCGGCGGAGTACGTCCTTAGCCGGGTCTGCTTTCATCCCGAGCCCCCAAGACTGACTCCCAATTTCAGGTCATACAGACAACGATGAAGGTGCTGCCCAGGATGAAAGCCCGCGGCAGCGGATGCATCATCAATATAGCGTCCCGCGCAGGCACGGTCACGGTGCCCTACCTGGCGAGTTACGGCGTGTCCAAGGCGGGCGTGATCAAGTTCACCGAATCGGTGCAGAAGGACCTTGATACCGATGGCCTGGGAGACAAAATCCAACTATATGCCCTTCATCCAGGGGCGGTCCAGACCGATCTCTCAAGACGTAAGTCCACACCTCGTCAAAAGCACTCAAGGCAAGGATGACCATCGCTCTAATGAAATCCACAGGCTCGATGGATCCGGAGGTCGCATCGGCGTATCCCAAATTCGTAGCCAACCGTCCCAAATGGCTGAAGAATTTCAACACTTCGGTCGATCTCGCCGCGGCCGTCTGCGTGGCCCTCGCAAGCGGGCGCGTCAAGAACAGCATGCGAGGGAGGTATCTAGACTGCGAGCACGACTTGGAAGCCTTCACGACCGAGGATGCAGAGAAGGAGATCATGGGCGGCAATCTGCACACGCTGGAGGTCCGGTTCTTGGGCGGCCTGCCGAATGATGGTGGGAGCTCGGCGAACTTGTTTACGTTCGAGGAGTAGAATTTATATATGAAGTCCTGCTCTATGATTATGAAGCTGGTGAAGATGTTACGTGACTTGGCGAAAGTAGGTTGACCTTGTGAAAACGTCGTGTGAAAATCAAATAGAGTGTGATATTCTTAAATTAGGATTGTCAACAATAGCGAGAGCCTATTATCCCATCCAGCTCTCCTGTCCCATCTCGCTTATTTTAATCACAACACTTCCAAATATCAACCCTTCCACTATGAATCCTTCTACTACTGTGGATCCTTGTATTTGATACTTTCTAATTCCATTCATCTAGCCCTTTTAAAAGTTAAATAAGGTTCTTGTGCAGAGTTTTTGAAGTGATGGGATAAGTCTCAACACACGAGCATTTTTCTACTTGGAAACATTTGAGCGGGAGTTGTGGAGGTGGAATCGTCCATTGTGAGAATTTGAATATCTTGCCGTACTCGGAGACCAGCATACATCACTCGTTGAGTACTTGATGTAGGTGTTTTAGCTTAACAAAATGCATAGGTATCTGAGACTTTGCTGGACATAAATACTACGGCCGACGAAGCAACTAGCATCCGACATGGTTAATTGTACCTCCCTCCCCAACATTGTACATTGCCGAATGACTATGCCTTGACATCCTCCTCCGCCCCCTCAAAATTGATATCTTCGAGTTTCAAGCCTTCGGCTTGTGCATCCATCCATTCCTGACGGAGAATTTTCTCATGCTGGGGGGTCCGGACACGAATATCTAAGAACTGTATAAGCAACAAGTCAACAAAAAAGCAAGATCAGGCAAACTCACCGCACTTGAAGGGCTGCGGCGCTGCGGTAGCTCCGGGAATCATGCCTCCAAAGGTCGCATCCACGGGAATTTCGACCCCATTTTCATCCTTGGCATGATACACATCAAATCCCCACATCAGGCGTGCGATGTTGAGGAACAAACTTCGCTCCGCGACGTGCATGCCGGGACAGATGCGGCGTCCGCCTCCGTAGCACCAGTGATCACGCAGGTTTGGATTAGCTGCGGAGACCGATTCGGCCGCGCTCAGCTTGTGGTTGTAATATCTCATGGGCTCGTACTGGTATCCCGGATCAGTTCTTTCTCGCGTATAGAGCAGTGTAGACATGACGTACCTTTTCTGGCTCCGGGAAGCGCTTTGGGTCATATTGCAAGCCCCATATGTTGATCATGACAACGGCACCTTTGGGGATGAAATAGCCTTTGTACCAACCGTCTTCGGTCGCATAGTGATTAGTGCCGAACTTGTTCACGAATCTCCATCGGTTGACTTCTTTGACCATTGCTCGGATATATGGGAGGTTCTTCTCGTCATCAAACGTTGGTGTGCGACTGCTTCCGACGACTCTATCGAGCTCTTCATGGGCCGCCTTCATCACCTCTTGACCCCTGGACAGGATTCCTACCAAGGTATTGTTGAGTTGCACACTGGTAGTTTCCGAACCAGCTTCAATCATGGTGCCCAAGACGTAAGCAGCCTGAAGCTCATCCAGTCCTTTCTCAGCCCAGTTGCTATTTACAAAGCCCTTGCCGAAACTGTGCGGCGCGGTCCCGGCCTCGATTTCCTGGCACATCTGTGTCCAGAATTCCATCCAGATCTTCGAATCTTTGAGATGGCATTCTTTCCCGAACTGGCGCCAGTTGCTGACCAAATCGAAAGGAGGGAAGTTCGCGAGCGAGGGAAAGCTGTCCACGAGCCATTGACCGGGTCTCCTGATTTGACCAAACCTGACCAGGACTTCGAAAATCTTTCGGATTTCATCGCATTCAACTTTTATTCTGGTTAGACGCGGTTTCACCAGATTAAGAAATGACTTACATTTGGGTAATCGACGACCATATGTGATCTGCAGGATTAAACTGGCCGTGTACCGTCGGTTGTGCATGTAGAAGTCTGCAAGTGAGCAATTAGCATGAAATGTAAAAATTGACGAGTGTTTACAAATATACCTTGTGGGGAATCCAAAAGATCAACAGAAAGTTGCTTTGCTTCAAAGACTTGAATCGGAGCATATGACTTGGCAGCTTTGGGAGTGAGCAGCTTATGGATGATGCCTCGAATGGTACGCCATTGCTTGCCGCGTGGCATGAAGACCACTCTCCGGCCACCACTCGCTGCCTCAAACCCCATCGGGTTAAGCAGCCTGCTGGAATAGATCGAGCTCTTGCGATCGATAATTTCTTTCACGGCTTCTCCGGAGTTGAGCCATATCCAATCTGTCGTGCCCGTCCGTGTGCGATAAATCTCGCCGTATTCGCTTGTCCACTTGATCGCATTGGTAGCGAGATCATCTTGCATATGGTAGAACGTCTGGTTGATAATTGGCGGTCCTGGGACTTTCGGCGGAAGGTGTCTTAAGCGTTTGTCTTCGAACCAAAGGCGGTAGAAGGTAAGACCCAACGTGGCAAGGACAGAGGCTATAACGAAGAATCCTGGGAATCCAAGGTACGTGTATGCTGGATTGAATACACCACCTGACTTGATGCCCCGAAGGAACATGGTGGAAGCGGAAGACTCCGTCATTTTTCAGGTCCCAAATCGAACGAGTGGTAGAATTGTGTGTGACCCGTGGTAGTTGCAATGCTGAGGGAGGATTTTTAAGGGAAGACCGAAATATCTCTGCTGTAGCAAGGTAGTCACTTTTATGAAGATGGAGTTTCGTATCTTTCTCGACGATTAGAACGATCAACCGCGTTCAAGAAGATAGACAACCGTGAATATGTCTTATAAACATTAAACAGGCAGGTGAAGTGCGGAAGGTGGAGACCCCGCGCTTATGGCAGGGCGGGGTAGGCGAAGATGGGTACATTTCATACCCCGTTTGTGTCAGTCAGGGATCACAGAAAGGCAATTCTGAGATGGCGGTGGGGGAATTAGCCGCAGGCGGGGTGTAAGGGCTATCTTTCCTCGAGAAGCGGGCCACCAGTTGTTATGAAGCCAATTCTATGCCAGATATCTACTACGACAACTCCTGTATCCGTGACCTCAGCGACGTTGGATTTTTCATCAACCTGGGAGTGGGAATTCGTATACTCACTTGGCCATGGCTTCAATCGAGATCCACAAGACCCAAGTCCTCATAGTAGGTGGAGGTCCAGTCGGAGTCTTCACATCATTGATCCTCGCTCGGAATGGCATCAAGATCACGCTTGTAGAGGAGAGAGATGATGTCGACACCGCTCCCCGGGCAATGGCCTTTCAACCCTGCGCTTTGGCTGAAATGGTCGAAGCAGGAGTATATGAGGATGTGTACCGGGACAGCGTTAAAGATGCAGTTATTTCGTGGTGGAAATCGGGTCCCGGTTACAAGAAGGAGCACCTGGCGACGATTTCGACAAACGAAGGCGACCAGCCATTCTTGACCGGCTTGAACTACTCGCAGTCCGACTTCACGAAGACTATCCTACAGCATCTACAAAAGGAAACAAATGCGAGAATTCTCTTTGGGCACAAAATAAGTAACATTACGACCTCAGCCGAATCTGTGCGTGTCACCGTAGCACGAGCGGGGATGCATCACTCGGAACCCAACGACCAGGAGATCATCGATGCGTCGTGGCTTGTTGGCGCTGACGGTGGACGGAGCACAGTGCGTGCTGAATCCGGCATTGCTTTCGAAGGCTTCACTTGGCCAAAAGAAGAGTTCGTCGCAACCAATGTATACTATCCATTTGACAAGTATGGCTTCACGAATCGGAACTTTATGATCGACTCCATCAACTGGGCTATCGTTGCCAAGATCAGTAACGACGATCTGTGGCGAGTTGCCTACGGTGTCAAACCGGGTATGACCAAAGATCAGATTTTGGAAGAGCTGCCACAGCGATTCAAAAACTTCTTACCTGGCCCGGGTGAAGGGTACACTGTCAAGCAAGCAAACTCATATCGTCCCCATCAACGATGCGCTGCTCGTTTTCGGAAAGGTCATGTGATACTGGTTGGCGACGCTGCACATCTTAACAATCCGATTGGGGGATTAGGCCTGACGACTGGCATCCTGGACGCTGGTCCCTTAGCAAGAGCCTTGACAGCCGTCATCAGTGGGAATGCACCTGACTCGCTGCTTGACAGATGGGACGAGCTGCGTCGAAAGTGCTGGCACGAGCAGACGAACAAGCAGTCAATTGAGTTCAAGCGTATCGCGCAGCAGGGTGGGCACGGACAGGATCCAGATGGCATTTGGAAGTCTGACGATGTGGCTGAGAAGAATGGGATGACGGCGTATCTGGTCAACGCCAACCCTGATGTGAAAGAGAAAGATGAGGCTCTTTACAAGGCTTTGCAAGTACCAGAGAATCAGAGATCCATGCGCCATAGAGTATGGGGACTGGCTCTTCCTGCGGACTGGATGGCAGAATATGAAGACCCGGACGTTGTCAAACGTCGGGGAGACCTTCGCCCAGTTGAGATCTGAAATCTCTTTCTTTGTACACATTAGGAATTTAATTCAAATCGTATCTTCAACTGCAAGCTTGCTGTGGGGCGACTCTTTGTACCTTTTCTATAGACACTTCGGCGCAAAGGACTTGATCTTTACGTAGTTACATCTGTCCCAGATTCAAATTTTCTCTTCTACGATGACTTTGGAGCACTTCCTACTGCATAGACCTCACTCCACAGTTTCTTTGCATCTTCATGTAACCATCTCGAGATCTCATCCGGATAGTTGGGGACAGAGTGAAAGTGCAGCTGGTCTCCCGATAACTCTACCGCCTGACCTGTCATTTTAGAGCTACGCAGAAACATATCATACGCTCGCAGCACCGTTGACATAGGCGTCACGTACTCCTGGGGCATCCTGTCTATCATCTCAGGAGGTGCCAACCCTGTCTTGACAAAACCAGGAAGAATGCAGTTGATTGTCACATTCTCCTCCTTGAAGCGTGGACCCGCAGATCGAGCAAGGCCGATGAGCTTTGGAGCACAGTAATTAGCACGCACATACTTGTATCTCGGAATGCACGCGGATATCAACACACTTACTCCATGCTTTGCCATTGTATATTGCGGGTTTGTTTCCATCGGGTAGATTCCGGCTCCCGAACAAGTGATCACCACCTTCCCGCCGGGCACTTTGTTGCGGCGTGCATAGTGTGATAGAAGCCAGACACCCTGCAGCACCGCGATCATGTCCACTTGAATGCAATCCGTGTTCAACTCTGGCGGGGGCCCGAGTGTATTGAGCACTCCTTCATACAAGCTTTGGCGATCATCAATACCTGCATTGGCTGCGAGGAAATCGAGGCGGCCGTTGCCCCATTCGAATGCGGATTGGAATAGGGCTGCTTGCTGGTCATATTTTGAAACGTCCACCTTCATGAACATCACGTCGGGACCCAACTCCTTTTCGAGAGCTCTGCCCTTCTCCTCGTTGCGGTCAGCCATTGCCACTCGCCACCCAGAGCTGAGAAGGTGACGGGTAAGGCTCAACCCGATGCCAGACGCAGCTCCCGTGATAATAGCCACAGGTTTCGACATACTCTTTTAACAAAAGACTGATGCGGGGGTCAATACTCGTCTTGATTATGAAACATATTCTACAGAGGAAGAGGTTTACCCCAAAAGACCATGCCAAAAAGCTTCGCCAAGGGCCGGGTCAAATGCCCCAGATATCAGTTGTAATCGGGGGTTCTGGTGTAATCGTCGAGAGAACGACTTGGCAAGGCGTGGGGTTCTACAGTTAGAGAATAGTAGTCCGTGGGTGGGGTCTAGCGTCCACTCGATATACGAAATGACGGACTCCATTCCGGGGGACACTATTTGCCATACCCCAGACTCTATACCCCGCATCGCACACACATCAAGCTTTCTATTCCCTTTAAGCGATGTGGGGAAGAACGGAGGAGATATTGCCTATAGAGATGCCCTTTGACTCCAGCTGCAGTCAATGATCCTGTGTAATAAAAAGAATTCATTCATTCCTTCCTTCCAAGCAGAAACAGACCATGGCACATCAAACCATGGACAATGAGAAGGACCAAATCCAGGACATCGGAGAGATCGTTGAATATGCACAAGATTATTCAAAAGTTGACCCGAATGCCACATCACTCGCGCGAGAGAATCGTCTCGTCCGCAAGATCGATTTCCGTGTGCTGCCGCCGCTCGCCATCATGTTTGCCATCTCCATCATCGACCGCATCAACATCGGATCGGCCAAGGTGCTGGGTATGACTAAAGACTTGGAGTTGACGGGCAATCGATACAATGTCTGCCTCCTCCTGTTCTTCCCGGCGTACATCCTCGCCGAGCTACCTTCCAACCACCTCCTGGTCAAGTTTCGCCCGGCCGTCTGGTTGGCCTTCATCATGTTCTCGTGGGGAGCTGTGCTTACCGGCATGGCCTTCACTCACAACTGGCGGGCCCTAGCCTTCCTTCGCTTTGTGCTCGGGCTCTTCGAAGGAGGACTGTTGCCGGGAGTGGTATACATCATTAGCTCATGGTATGTCTTCTCTCTTATGAGGATACTCGTTGGTCCTGTATTAAGCCTGGTGCTATCAGGTACTGTCGCTATGAAGTTCACCGGAGAATCGGTTGGACCTACTCTGCGGGCATCCTCAGCTCGGCCTTTGCGGGAGTGCTATCGTATGCGCTCGGTCTTATGGGGGGCATCCGAAACATGGCGGGTTGGAGGTGGATCTATGCAGCAAGTACACCATCCCTGGGTATTGACCAGATACTAACACGCAATAGATCGAAGGTGGTACGACAATGGTTATTGCCATTATCTGTTATTTCTGCCTTGCTCCATTCCCTGAAGAGTCCTGCTTTCTTAAAGCAGCAGACAAAGATCTGTACATGGCTCGACTCGAGCGCGACCGTGGAAACTCGGCGACCGAGCTAATTACTTGGAAGGTTCTCAAAGAGACGCTGACTGACTGGACAACCTGGATAACTTGGCTTCTATTCACCTTCACCAACTCGTCCACCTATGCCCTTGCTTTTTTCGTGCCGACAATTCTCACGGTAAATATCACTGCCGCCGCCTTTGGTTTAGTACTGACCCTGTATAGGATATGGGCTATACTGGATTGAAAGCCAGTCTTTTTTCCGCATGGCCCTATCTCCCCACCATCGGAATTTTGTGGATCGGATCCTACATCAGCGACAAAACCAAAATGCGTATTCCTATCATCATTTTCCAGAGCATCCTCATGATCATTGGATTCATCCGTAAGTCAGCACAATACCGCGGCTTCTACATATTGGAGTTAATTCTTGGCAGTCATGCGATCTCAATTCACCAATGAAGTCCGCTATCTGGGCGTCTTCTTGGCAACCATAGGCTGCCAGTGTAACGTCCCTGCACAGATTTCTCTCGCGCAGACGAACGCAATAGGGTCCGGTCAGCGGTCTATCATGGCAGTCGTGACGATGTGGGGAGGGGCTTCGGGAGGCATCATCGGGAGTCTCATCTTCCGAACACAGGATGCTCCTCATTACACCCCGGGGCTGTATACCTCAATTGCCATGGCCTCTTGTATCATTCTGGGGATGTTAGGTTTGGGCTCCTATTATCATCTTTGTAACAAGCGAGCTGAGAAAGGTGCCGTCATCTACGGGATCGAGGGTTATCGATATTCATTGTAATCCTGCAAGGTTTTTAATCAACCTGGTTTTATAGCCTTCAAAATCTGTTTGTATTTAAGTCAATGTTAAAAACCACTTATGTTGTTTATACTTATTTCTCGCTAAATCTCCTTAAAGGAATATCGCTACCTGCCAAATTTCGTCACAGACATATATCTCGGCTGGAATAGATAGGGGTATCAACTAGATGACGCTTGTCACTCCTAAAACGGCACACACTATGTCACCGAATATTTCTAGAAATTAGCAGGACAGGTAGAAAGGCAATCCACAGACTCACTTGGTTCTTGACATATATATCCTCCTGCTCTGTGTCAGTGGGCACAAAATTTGCTTCACCATTGGTTTTACTCGTGGACGGGGACCCATTATTAATTCTTACTATATCTTATTTACTGCGTTTTGCTATGCAGTCGCAGGGATGTCTTTAAAACTATCTTCTGGCAATGCAAATTCGTCTTCCACGACGTTGTTCATCATAGTGGCCACCTTCATGCTGATGTCTGGATCGCTGTTCAGAGAATCGAAGAACTCCTTGCGCGAGGCTTCAACCTCCGGATGGGTAGAATGGATGCGCAGTTTGAAATCAATAGACCCAGGGTTGGTGAATTCCATCCACGCATTTCTCCTGACCCTACTGTAGCGATCCAGTAATCCATCCGCCTCCTCTCCATGCGTGTAGATGCGAATGAGACAATTTCCGAGGGCTGCAGCGTCCATAAGACCGGTCGTGAGTCCCAGGCCCCCGATAGGATTATTTGACTGTGACGATGATCAGAGCTGCACAACAGAAACGGCGGTAGATTACTCACATGCCCAGCATCTCCACAGAGAATCACTTTCCCAACACGCAGCGTCGCGGCTACTCGTTGGTGTGCCCAATACGGGTTTGCACTGACGAGCTCATACTTGAGCGGCCTCGGTCCTGGAAACAGCCTTTCGTATTTCTCGGGAATCTGCGTCAAGATCTCCGACTCGGGAACGGTCATCCGCACGCCAAATGCGACTCGCCATGGCGCGTCACCTGGTCCTGTCCTGGCAATCACAGCCCAGTCTTCCTCGTCTACAATCATGTTTGCGGTGGTGAATCCATACTCTTCGAAGGGGTATTTGACATTCGACGCCACGAATCGGAAATCTTGCCACGTGAAGCCTTCGAAAGCAATGCACTGTGAACGCCGCACAGAACTACCTGCTCCATCCGCGCCAACAAGATAGTCGCAAGTGAAAAACTTCTCCCCGATTGCAAGACAGTTCACCGTCACTGGATCCTGCGGCCCACCCTGTTTGACGCCAACAAAACGGTGGCCCCATTTAATGCTGAAATTCTTTTCTCGTTGACAGTGAGTCAGGAGTATTTCGGCCAGGCTGTGTTGCCCCAGGTGTATTCCTGCAAAATCGTACTTGACAGCCCCTTTCGGAATCTGGGACATTTCGAGACGGGCTAGGACATTGCCCCCCTTAGCGTTGGACGTCCGATATGTAACACCCTCCTTGTTCTTGAATCCAGCTCGCTCGACATCCTCGTAAAGACCAACTTTCTCCAACTCATTTAGAACGATGGGCATATACCTAGAGAATTTGCGTCAGATGCGGGAAGAAGAAGCCATCTCAGATAGATCTGGAAGTACACTCACGTCGTTGCTCGAGGACTTTGGAGCACTGCATTCTCGGCCTCTAGCACCATAACCTGGATACTGGCCTTTGCTAACTTCAATGCGAGGAACAGTCCGACCGGTCCAGCACCGACAATTATGACTTTCGCGTGCTCGATGACTGGAACGTCCGCCGCCGGCGTCGTGTTTGGATTGAGGTGAACCATTGTCGGATGTCTGATGAAATAGGAGTGCAACTAGTGTACAGTTTGAATAAGAAGCATTCCCTCGTGTCAGGGCTCGCAGGTCTGGAAGAGACCAATTGTTTTGTGGCTACCCTGAGGGGCGGGTCTGTTTTGTATACCTTATGCTGTATTACACAAGTGGTGTGAAGGTTGCACGTGCCTTGGGCATGACATCGCTTTCATCCCCTCAATTACCCCATATGTACCCCACATGGAAGGAGGTCACCACGGCGGGGGTAGATAAGGGGCAGCTAAGCGAACCGTGTTTGCCCGCAAACCCCTGCAAAGCCTTCCCCAACGGCACGATACACGTCGTCGTATCGTCGTAGGTACGGTGTCAAATCATTGCTATGCACTGGTTCCTTTAACAATTCAATAGAACTCGTAAGGAAGTTATCAAAATTGGTCAGTTGTGCTTCTACATTTGTACGTGTACATAAGGTAGATATATATATCCCAGTTCCACGATATCCGCGCCGATTCACATTAACAAGAGCTTCTACAACGATCACCATGTCCAAAACATTCAACCACCCAACTTTAGGAGAGCTCAGACCTATATGGGGAGAGACGGTCAATCAATTTCTAGGTCTAAAATACGCCTGGCTCACAGCTCGCTTTGCAACGTCTGAGTTATTCTCGCCGGCCCCTTCAAAGGTTACCGATGCCACGCAGTACGGGTAGGTCTAGCTATGGCCACACGTGATTCTTATCTAGCCTGCTAATAAATTACGAAAGGCCCTCTGTGGTGACTCATTCGTCTGGTTGCAAAGTGGAGTATGGTTTCATTCAACAAAGTCTTCCAGAGCGTGCTTTCGCGTCATCAGAACTGGACGGACTCAATCTTAACATCGTCGTCCCCACAATAGCCTCAAGCGGAAAAGGCCTGCCTTGCTTTGTATTTATACATGGTGGAGGCTTCACCAATGGCGGAAATTCCTGGCCGCAGTATGACCTCACACGGTTTGTTCAGCTGTCAATCGAACAAGGCGAGCCGATCATCGCAATAAACATCAAGTATGAGACCTGAGCGCTTTTGGGATAGACATAAGCTGATCAAAGTAAATACAGCTACCGGATGGGTGTATTTGGCTTCCTGACATCGGAGGAGTTAAGGAAGGAAGGATACGTAGGAAACAACGGTCTGCGTGACCAGCGAGTGGCTTTCGAATGGATTAAGAGAAACATTGCTGGCTTTGGCGGAGATCCAGATAATGTCACCGTCGGGGGACAAAGTGCAGGAGGAAGTCTGTTGCTCAATCCCCGTTGACAGAAAAGCCATTCATCGCTAACCGTCTCGACAGTCTCAACAACGCTGCACATCTATTCCAAGACACCCCAGTTTGCACGAGCCATCAGCATGGGCGGAACCACTCTGCTGATGAAACCTTTACCAACATTCGTTCACGAGATGACATATAAGACAGTGGTTGAAGCACTTGGACTCTCTGCCAAAACTCCAGAAGAGCGAATATCGATACTCAAGAAAACCCCTGCTGAAGAGCTGTTGTCGAGATTGCCGCCAGGCCTTCCTCTGCAACCTGTAATGGACGGCGATTTCATTCCAACAGCTGCAACATTCAAAGATGTGGCTGACCTACACAGCGCAACCATGCCAGGCAAATCTTGGTGCAAGGGCCTCCTTATTGGAAACAATCAGTTAGACGTATGTATCACCAAGTACTGTCTGACTCTACATAGATATGCATATTGATATACTGGTTTAATAGGCAAGCATCGTCGTTGGTGCGTTGGGAGCCCGCAAAGGACCTTTAATCACCGCCTTCATTTCAAGCATGCGGAAAACTCTCGCCCCATACGACACCGTGGCGGACACGATATTTACCATGTATGGAATGGCAAACTCAATGTCCGACAGCGAAGCGGTAACCGCAATCCTGCACTTCGTGACCGACATCGGCCTCACGGCGCCAGTACTCACCTTTGCCGAGGGCTTCTCTAGTAAGGCCTACGTGTACTTCTTCAACGAGCCGAATCCGTGGGAGGGCCGCTTCAAGGGCCAGGCTTCGCACATCCTCGACGTGGCCTTCCTCTTCCAGAACTTCAACGCCTTCCTCGATGCCGCGCAGGCGCAGTCGGCGAGGAATTTCGCCGTCGACGTCATCAGGTTTGTGGGAGGAAAGGCACCGTGGACGGCGTTTGATGCGGAGACCTTCGTGGCGAGAGTGTATGGACCCTCGCAAGGTCGTGGCGAGGCGCTGACGCTGGAAACCACGCGGAGAGAGGAGGTGAGCACGGGAAGACGACTGGGGATTTTTCGGTTTGCGGAACAGCCAGGACTGGATGTCATCTCCAATGCACTCGGGGTATTCCTTGCCGGGAAGTAGAGTATTGGGCACGCTTATTATTTGTCTTAAAACACATATACATAGAAAAATGAATCCAACTCTAGGCTATAGAGCAAAGTAGCTGTCGATTCCTGTTGGCGCTTTAACACTAGATGAATAAGAGTGTGTCACTCTAGTTGTTTTCCCTAGAAAATAAATTCGGAGAAATTATAAATAGTCTAATTACGAACTTAGGATATTATCTGGTTATATAAAACGAATTCTACCCCTTTTCCGATAAACGAGTCCCTTTTTCTAAGTTGTCATAATACTTTACCCCTAAAATAGTACAGTTTTCCTTGATAATGTTTTATAAGGTAAAATAATACTAAAAATGTAATGTAGTGGGAAGAACTGTACCTCTCTCGGGAGAATAGTTTTTCCAGCTCTGGTGCTCTCCGCCCGTGTATTTAGACCTTTCATCCTCCTTAAGTGGATAAGCAATACAACCTTTATAACTACTGAGATGTGCTCCTGATCTTGTGCCTTGTCACAATGCTATTAGGGGACGCGGTATACTCCTATTTTATCCCATCACAATAGACTATTTGCCTCGCCTAGTTTATATAATAAATAGTAACTATAGATTGCTTAAACAAGAAATAACTATATTAGCAATAACAGGAAACTTACCTAATCAAGGACGAAATAGAAAGCTATATTATTGCCCTTGTTACTCGGCCTTTGTCCTTGGGCCCCCTCCGGCGTTATAAAGTCGCGTTGGATCTATTCCGAGAAAAAGATGAAGATTAACCTATATATATTAAAATAAGAAAAGAAAAACTCACTTTGCCCACATGGAAGGAGGCAAAGGTAGTGACTCTTTGACCCAATAGAGCAGTTTGACTGTAGCCTTCATGTCTTACCTATAAGTCTGCGGAGGTGGCACCCAAGGATTTCTCTATGATGACAAGCCAGCGCTAGGATCAAAGTTTCCGCCTGGGCGGCAGACAAGGATAGAGCCGTACGTCCTGGCGGCTAGCCTCGCGAAGCACTGCAACTATGAAGACTGGTGGAAGAAGGTACGAAAGAGCAAAAATTTGGGAGGGGGGCGAAGGCAAGTTCTCCTTGGAAAGAGCTAGGGGCACGTCATATTACGAGAAGAATCTGCCTTGAGATTAAACGATGTATTTTTAGGGTGATCCTGTTTGGGTTCCCTAGGAGCCGACTTAGTCCCCTTAAATATAGTCGTGTAGAGTTGACAACTTTCGCATGGCAGAACCGAATAGTAAGTAAATTATGATTAGTCACTACAAGGGAGGGCAGGAACGTGACTGAGCAACATGAGCAGAGGGTGAGGCGAGGGTGAGTAGCGCCTAAGCAGAGCGGCGACGCTGACTAACCGAATCCGAAGCGAATTGGAAAAACTGTCGTCTGAGATTACCAATGTTATTTACAGCATCTTGGATGCCAGCAATTATTTGTTTCATTTTTATTCAGCTCCCATGGTTTCTAAAAAATTTTTATAATTGCAACTAGAGGCATTCTCGCTTAGCAAAAAGGGGCTCTCGTCAGCTCGCCAAACATCACCATCTTTCCGTACAAATTGTATTAGATCAGCGGATCTGGACTATGTGAAGTGATTGGGTAGGTGACTGTTGCTTAGATCAATATGTACAATTCTCCATGAGCCCGTAGAACAATAACATCAAGTGATCTTAAACTACGTATTAAGAAGGAATTGAATGACGGCTTGGAAACTCGAAAATGTCCCAACTAAGTGTGATTCTTCGAGGTGGAAAGAGGCTCTGAATAGGTTTCTGTTCGTTTCTTCCACATGTAAAATCTTCCCGTTCTTCTCTCTTGCTTACGTTCTTTCTTTTGTCCATCACAAAAGTTTCTTTCTCGGTAAGTCAAGGTTGAGTCCGCATTCTCTTCAAAGTCAGCAGAACTCAACACAATGCTACCTCCTCGTGTCTGTCCCGCAGGCCACTACGAAACTTTAGAGTCGTCGGTAAGATCTTGCCCTCTTTGTAGAACCTACTTGCAATTCGCAGGCCTCGAACGACACTATCCGATGACCACCTATATTTTGGGATATGTTGGTGGTGGCCGTGATGCATACCCTTTCCGCTTGAATCGAAGACATCTTGGAAACAGGCAAGGGAATCCACAATGGTTGAGAAGATGGAATTTTCCGTGATCTATAAGGGAAGAAGTACGGCTGAGCAAGGTGGAGGATGAAAAATCAAAGTATGTGAAAATTGAGCATGGAAGTAAATTTTGGAGAAAGGCAAACTAGGCTTGCACGTTAGGCTTGGAAAATTCACTCTTAATATCTCTAGTGAGGTATCATATAATCGAAACTGAAAGTAAAGATGGTTGCGCACCATACTCTCCAGTGATCTGTCCAATGCAGCGCCATGAGACATGGAACAATGATTCACTTGGTACACAACTGCGCATGCACTTCTTATACAGAAAAGTTATGCCTGGAGGATGTACGTAGTAGAATACAGGTCATCAATTATGTACAAAAAGTATTAGACGTCGAAAAGTCTGGCTAGGCGTTGTGCAATATTAGACGGACTTTCTAGAGAGACTAACAACTTCAAAGGATCATTCAATGAGTCTCAAAGTTAATCCAGCGGCAACCCCAAAAATGCGCACTGCTCTTGCTCCGGGTACTCTTGAGCCATGAACCCATCCCACTGCATCACTCTCCACGCACTACTATTAACAGCAACCTGATCCCAAACTCCAGTCTTCGAAATCCTCTCCAACGTACTCCAATAACCCCTTGCTTCAAGATACTCCTTTTTCGGATTCGGATTTCCAGTCCACGCAAAAGCAGTCCAATAATCAACAACCCACTGACTGAACAAAACATCCAGCCCATCACGATCCGGCAGTCCCCATTTCATAGTCCCGAAAGTGTACAGTTGTTCACCAGCGTGACACTTATAGTACTCCATCTCCGGATCGCCGAAAGGTCGCGATGCGGTGAGGGGAGCGGAACACCAGGTCGTGGTGTAATCCGTTGGGCTGTACGTACGATTGAATTGATAGGAGTAGACCTTCTTAAAAACATTATTCTTCGCTGCTGAATATGCTGCGGCTTCTAAGGCGCAGTTGAAGAGGCCATCGGTTCCGACTCGGACTGTGATGTTAAAGATTTCGTCGGCAGTGGGGTTCGGAGGGATTGAGAATAAGGCAGTGCCGTTTGTGAGAACTGGATATTGGGTGAAATCTTCTGACGAAAGAGCATCAAAGTATTGTTCTATGGTGATACCTGCTGGAGGGTAATAAGTGTCCAGGATAGCGAACTCGTCTCGAACGCCTCCCACTATGACGGAGATGTTTGAATTGTGGCCGCTGGAGTTGTTGAGGGCCAATTCTGCTGATGTGAGGTAAGTGCCGTCGACGACGGGATATCTGGTGAGCATCAGCCTACATATTCCTACATATGAAGGAAACTAACTGACTGAGCAGCTGTTTGCAGATTGGCAAGAACGGCAGCGTCAACTTCACTCAAGCATGCAATTGGGTCCGTTGCATCAAGACAGCCAGTGCTATTCAGAGCGCTCTCCGTGAAGTTTGTATAGTACTCCTGGACCGACATGTAATGAGCGATTGGAGCCGCCAGAGGCCAGCCATCGGGGGTTGACTGCATGATTGCATTTGAAAACAACCCTTTGGTCTTCGGAGAAGCGAGCAAAGTACGGGCAGCCGCTGCACCAGCCGATTGACCGAAGATTGTAACTTGTTCTGGATCACCTCCAAAGGCTCGAATGTTCTGGGACACCCACTCTAGGGCTGTTACCATATCACCAATTCCGTAGTTGCCATTATGGACTCCGTCGGGGTATGCAAGAAATCCAAAGTACCCAATTCGATAATTGAGAGCCACCACGACGACATCGCCGCGTGAAGCTAAATTGGTGCCATCTGTATTCGGATCACTTGCTGCGCCACTTGTAAAACCACCGCCATAGATATAAAACATCACAGGCTTGAGATTCGCTTTTGCGGCTGGAGAAGTGGGAGCTAGGTAGGGAGTCCAGATGTTGAGGAATAGGCAGTCTTCACTGCTTCCCGAAGTGACCTGTCCAATGTACTGCTGGCAGGCTGGAGGCTGTGATATTGCAAGCTCTTGCCCAGTTCCAGCGAACACACTTGAGTAAGTGAAACGCTCGGGTTTTGCTGCATATCTGATGCCAAAGAATTTCCAAGTGTAGAAATCTCGGTATCCAGTGATGGATACGGCCCCAACTTGCTGCGCGATTTGGAATGTGGCAGATGTGTTGGTAAAGGTGGAGTTGGAGACTGGTGCACTTTGCGAGCAGAGAGCAGGGAGTTCTCTCCCGCAGTCCACATTGGAGACGGAGCCTAGATAATTGATAGCTCTACAGAGTCTCGAGGTAGAATTCGATATCCAAAACAATTGAATCTCAGGAAATGCGCCCAAGTAGACCTGATACGACAATGAATTGTTCAATTCAGAAGGTGTCTCATTAGCAGGAGCCCAAAATCTTTCTCCTAGAAGGTTACATGATTGTGAAGCGGATGCAAAAGAACTTGCTTGGTTGATGAGAATTGCTCCTGAGCCGAGACTGGGAGTATCTACGTCAAGGATTAGGACTGCTTCCACATGTCCTAGAACAAGAGGGACATACTGTTGAGATCATTGTAAGACAAAATTGTAAGACCACCGCCTAGTGCCAATTGTTTGGTAGATGGTGTAGACTCAGACGCTGGGATGAGATAAGATATAGCAAGAAGACATGAAAATTTCAGAAATCGCATCTGCACCATGATGGGCTAAAGGTGTACAGGAAAAAGTCCCAGGGTTTTCCAGCATCTTGATGAACGTACATCGTTATATACGTGGAGCACAGTAGTAGAATATGGAAAGCTGTACCTGGTACACTCGTACAGCGCTCCCAACGATTGGTCCATTTTAGCGTGCCCGACAAGAACTATCCGTCTAGACTATTTTCGGTTCCAGATTTTAAAGAACCGTCAGCCTATTGGTTGGCTACGGTTCCGGGCTCCCTGAGACTGTCAAGAACCGTCTGCCCGTCTACTATTGGGGGAGCTTGAGGATTGTGGAAATTAGGGGTGCTTAGAACCCTTGAAATAGAGTAGTCTAGCTTAAAACTTGAAATCTGAGGACAAAATTTGAGCTTGGAGCTTAAAGTTGAAGCCTAAGGTTGAGGATATACTATTGATAGGTGTTATTTGTCTTGGCAGTTAAATCATCTAGGACCATCTAAAACCTAGACGGTCACGGTTTTGGGTTTTCCTCAAACCATGCTAGTACGGTTGGTTACGGTTTAGGGTCAAAAACGGACCAAACCACCCATTGGGTACGCTGTACGAGGACTGGTATGTAATTACATGACCATGGACATCGGGAGTAGATCCCAGGAACTTAATCGCCGTTCCGCTGCGGGGTCATGTTCAGGGGATGGGTGACTCGGTATTAAAGATGCGGCGCATTGCACCAATTCCCTCAAGACTTCGCGAGTATTCGCGGTCGGTCAATCGGGTCAAGTCAAGACGCCGACGCCCTTGTAAAGCTGCCACCGACCGTTACCAAAAAATCACCCCCGAAAGCCTCAAAAACATCCCATTGCGGGTTGCTGGACGTATTCCGGGCCGCCGGAAAGCAATGATGGATGCAGCGGCAAGCCAGTGGCGCGGCTCGTCTGTCAAACACAACAAGCTTCTCACCTTTCAAATACAAGTACAAGATGAAAGAAGAGCAGTACTTCAATCAGTTGCTTCATTAAACAAAAGCTTAGAGCAATCCCAATTAAGTAGCCGAGATACATAATCGGCCATTTCCAATACAGGCTATTCAAAAGGAGCGTGACTTGCTCGTGACTTCTTTTGGGACACGTAAGGTTGTGATAGAAGTAAAAGATCAAGGAGAGGAAACAACTGGCTACACAGGAATCGCATGACGGCGGGGTGGGAGGACTTCCTCCGAAAGTATGCAGCTAGGGCAACTCAAGTTGTAGGACTGTAATTGTGCGATACAGTCAAAATAAGGGGATCATAAACACCAGAGCACAGAAGTTGTACATATTATCCTCATTCATTGTTGAAAGTGCGTTGCCATTTTCCCAGTCCATCTTTCATATGAAAACGCCTGTACTCCCTGAATGAGATGTCGAGATACCATATCCGCTGCTTGATATACAACCATGCAAATGCCTGCTCGACGAAATTCGTGAGTTGCGACGCATGACTTCTTCTGTATAGTTTGAGGAGATTGCCAGTGAGAACGACTCAAAAGAATCTCCACCAGATGAAGACGATGATGAACAGTCCTACACCAGCAAATGGTCCATATTGCTTCAACATCAACTCCCAATTGATGCGTACGGCGGCCTTCCTGTATTTAAGACTGTCCTCTCTGAGCCGACTGCTAACTTCACCCATACGTTCCAAGCTATCTCCTCGATACAGCAGATCCTCGATGTTCTTTGTCATGACTTTTGTGACATCACGTAACTCGTCGTTCAGCTTGTCAAGATTTTGAGTGGCTCGGGAATCGGAGTATGTGGCTTTGGTACGAGAGATGAAGGTGTCGAACTCCATGAATGCATATGGTCGCATGGTGGACGAGAGGACTTGTTGGAGAGGGTACGTGGTTGAGAATTCGGTCATTAAATCGGAGAGGTAGGTGAAGGCTAGCTTTCGAGGATATGATCGTTCGCTGATACACATGTAGACTATATCTTGGGAGATGAGATAGCTATTCTGACCGTTAGCTGCCTGATCGAAAATCACGACGGTTCCAAACTTTGCAATAGCCAATAGAGTAAGTTTCATCCTTCTGACTAGCAGGTTCTGCCAGGCATCTGTCTCTGGAATCTTTTCATCTAAAGATTGTATCTGCCACTCGGCTTCAGAACACAGCCCATGGTACTGAGCAACGCGTCGCCACTGATTGTTTGTATGGGTTCTTGAAGAACGACGCCCAAGATCGGGAACCCACGTACTGTAGTGTGTATTGGCCACTTTCAATGCTGGCTTGGGGTTCGGAGTTTCGATTCAGACGGCGTAAGACCATCTTCACCTGCGACTTGATCTCGTCCAGAGAGGAACCACCCTGTGAGACGGATACATCAGCCATATTCTCCCACATTGAAGTACCAGAGGGAAGTTCCTTACATGCTCATCATCGGTAGATGCGCACAGCATCAGACCTACGCTTCCATCAATATTTGCTGTATACAAAGCTTTGTTGACATACCATCCAGCCTAGCAAGTTGTGTAGACTTAATCATCTTTGCGCGTTCGCAGGAGATGAAGCCGGAGAAGAGTTTGATTTGTGTTGCGAAGACACTATGCAGTGTTCGCAAGTGCAGAACCCAACGTAGGAGTAAGGACAGACAAATGGGATGAAGATAAATCAACAGCATCTCGAGGCTGAGGAAACTAAAAAGGACACTGTCGGTGATCGGCGAAGCGGCCGCAAAGCGCTACTGTAGGGGAATTGTCGGGATATCTTCGGAAAAGCGCTGTCTCTCTTTGAAACCAAGACATTGATGGAATGTCTATTCTGCAGTACTTAGAGTATTCTCCATCAGCCATGGTTTCCTGTCGGATCATAAGTGTGAAACTGTTTGCAGTTTCCCAGCATCTCATCGGACAAGTCAGCAAATTCCATGGACATCCAGCAGCACCAGATCTACAAATATAACTACAACAGGAAGAAAACACATCACTTTACGCTAACTGCTTTCTTTATAGGAGGCTGATCTTGAAAACTTACATAGATGTAAAACCCACTCGCCATTCCTACCGCCGACCAGCGGGGAGGAGAAGATGTTAAACCAGGAGGCCTTTGCTGCTCTCATCCCCTACCGCACCTATGTCAAGGGATGCAAACCTCATATCCCATGGCGGAGAAAGCTCAAAACGGCCATGGTCTACTAAGTACTGGTCTTAGTTTAAGTTCCAATCCAGCTGCTTATGGCATCACTGAGCCATCTGCTGAAAATCAACCTGGAATGTCTGCCATGATTTTCAAGTGAAGCATGAACTCTTGGTCATAGGTCTCGGAGGTGAAATAGATGAGATTTTATGTAAGAGTAACATCATAGAGATAATAGTGACCGAGATCATTGGCTTGATCAGCATAATGGTGTTGCCTGCAGTTTGTTAAAGCTTCCTAATCTGACTTGTTTACTGACCGGTCTTAGAACTCATTGTCACACTTCCACTTGGGTATCTATCAGACAAATATGGCCGACGTATCATCCTTTTCTGGAGTATTGGAGCCTTGAGGAACTTATTTGCTTGGACTTTGACAGTGGACAAGTGAGATTGCTCTCAGTTCTTGGACATACATCCTTCGAACTCCTACATGAAGCACATACTGGGCGCATATAGAGTACTGTTGGTTTCGTGGAAAGTGTCGGTTCTTCGATTGGGGGCTGGCCTGTTTCTTCCATGGAAGCTGTTGGCATCCAAGTACCCAGTTTCCAATGGTCTGCAGAGTTCTCTACTCGTCAGTTGGAATTGCTCTCTGGAATTCTAAATCTCAAGACCGCAACATCTTCAAGTCTGCACCTCCATCTGCCCAGTTTCTCCTCAGTCGGGGGAATTGGCGTGATTGGCTGATTACCCTTGAGTGGCTTGGAGCAGGAAGGGCGGCACAGCTGAGAACTAGCTAGCTATGTCTCTGTAGACTCTTGGAATAGTAGCCGTCGCAAAAGCTACAGCAGATGTAAGTAAATTCAATGGATTACAACAAATCAGATAAGTTGCATGAATATGAGTTCTATTCTCTATACGACACATTTTTCGACGGGAACAAGGAGTATGCAAGACATCGCTTCTAGTATTCTGTGTTTCATGGTGTCCGCGACGTTCAATTTCCGCACAGCCCACGACCAAAGGGCTGCGAATGACGATAGCGACAAGATGAACATCGGTGAATCTGCTGGGAAGATCCACATGGGTTTACAGGATCTGCAACAGGACCTGCAACAGGGACTGCTGGCAGAATATATGAAAGAGATCTGATTCCAAAGGGACTACCATTAATCATCCCCTTTCATGTCTTAAGTCCTTACAAGCCAAATTACAAAAACCTCCCAAGTGCCCCGTAATACATCGCTTAAAAAAGGGGAGTTCTTCAAGCTCTTCGCGAAGTCTCTTTCCACCAAACCGAAACCTTCGACAGCGGAAAGCCAGAGTCAATGCTAGAACCAACATGCATACATCTTTTAAGAACTTAACTGACTCTGACCTCCCATCTCTGGCTGGAAACGTGCTTGGTGCAGACCCGCCCAGCCACAAGGCTACCAAACAGAACCAGAACAACACACCGCATCTCGTCCTCAAGAGACCGGGATATTCTAAAATCGGCTTGGCTTTGTATACCAGGCTGCTTTAGAGGCGCAAATAAAACAACCCGCCACGTCTCATCCTCCAATACTCAGGGGAAACTGGAAATTCCTGACATCCAATCACAGTAGTGCGAAACCTTTGCTGCTCAGCCTTGCACACAAGGCTGCCGGAGATATCTACAACAGAACCACAACAATTCACCTTCCCCCTTTCTCTGCAGAGTACCGACCTCTACAACACGCGAACCTCGTTCACCCCCCTTTCACTGCAGATTACCGACCCCCTTCTACAAGACGCGAATCCGAGCCGAAAATGCAGACACGCAAAAGAACCTCCTCAAAGTCAAACGACTACATCGACACCCCTCAAACAGCAAAGACAGCCCGCACCACACGAGGCTCAACGCGCACGCCTAAGACTACCGAAGAACTCCTCGCAAACCCCAAAAATGAAGTCTACAGCTGTCCCCCTACAGAACTCCTAGTACGCCTCCTTCTCACTTTCAACCACCCCTACTAACCCCTCATCAGTCAATCCTCACCTCCCCCGACGCCCAGGCTCTCATCGCGGAGCAGCACCTCCACCTCGTCGCCGCCCACCGCAAGCTCATCAACACAACCGGTCTCGCACAGCGATACATTGCGAATTTCCAGCGGGACGGCAAGAATGGGTTCTATGATCCTCAATGGCAGCTTGAGGCACGGGAGGCGCATTTCCGGCATAAGAAGGGTGATTTTGATGGGTATTTGAAGTGGAAGCTTTATCAGGATTGGCCGGAGTTGGAGAAAGTGATCAAGGAGCGAGAGGAGGCGGAATTGGCTCGAAGTCAGGATAAGGTGTCGGAGAATGAAAGTGGTGATAGACACGATGCTGAGTCGGACAAGCTGGTGGAGACAATCAATGGAGGCAATGAGAAGCACGACGATGGGTTGGACATGCTGCTGGGTACGCTGAGCAATGGTAGCAATGCCAAACACGTTGACGGACTGGCTGAGGGTTACGATCAACCGATGGATACACTGAATGGAAGTCATGAGAATCACGATGATGGGTTAGCTCAACAGGAGAAGTCACTGAATGCACCGATCAATGCTACCAATGACGGACACAATGATAGGTTAGCACGCCTGGACGAACCTCTGGATGCGGTGAATGGTGGAAGCAATGACGGACACGGTGCTGGTTTGGCACATAACCAAAATCAACCCCCAGCCGAGGTGAATGGTGAAGACAGTGCTAAGCCTGGTGGTATGGAGGAAGACGAGCCGATGGAGGGACATTGATGGAACTCTGCGGATCACAAAATTTCGTTTTGAGATTACCCCTTCATGGCTTACGGACTTGCTCAAGGATTGCATTTGAAATGTCTGGGCGGGACATTCACGAAAAGTTTGCAGACCATGGATTTGCTGAAGTTGAGATACCCATTTGCAAAGAATTCTAATCAGACTTCATCCCACCAGACCTGGACTTTTCTGCGAATGAAATGTGATGTCAAACTTTTCTTCAAATTGCATTGCTTTTATATACATACAAATACGGCCTCCCATTTCTTGCTTACAACTCATCATGGCCCTCGACCTTGTATTTCCCTTCGCTCAAATCGGGCATGCCCATAATTTTGACCACTAGACTTGTCCAGCCAGTGAAATGCTGTGTTCGCTGTCCTGCACCTGTCTCGGGGTTATATTGCTCCCAAGCGAAGCCTGTCTCTTGCCAAGAGTCGAAGACAGTCTTGACAAGATTGAGACGGAGACGCGAGTAGAGATCTGTAGCAGTCTCGGCGTGTGGGCCTTGAATTTGTGCATATTTCTGAAAGAGCGTATTAGTGAAATCGGCAGGGATGTGAGGAACTGAAGGGTAACTTACCAAGAGCTGTACTAAAGCGAGATAATTCATGTTCATCCAAATTGGTCCTCTCCAGTAATTCTCATCGGTCCCATAGAATGGATCACTCTTGCTCAGACTTCGAATACCATATTCGGACCAAAGCTCGCTCTCGTCTCCAAGAAGCTTGAGAATATGGTCCAACTTCTCACTTTGAGAATCAATCAATCCAGTGAGGAACGGGAACAAGGAGATATAGCCCTTGTGGCACACGAGCTGGTTCTCCTCATAATCGTCAATTGTGGCATCGCAGTAGCACTTGTCCCTCTCGCTCCAGTGAAGATCATCGATGTTGCGCAAGATGGCTGTCTCGATTGTAGTCAATTCTTTGACATCATCATCATACTTGAGAAGTGAAGCAATGTTCTTCAGTGACTTAGTCATCATGCCCATCCAAGACATGAGATCAACGTGCAGCTCTCCTGGGTGAGGTGGCTGGGGACGTGGATAATCATCAAGCCCAGAGGTCAGAATATGCCTTTCAGAACGGCCACGCCAGCGGTAAGCTTCTTTGGTAGAAAATGCATCTCGGTCGTAGGACTTGAGGTCACCGAACTGAGTCTTGCGGAACCAATAGTAGTGCTTCTTGAGCTTGGGATACAGTTCTTGAAGATATTGAAGTCCGAGTTCAGGGCTACGGAGATGTACTGAATTTGGCTTTGCTCCAAGGCTTTCTTTGTTGGTCTTGTCACCCCCAGTGGTTCCATTCAAGGCCCCAAGCTTGGTGATAAAGGAGTCGACGATGAAAAACAGAGTAGGTGGATTCGCATAGTGAGGATACTGTACTTGGAACTCTGCTGGGACTTTGCTGCGCGCTTCAGCACCAAGGATCTGCTCACGGCCAATCCATCCGTCTTCGTCGATCAGACTGAACCAAGATTTCAAAACCTCTAGAGCGAGGTCAAGATCCCAGTCGACAATCGGCATCAAATGAAAGCCCTCATCCCATAAAAATCCTCGAGGGAAGAATGACCGTGATGGAACTGTAGTGAAGAGTTCAGAAGGACCTTCAAGCTTCTCTTGCTTTCGACCACGAGCTTCAGCTGTCTCAAGATGAAAGCCTTCGTTCTCCTCGTCATACTCTGGTGCATATGATCTATCTACGACAGAATCACCATAGAAGTATCCTAATCCACCAATGAGATTAGAGAATAGATTGCTCGAGAATTGTTGTAGCGATTCGATGGCAAATGGAGGTTGGAGGTCAAATGTGGCAATAAATCTGTCCCAGAAAGCTTTAGATGTGTTCTCGATGAAACCAGTGACATCTTGGCTGGTATAAACTTTTCCAGAGGAGCCACTGTTGAAGATAATGTCGAATTCAAAATTTCCCTCGAAGACCTTCTGGATCATATGCAGATTTCCAGCACCTGGCTTGTTGATGATGGTATACGTTTGCCATGGTGGTGGTGCATTCTCTTCACCGTACTTCTCCAGGTACTCGTCAATTTGATCCTTCAGCAACTTGAAGAGGATTGGTTTGGTCTGCCAGATAGCTTGTTCCGGGACCATCAAAGAATGTACCAACGTCCGGTCAAGAGGTTTCTCGTCATCTGCTGGGTGGATTGCCTTTGGATGGTATCCTCTTCCTCCAGTGACAGTCAATTTGTACTCGCCCAGACCTTGAGAGTCTCCCTTCAGATTCACATCGGCCTCGTAGCCAACATCTTCTTCGTTCTCGACCTCGAGGCTTCCCAGCCCCTCTAGGGAAGCATAAAATAAAATGGTAGTCTTCAGATCTGGCGGTGCATCCTTTCTCGCAGTGCCTCTAACTCTTGTCGCCCAACTACCGCCGTTGCTTCCACCAGGGATTTTAACGAATGTAGTTGTAATATCGATTCCATTGCCCTCGTCGTAAATGGTTTGCTTTCCACCTAGGCGCGCATCATACTCGTCCCAGCCATAACCTCGCATGTTGTCTCCCTGCTCGCAAGTATGTCGAAAGTCTGCGAACTCAATTAGTACAGTGCGCTCTTATGCTAATTTCATCCTTCTCCCCAGAACACTAAGGCACTTACTATTTTGTACATCTTGAAAATTATCTACCCTCGACCACATCAATCCGCCCATCAAACTCTTGGGAATCCTCGGCCTAACTCCAAAATACAAATTGCTTCGGTATGGACCCCATAGCAAGCTCTGGTTCGTATTTCTCGCGATCTCTTTATACAAAATGGCAGCGTCGTCAGCCGCGGCAGATGAAGCAGCGACCAGAGCTGCTGTGAGCAGCTGTAAAGGATTGAGAAGCTGCATTGCGGCTCAATGGTGAAGAGAATGGCTTTCCAGAGCTCCAGGAGTGAGAGAAGGAGCTCGGAGGGACGTTGTGTGCTTTTTAGAGGGGTGACTTGGGGGAAACTGGGGCAGGGCTTGAAGACACGTCGCGCAGTAGCGAGTTCAGCCTGTGGCGCAAGGCTGTGGAAAGGCGGCTTGGTTTCCGTTAGGGGCATTCAACGTCGTGGATTAATGGTTGCAATCTGTTCAAGACGAGAAGACATAGTTAGACAAAACTGGGGAGAGAGTTTAATAGATACGTTGCTTTACAAGTTTGAAGATTTTTGCTGCAGCGGTGATTGTGAGACTTGTCACTTTTCTTACTTGACGTTGGCGAGGCTGGGTTAGTCAAAAAACGAGCTCTATATATTGTTCATCTTACGTATTTCAAAGTCTGCCCAATTGCATGATATGTGGCTCGAGTTGTCTTTCATAGGTATTCTGGACAGTAGTATTACCTAAGTGAAGTCCGGATACGCTTGTCACAAGAGCTTCTCCAGTTGTTGGCCAGATATTGGCAGATATGAGGAGCTTCAACTCAAAGATCTGCCAACTAATTGCGAGACATACCTCGTTAGTCTCTACTCGGACTCAATGGCCTGTTGAACCCTCCAACACGATTCATGTACTGCCGGTACTCCGTCCGCTTCTCCTTTCTGACAGCTCCAACATTATTCCCTTCGACTTTCTGCTGGTGGGTAGTCCCAAAGCCACCAAAACCCATCATTGCTTGCATAGCAGCCATACCATCATCCTCAATCACAATCTCTTCGTCGTCTTCAATTTCCTCCTGGATTTTCTCCTTCTTATCCTTACCAGCTCCTTTCTTAGGCTGGGCTCCATCGACATCCATTCGATCATGATCTTGTCCACCAACCTTAAAGCTGACGGGTGGTGTAGCAGTCCTGTCTTTCGTGAAGTCATCGTCAACCTTTGGCTTGGGTATATCTTTCTCGGCATCTCTGGTACTCTTGACTTCTCGTTCCCTCTCTCGTCGCGGACTTCTGCTTCTAGTATCTCTTTTCGAATCCCGAGGTCTATCTCTCGATCTCGATCGTTCTCTAGGTTTGTCCCTCATATCTCGTCCACCGACTTGAGAAGCATTAGACCTTCCTCGAAAAACCAGAGCCCCATGATGCCCACTTGCAGTGTACTCACCTCTGTCAGAATTTCTCTCTCTTCCACCTCGGCCTTCATCTTTCCTAGCCCCTCGTCCATATCTGCCACCGTCTTGAGAAGCATTAGACTTGCCTCTGAACGCCAAGGTAATTGACTGCTCAGCAATATCGAACTCACCTTTCTCGGCGTCTCTATCGTCTCTCCCTCTGCCACCTCCTCGCCCATCCCTCTCTCGCTCTCTTCCGCCCCGATCTCTGTCTCGATCGCGCCCACCCCTCGAGTCATGCGGTGACCTGCTCCTGTATCTGCGATTTCGGTCTCGATCTCGATCGTCGCGTCTGTCATAATCCCCCCGCCTGTCCCTATCTCGCTCTCGAGGTTCATCGCGCTCGCGGCTCGGAATAGGTGCGCGGCGATCGGACTCCTCCCACATCTGCTTGCTATCAGGCCGGCGCGCGCGCTTATGGGGTGGTTCTGCCATTCTAGAAGTCGCAACAATTCTGCGAGAAAGATTGTTGCGGATTTGTGACGATGCGTTGTTGAGATTCAGGAAGGCTGGACCTTCAAATTTAAGTGGGTCTGAGCCTGTCACGTGCTAGCGCATTTTCTCGTGTACCTACCTCATACCTAGGTACGCAAACTTCACTTCAGCTACCAAAAGCCATTCTTCTCTTGAGAGTATAGCTTCTGGCTACTCTACGATGTCCAGCGATGTCACCAGCTTCCAGACAGACTGACTAGAACTCAACATCTTAACATCCCTCTGAATCGCAAGGCTGTCACTGTTCAATAATCACGTCACCACTACAGACTGTATTAGACATCCAGCTCATCAGTGACGTATTTCAACGCGACCTAAGACCTGATACATCAGAGGCAAATTGGAATGTTGATTGAACAAGATCTGTGTAACTTTGACATTGATTCTGTCTCGCCCTTACTCTTCTCGAGTTTGTGAGTATGGTCACGATTCATATCTCGCAAAACATTCTGACCATACCTAAGCAGCCAAGAAAGTCACAAGAATTTCAACCCAATCAGTCACGACTCAACTCCCTAGCAACGACCGAAAGCATCTCACGTACTGCGACTACCTCATTTTCTCGCGAGATGTCTTTCACACGTTTTCTTGATCTGCCGTTGGAGATACGTCAGAAAATCGTAAGCAGCAGGTTCTTTCGTCGTTCGTCGTTCTTCGTCCTCGCTGGGTATCGGCTTTGCTGCTGGGTTCCCGGAGAACATTTCATCTTTTTCTGTTCTTGATGCTAAAAGAAGTCTTGTACTAATTAATCGTAGTGGGACGAAGCCTCTAGTATCCCACGAGTTATCGATATCAGTCCAAGGCCGGCCTTCTCGTTGTCTATCAGCTTGGCATTCTTCGAAGAATTCAGACGTGCCCCCGTCGTCTTTCAGACATACTGTCAACGTATCCCTTCAATCCTACACGTTCCGCGAGAAGCTCGCCGAATTGGACTTGAGCACTATGAGCTGGGGTTTGGTACTGATTTCCGCGATTCAGCGGACCCCGTGGCCCTTCTCAAAGCGGATCCTAAAATATACATAAACTGGGACAACGATATCATCTGTTTGTTGCTTGATCGAGAAATATATTCGCTCCACGTCACCGATCACACAACGTGGTCAGCAATAATATCTGGAGAGCTTGAAAACCTTCCAATCTCCCGCATCGCTGTCAATATGGATGATCCACAAAGCATGAGTGGATTAAGATTGATGTCGCCGTCAGTCACAGGCGACAAGTTACGGGAGATCATCGTGTACTACGCAACAGAAGACTTTTCAGCCAATTTACAACACGACTCCGGCAAGTTCACACATATCAAAATCAGCAGTGTTGAGGAACTTCCAGATGAGTAGCTTGAAGAAGCTAGCTCTAATTTCTCAGTCAAAAGACTGCTCAGGGCTGTTGAAGATCTTGAATACTGGCTCACGACCTGGCATGGAAGGTTCGGGGATACACAGTCTCCTTCTCTCTCGTTCACACCCATGGTTATACAAGGTTATGAGCGTGTACATGGTTGAACAGTATGCCCTATTATCAAAGATCCGGAGCCAGCACTTTTCCGAGGGTGATCGTGCAGGTGGATTGGTACCCTCTGGAAGTCTAAAAAAGTAATATCTAGTGCATGGCATATTGAGGAGAGCTAAAGAGGGAAAGACTCTTGAGGAATGCGTTTTTGTCTGCCAGTGTTTTGCTTTCTTGTGCTACTATTTTCTTGGGCGCTTGTCGTGCAACCCTTTTAGTGTTTTGGTCTGAGGGAGTCCCTGATTTCTCAGAGGAGGCTTGATAATTCAAGGCTTTGACTACCATCTAGGGAAACGTTTCTGATGTACGTGCTAGAAATTTTTCTAGCCTCAGGCTTCGAGGCTTTGTCAGCAGAGTTTTAGACACCTGTACCTAGCAGAGTTTGCAACAGCTAAAAGTGTGCTCCCATGAACTCACGAGTCCACCCTTTGGCCTTGGCTGAGCTTTACCCCAGCACCAACCTCCTCTCGCCCTCCCAATTTGTCACCATAGTGATTATTACGATCACATCCTATTTGCCGGACCATCTGATAATATCTCAACATCAGTCACGCGTTATCAGCAAGGGCTCACACGTGGGAGTACAAGCAACGTGGTGATTTGCCGCAAATATATCAATAGCGTATTCAATGTTCGACGATAAGCCTGCTATATGAGAACATGTCATTCACAGCTTTCCCTCGATTACCTTATGAGCTCCGTCGCACAATTTGGAACGAGGCTTGCTGTGTTACCAGGGTCCTCGACCTCAGGATAGAGCCCTTTCGCACTGAGGATATTCTTGTTGCTTTCTTCTACGAATACGACGATGCCCCGGCCACTGTTCGCACCTGGTGTCGCATCGCTCCCCCTATTCTGCATGCTTCCCAAGAATCTCGCAGCGTCGGTCTAAAGCATTATCAGCCCGACTTCGATTACAACTTCACCATACCAGGGAGTGATACCAAGTTAAGCTTTACCGCGAAAGCAAAGATATACGTCAATTGGGACTATGATATCATATGTCCATTTGACGCCCATAGGGATAGTGGGGATGGCTTTGCACGCCATGCCCTGATGTTGAGACGCCTTCTTCACTGCGATAAGCTTTCTCGTATTGCGTTTGACGTGGAAGATTTCCAACTCCTCAGAGAAGAAATTGAAGAATTAGCCAGTAGGAGCTCCATTATTGAACTCAGTCTGTTCTCGGCGGCTCTAGGCGAACCGTTTATTCCAAATTTTCGTCGTTCAAAACCAACTGCGTTCGAATTGATCGGTATCGGTACTGAAGAAGATATTGAAGAGCTTCTTGAAAGATTCGACACCGGTCAACCAGCCCAAAACTTGTTCAATGTCGTGAAAGATCTCAACGACAGGATCACCACAAGGAGGATGACTACTCCTCTCCCAGACTCTAGACCTGGGGCGATTTTCAAACCCAGAATTCTAGCTCCGTATCAACATTGGGATCTCGTTTGGATGAACATGTTAGGACGTAAGATTAGAGGGCTCAAATAGCATCATTTGTATTCGCAGAAGGTCATAAAGTGCCGATGACTATCGACCTTTCATCTCACTTTCCTCTGGGACATCTTGCACAACGAACGATGGTCATCTCGGGGGATCATCGTTCAGATGGCCGTCTCCATGAATTACTGTCATTGCACCCAGACTCAAATACTGCTCTGCAATCTGCTCATGATGATCATCTATGTCGAAAAATGACGATAAATCACAATTCCATGCCCATAGTCTCCAACCTCCGTGCCCCTCCTCACCGACCACTTCCCCAGAAAAGACTCATTCAACCATCTCAACCCTCTTCCCAACCCTCACTCCTTCGGCTCATCCTCCCCAAAAGGCCACCCCTCCTTCCCCCACTCCTCACCACCCCTCTCCCACCTCCCCACCTCATCCACCTCCTCCCTCCCAAGCCTCAACCCACACTCATCGCCCGCCTCCCCATTCCCATAAACATGCGGAAACAACCCCCTCGACCCCTCCACATCCCAACACCCACCCTTCTCATCCGGCCCCTTCCCCCTCGCGTCCTCCCACTTCACAAATTTCTCTACCCTTTCATACGGCACTCGCAGGATCCATACGTGTTTTTCTGATTTGAAAAAATTTTGCAGGGTGCCGAGGATTTGCGCGCTGGTGCTGAAGTGGAGGAAGGTGTCTCGGCGGTCGAGGGGTGAGAGGGGGAGATTTGGTGGCAAGGGAGATGGTGGCGTGGGGGATGAGGGGAGGATTTTGTAGATGTATTTTGGGAGGGGAGTTGGGGTTGTGTTTGTGTTTGTAGACATTTTGGTTGTTTGTGTTGTTGAGGGAGAGGGTGAAGATGGAGTGAGGTCGGGTGGATTAGTCGAGGTCACGGGGCTGTGGTGTCGGCCGATGCTGATTCGGTTCTACATCCGTGGTGTAAAGTTGATTAGTTTTCTGATTGTTTAATAAAGGAAATTTGTAAGACGAAGATTCAATTATTCTGAATGTCCGTAATTGGCAATGAGACAGTCAACACGTGATATGGCGAACTCTCCCCGATGGCGCATGGTGCTTTTCAGGAGTCTGGCTTCTCTGATTACCTGACGTACATGTCACGAAGGAATATGAGATGGTAACTTGAAGCTTTTCCCTCCTAGAGGCGTTTCATTTAGTCCGAACTTGGTGTCATATGCACCACCTATCGTCGCTCTCATTACACTTCTCATGTCTCCGATCCTTCATTGCATGCCCGCCGTGCAGCAGTCGCCTTGTTTCGAAAGTCCGAATAATTCCCTCAATTTACAAGTACACCACTTCTGATCGTGGGCTGACATCCTTGCTCGAGTTTCTTCGGATAAATTTCAATTCGTACAGGTTACACTCTCTCCAATGCCGAATCGCCCAGATTTCCAGAACCAGAAGCCTTTCCCCAAAAAGGTCTGTCGAGTGACGAATATGTGCCAATGGCTGGTCGAATTCGCTTCCGAAACACAGTATCGGTGACATAAATTGCTACTGGTAGCAGTCACCTAATTCGGGACTTTTGACATTTTCCCTATCCTCTCTCAGCCATCCTCTCGATCCCATGCTTTCGCCTCGTACATCTCATCTCAACTCGTGTCTAAGTTCCCCAGCAGGCATTTCGTGCTTAACGTCCGAAGGTAATTCCTGCGGTTTCGGCACATCATGTGCCTCATGATACTCCTGATGCGGAGAGTGTGCAAATGTCGCTTCTCTATATTGAGGAGTAACCTGAGGTCGCCATCTCGTGTTCTTTGGATATGCAGGATAATCGGGAGAGACCGGAGTATTAGGCACAGCTACCGCTGTCTTCTGCTTCCGCCTTCGCAGAAAGAAGAATCCTGCCACAGCAGCAATAATAATAACACCTAGAGCGACTCCAACACCAATTCCAGCTTTCGCTCCTGTGCTTAGTCCACTGCTTGAGCTTGAGCTGGGTGTGGAGCTTGGTGTTCCGTCACTTGATGCCGAGCCCGTCTCTGCAGCACCTGTGGCTGTCACCTGTGCGAGTCCAACAGTTGAGGGTTCGGGACGGGATGTTGCGAGGACGTTGATCGAAGGGCTGTTGGCTCCGTATCCATATGATGTATTGGGTCGGAGATCCCAGTAACAACTGGATATGTTGGGCCATTTGAGTTGCACGAGTTCTGAACCATTGAATCCCGGGACGCTCTCGCGGACTTCTACGAAAGAGTCAGTGGCATACTCCAAGGGAAGGAATATTGTAGTAATAACATGTAAGAAACTCACCAGTTATCAGATTGTTATCTGTAGAGTTTCTGCAGAAGGTATACAGGAGTGGGACTGGAAAGTCCGATGTGTATGTCACGTTGACGGTGTCATCATGGCTCAGCGTGAGACCATCAATAGGGAAAAGGAATGTAACTCCATGATAATCGGCAGAGACCATCAAAGAAAGAAACGTGCACAGCACTGCCAACAACAAATGGGATATCTCCGCCATGGCGAGGCAGGGAAACTCTGCATATAAAGAGAGTGACGCGAAGGAACACTTCCTTTTGATAATATGCGAGAAAAAGGAACAAGGAGAAGTCGAAGATGCCACAGCTGATGGAAAGGCGCCGAGATAAGTGCAGAGCTAGTAGGGATACATTTGTCGTGCCACAGATCACTTGCATAGAAGCAACCGAGTCTGTAACGATCGTCTCTCACAGCCTTGCAAAGTCATCAGCACTAGCAACTCCCGTACCCAGTCGTAGTTCGAGCAGCGTAAGGACAAAATTTTAGCTCCACCCGTTTTTGAGTTCGTGCACGGTGGTTGGACAACGTTGCGACTGCAAATGCAGACCGGTTGCCAAGGCTGATCAGAAATTCCAAGATATATTCGTGGTTCTAGGCGTCGAGCATAGAATTGCGAATAATTCCAAGGATTTCTAATATCAAGTCTCAGAAGCAAAGGCAAACCTTGACCTTGACCACCATCAATTGATGATGGATGTGTGTCGATGTTTCCAGGCCAAACCTGCAGCAGACCTAAAGCACTTCTTACTCAGATGCATCAGAACACGACGAACAATTCTGCATCGCGAAGATACAGCATTAATATGTTCTCGTAATATGATAGGCCACTGAGCCAAAATGAGGGGTTCCCAGGAAAGCTTCAATCGCTTTTCACTCAAGCTCTTGAACACCAGAGGAGGAATCCATTCTGGGCGCAGCATTGCTGAAGCTGGAGTCTGCCACCACAATTGGCAGAGATCTGAAGGAATATCTCCAATAGCATCAAAGCGTTGCAGGAAGAGCTGCGGTTCTGGCAGGGAATCAAGGATGCTTTTATGTCTTGACAAAAGAGGTGGTGGGGAGATGCACGGCAGATCGCAACGGCACTGCCATTACTGTTAATATCGAAAAACCGCATACACCAGAGAAGTAAAAATTTCGGTGAAAGGCAAAATGCAGTTGATAGAAGAAGGATACGAAGAACACAAACGCTCAATTTAAGCCCACCCCACGACGGAAATCTTGCCTTAGGCATCCGCTCGTCTCTGAGCCACAACTGTGCCTCACATTACATCACTGACGACCGAGACAGCTTCTCAACTCTAACCGTGGGCCAGAGATCTTCAACAGTCTCAATTCGAGCAAAACACCACTTCACTATGTACAATCCAAGCCGCGATAGAGAGTTTCACAGCCTCAAAGGTTTAAATGCCTCGCTGTGCCGCCATCCGCACGACAAGAGTCCTTGGAAGAATCTCCAAGTTTGATGAAAGCGCGGTTCGCAGTACGTACAACACAAGACCCTGGTCTTGGCATCTCTCATATATAATTCCATTGGACCCTTCCATTTTCCCGAGGTCTCAAATCAACGTGTCTTCCACATCTTCTCGCACAAAATACACTTGTAGTTCAAGATGGCAGGAACCAATTTCCTTATCATGAACGCAGCCTTTCCCCCTCTCGAACCAAATGACGGACATTCCCATTTAAAGGCACCTGAGCCATCTGGACGAAAATCCTTCGAATCAGCCTCTTCAGTGCCTAATTCAACACATTACAGGTCGTCAATCTCTTCCTTGTCCGAAAGTATTAACAACACGACGCATTCAACCACGCTGCAGAACGCAAACACGTATACCTTTCACCTCCCAGAAACTTACAAGCACTCTCGTCGCGATATCCACGTCCGCGACGCCCAAGGAACGGAAATCCTGTATGCCAAAATGTCAGAACACAATCCGTTGAAACCAGACATTCAATTCTTCTCCAATTCCACTTCAGCAACGCCCGTTGGAAGCGCGAAACTCCGCCATGGAAAGAACTTGAAACTCATCTTGGAGCACGGAGAAGAGAAAGAAATGCACAACGTTTCCAAGAACAGGGATTATTGCTTCTACCTCCCGGATTCGGCGGGGACCAGCAGAAAGGTATTATGGACGAGAGTGAACATGGAAGGTGGTGGAGGACCTGCGACTGGGAAGGGAAAACGAGCATTGAGGTATGAGTTAGGTGATGAAGGAAGTGGAGAGGTATTGGCTGTTTATGATGCAGGGGAGCATGCCAAGAATGATTTTCTGCACCGGGGCACTTTGACGATGAGTTCTGAGTTGAGTGTGGGTGAGGAAGGAGGGTTGTGGGTGTTGATGGGAGCGTTGGGGATCTATGAGAAAGCGAGACGGAGAGTGCCGACGGGTGGAATAGGTGCCATAATACCTGGTTCCTGAAATAATATCTTACAAGTGGAGGAAAGTAGGAAATCTGTCAGTCAGGTAAACCTTCTCCTATAGTGCATATTCCCTTGGAAACCGAATAATACGGTATTGGGGCTTTGTAAGATTTGCTAAGGAGGTACACCAGCTCATTAATATAACGTGTAAAAGCTACAAATATAGTGGGCGCCATGCTGTCTACACGGGCAGTTCATGCCACTGAGGAATAGAAGTGATATCCATGTCTGTCTCGTGCATTGCAGGAAGCTCATGATGCGCTAATATTTTACCCGCGCCTAGCAACTCTACTTTCCACTCAGGTCTCCCTTCCCTTGAAAACTCCAGCTGTGTGCCTGCTTTCCTTTCTTTGAGCTGGTGTCGTATGGGCAATAGGAGAAAAGCCAAGAGACAGATGACAGCACCACCAATCCCCACACCGATTTCTATTTTTGCTCCCGAAGACGATCTGGATGAGGATGTTGATGAGGGGTCTGAAGTTGATATTACTGAGGCTGTGGTAGCTGCCACCTTGACGGGCAAAGAGGAATCGGCAATCATGAGCCTCGAAGACTTACGACGGACAACACGCAACCCATGTGCTTCCAGCTCCCACTATACTCGTACCAACAGTCGCATAGTCTTGTGGGCAAACAATAAGCCCAATACTATACTCAGTCGATACACCAGACTTGACACTGCTGTCTCTTTCCCACCATAGCTTGGCTTCAGGTGGAAGACAGGATAATCTGCCGTCAAAGGAAATACCATCGTAGGAGGGATCGAAGGCTAACGCGTTGTATGATTCACTTTGAATGAAGCCCCACCGTGCCCATAAAGCGGACGAGCAGCCGTCTGGCGAGACGAAAGGCGTCGTGAGAGGCAGCCAGGATGTAACGGTGCCGAAACTCGTCTCTGGTGGGTGAGTTGTCGCGCTTGCGGACATAGCGGAAGCATGGAGAGGAATACCAATATATGCAGAAACTGTAATTTACAAGAAGAAAAATGTATTCATTGGGAATGGATTCCAATTCGTGGGGCAGGACTAAAGGGGAAAGGAGAAGCGTTGTACTACCGACTGCACCAGAATCCCAGGGGAGGTATGACAAAAATGGTTTGCATGTATACGGATGTATGTAAGGCAACTAGCGAATGGATGTTGCATGATTGATCTTTCAGAAACCAAGCAAAGAAAAGATTGTCCCCCACTTGGAGAGTACTCGCAAGGTCTAGGTACGAAGTCAAATTCAATGGTGGACGTGGGACTGAAGTCACACAATGGGTTATTGACAGCTTCATTTGGATGACTTCATCCGTACTCGTAAGACAACGCGATAGCCCGCGATATCGTGTTGCGGTTTAATGACGTTTTAGTGGGAAATAGTTCGTGATGTTGTAGAAGTAGAAGGTGCTGGTGGCGTACAAATCCAGATCGCATACCGGGCTGTTCGTTTCCGCTCCGCTCCGCTCCGCCAAGGCTCAGACATCTTCAAATCGAAACGAGCAAAATCTTGACGCACCCAGCATCATCAGCCACAACATGGCACCTTCACCATTACAACAGAGAAGAACCCAAAATACTCTTCTGTTCCAGAAGCTTTTGAACCTTCGCGAAGGCGCAAGTCCATTCACATTGGTTCTCGATACCTTAGAGCAAAGTGGCTGGCCAGTGGTTAGAGAGTTTGCGAGGAGAGCAAAGGTATGAGCCAGTTCAGTTTGCGGGATCCTGATCCTTTGAAAAGAGCATTTGTCTTTTCATATAAGCGTATGACTGCACGTCATTCTGCATCTCTGCTTCGTGTGTCTCATCATATTCTCTTGTCGAAATTCTCACTAGTCACGTGCTTATAGTTGATCATTGCTGATGCGAATTTCAGATCTCGAAAAGCAAGATTATCTTCATTTCATTCTCTTCCCTGAGAAGGAAAGTCTCTTTTGACATCGATTCTTTCGTGCCCGCACCCGGAAAGTCGCTAGCAGCATTGCGAGAAGAAATCCTATCCCACCTCCCACCACCACCGACTACTGCGCCTTCATCTTCTTCAAGTGCTACTAGTAGGTCGTCACTTGTTGTATATAGATTGCTCGCACATGCTAATCATCATAGGATATCTTATCATAATTGACGATCTTCACACTCTTTGCAGCCGGCATACTCACCACCTCTCGCCTTTTCTGTCCTCCCTCCTCATTTCTCCTCAAATCTCTCTACTCGCTACATATCACACCGACATAACTCTTCCAGTCACTAAAGCTATCTCGAGTTATCAGCCTCCTTCTCTCACGACCCTTACGTATCTTGCCACAGCCATTCTCACTGTTTCTTCACTATCTCAAGTCCTAGCTCGCAAACGTGCCCGCGACAAAAGCCTCCAAGAACCAGTGTTTGGCCTCGACGAACATCGAGAAGGGGTCATCGTTAGCTTTAACGGAAAGGCTACTGAGAAGATAATTGGAGTGGTAGTCAATATTGAGCTTCGACGACGCTCGGGGAGAGGAATAGTCGAGAACTTCGTCCTCTTACCTCCTTCCACATCTTCCTCTAGCACCAAATTATCAGGTCTTAGCGAATTCATCCTACTAGATGAGCATCCGCTCTATGCTCCTGCACCCATCAGCACTGGGCCAGGTGGCGATGCAGGCGAAGAAGAAGTGGAGACGACATTCAATCTCAACCTCACAGAGAAGCAGAAGAGGGACAGAGAAGGCGTTGTGATGCCTTACTTCGACGCTCAGAAAGAGGGAGGCTCAGCCGGACCAGGAGAAGGTGGACGTATTCTGTACGAGATGGGTGCAGAGGACCGAGAGGACTTTGACGACGAAGAGGACGAGATCTAAGAAAATAGAGACTAGGATCTATATCATGGCACGCGGAGGAGCCTATCTGAGCTTCGACAAAGCAAGTGAAGAGTATGTCTTCATGCCTTCAACTTCCTTGCATAGCCTTCGAGGTGCGTCTCACATATGATTGTGACTTGTAATATGATTCTGCGTTGCATGACTATACATACAATACCAGTCTTTATATGATTTAGGTCATCTGATGGTCCTTCAATGCAAAACAACAGCAACATGCTGGTCCATAAACCTCGAAACATCGCCCATGCACATCGCAACTATACAAGCAGAAACTCCAAATGGAATAGTGATATACCAAATCAACTTGATAGCCTCGCTAAAACAAGTCACCACAGCCTTTGCCCCGAGCTCATAATTCGCTTGACTGGTGACGAATCCTGGAATCTCCGTATAAAGCTGCTTGAACGGAACAGCAGTCAGACTAGTGATGAAGTCGGTGATAGTTGTAATGTCGTAAACACCTGCAATGAGAAGGGCAGGGACGATGGTTTTGTATGCCTTGGCGGTTACTTGGTGGACGAAACGGTTGTAGAAGATCGAGAGGCCGAGGACTTGGGCTTGAGCGCGAAGACCAACTGTTAGTGCCGTGACACTGGCGATGAGGTCGTCGGGTGTTATGACTGTGATGATGACTTGATTTGGGATCAAGACACCGCCTGTTCCGATTAGAGAGAGGATGATAGGTGCGAAGGCTGTGCTGATTCTGCTGGGGTTGACGAGGACGAGACATGCTGCAGCTGAATGGATATTAGCGACGCAAGGGAGGAGAGTTGTACGGGTCACCGACCGACTGTCTGCATGACGCAGAAGAACGTCATTATAAACGCGACTCTTTTCTGGAAAATGCCAATGAGAACCGCGGACAATATAGCACCGCCCAGAATACCGAGTCCAATAGGTAAAGTGTTGATGCCTGTTTCATTCCGGTTGGATCCATAAACACTGATAGACTCGATGGGCCAAAATACCACAACTCCAATGTAATTGATGCCCGCTGCAAAAATAACAAACATCAAGCAGAAAAAAGGTCGAGGCGCATGTATCATTCTCCTAGGAAATAGAGGACAAGGAGCGACCAACCATTCCCAGAATCCAAACCCAACAATCAGCACCCCTCCAACAACCAGAAAGGAAATGACATGAGCATTTTTCCAGGCATACTGTTGATCGCCCCAATTTAAGCCTATGAGAAAAAACAGCATTCCCGTAATAATAAGGAATCCTCCTATCCAGTCAATACGCCCTAGCATCTCTCGCTTGGTCAGGCCAAGGGCATTCACTCGAGGCGGAGGACGATAAAACCACGCCAAAATAACAAAGGTAATAGCATGCCAAATAGACAACGTGCACCCAATCCACCTCCAGCTCGCTTCGGCAATGAAATTACCATACATCGTCCCTGGCGCCCAAGGAATAATCGACATCAAGATCAGCGCAGCATACAGACTTCTCTTTGCAGTAGGCACAATTTCAGCGACGACCGAGATAGCCAGCAGTTCCTGAATCACGCCGCCGAAGCCAAACAGGACTTGTCCAGCGAGGAAACCGGCTGCGTTGGGAGTAGCGGCACAGAGGATGCCGGCGAGCATGGAGCAAGCTAGACCGACGAGGAAGATTATCTTGCGGCCGAACAGATCGGCGAGCGGGCCGACAAAGGGAGCGAGTGAGCCTTGAGCGACGATTCCGGCTGTGAGGAGCCAAATTAGGAGGTTGGCGGCGTTGAGGTCGCGTGCGATTGTTGTCCCCAATGTCAGGTAAAGGAGGGGGATTATTTGGGAGCCGGCAAGGGCGAATGAGCAGCCTAGGACGGTCATGATAAATCTTAGAGATTTCTCCAGGAGCCCATTAGAATGTACTGTCGATGAGAGTGAGCACTGGATGACTTACTGGGTCGTAGCTGGTGTGGTCCATGCCGTCCCCTTCGGTACGAAGTCCATTTTTCTCGAAGTAATTGGAGTTTCCTGGGACGCGCGAGATTGTTCGGATTGGCTCTACATCCTTGGATCCAGTTGTTCTTGAGGTATTCGTAAGAGTTGTTTCGAGGTGTTCTGGATGAGCGATTGATGCTTTGTCGGCGAGTTCAATGTGAACAACATCTTGTGGAGCCATCTCGAACACAAGTCACGATGATTGAATTCAATCAATAGAAGTTGTGAGTTTTGAAGAAATGGAGTAGAAGTGAGAAATTACTCATTTTTTGAAGTGCTGCCATGGCACCAGATGTTTCCCCTCCTTAACTTTATCCACATTGTACCTCGGGGTCGATCATGGACTGGCTGATCAGGGTAACCCAGCTATGCGAGTCCGTTGGATGATAGATCGTTTTAGAGAAAGGCTAATTTTCACTCGACCCCAGAGAAGCCGAGGTGCTAGCTTGCATCTCCAAATACTCATATTCTCAGTCAGTGGTACATAGTTACACGAGACACATGTGAGACTTTGAAAATGAACACAAAGCTTGGATGGACTTCCAGCAAATCGAAGATATAGGAGACACCAGATTCTCAATTGAAACCTGCGTGTAGTGGTCAGTTTTATATTTCAGAGTTACGGTTTGGTAGAATACAATAAAGGCCAAAATGTCCGTCAACGCCAAAAAGGAGAATTCGTTTATACTTGCGTTCTCCTTGCTCTTTACTCGGCTTCTTTCCCAATCTGAGCAATGGTCCTTGCGATGATCCAACGACGAGATGTGGCACACCGTCACACACTTGAAAGAATTGCCGTAGAGATCGGCGATGTTCTGTTGTTAGTGGCAACTTGCCTCGGCATGATGAATGCTCTAGTATTTCTCGCTTACGCACAATGACAAGCGAGATCTGCCGAGACCCCTTTTCAGATTCGAAATATATACCAGTAGTGTAGCACGTAATGTACAAAGCTAGTATGCTTTGAGTGAGATATTGAATATTTGAAGAAGGAGCCCGTCAAATTATTTCGTCAAATTGAAAATGCATGTGGCAAATTTTGAAAGGCTTGAACGCTCGACACGGAGCACTTGCCGACATCGATCTTGACAACGCACTCGAACCAGAGAAATCAGAAAAGACACAGTATGCATGCCATGAAGAAGGTGCAGAAGGTAGAGTTGTCGAAAGAAAAAGAGCAGACTACCAAGAAACAGTAAGTATACGAGCATTGAAGCTTCGGCCTTCGAGGTGGGCTTATCCAAGGATCATGCAAAGTCCAACTTGATCATCGCAGCCTCGGAACGACGTCCCTGAGTTCAAGAACTACAACGTGTCAGTTTTCGGATGTCATTCGGGGATAGCGGGGAAACATGGGTACTTGTTTCAGAAGAACTCTGGATATTAACATTAGCCGAACTATTCATATGGCTCGGATAGCGCCGAGACTTGAAAATTTCCATACACTAATCACTGAGCTTGGTTCATCTAAACATGTTCCAAGGGAGTTACATTCGCTTCTCTCGATACCATTTCGGGTCGATATAGACCGATGCGTTGCCGGAAACATCATTTTTTGTCCCGAATTGCGGGGAAGACTTCACTCAAACTTCTCATCTCAGTTGTATCATTCGGGATGTTGAAATTAGGTCATCCTTAGCAGCTACGAATACGAGTTAGTCCGGGGGATATAGAAAGGGGGACTACAAGTACAAAGCGCCTCTCCGTGTACTAATGTACCCAAACATCCCTAGTCATATCTCGTCAACATGTTGTTTTCTCGTTTGATGTTGATCTCTTGGGCACTTTCTAGTATTTGGGCTGCTTCTTGGATTGTTCCTGGATCCGTATGGACGGATACTTCTGGAAACAAGATCGATGCACATGGCGGTGTAATAGTCCAGAGAGGAGATACTTTCTATTGGATTGGACAGAGTGCTAGTGACAGTATGTCAGATCTATGCTTTCCTGTGCAGTGTCTGAAGCGCTAAAATCAGAGAAGATATATCGCCGTATCTGTATTCGTCGACTGATTTACTGAATTGGAAAAACCTAGGAAAGCAGAGTTCGATTCAATCACTGTGGAGACCTAAAATCGCGAAACCGGATGGATCTTTCTGGGTGAGTATTTCTGGCGGCATCCTAGGTCAAGAAGTAAGTTTCAAGTTGGCAATATGCTGATAGCCCTAAGATTTATGGTCAAGTGAATCGAGACATCCAAGCCCTTGTTTCGACACAGATGGAGGGTGGATACTCGACTCATGGTGCAGCCGTGACGGTTCCTCCCAACGGTTACTCATATTCAGATACAGGAATGTTTCAGGATACTGACGGTACGCATCTATTACCAAGAACAGGGACTGAGCGCTAATGAGCTCCAAGGAACCTGGTACATTTTCACTTCTGCAGACCACAACATTGGTAATTTCTCTTCCTTGCTCTACATCCAAAACTGTTTACTTATCCCGATCCCTCAGTGCAAATCAACAAAATCAATTCAGACGGGTCAATCGGAGCAAAAGCCTCTCAACTAGGTACCCTCACTCTCCTTCTCACCACGCCTAGCTGACAACGATTCTTAGCTGCTGGAGCATATGAAGCACCAGGTATCCTCACTCGTGTGTGGCAGTCTCTATCCATTCGCCTCTAATGGAAGTCTCGCTGATCACATCGATGAGAACAACAAATTGAGTCAGCGCATATCAGTTTCAACCAAGGCCAAGTGGTGTTACGAGATGGCTGCAGCACTAGCACATACCCATTTCGTTGCACATACCTACCACATGGACATCAAGCCGGCAAATTTCCTGATCGACGCAGATTTCCATCTTGTACTTATTGATTGGGAGCGAAGTGGTGTCCCTGCTGCTGTCACGGCTCCAGAGGTTGACGGCACCTGGGATGTGGAAGAAGTATCGGCAGAAGGCTCAAGTACCCCTCGATACACCAAATACACTGGGCCAGAAACGCGAAATACCTCTCTTAGCAGTACACCGGGTGTCTACCCCGAATGGAGCAAAAAGTGTCCGAAAGCTTTGGAGTTGGCTGAAGTATTTAGTCTTGGCCGCTGTATGTGGAAGCTATTACGGCAGCCAGACATATAGTTTGAAGATGTAACATGCACGGTAGATGTGGTTGAAGATTGGGAATCATCAGAAGATATCCCAGAACATTGGAAGCACATGGTACAAAGTTGTCTCAAGCACGACCCGATCAAAAGGACTTGTCTGCGGGAGCTTCTTGCTTTTTGGGATGGTGAAAGGCGTAAAACAATAGAGTGAGGGACTTATATGTTTTATGGAGAAGCAGCATGGGTCAAATTACGAGCCGAACATCCGCCAGCTCCATTGCGACGTGGCCTTTGAGTCTACGATCTTTTAAATCAAGTTCAATACTTTTTTTTGGCAGCGGATACTCGTCACATTACATTCAGATGATGACGACGCGTTTCCATACTCGGTGTTTCTGGGTTCTCTAGATCTAGAAATAGACTAATACCACACTTGCTCCAGAATATTATCCTATGGATCAAAAAATAGACCAAAAGAAAGACCCAAGAAAGAAACATGCAGTTTAAGACACACCCGTAAAAAGACATCCTAGAAAAATGACACCAAGCCTCGCTGTCTTGCATGGCTTCATGTATTTCTAATGTGTTTTTTCTGATGTCCATAAACTCCTACTTTGCAGCGACGTTTGCATCGTCCAAGAACAACAGAGTACGGGGCTTGGATGGCTACTACGTATAACTTAACATCAAGATGTCAATCATGAATGAATGGTTTACTTACATGTCAGTGAGTCAAATTCGGAGGGCTGCTCAAATTTCCATACTGCGTCAATCGAGTCATCTCCGGGATCAACATCAAAAAGCAAAGTGATGTTGGCACGGCCTAATGTAAACTCCATTTGCGCATCTGAATCTGCGTCTTCACTGGTAAAAGCACAGATGCCGAGTTTCTCTAGCAAACCCAGCCTTTTAAGTACAGCCCTGAGTTCAGAAAGGAACGGCTCCAAAGCCGCTGACATCTGGTTGCATCGACGCATTGCAGGCAAATTCGTATGGAGCTATGCCTTGCTCAACAAAGCGCCATGCGTTGCTTCTGATGTCATGTACCTGTTCATCATGACTCGAAGTCTTCCAAGGCACAGCAACTGCTTGACAGTTTACGAGCTTTTCATTCTCATCGAGAGGGAAATGCTTGTGCAGCAAAATGATTCCGAAATGTTTTTGAACCTGATGTTTGACGAACAGCTGCCCGATGATCGTGGTCAAGAACGTAGCATCCGTAGGCTTGAAATTGAGACTAGCATCCATGATGTCTGGCAAGGAGTTGTAGTGGTGAGCGGAGTAAGGAAGAACGATGTTAGACATGGTGTTGAGTTTATTGATCAAAGGACTTCCGAGTTGAATGTCTATATTCGCTGGTAGTTAGTAATTAAAAATACCTAAGCACTTGACTTATGTTCTGTAGATGTTGTTGTTAGGAAGGTATTGAAGTGATGTAGTTGTTTGAGGTTGGGAAACAAGGAGCTCGACCGGTAGTTTTATAGATAGCGGGAGATATGAAAAGTTAGATAGGTAAAGAGATTGATTGATCACAATGACTATTAATAGAAGAGATTCACAAGACCTTTGAATGGCATTCATAGAACCCTCGATCTTCGAGGTTAGTGGATTGTAGCATAAGAGATTCACGGGGTTAGACCTCGAGAATTGGAATAGGCCATCAACATTCAAGCTTCTTCTCAACTTCTACCGAATTGAGGGCAAACGGGCTACTAGGTCTCATATCTAGCTTCATAATTACTAAAATTCTTATTCGGATCTTTTGTAAGTACCGCAACTCAAATTCTGCCATCTCGACTGTTCCATTAACCAATCGCCTTCGGCTGAGGATATTTCTTATGGTGTGAATGGTAGTGACTATCAGTACACAAGGTCGTATGGTCTGTAACTATTTCTCGGGAAATCTTCATCTGCGGCATGTTCATAGATTCATAGTATCATTGATGCTACATCAATGACTAACCCAGCCCAATACCCACTATTCGATCGAAGCGAACAAGACAAGAAAGGGGTTGGGATGTCATGCCCAATAAAGCCGGGAATCTACGTGCATCAAGAAAACAGCTTTGATGACGTGGGAGGACAAAGTAGATGCAGCCAGGGTCAGATAGATGTGAGGCGCCTGCCGCCGAAGTTGCCATGGTGCATACTGTGACTTCCCGATCCCGAGAACCAGAGAAGTGGACGCTTCGATTACTCGAGTTAGCCCCCTTGACGAATGATTTCACTGTTTGAGGGCAGATAGAGGCTTATTCGTCAAGGTCTAGCCGAGAAAGGGAGCTCACACAATTTACGCCACCTGTCCCACTACTATGAATGCTGTGGAACGGCCAGAGATTGCGTCCTTATTCCGATTTGATGAGGGATTATCGCGAATTGTGCGTATTGTAATTCGGTCTTACATCGACAATGCGAGGCAGATATGGGAGAAGCTTAGAGTTATGACGAGGCAATTGGACTCCATTCACTCTTCATAAGCTATGAACCAGTAAGTCAATCACGACCATTGATGGCATCATGAATCATCTTGATACTTCAACTTCTTCGGTGGCAAACGAACGAAAATTATACACGGTAGTACCCGTCTAATGCAAGACATCTTATCGTGGCTGAGACAAGATCTAAAAACAAATCATCATCGGTCAGTTGTCACTTGAACCACCCAACCTCCAACCTCATCTCAACATCCTCTTCCACCATCCATCAGATCTCTTTCTGACCCTTCCCTTTCATTCCAACATAATCATCACACCACTTCCTCAAGATGCATTTCTTTATCACGGCCCCGCTACTCGCTGGCTTAGCTTCCGCTGGCTTCATCGACACGATCGAAAGCATCATAAAGACATCCGAGCCCGTCGAAGCACTCTCAGAATGGTCATACACCAACTGCGGCACGGACACGGATGCTATTAGTCTCCACTCCTTCACCCTGTCGCCAGACCCACCTGTCCCCGGCTCCCCGCTCACGGCCACCTTCGACTTCACAGCCAACAGCGAGATCCTCGAAGGAGCATACGTCGATATCGATGTCAAATTAGGATTCATAATCTTGTTGAGCAAAACTATCGATCTTTGTGACGACAGCGAGGATGGAGTGTTGTATGATACCGGGGTTAGTTGTCCGATTGCGGCAGGGGATTATGTTTTGACGAAGAATGTGGATTTGCCTGCTGAAATCCCGCCTGCGAAGTTCACGGTGGAGAGTCGTGGATATACTTTTGATGACCAGGATATGTTCTGTGTCGATGTTGTGGCAAATTTCATGACAACGGTAGCGGTTCGTGAGGGTTTGTGATAAGCGATTATATTGCCATTGTTGAGACGGAGGGGCATCATGAATGGAATAAGAATGAGAACGGAGCCTAAGATCCTATGTTATGAAGATTGAGCTTGTGATAGAGTTGGATGAAGTTATAATAAGATTAGAGTATGCTCGCTATACTTTCACTTCATGTCGTCGCTGTATCCGAATATAGAAATCTGTCTGATTGACAAAGAAGGCATTTTCAAGTTTCCACTCTGCCTTTGGATCTACAAGACTTAACTGCGAATGTTCAGTAAGTCCACAACGGAGGTCATTCACTAGAGTAACATACCTCGTACTTTCTCAAGATGGTAGGGATCAGCTTGTATGTCTCAAGAAAAGCAATGCCTTTTCCGAGACACTCTTTACTACCCATACTGAATGCAAACATTGCATTGTTCATCTCAGTCCGTCTTTGCTCACTTGCCTCAATCCATCTTTCCGGTCTGAATTCTTGGCATTTTGGGCCAAACATGGATTCTTTCTGGTGTAGGACCCAGGCGGAGGCTCCGACTATTGTACCTGCCGGCAGGAAGTGCTGACCAACCTGCAACCCCGAAGCCGGTACAATACGCTCGAGATGAAATCCAGCAGCTGGATGTAGTCGGAGAGCCTCTTGAAGGACCGCAGTAAGGTAGGGTAGTTGTCTTGTCTCGTTCCACGTTGCAATTCCATCATCACGTGAGAATTTTACTTCGCTGAGTTCTTCCATCAGGGCGTCCATGGTATGGGGAGACTTGAGCAGATGATAGAAGATGGTTCGCATTGTGATTGCTGTTGAATCTGAACCTCCGAAGACGTTGCCAACCATGAGACTGAGCACCCACGTGTCATTGAAGAACACAGGATCTTTCTCCTTCAAGAGTAAGAATCTGTCGAGGATATCAGGTGGAAGCGTCGCCTTGTCCTCTGGAATGGTTGCAGAGTCCTTCATAGCGAGGCGCTCAGCGATGCGTTTAGCAGCAAAAGTGGCCATTGGCGAAGCTTTTTGACCAATCCCTCGAGCACTCATCCAAATTCGAATTGGATTCTTCATCAAAACATGATCTAGCCAAGGCATTTGACCAATCTAAATTGATGAGCCAATTAATACCAATTTCAGAGCGGAATTGACTTACTAGCGAAATGTATGACATGATTTTCCCTACGTTCGAGATGATGCCTTCCACATCAGTTCCACCCTCCAAGAAGCCGATTCGTTGCTTGAATAAAAGCTCTCCGATTACGTCGAACGCGAAGTAGTGCAGCCATATTGAGAAGTCACAGATACCAGCGTCCCCATCTTTGCCAACGTACCTTTCATCAAGTTGATCTAGGAATGTGGAGATGGTGGAATCAACCAGTGGTTCGAATTGAACAATAGTACTAGTGGCATATGTACTACTAATTGCTCGGCGGATCTTGGCGTGAAACTTGTTATCCGTCGTGTTGAACAGAGATTCCAGTGCCTTCCCATTGGCTATAGCTCGTTGCACGGGGTAAAAGTCTGACTACAAAAGATATCAGCTTAAGCCAGTTTGAAGGAGGGGAGAGTATTGACATGAAACACGTGGTAAACATACTTTGATATACGCAATATTGAAACCGTATACCTCCTTGACAGCTTTATAATCAGAAATCGAAACCATATTCGGCCCCATTCGGACAGCATCACCATACTTTGCGTGAAGCTCTTGGTGAGCGACCTCGGGCCTTCGACCCCACGCTACAAAGAAGCGCCACAGATCTGTAAAAGCAGCTAGCTGTGGCCCTGGTAGCTTGCTCAGACCAGACTTGTATTTCAGAGAAAGCGCCTTGAAAGCTGTGAAGGCAAGAAGCAACCAAGGCAGGTTGGACACTATCAAAGGTAGATAGTTGTTTTCAGACATTGCAGAGACGAAACTAATATGTACTATCAAAAATCCTAGATGAATTGGAGTGTAGGAGAGGGAGGATATGCAGTTGATCTTATCATGTATGTTTGGATGAGGCGCTTGCATGATCCGTACGGCACAGATCTGCTCTGAATGAGGCAATCCAGTGAAGACCCATGTCTACCAACATAGATATTCTCCATTCAGAAGATCAAAAGGAGTTCTGCGCACAACACCTTACTCGTATCGAAAACTGGTGATAGAAGAGTCTCTCAAGACAGTAAGTAGTACCGTCCTCTTGCACCGGAAAGAAAGAGGGGCCTTGGGGCAAGGAACTGAGAATTCACGTGACCTTCACCGCCTAAATTTTCTGCCACTGCGAAGAAAAAAGTTCCCAGTGCAATTCTCTCCAATCTCTGAGTGCGCAAACACACAACAACCTCTGAAGTGGTATCACAGATTCTCAGACCGCAATTATGTCTTCCGACGAGATCGTCTGGCAGATTATAAATCAGCAGTTCTGTTCATTCAAATTAACGTATGCAATCCCCTCCTCAGATCCAGCTTTCAATCTAACAAGCCAGGACAACAAAAGAGAAGAACTTCTGTCGCAATGAATATAATGTCACCGGCCTCTGCAATCGACAAAGTTGTCCACTGGCGAATAGTAGATATGCTACTGTCCGTGCAAACCCAGATACTGGAACTCTCTACCTCTACATGAAGACGATTGAGCGAGCACACACGCCGAGCAAGCTATGGGAACGAATTAAGCTGTCACAGAACTATGCGAAGGCCCTACAACAGATCGATGATCGTCTGATCTACTGGCCGAAGTTCCTGATCCACAAGTGCAAGCAAAGACTCACGCGATTGATGCAAGTCGGGATTAGGATGCGGAGAATTGCCAAGGAGGACGAGAGGTTGGGAGAGAAGCTTGTTCCTAAGTTGGCGCCGAAAGTCAGAAGACGTGAAGAAACAAGAGAGAGAAAGGCAGAGGCTGCTGCGAAGGTTGAGAGGGCCATTGAGCGAGAGCTTATCGAGCGGTTGAGAAGTGGCGCTTATGGTGATCAACCTCTCAACGTCAGTGAGGCTATTTGGAAGAAGGTGCTGAAGGGTCTGGAGAGAGGAGGAGAGGGAACTAGAGACGAGGATCTGGACGAGGGTATCGAGGAGGAGGAAGGAGAAATGGAGAATGAAGAAGAGTTTGAGGATGAAGAGGGTGTTGGAGATGTGGAGTATGTCAGTGATCTTGGCGAAGATGAAGAAGATCTCGGAGACATTGAGGATTGGCTTGGAAGCGAACAAGACGAGGAGACTGGTGCAGAAGACGATGAGGACAGTGAGAGTGATAGCAGTGAAGAAGAGGCTGCTGGAACAAAGAGAAAGAAGGCACCATCATCCAAACCCAAGCCGAAGCCAAAAAAGTTCCCAAGAATGGAAATCGAGGTCGAAGAGGAGTTCGAAGCACCACGAAGAGAATTGGCACACGCATAATTTAGATAACCTTATTCTGTATGCATGGCGTTGGGGCTTTGTCAAAATGCGGGGTATTGTAGAAAGTTATGTGCAATTCTGGCTGCTATTACTCAAGTAGCCTATCCAGATACCAATAAGACGTTTTGATTTCACTCCGCAGTCATGAGCTGCAATACGCTGCATTCTTGAAAGTGATTGTTGCTGAATTTCGTGGATTACCATTCTCGTCATATTGTAATGTGGGGTCGCGCTTTCGCTGGATCAACCGTCACGAAACATGTTTCAACTTCATCAAAGTGCATGAAATCCACACTCAACAACGCGTCGCAAATAGAGCACTTCAGAAATTCCTCTCGCAGTCATCTTTTCTCCAATACTCAACACACGAATTAATTCACAGCTCTAGCTACACTTGAACTACATCTCCGCCCATCGGCGGCTTCCCCTCATCATGGCATCATACTTCTCGAATCTCCTCACAACCACCACCTCCCGCGTAGCTTCGATAAGACAGAATCTCCTTCCCTCCGAGAACGACGGCGACACTGAAGACGATACCCACCTCTGCCGAGTCCTGCGAGCCTACTACACGGAGAAGGGGCGCTCATTCCCTGGCTGGCTGCCACCGGATCCAAAAGCACCTCCGCCCGTCGTCGTCCAACCAGTGTACACAACCAACGTCGGCGCTCGCTATGGCGGACTACAAAACCAGGGCCCAGGAGGAGGAAGCGCGTTGAGCAGTCTCTGGGACTCGCAACCACAGCAGCAACAAGAGCAACCCATGGGTCTCAGACAAGGACGCGGAGGAAGACTCGCAGCGGGTGGCGGGGCAGCTCGACAGAATCCCTTCGCGCGACAGGCCAATACACCAGAACCTCAAATACAAGCACGACCTCTACCTAGCCAGAGAGCAGGGAGTTATCAGACTGCTGGCGCGTTCGGCGCGGGACCAACTCCTCCGGGAAGCTCTTCGGGCTTGAGTGCTAAGGACCGACTTAAGAAGAACTTTAGAGGAGAGAGGGCGGCGAGTCCGGCGATGGGGAGTGCGAGTATGGCGGATCCGCAGGTGCAGAGGAGTAATAGCTATGGTAGTTCTGGCGGAGGAGGGAACTACGAGGATAGGTTTATGCCGCAGGGTGCTGTGGGTGCGCCTTCTGGTGGTGGGGATAAGCCGTTTATGGCTGCTACGAGTCCGTGGGCGAGCAGTGAGTCGGAATTTGGAGGTGGTGGTTATGGATATAGTGGTGGCGGAGGAGGGGGAGGTGCAAGACAAGGACTTCCATCTGGGCCGGCTGCTGGGAGAAGGGGACCTGGACTCCCAAGTGGTCCTAGAGGGATGAGATAGGGTTGAGGGAGAGAATTGAAGCAGAGGAATTGGACGGCATTCTTGTGGATATGGAAGCATCACTTGGAGTTGTAGGGAAGCAAAGCATGCATCATTTGGTTTCCGGTATACCTTTTGTAGTATAAATTTGTGTCGTTGCTAGTACAACGTAGATCAGATTTGAATATCTCAGTCGAGGTGCGTTTGATGTAGCTGTGCTTTTCGAAATCAAGCCTTCTATGAATCCAACACTTCTCACTTTCGTTGATCAATTGTGAGTTTTGTACCGAGGCTCAACAGGAGTTGGAAGTTTACTTGGGCAGCCAGCAATACCCCCCTCATATCGAGGCTCTAGTGTTCCAGATTGGGCAGCTAGAGATTTGCCTAAGTCAGCAGGGTATAACCGATCAAAGCATGTCTGAGCTGCCGCGTTGATACTTTCTCCTCGTTTCAAGGACGAAGGTCTACGTTTGTTGCTTGTTGGCTCGGCCACGACTAGTTGTATTTAAGGATTAAACTTTCAAGTCGCCGACGTTTCGGGGCTTCTCTGATTTGAAGATTTGAGACCATGGATGTAGTCTCGTCGCTTAAGCAATGATACCATCCTCACTTTCTCTTACCGCCGGCATTACGCTATGTTAACTCAACTCGATTCTGAGAAGATAGAGGGAAGTAAAAGCAAGGACGGGAAGCCGTTCCAGGCGAACCGATGTGGGGGGCTTTTCCTTCAGACCATTCAGTGTCTTTTGGCACGGTGCTCAGTCATGCCATGACGAGTGGAAAACTTGAAAGCAGATAGTATCGTGTGGCTTGGCCCATTGCAAGAAAGACTTCTGGAGCCTTGATAGTCTCTATCTCACCGCCGGTAAAGCCATATGATCACGTGTTGTTAAGAGAATCTTGGAGATCAACAGCCTCCACTACCGCTCTCAGGTGCTCAACTGACCATCTGGAGACTCAATTTTGAACCGATCAAAAGCGTAAATCATGTCATTGTCCCCCCGCGGGCGATCCGTCCAACCACGTACTCCTCGTCGGCAGTCACAACGATCGAGCGTTGTAACCTTACCCCATCACACCTTCGGTGCATTATCGTGTTCGACGGACTCGTAAGCTAAAGATAAAGTCGTGTCTCCAATGGTTGAGGGTGGTTACAAACGTGCATTCCATCCGTCGACAGCTGGGATGTTTGCTACGGTGTGGAAGCCGATTTGCTCGCGGGAGAAGGCTGCGTTGGAGTGTTGGAAGGTATGTTGTTATCGCGCTTGCAGCAAATGACAAGAGCGAGGAGAACGCCTTGGGATTCAGATTGAGACAAGTCCTTGGTCTTCCAGAAAGTTTCTCCTGTGCGGTCTGAGAGCTACGGACGGAATATTCTCGAGGTAAGAAAGTGAAGAAGGATTGGGCACCCATGAACTAATCCAAAAGAGGTATAGCGCGTCTCATTTGCCGAGCACCTCGTCTCCTTACTTATCTCTCCCGTCTTCGCTTCAAACATCCTTTATCTGCTTTATTCATCGTTGTCGTTGCGAGAATTAACTGCCATCACCCTTGGCATAGTACCATAGCTTCGGAAGCAAGGATGGTAGCAGTCTATCAACACCTTGCATTACTCTCCAGAAGAATCCCGGCTGGGTTGTGTACAGTTCCACGGGCCAGCGGGAGGATCAATTACACTTCTCTCGAAGTCGGTGCCTCCGAGAGACCAGGTTGTGCTGTTTACCAGCTCTAACGAATCGGCGATTGTACTACCTCCCCAACCAATCTTTTCTGACCCTTCTCAGCTTGCTTGACTTAGTTCCAATGTTGTTTCTTTGCCTCCTCGCTCCACTAAAGGTCACCCGACTCGGCTGGATCTGCCGTAGCTAAATTGGCGGCATGCTGAACGGGCCGCGACGGTAGCTCCCGATTCAATCTCGATGCTGCACAGAAGAAGTCATTTTGCTTCTGCGGCTGAAATGACGAGTGTTTGAGAAAATCTCAAATTCGGCACCTATTCGCCGTGTGGATCGGGACAACCATAACCGACCCTGTAAGGGCCGCAGTGTTTTGACCTTTCTCGTCATTTCTTGTCGGTTGGACGGGCAAGACGGGACTTGAACCCTGGTACAGCTGATCGACTGATGGAATTCATAGCCCTTGTTCCTTGACAGCCCGAATCAAGCCATCAGGAGGCGAAGCCAGCTCTCCTCTTGAGGTTAAGAATATGAAGGCGTCTAAGGTCGAAGTCTCGGCAGTGACAGGCAAATGCGGGTACTATAACGCGACGAGGGTCTCGATTATACCTATCAAATGCAGGAGAATTGAAGTATTGTATTGTGATATGCAGAACCAACTGTCTCCCTCGTACAGCGTCATCGCGCTTAATGCAGTGCTTCAAGAAGAAGTCATTTGACGGAAAGTAACAGTTGGAGGTATGCTGTGCTTTCATCTACGCTCTATTGATTGGAGTTCTTGGCCAGTGCTCTAGAAACTGTGACCAACTTGCATTGGCGTCCACCCTATCGCACCCTGGTACACATGCAGTGCAGCAGCCGAACCGGTAGTCCCGAGTACAAGGTTCGTGGATCGTTCTATGGCTACGCTTTGCCTAGCCCACCCCACTTATGCACACCTCATCGTGTTCCAAATTTCGATAGGTTGCGCTTGCCTTGATCTGGTATCTAGATCTAGCATGAAAGCACGAAAATCCCCCACCGCTCCTTGGTCTTGGACGGTTGATCTCATTGTACTTCTCATGAGCCGATGTATACAAGGGATATTCTCCGCAGTCCTTGTTTATATCAGATCTCACATCATGGCGAATTCTGCTTCCCGCATTCGACCTCCTGCTTTACCTGTATCTCGAACATGTATCTGGAAGACTGTCGGTGAAGTCAGAATAGCACTTGACATTTACCTTCCTAGCAGCAATGATGGTACTAATCATCCCATCATGCTGTACATCCATGGCGGAGGATGGATTGCAAGCAACAAGACTGATTATTCTCGGCCTCTATTTCATAAGTTCCTTGCTCTTGGGTTCGTCATTGTATCAATGGACTACAGGTTGCTCCCCGAAACGACATTTGATGGCCAACTGGAAGATATACGCGATGTCGAGTCATGGCTCAAGAACAACCTTCCTTTAGAACTTGAAGAGATTAACTTCAAAGTTGCCACGGACAAGATTGTGGTTGCTGGGGCCTCTGCAGGCGCTCATTTAGCTCTCTTGACAGTATGTCTGACGACCTTATCGTCACGCCCGCCACTGACACCTTTCCGCAGCCAAAACTCTGGTCTACCCTTCCAGCATCCATACTATCATTATATGGCCCCACAGATATGCGCCGAGTTCCATATCTTCGACGCGGACGACTATCACAATGCGACGCACCTTCCTGTACTCCGGAAGTTCTGGCTGCCGCAACGAATTATGGAAAGCCACCGACGGACATGGGATGTTCGAATATACCATTAGGATTTTCAACCCCGAGGAGTCAAATAAACTTGATGATGTTTCGCGAAGGGCTTTCGGCCGAAGTACTACTAAAAGGCCTGATAAGAGGTGAAGATGGGGCTTTGCGAATGCCAGACAAAGGCTCCGTCACTTCAGAAGAGATCGATGAGATCAGTAAGCCACTGCAGATTCCCACAACTTATAGAGTGCTTGAGCTAACCAGTTTCACAGGCCCTCTGCAACTATGCCAAAGAATCAGGTATCCGCCAATCTACCAAGTCATCGGTACTTCAGATGACATCTTTGATACCTATCACGTGACAGAATTCCACGATGCTCTCACAGCTCAAGGCATTCATTGTGAGAAGGTTTTGGTACCAGAAAAAGGTCATGCATTCGATGTCTACGAAAAAGTTGGAGGCGAAGTCCATACAAAGATCCTTAATCCTGCTGCGGAATGGGCTGCTGCTTTCGCTCTTGGACCAGGAGGTCACAGGGTGCGAGCAACTGCAGATTCTCCGCCTGAAAGCCCGTTGTGCTGTTGCTGAGACTTGCGATTTTGTCCCCTTCTTTATGGCGCTCTTTTCAATTGTTTTCTCGGGTAGATGTGGGGGTTGGCGACGGGGACTGGGTGGCTGCATTGTTCTTTGCTTTTTGATGCATGCTTATAGACTGTGGAATTGTTTGTTCAATATTGGGTGGCTGTCTGAACTTATTCAATGAATGTTTGCGATATTTGCTGAAGCTTATACACTGCGCGCGTGAGATGGCATTGTAATTATCAAAGAATATTAAGCCGATGCTCCTTTTGATGCGATGCAAGAATAGTACCACCTTCCTTCTCATACAAGAAAGTGGGTTCCCGTGTCTCACTTGTTGCATAAGTGCTTTCTGCATCTGTTGGAATTGCTTTCACCGAAACGGGAATGCGAGGAAGCTCTGCATCGTTTGCGTCGCTTGGAACTTCCTCCGTAGGTTGCCTAGCCTATCCAGAACAAGCAGCCGCAATACTTAAGCGTAGGAAACCACCTTCCAATCTTCTCCAACTCCACCAACGACCAACGTTCATGGTCATCATCTTTGGACCGAAGAGGGTTTCTCTGACTTGAAAGATCTTTCGTCTCTTGGTTTCGCATCTGACTGGCAAGCTGCATACTTGCGCCACTTGAGGCTATCCGCCCTTCTCCTGGCCAGCTTCCAATCGTCGGATTCGCGCGTTTCCCCGGTCAACCCTGAAATAGGATCAAGTCTCTGGTAAGAATTAATCCATTCCACTCAACTACAAACATCCCTCTGACATCCAATACAAAGTTGTGACACGGACGCCGCTACGAGCAACTCATACCTCTTCCTCATTGAATCGCATTGATCAGGTCGAAATCTTCAACATGGAAGCAAAGAACGAGAACAAGGACATCGCTGGACCTTCAAATAGCAATGCCAGTGACGCGATCACTAAAGACCACGGCCCTCTGACGGAGTTCACCTGCTTCTCCGAGCTGCCTGTCGAACTGAGTCGAGAAATCTTCAAGCATGCATGCTTCGTACCGCGAGTGATCGACGTGTTCCCAATGTTTTGTCCAGACATGGGGATGGACTGGGACGACCTCGACGGTATGGATGAATCCACGGCTCTCACGAGCGTTACTCAGCGTGTGGCACCAGCTGTTTTACACGTCTCTCGAGAAGCCAGAGAGGTTGGATTGGAGTGCTATTCTCTCGGACTCGATAGAGCAGTTGAGAGTTTTCCCTGAGCATCTTGATTATGATTTCGATTATCGACCTCCTGCCAAAGTCTATGTCAATTGGGCTTGCGATACCATATGTCCTACTGCGTGCTTCGACAATTACAACTTCGAGGGAAATGGTACCGCCATCGGATCGGCACTAACGCAACTCAAGTCTCTGCCCAAGCTGCGTCACCTTGCAGTCACTGTCAGTGGGCTCAAAGCTTTGAAGAAGTCCCTTCCCAAATTGGCCATTGAGGTCATCACTGTTTATCTGGCTCCCGGCCTCGACAACTGGTCGTCAGACATGGCCGAAGATGAGATGGAGGGAGGATGCGCTTGTTGCCAACACCTCAACAGTAACACCAAATTTGGCATCAATCTCACTATCCCAGGAGAGTACCTCGAAGCACAAGCCGAAAGATTTTCTAAAGGTGAAGATGCCGAAGTGAATGAGGATGAAGTTGAGTATGATAAATTCTTACCACGTGTATCAGCAAGTAGCGTCCGGGCTGCAAGTAAGAATATCGTTAATCTGTTTCAGGCATTGGTGAAGAAAGAGAAGGCAATGAAAGAGGCGGGACGAGTATGGAAGGCTCCTCGATTCCAGGTGATGGTCATGGAAGTCCACGAGAAGGAAAATTACGATGCTCATGAGCAAGAACGATACCGGGCGATGAAGGCAGCAGCTGCGAAGGTTAAGGCAGCAAGTTCGGGGATTCAGGGAGACGATATGGCAGATGGAGGGGTGATATGAGGATTGAGACTGAGAAGGAGGAGGAACGTCATGTAGCATTGGACCCCTACTTTGAGCGGCCCACAATGTAAACAAAGGAGGAATTTTTTTTAGGACGGACTTCCTCTTTGCAAGCAATCTGAGTCTTTCCCAGAGTAATAGTCCTTGATGCTCCTCCATCTCTCAACCAAGGATAATTGTTCCATTTTGCGTACGTGAAGAACTCTTGTTACATGAATCGCATCGCTGAAAGTGCAAGTTTGTGTTTTAAGCGAGTCGAGGAATCGTTGTGACTATAAAGTAAAATCTTGACAATAAAGAATTTAGCGAGCACAAAAGAAAAGAAATATAGAAAAAATCGGAATGAGATGCAAAAACTTCAGGAGCAAGCGCAGTCGTGTAGCGGTTGCTCCCTATCAAACCAGACCTGGTTATTCTCGACGCCCTTTCCCGCTGCCAAACCAGGTTTGACCTGAACCACCGAGCCTGATGGCCGCCTTCACTGGATGTTGGTATGCCTAAGAAATGCTTATTTAAATCTATAACACCCTTGACCGTTTAGCGGAATTGGCCTAGCTCAGCCTTGCATCACATGAATAGCTGCGTATGTCTTAGCGATGAGAACAGCACTAAGCTTTCAATGAATTTTGCACTTTGAACTCTGATCTTGATTGGCTCGTGTACCTCTCTTTACATCTTATCTTTCCATTGCCATCTAGCAACATATATGCTGGGCAGAAACGGGAAATTTGCGCGCTAGCAGATCTCAAGCGCAACGACACCGAAACCTCCCAACTCCCGCTCATACTACATGTTGAGTCGCGCCACCTTGTAAGCAAACTTTTACCTTTCTAAAGATCTCCTCTTCCATCTGTCTCCTCGCTTTTCCCTTCAAAGTAAGGTAAAATTCTCACACAACAAACCCGGCCGGCACAAAGCTGATTCATCTCCACAGACTCGCGCAACTCATCAGACTTCATATTGAGCAACTCTACAAGAATACAACGCCGGAAGACGCACCCAAACGAGCGATTACAGACCCCCTCAAGATGACTGCTCCTTCCGACCAAATGCTACCACGCGTCTCTGCGCCTCCAGCTCTTGACGAAGACAAGGATACCTCAAGTAACGGCTCTAGTCAAGGGTTCATGCCGGACACAGTCGGAGCCGAACTCGACGATGATGAGATCGAAGAGCCTATGGCCCAGAGTGCCGATGAAAATGAGAACGACGAACTCGATAACGAGTTTAAGCTCAGCAGTTTCACTTGCTTTGCAGAATTGCCAATCGAGCTCCGTCAACAGATTGTAAGCAACAAATTATTTCATTCTTCCTCCTCCCTAGATTTGGATTTCACCGTACTGAGGACTCCGGGAACCGGTACTAACTTTCTGAAGTGGAAGCAGGTTTGCTTTATCCCGCGCAACATCGACCTCTTCTGCGGCTTTACATATTCTCAGAGAGACGAGAAAGCGCAAGCTCAACTTTACAAACTGTTCGCCACTCACCAATTGGCGTTTAGGAGCATGTGTGGACGCAAAGTACCACCAATTCTCCGTAAGTATTTTTCACGATATGTCCCTTTTTTTTTTTTTTTTTTTGCGCACCTCTTTCCCTGACAATCGTACGAGAATCTGACAATTGTGCCTCAGACACTTCTAAAGAAGCTCGATCAGAGGGTCAAAAATATTACAAGGTTGGATTTGGGAAGACTACAGAGAATGATATTGGAGGCATGTTACTGTGCTTGAAGATTCCGCCTCGAATCTATGTCAATTGGGATTGCGACATCATCATCCCAACCGAGGGTCCCTTTGTGTACGGAGCTCACGATGGTATGAGGCCAAAGATGAAGATGTACCGTGTTGATTACCACACACTCGCTTCGTGTTACAACATCCGCCATCTTGCCGTTCCATATGCTATCAACAAGAAGTTTTTGAAACCTTTGATCGAAACCCTTCCTCTTCAAGAAATCACTACTTTCACTTCCTCGCAACGACTCGGAGATTGGGCTGAACCTCGAGAGTGGGTACTTCAGATGAGGACCAGGATATGTTCCGGCTTCGAATTCATAGAGCCCCGTCAATTGTTTCAGTCGCTCAAGCACGAGAGAGAATACTACGGTGTCAAAGACCTAGATCCGGATCATCTGATTCGTGGCGTGACATGTGAGACCGAACAGGTGGAAAATTTGGTATCGGAAGTGGCATTGCTGATGCCTTCGGACTGGAAGCCGCCAAAGGTCAGTTTCAAGGTCATGAAAATTCTTAGGGAATGATCTATACGGCAGCTAGACCTGTATCAGATGTACCGCTTTCTTGAGGCAGATTCTGAACTTCACACTGATTTGATGGAGAGGGCGATATAGAGGAAAGCTGAGCAGGGATCGAGAGAGTACAAATTGAAGAGACTTAGATTAGGTCGCAAGCCTTTAGATATATCGTCAAAGTATTTGCATCTCTGCCTCAATGAATTTCCATACTACTCGTGCTGTTCAAGATAGTCATGCTACTGGTAGTCAACCGAAGCCTGCCGGGGGTAAATCAGATATGAATACTTTCAGGTTTTTTAGAAACACTGCAACCTGGCAGCTTCAAAGTGATTTAATTGCTATTAACTCCTCTCCAGGTGCAGTGTCAAAACATTCGGGAGGTGGTATATGAGGAACTTGAAAATGGGCTCCACTTTCCCGAACACTTTCACGTTCCGAAATTAAGATGAAAGTGAGATCATTGCATAAGGCAGTAGTAGTATGTACTACCACCATTTGCCTGACTTCTCCTCATGCTGAACCCAATTCCGGCTTCTTCAAACGCTACGCTAGGCCATACCCAAAGGCACACCTCTATGTTCCACCCCGTCTTCAGGCAATCTTCCCTCATATTGACGCTAGACGTAAATCCAATATCACATAAATGCCCGGTGTAAACAAATGACCGTAACAGACCGCCAAAACAGAGCTGTGAGCGGTATTGGACTGTCCCTGAATGCATTCGCACTGAACAGCTAAAGCTAAGATCTTACAAGTTCTCTTTATCCGAATCAGTACTAGCTCCTACGCATACGTAACCTTAATTTCAGCACAGACAGCTCCTCAGCGAAGACCTCAACAAGAACCCTATACAAAACAAATCGTCGAATGTGATTGGCCGAAGGCTTCTTAGCGTCGAAATTCGCAGCTTCTTCAGTTATTGGAGGGGGCCATCGTTGACTTATGAAATACTCATCTTTTTGCGACCTGCAACAAAAAGATTTAAGGTACACGCTAAAAATAACCTTAAAACCTTAATCCTAAAGAATTTTGCTGGCCTTAGATCGCATTATCAAACCACTTCCAGCTCAAGCTTGCGCCTCCACCCAGCGTTCCCAACGGTTGGTCCGTTTTAGCGTCCCCAACAAAAACCACCCGTTTAGACTAGTTTGAGTTACAGATTTCAAGAACCGTCAGCCTATTGGTCCGTAACGGTTCCGGGCTCCTTGAAACCATCAAGAACCGTCTGCCCGTTTACTATTGGGGGAGCTTGAGGATAGTGGAGATTAAGGGAAATTAGAGGAGATTAGAGTGCCTTAGAGCCTGAAAACCTTAAATACTTTGAAGCTTGAGGTTGAGAATATACTATTAATAGCTTTTTATTTGTCTTGGTAGTTAAACCGGCTAGAACTATCTGGAACTTGTATAGTTTAGTTTTATAGTTTTCCGGAACCGTATTAGTACAGTTGGTTTGGTTTTAGGGTTAAAACCAAACCAAACCACCTATTGGGAGCGCTGCCTCCACCAGACAAATTTCGACAACCATTTCGACAACTATTTCGAGCGACACATCATCTTTGCAACATACCGAAAGAAATTTGCCTGGAGCCATCACTACCTTTGTCAGATCGAAGTTGTTACTTCGCCTTCAGAAACTTCAGCATCCTCTAGTCTACCTTCAGCCCGCCTCGGCTGCTTTGCGCTTAGGACTTCCCACTTCCGCCTTCCACCTCTTACGATCATCTTCAGAACATCCCTTTGCGCCTCGTAGCGATTAAACAAGTGACTGAATCTACAACTTCACGATGGCCAACTCAACCTCGATCGCACAGTCTGAGATGCAGATTTCTGCACCCCAAGAGCATACGTCTCCTCCATCTGAGAAATTAGAGGAGCTCGCCACCGCTATCAAGCCGCTCACCGCCTTCACGGTATTCATGAATCTTTCACCTGAGTTGCGCCTGAAAATCTGGGCTGAGGTATGCAAAAACGGTCGAGTTGTAGATATCAAGTTGGAGCTCTTGAACATGGACATGACTTTTGAAGCTCTTACAGAGGCTACCTACCCCGTCCCCTACAGGTACAGGAGTGTTCAAGGCATTCCACCAATCATGCGTGTCTCGCGTGAGGCTCGTATAATTGGCTTGGAGCACTGCACGCCTGAATTTTCGACGAAGTGTGTTGCATCGCCAGCCGATCCTTCCATATATGTCGACTCGCACCCGAGTGCCTATGTCAGTTGGGAACTTGATACTTTGTATGTTGCCGATCCTAAGTATGAATGGATCAATCGGGGACTTCCCAATAAGCAATTAATTCTCTACAGTACGTCAAATTCCGGCTTTATTTTATATTCCTCCTAGCAGTGAAGATCTTCCGAATCATCCCCGAGAGCCGCTCATTAAAGAATGAGTGAATCAACTTCTTTAGATGAATTCTTTGGCCCCTACGCATACTGATTTGTTTACAGAAGAATTGGCAAAGCTTAAGAAGATTCGATCTCTCGCCATCAATCCAGACGTTGCACTCCGAGGTGCAGTAGCCGCCTGGACTGAGTTTAGGGTGTGGGTCGATAATCACATCGAAGACTTGATTGTTTACTTGGACAAAGATGTCACACTTGTACACAATCATAATCCACCTCCCGTCATCTACGACCCTGACAATGCTGTCCGTATCCATCCTACTCGATATGGAAATAATACGGAGACAAAGGAAATGTTGAAGGCTATAAGAATGAATCCACGCGATGTCGATTCCTACTCTGCATTAATGTGCGAAGTTTTGATGGAAATTTTGCGTCTAGAAAATATGTTTGAGGACGGGGACTTGCAAACAGACCATGCAAACTGGAAACCGCCGACGCCGAAGTTTATGGTTATGGCAACGTCTCCGTCCGCAACCTAAACAATCGGGTACCATAAGCAACGTTTAATGACTGAAGGATGTACTGGGAATGGAGCATATTGAGGGAGACACAAGCGCATGGAGTTGAGAGTAGCAAAGTGAGGATTGGGATCAAGGATCTAGAGGAAGGAGATTTTGGGAAAACTGTATCGCAGACCTGCCCGGACAATGAAAAGCATTCTTTTGAACAGACTTTGTGAATTGGATATTTTTAGTGATTTGTGCAGTGAGATCTGGAATCGTTGACGGAAGGCACTTGCTACTGAAATTTCATACTAAGCAGGATAGCTCAGCTGGTTTTCAGACTTTGAGGTGTTCTACTGTTTCGCCCGCCTTACGGAAATCTCGAAGCTCATCGCTCGTTAGGATGTCCATGTGCTTATTAATTAATTAACCAACCTATGCTGTCCCATTCGTCGAAGCTCCCAAAATCATATTCTTCCCTGCCCCATCTGGCAATTTGCTTCGCAAGATCAAACCAGGATATTGTCTTCCATCCACACCGTCGTTCCAGTCGGGCTGGTACGGTAACTGATTAATATTGAAGTATATATAGCCATCGAAGCCAACATTAGCGCTATCAGGCCATATGATTCGAGGGTCACGGACATAGGGCTCTGCTTGGAGTGTTGTGTCGCTGTCGTATATTAGTAAGATTCAATGAACGTAAAGATTGGGGAAGACAGACTTGTAGATGTAGATAGCATTGTTTGTCGGCATCAGCATGTATACATTTCCTAGGCTGTCAGAAGAAAACCCATTGGCATTTCCACCTCGCTCGCCAAGGTTCTTCACATTATCGAAGGCTCGTTTCGCAGACAGGGTATCATTGTTCGGATTCGCTTGTAGATATTGCGTCTCGATGGAGTAGAGGTAGTCGGAGGTCAGAGGAGAGTAATACATAACCTTTCATCTTGTCAGCGCATTTCTTGCCACCTTAAGGTTCAAAACATACATCACCATACAGACTCAACTCTGCACCATCCAACCCCTCCTGCTGAAAGCCCAACGGACTTCCTTTTTGCCTGAGATAAAACGGAATGCCATTGTAACTTGGCACATCTGCATATGTCCTCAATGTACTCGGGTGTTGGGTCAACTGTCTCCAGCTTTCACCTGTAGCCAAATCAACCATTATGAATCCTGTTCTACCTTCGTTACTCGAGTCCACTATGTATGCTATTCCTCCACCCGATTCGGTCACATTTGGTCGCATATCGAATCGTAGATCGTTCATGTAGGAGTCGGGGTAGTGGACGTTCGCAGGAAAGGTATAAGTTCGTGCGATGGAGTTGTTCGAAAGGTTGATAGAGACAAGCTTCGGTCCGCCAGGAGCAGCATATGGCATACTCGGAGCTTGAGATTCATCGATCGTAGGTCTGCCTGTGTCGAGCACCCAAAGAGTATCGTCCGGTGTGATGTAGAGCGCCTGAACGGATATGAAAGCCGTCTGATTATTGCTGCCAAATTGTATGCCATTCGTCGTCGTATACAACCCACCTTCAGGCGTATTGAGCTCCATGGAAGGATATGCAGCTTCTGCTGTCTGGTTTATGATCTCTCCGAGGGTGTATGCATATGTGCCTCGAGTGTAGCATGCGAAAACCCTGCCAGTACGAGACGCTGCGAGACCAATGGGCCATTGGTCGTAGTAGTAATGGTACTCTTCAACAGGAGGACCGTATGTGCCGGTGTCAAATCGAACATTGTGAGGACCACTCGTGCTGAAAGTACCATTTATGCTCGTGTTGGAATTTGTTGAGTTCTGAGCTGCTGAAAAACTAGCGAGTGCTGCAAATGCAGTTGCTGTGAGGCTTTTCATGATGACTGGTTGCGAGCGTGAAATAGAGATAGTGAAACTTTAGAGAAAACACTTCGGGAAAGATAGGAAATATACTCAGTCACAGAAGCCGAAGAGCTTCGCATTGGATTGGTGATGTGAACCATTACGTCGCGGCTGCCAGGAAGTAAACTTCCATAGTGAAGCTATCCACATGCCGTTTATCCATTGCTGATGTAAACAGTGTCGCGTTTGATTGGAGCATTTCGGTGGCAGAAATGGCAATCGAGAAGTCGATGATGAAGAAAGTTTTGTTGATGATGACGGCAGGCCGGGAACTAAAATAAACCAGTGCGGAGAACCCTGAGGCTTGCCGATGACTTAGTCAGCATTCGCCGGCATTTCTTCTGAAGACTCGAAGTCTGTCAAAAATGTGGAAAGTATTAAATCAAGTAGACAGTCATTCAGAGGCGATTTATTAGTCTCTTAGCATCATTGTAATCTTTAGAAGTTGTGACAGAAAATCACCCCTATAGTGATCGCTTCGCACGAACCATAGGGCAGATGGTCGCTGGAATACCACCTGTTGAGTCTTTTCTGGGTATACCAAAGATGTGGTACATTTTCTAATTTAGTATTCTGAGCCCCAATTTTGACAGACACACTAGAAGAGTCTCAAGTCGTCTCCTGGTCTCGAATCCTAGAGTCTCAGTTGAAATAAGACCTCTTAAAGCGGGACCGCTGCTCTGTTCAAGAAGGGCCCAAGTCGTAATATTGGCCATTCCCCGCCCTTTTGCATCCTATGATTTATATCATCCCGAGAATCAATGTTTCGAACGCTCTCTGATATGCAAGTTGTGCTATCAAGCAGCGATGGCAGATAATTACCCATTTAAGAATCTCGGCTATGAGCCAATTAGCGCAATGTATTACCGAGAAACAAAGGGGGGAAAGCCGTGGGTATTTCCTTACCCTTACTTATTGCAATCACTTTCGAGATGAATTTTGCATAAAGAGCCACTATAAGTAGTGGTGCTGATTGTTGCAAGAAGAACATATATTGGTTTTCATGGAATGAAAGTAGGCTTGTCAAGTACTTTGCTTCCGAGCCGCTGCTTTGTTCTCCTGAGTCTCAACTCCAGATGACACGAGGCAAGACAAGGATATAAGCATCTACTGACTTCCAATGTCTACCTGTACTAAGGATCTTCATCATGAAATATGTATTAGCAGTATACAATGCACGACTTTGCAAGGGATGAAAATAATGGTCGAAACTGCTAAGTAGATTTGGGGCATTGGACTATTGCTATGGCTAGTTGCGATCCTCGTGAGGCAAACATAAGTCTAATATTTGAGTCACAATATCTGTCTTTGTTCGTTATCCTGTCCAAGTAAACCTCTTCAATCTACAACGAAGACTCGTAAACAAGTTTCTAAGCTAAAAATATCGCAAAGAAATGAAATTGGCTGTCTGAACTACTTTGTAGCTCCTGAAAGTTTGAACTGTAACTGTCTTTCTCTCTTCAGAGCCTCATCTGTAAAGTAAAATAGCGCAAATCAGTAGCAGGATGCTAACGCTCATCGTTGTAATGAAGATGCATGAATCAAGAACCTAATCACCAAGATTTCCCTTAAAAGTTTATCCGTGATAAGAGGAGCGAGTGTAAAGAAGTAGTCTGAAAACCCAGCCACCGATGTCTGTTCCTCTGAAGCTTCATCTCTAAGCATAGTAGGGTAGAGCAGTAAATGAAAGCTACCACTGATCTTTGATGCTTATACCGATATTCTTCCGAATAATAGATGCTGGGTATAGAGAGGTTTATTTGGAAGGTCCATAAACAACGGCCGTGCTCTTAGAACCTCTTCCCCCAAAACAAATGAACCTAGTTTAGAGCAATAGAGCTGAAAGGTAACCACCATTGCCGTTTCTCCTGAAACTTTGCTCTTGTCCAATACTTAGATAATCAGCATCTTCTCTAAAGTTCTAGCTCAGCCTTGAGTAATTCACACCCTGGTTTGCAAAGAAATGGCGCTAGTGTAGACGAGTCGACAAGAAATCGAACCACCGATATCGCTTCTCCTGGAGCCTCGCGTCTAAATGAAAAGACACTAGTATAGACGAGTTTCCATGAAGCCAGACCTTCACCGATCTCTGCTCTCCTGTCCATTAAACCTTCCATTCGATCTGCAAAGATGGAACTGCCGTACAGATTAGCATCGCAGAGATCGACTGTCACAAATACTCCAAGTGTGGCCGGCTCTCGAACCACCACTCCAGCTACGTCCTTCGACTCGACCTCTGCTCAACCTGATCTCCAACGCAGTGGTCAAAAGCGAACCTTTGAAGCTGCGAATGGCGCCACTCTCGACAAAGGCTACAGCTACGGCTACCACACGCCATACTTCCAACCACCACTTCAACTGAAACCCCATCGAATTCCAGTTCTCCCTAGTGCTAGATTCGCCCTGCCGTATGAGCGCAATGCCCAAACGGTCGATGTCTCGCAAGCAGCCAAGCAATTGAGAACCGCCAAACCATCCGATGCCATTAGCTTCCACCTCCTCTATGCCCATGATAAAGAGTTGACAGAATGCCAAACTTGCATGCTTCGATGGCCAAGCCGTGTCGGGGCATATCATGAGTTCTTTCCGGGTAGAGTGGATTTGTTGCCTACGTACAGCTCTGATCCAGCCTTCCGACTCGGAGGGGAGGCAGGATATGATGTTATTCGGGAGCAAAAGTGTCGGGAGCTCTGGCACAGAGAGGAGGCGAAGTAGGTTGCGCACAAGTGACAAATGTGAACGCTAAATACTGATTATCGTACAGGCATGTTCAAGACTTGGGTGGTTATAGGGCAAAGCCTCTCCACGATGGTCAGAAGGACTACTACGATATCTCAGAGCCTCTCCTCAAGAAGCCCAAGTTGTCATAGGCTATTGAAAGACGGAGTGGTGAGGGTGGTTAGATACTGCGACGTCTCAGAGGGTCCTGGGTTGTTGGAGATGATGGCAAAGAAGAGTCTTGGAGCAAATGAGAGAATTGGTTCCTAAGATGGGTCTTCTTATTGATCTGGTCATAGCACCTATTTTCATTGTGCTGCACTTTGCAGCATAAATGTATTCAAGGGCATGAATAGACTTTCTTTGAAGCCAAACACTTTAGATATTCACCTAAGTTCCCGAAAACGTCTTGCCCGAATTTACCCGAAAGACCCTTAAAATTGCTCGGTAGATTCGCTCGAGTTTAAACTCCACCTAAACTGGCAAAAGCCCCTGAAGGTCGTTCCGTAGGTTCGCTCGATCTTAATATCCACCTAATCACCAACCAAAATCCCTGAAGCCTCCCGAATTATCTCACACGGTCCATCGAATTACAACCATGGAAACCCAAGATCGAGAAGAGCAAGCCATCAAAGATCGAATGGCAGACATCCAACCCAAGCATTTCACCCAGAAACAGATCATCATGTCCTTTGGCTACGCAAACATCCACACCTTCATGAGAGCCCATCGTCTTAAATTTTCCGACTTCCAGCACTATGAACAAGCCCAAACCATGATTGAGCAACAACGTTACAATCTACAAAGCAAGTGGGAGCAAGATCGGGACATGGAAGAGCTTACGATGGAGACGGTCACTGGACTTCCAACCGATTCGCAAAGTCCATTGATGGTTACAACAAGAGAGCACAATAAGAATATCAGGGACCAAATGTCTTTAGAGCAGGAATTGATGGAATTGGGCGTCATGATGGGAGGATCGAGCTTGCAGGCTGTTCGGCTGGAGAAGGAGGACGTCCTCTTCCGTTACGTGGACAAAGAGAGGGAGCGGGCATCAAGAAAGGCGAGGGGGCTGAAGAAATCATCGTCTCGGCAGAAGGAGGATATAGAATGGACAGTCAGACCCACATTGAAGGCCGACGGACCAACGAGCAGGGGAAGATCGAGGGAGCCCAAGACGATCCAGAGAGAGGCTTCCACTTACGTCTCATTTGCCGATCTTATAGATGATGCATAAAGAAATGAGATGGTAAAGAAAAGGATTGGAAAGCTGCTGTGGGTGTTCAAGGGTCGTTCGGATATTGAGAAGTGGGCGCCTGCCTGGATAACATGCCGCCATCCACATTTGGCTGTAACATATCAGATTGTGCTCAATTGAGCTTGTTCCCATTACTCAACAGCAAAATCAAAGTTTCTACACAGCTTTCCTCTCTCTGCAGTACAAGGCGTAACAAATGATAAGTGAATTCCACTAACAAGCAAGACCGCAAAACTCCAGCATTCGATCTCCAAGACGAAGTTAGCAGGATTCCCCGACGCGGAATGAAACATACCCAAATCCAATACCAAGCAAATGATCACAACGCCCAAGCATTCAATTCTCAAGCTAACCCAATTAGCAGAATCCCCTTACACATAAGAGACCATACCCAAAATCCAATACCAAGCAAAATCAACAAACTAGCTCAATTAGCAGAATCCTCTCATACAAAAGAGTAAAACATACCAGTATCCACATTCTCCAGCATCTCTACTAGTCTTTCTTCGTCTCCTCCTTCGTCTCCTTATTCAGAGCAGCTTCCTTCTCGCTCTCCTTGGTAGCCTTATCCTCATCCTTTTCGTCAAAGGTATCCTGAGTCTCCTTGGTCTCTCTTGAGATAGGAGCTTGCTTCCTAACGGACACTCTTTTCTTAGGAGTTTTCGAGTCTGAGTACATGTTGCTCTTTGGTTTTGAAGTTGTTTCGGGGAAACAAGGTCTGAATTTGGAGATGAGGATCAACACGAAGGTTGAGTTTGGGAAGAAGAGGATGGAAGGGTACGAGATAGTGGAGTTATATAGGAAGGGGAGTCGTTTGTCCTAGGTAAATATTTCAGTCACAGGTCAAGTCCAGGGAGTGATGAATGGGTGTGATGTAATGTTCTTGTGAGCATGACAAACTAATACTGAAGAGTGAAGATCATCTGATATCTGCAAATTGGTTTGCTACAGATTGGCTTGGGTGGTGGCCACGCGTACATGGAAAGGAGCTGATAGTCAGGCTTGGAAGTGTTCTGAAGAGCAAAGTTGGAGATCAAGAGTCTGGAGAATACCACACGGCATCTTGATCAAAGTATCTGATTACTGATGCTGCAGCTACTGCTGTGTTTGTACTGTGTTTGACCAAGTCCCTCTCAAGTCTCCATTGCACCTTCCGATCCATTTCCTCACCACCTGATGTATCTCTCCTCCAAAAAAAATTGAAACTCTCTCGCCGTTGCTGGGATACCCATCAGAAACCCTGTCTGCTGGTCAGCATATATTGCTTGCACCAGTCTGGTGACATACAGCGTCTCTCCTAATTCTTTCCACCCTTTGCTGCCTGCGCCTCCTCCCAAGCACGCTGATCTTGCTCTCTGTAGCCATCGCGGATTGCCTTCGCCTCCTCGATGTCCTCGTGTTTGTCTAATCTCAGCCCGTGGGACTCTGCGAAGTTCTTCATGTTGCCCCAACCACCCTCCTTGTAGAAGCTGTTGTAGGACTTATCGTCTGGCTGAGTTGTAGAAGTAGCCTTGGTGGACGAGCCATTGTTGGTGGTCTTCGATGAGGAAGAGGAGGTGTTCTTGGCGGGAGGCATGGTGTTGGTTCTGAGTGTTGAGTATTTGAAGAGTCTTCGATTTGGGCTTGTAGAGAATTGTGATCTTGCAGAATTCGTAGAGCCAAAGCGAAGTTTGAATGTGGTAGTGTTGGAGTTTGAGAAGAAGGAAATTGGGGAGTGGCATTGGAGGAAAGGAAGGAACAAACGGGATGACCAGGGTACCGCAAAGCGGCATGGGGCCAGGACGAATGAGCTGTAGCTCCTTGGAATACTAGATCATGCCGTGCAAATTCGTTCAAGGTATTCAGAGACATCTAGTACCTGAAAGATCAATAAAAACCTCCAAGGAAGATCGCTCGCATGATTGTTTATAAGTGTCACGTGGAAGACCCAAAACTCCCGAGGTCCGTTTACCTACCTAGGTAGGTAGTTGAAAGGTCCATGGAACAATCTCCCCACATTCTAGCACCCTTAAAACCACACAACCTATCACCGTGCATCAATTTCTTGACTCCTATTCTCTCTGTACTATTTCACGTAAAGCATGGAGGCAAATAATTCGTCGCTCGTTTCCTTAGGCCATCATAGCTATACCATTGATTATGGATTTACTAGTGTACCTTGGTGATGATGATGAAGAGGCGGCATTGTTGGTATGGCTGGAAGCGCGGGCTCAGAGGTGGCGGATTCATCAGCTTTACTCTTCTTTCTATATTCTGTTCAGAGCTATGAGAAACTTGACCATATAGTAAAGACGATGAGATAGAGGGGAGTCCAGACCTTGAATACCGTTCAGCAAAACAATGACATTGTTGGCAAGCAATATCATAGCAACAACTTGCCCGAAGCCCCATTGTTGTTCTGAGCTGCCACTATTGAGGACAGGCTCATTCGACTTGCGTAAAGCAGATACAGAGTAAACATGGAGTGGAAATTGGAGTGCGGCAAGATACATACAGAGTAATTGTGACATGATTTTAGGCTGGTTAGAAGTGACGCTGAAGGCAAAGATAAGAGCGATGTTCACATAGAGGCAAGTTATCGAAAGGTAAATCGTATCGAAGTAAGGGTGCGACGCATCTGCAGTAGCGATCCTCGAAGTGATATAGCAATGTCCCGTCTTGTCATAATTCCATGACTGCAGTTGGGTGCCGAAAAGAGAAGCATACGCAAGATACAAGAGTGCCCAAATCGCAATCAGTGTATACCGAATGTATTTCCCATCCATGTCGGGGCTGAACGAGCATGCTATGGAAGCGCAAAGAGAGATTCTAACGAAGACTCAGTACTGGCTCCGCCCGAGAAGTTCAAATAAAGGGAATACGGTACAACGTACCCGACAAAGCTAACGGTGTCATACACGATATGGAGATGATACAGTTGGAGGCTGTCAATCTGGGAAATGGCGGCTAGAAGCAATGAGATACCTGTGGTGAATTAGATTTCGAAATTCAAATCTTCATTATTCAAGAATGGAGAAGGTTCAAGTACATACCCGTCATGACTTGAACATCTCCACCTTGGAGAAGGATTTCGTTTGCGATTTTGAGCTGCTCCTGATATGGTGCAACTCCTTCGGATTTGCTTCTAGGGCCCACCCTCCACTCCAAATAAAACGAGTAAAACGAGGTTACAATTGCAATACCGGCCTGGATGCTGAATGACAAGATGATCTTCACTTTGATTTCAGCGTTCTCTCACATTTCATAAGGCTGAGCTCAGCTTACCCCAATTCCCGCTATATCGGGGTTTGCATCACCAACATCCACGCACTTAGCACCCATAGTAGAGGTTTCGAAATTACGTTGGGAACAGTTAGTGAACTGGTTTCGGTGGCAAGTTGAGCAGTATCATGGTAGATAGATTTGATATCTGTGAGCCTCGCAGGTGATGCGAATGTCTCAGTTCAGCCAGCCACACAAATGATGCGGATGGCCAGGAATAGCAACATCACGTGCTAACATCCTCTTCAATCTAATCCAGGGGCATCTTTGAAGAATAACGTTAGATATCGGGCTAGAAGAGTTGGACAATGTTTATACTTAAATGAGCCTTTCAAATCGTCTCATGACTGCACCAGTTTTACACACTCTCATGGCAAGGCCCGAATCTCCGAAGAAGAATGTCAGTTATCTGAGAGGAAAAGTTCCACAATGTCCGCACTACTACTAAACCTTTTTTGAAGTCCGACAATCGAGCGTAGTTTAAGGTGCATCGAAAAGTGGCGCCTTTGAGTACGGCAGATACCAAAATTCCCAAAATTCTATCTTAAGCTCCAGAATTCTTGGAGTTTGACTTATATTTGACCATTTCCCGGCTCCTCCGAGTGGTCAAACACCCATGGAAAAGACGCCCGATTTTCAGATTCAAAAAAAGTGAGTATGAATCTCCTAATATGTTTTTTATTGACTGTTCCACTTCGACACACTCTCTCGCCAGAACCCATTTGCCTGAACCCACTCCCAATCATCTTCAATCGGCTCAAGCTTCCACCTTCTCTCCGCCCACGGTATATCCCTCAACAGCAACTGCGCTCGACACCAATGAAGTGCTGACACAGTACTCAAATCCATCTTTGGAGGACTTCCAAGCAGAACCGGATCCGTAGTTCTAGCATACAACCCATTGAGCATGAGAACCCAAAGCCGTGGCGAGCAGGCAGATATTGTTTGGCTCTCGGTCGTGGAACCATACATTGCGCTCTTTAGTTGCGCAAGGATTTCTTCTACGTTGCGGGGCAGTGTATGTATGGCGGAAGGAGGAACGATGGCGACGTGGAGGTAGACCATTGCAGCGAGGAGCCATGATCGGAAGCCGAAGGATAATTTTTCTCTCGGATAGTTGGGACAAAGTTCTAGGAATTCTTCGATGTCTTGGCGAACTTGGTAGGTGTCGCTGTTTATGTAGGACGCGCTTTCGAATTGTGCTGCTGAGCTGGTGAGCCATTGAAACGAAGTGGTGACGGCATGACCGAGTGGAGTGTTTCGTGGTTCTTTTGAGGTGCTTTGTATGCTAATGGATGCCGTGATAGGACTGTCTTCGAGCGTTGGTTCTTCTGGAGCGCCTGCGACTGCAAGCGGACTGGTGATATCTGAGTCAGCGCAGAAAGTCAGCTCAGCAGAGACTCTCTTACTGTGCCAAGATATGCTGAACAAAGCGATGTATCCCAAGATCAGGCTTCGCGTATCGAAGCTTGAGAATCTGCTGTAATCCTTGTCGATGCATTGAAGCAGTTTCCTTTGATCCATATGAATCCTCTCGATTGTTAGCACAATCACACGAAGAGAGATGTGCTGTACTGACCTCGTATAAGATCAACGATGAAAGCGCTGCGATCATCTGGTCGCTCGTCTGCTCTGAAGGGTCGTCCAGGCTTGAATTTATAATTCGAATAGCTTCTCCTGCTAAGATTCAGCATTGCCATTCTTTGCAATATCCCAACACCTACCTCTATGATGAAATATATCCCTGTCATACTCATTCGAGTTGGTGAGCGCTTGCAGGTGTGACGCAGTAAACAAGATGATTGTATGAAGAAGTTCTGGTCTCGAAGTCTGAAACGAGAGAAGTTTGTCGCCATAAACCCAGACAGTCGCTAATATATTGTTGTCTAGTAGATTTGAATCAGCAAAAATGTCGCTTCCAAGGTCCGATCATTCACAGGAGACTATACTCACAATGAGAGAGCAGGAAGGAGACTCGGGGGTTGTTCAATTCGCCATGAACGTTGAAAGGATCATGCCTCCAAGTTCCTGCCACGAGGTTGCTGCGAACGTCGGCATTGTTTGGAATGTAAGGGCTTGGTATTCCTGTCTGTGGCAGTAGAATGGACGATGAATTTCGCGGGGACAATAGGGAGTCGAAGCTACCAGGCGCTTGGTAGTCACCATGTATCTCGTCGCCCTGCCATCTAAAATCTTGGGCTCGATCCACAGCGACTGACATTATTTCAATCCCTGGGATACTTTCTGGTGCACCGTCGACTCGACCATGGCCTTGGATATGGTGTAAATATCTTTGCGCTATTGATGAAGACTCCGCAGATTCTGTTGAATTACCATGTTGTCAGAGATCATCTCAATGCGTCTAGGGGTCATGGGCGTATAATAAGGGGAGCGGGGTACTCATACCATGATTTAGCGATAGTGCAGCGTTTGAGGGTGTGCTGTGCAGCTGGATTGGCAAGGCCAGGGAATCTTGCTCGTTGAGTTGGCTAGCCGAACTCGTATTATCAGCGGCATGATTATGAGAGGATTTAGAGAGCAACTGCTCCTTTCGGGATTTCTTCTCAAGCAGTGGTCGGGGTGATCTCGCTTGAAGGGTGGCTTTGATATGCCGTCTCTTTACGTCCACGTCTCTCCGCGCATGAGAGCGTACGACCCTTCGTAGATCAGACCCTGATGACTGTCGTAGTTTCTGTTGGTCGATGAACTGCAAGGGGAGACCTGAAGGTCGAATTGAAGGTGCTGGAGCTGTGTCTGATGCAGCTCTATTTATCATCAACCTTTTGATTGGTTGTGGCTGGGCCTTGATCGCAGTGGCGAGGCACAGTTCTTGTTCTGTACATGAGACCGGCAGGGCTGAAGCCAGTTCTTGATTACTCGTCTCATCTACCAAGCCGGCAGCAGTATGGCTGCTAGCTTCGGGAGGGATGGATCCTCCCGTTGAAGTGCGAATCATTCTCACCCAGCCTGTCGGCCTCCTTTGCGAGCTTAACCCTAGTGACTAGCTTATATCGAGAAAGCTATCCTCCAGCCTGTTTTTAGGCGCGCTCAAAGTGGCCAATCTCAAGCTTCATCGAAGCAGAGAAAAGTCCGTTCTCGATTTGTGCTTCTTGAGCTTCTGGCAATATCAGTTCAGGAAACAAACAAGAGCAACAATTATGCAGCAATCCGGCAATGCCTATTCTGCACCGTAAACAAACTGCGATAAGATTGCGATTTTTGTTTCTTCTCAACTGTTGCCACATCTAGTCAATGAAGGCAAGAAGCTCCCACTTTGCCGCTGTCGTGTAACTCTCGCTTACTAAGTCGATACCCCTGACGCCTATCTGCATCTTCTAAGCACCTTCATTGGATGGCACTCTTGCCAAATTGAGTCCTCGGCCTTTTATCCCCAAAATTGGTGACTCCGATACAAGTGAAGGCATGGTCACCACGATATCGCTTTTGTTGCATGTCGCAAATTCCGCTCCTCGAAACGAAGCAAGTCCCACAGATTTGGCAGAAGTTTGGAGTCTTCTTCTTGGCATTCAAAGTGTTTTTGTGTCGCTTTTTCATTCATGATAATAGCTTTGTTTGAAGTGCGCCCGTTTGTTTTGGGTTCCCGTTTATCAATAGACGTAATCTGTTAATTGTTTATCTTGGGAATTGCATGAAACATCTGCATAACGTCCTCCTAAAAAGGAGTAGCTTCAGTTACACTATTTTCAGACACACCGTCTCGGTCACGTGAACGCATGACTTTCTGAAATTCACGCTTCAATGTTAAGGTCAAGGTCAAATGAGACCAAGTCAAGCCCTAAGACCCCCAAGAGTCTATACCCTGCACCGTGCTCTGCTTTATTTTTTACTTGAAAGCTCCCAGTTGCTCAAATCACGTGGCATTGCATCATTCCAGGTTCTCAAGTCTCAATCCTCGAGAGAAGATCCATTGCTAAGTTGTGCTTCACGGCATTCCAAGGTCTCTACAGGTCTGCTGTGACTCCTCCCTTCAAATCCGGTGCTTGGGGTGCAATCCTTAGTCTGCAGTACAGGGTCTTGTTTTAGTTCTTCAACGCATCAACCCACTCCAGCGCAGTTGTCGGCTCAAGGCGATGAACATAATCAGGGTCGATGAAGGTGTTCCGAACAACACCACTCTTGTCAACCAATAGAGTAGCTGGAAGTGGAACGACAAGAGAATCATCTCCATTGCGCTCCTTGAAATTAATCCCGATTGTGTCGAAGACCGATCGCATATCGTTTGGCTGTTGGAAGGTGATCCCCAGCTTCTTAGCAAAGACGTTTCCAACATCAGACAACACAGTGAACTCTAGCTCATTCTTCTCAGTCGTGGAGAGAGAAGTATCAGGAAGCTCGGGGGTGATGGCAACCAGAGTGACTCCCTTTGCCTTGAAGTCTTCGAGATGTTTCTGAAGAGCTCGGAGTGCCAAGTTGCAGAATGGGCACCAATTTCCACGGTAGAAAGTGACTACCAACAAATTAGTAAGCACTCTTGACAGAGATCTAAAAGCCAAGGAGCTCATCTGAGAACTTAAAGCATATCTTCTATGATGAGCAGCTTTCGGCGACGACCCCAAAGGTCTCGAGCCTCGACTCCTAGGGAAGATACAAAACAAGGAAGGAGTCAACCTACTGAGGAGGGGCCCATTGGCGATCAGGCTTGCACTGTCGACCTCTTTGCCCGAAGCGTCGCTGAGACGGAATGAAGGAAGTTTGTCGCCAACTTTGATCGCGCCATTAGCATTGAAGGAGGCCACGAAGTCGCTGGTGGACTTCTTTATCGGACCTGTCAATGCTACTGGAGCGGTGGAGTGAAAGTCTGTGTAAACTGCATTTAGTTCAACGGCGAGACTCATGTTTGCGGTGGCTGGAAATGATTTTTGAGATGAGAGAAAAGCTGGCTGGTTTTGGTTGTCAAATATGTTGATTGTTGAAGATAATCGTTTGGATGATACCTGATTCTTTTTATGTTCTTGGTAGATCACTGAGTTTCAATGAAGGTCGGCAGCATTATCAATCCTCCTCGGGTATCCGATTCCGGATATACAACCTTGTGTATCCGATTCGGGAAGTCGCATTGACAACAAGCAAATGTTACCGAAATGCAAACAGCTTACTAGTTCGCTTTCACGACTCAATCCAAGACTCTATTGGTGCCCTCATTCTTAGCTAAGTATTTTCCCATGTCAAGGGATGTTTGCTTTGAAACTCGTTCATCCGAACTCGTCCGAATTGGTGCGATTGAGAATGATTCGTCGAGGTGCATATTTATTCACTGTCAGAGTTGTAATCGACTAGGTTCTCGTTGGAAATCAATGTAAGATTTCCAATCATCATGCCACTAGATTCTGTTCTTGAATCCATCTCGATTCATCCCCTTCGGCAATTACGGTTCGACCCCTTCGGCTCACCTAGTGGCTCGGTAATCTTGCTTACATCAGATTCCCTGATAGTATTTTCGCGTCGGCCGACCGCATTCCTCATCTCCATCAAATCTGTGATCTATCAGCACCATTATGAAACCTTGAATTGACATCAAGAGATAGTGTCTTCAATCCAGATACGTTTACTCGAGCCATGAATACGCCAAGCTCGGCGAGTGATCGTCCTCCAAAGCGTTTGCGCCTAGGCACCCGAAGCTGTGCTGAGTGCCGGAGACGCAAAGTACGATGCATTTTCGGCACTAACAAGGAGATCTGCAATGAATGTGCTTTACACGATGCTGAATGTGTACCACAGGGAGGAAAGAAGGTCACATCGGACCGCCAAGACAATCAGGAGGTCAACCAAAAGCTCGCGAATCTCGAGGAAATGGTTCGTCGGATATGCAATACTATGGATTTGAGTATGGAGTCGTCCAGTCAAACTCAAGTTGAGTTCAATACTGCAGAGGTACTGAGACGGATTCAAGCCGCATCTAGCCAAAGCGAGAACGGATCCGTCAGCGGGACAGACCTAACAGCCTCCTCAGACATTGGGTCCAGCACCATTTCCCATTCTACGACAGATCCATTTGCCGATGCGCCACTTCTCAATCTCTTCAAAGACGCAATGCTCATACAGGATCTAGATACTCTACCAAGGAGTGCACTAAAAACTCCGCGTGATAATCGATTCAAAAGCTGCATGAAAACATTCAGGCTACTTCTACCCAATGCAGACGATCTGAATACAATATTCACTACATCTCAACTCTTCTGGAAAATTTGGCAAAAGGGCCAAGGTCTAGTTTTCGACCCGGATCCTCAGAATTTCGATAGTGTTCGCTCAGCTACATCCTTCATTCACGGTTCGATGGATTCTGACAATCCCGCTCGAGTCGCGAAAGCCGTCCTATTCGTAGCATTCTGCATACAACAACTCCCAAATAACGTTGTAAACAATCATACGTTCCTTACTGCTGACCCAGAGGCACGGTCAGACTCGTACATCCTGTTGGCAGACATGCTTCTCTCGATTGGCGAAAACTCGATGCCGACAATCGACGGACTCGAGTGCTTAGACATACTAGCGAAGCTGTACATGAATATGGGCAAACCGCGAGAATCTTGGTTGAGTATACGACGGGCAATCAATCTGGCACTACTGCTTCGACTTCACGGCTCAAATGGTACAACGAAAGCTAGGGAGCGCAACATTTGGTCGCATCTCTGGGCCGGCGATCGTTATCTCTCCATGGTACTAGGTCTACCTTCTGCAACTACCGACTCATACCCTGGAATATCAAGGCCTCTTGCTGGTTCTTCTATTGCAGAAGGCATCATTTACGAAATAGCCATCATGGCAGGGAAGGTCAATGAGCGGAATCAGAACAGCGCAACGGCAGACTATGAGACCACGGTTCAGCTTGATCAACAATTGAGAAACTGTCTCCATCAGATTCCATCCGACTGGTGGAATGCTCAGCCGTCAGCATCGACGCCGATAGAAATGGTGTACGGCCTCCAGGTTCTCAAGCTCCAATTCTATATGCTTCAAAAAGTAATGCATCAACCTTACATGCTGAAATCATTCGAAGATAGCCAATATGAGCCAAGCAACTCCGCAGCCTGCGATGCTTCGAGAGAAATGATTTATGCCTACCAGACGCTACGGAACCACAACCAGATGGAATTGATCATCTGCGATCTCATGGACTTCCAAGTCTTCACCGCAGCGGTGGTGCTAGTCATCAAGCATCTTTGGGGCCCGACACCTTGCGCCTTTCGGGAGAAGGGGGACTGGGAATTAGTCCAAAGCGTCACGGCGAGTTTGAAGAAAGTTGCAAGCAGAATGGAATGCAACGTAGCTGGCCAAGCTTTTGAAATTCTGGAATACCTGACCACAGCGTACAGCGGCACATATTCAGGCCCCGGCCAATTCGAAGCCGTGATACCGTACTTTGGGAAAGTCAAGATCAATAGGATTCAGCCGAGGAATTCTGCGCCTCAGACGGAGCCTTTGGATTTTCCGACCGATGGGTTGATGGAGTTTCCGAGCACCATTGATCTCGCTACCAATTCTTTCGAGCCTTTGTTTTGGAATGAGTCTGTGGATTTCTTGTCTGGACCGGAGTTGGGTATTGATTGGACGTCGCTGATTGATGAGGGCGTGAATTATGATTGGAGTCAGCACTTTGATCCTACGCAGCTTGGTGGGCCAATTATTGGGGATGGTAGCACGTTTTTGTCAGTCTGATGAAGCAGTTTCGGCACTTTCGAAGAGGAACATTCAGCGATTCTTGAATTGTTTGAACTTGTTTCAGCTAAGCAAAGGGGATTCAATGAAAGCTAACAATTTTCATGTTCTCCTCCAGAGTCTACTCTCTAGCACTTCCACTTTGTTTACTTCTTGAATGGCCTAATAGGTTTCCCACCAATCGCCCAATCAAACGTCCCCAGGATACTCGTTAGCCACACAGACTGTGGACCCTCTGGAGTCTCGGAAGTGTCGTCCTCCTCGCCAAAGAGCGTGCCACTCAGGAACGTGTTTGGGAAGCCAAAATCAAATCGATTTACGCCATCAATCTTGGCAATATCCTCTTCAGTCAAATCAACCTTGAGCGCATCAATATTTCCCTTGATATGATCCACCTTTCTGCCTCCTACGATCGGGAAGACATAGGGCGCCTTCTGCATCACATATGCCATAGCGATGCTGGTAATTGTGGTCTTTTTGGTAGAACCAAGATCCTCCATGACTTTCGAGACTGCTCGCTCAACGGCCTTTGGCTTTCCTTTCCGGCCCGGGTTGTTCTTCTCGCGCTCCTTGAATGCAGCTTCGGTCTGGAAACGTCCTTGGCCGAGGGTTCCATATGGCAACAAGCCCATTCCTTCGTCCTTGCACATGGGGATGATGTCACGCTCGAAATCGCGCATGGATGCATTCCACATGCCTTGGTAGACGACGAACTGGCGAAGGCCGTGATCGCGAGCATTTTGAAACAACCCATGCAGGGGTGTCAGAGATACCCAGGTACAACACCTTCCCAGCGGCGACGAAGTCGTTGAGGCTGTGCATCAACTCTGGAATGGTGGACGCATAGTCCCACCAGTGAAGGTACAAGATATCGATGTACGACGTTTGCAACTGCTTGAGCGAATTATTGACAGAAACATGAAGAGACTTGGTGCCGTTGCCTCCGAAATTGGACTGGATCTTCTCCTTCTCGTGCTTGCGGTAGGCGCTGGAGAATTTCGTGGCGATGACCATCTCGTCGCGGCATTTTCGTGAAGTCAACCACTCGCCGAGCCATTGTTCAGATTCGCCGTCCTGGTAGCCATTCGCTGTGTCGATAAAGTTGCCTCCGAGCTTCTTGAAGGTGTCCAGGATCTCGAAGGAGGTTTCCTTGGTACATTCGCCCATGCGAGCTTTGTGGGCGTCGCCGAAGTTCATGGCGCCGAGACAGATGGGGGAGACTCGAACATTGGCAGTGGGAGCTAATTGACGATGACGAAACAGAGGAGACTCTGGTGGGGGAGGTGGGGGAGGTGGAGCAAATGGAGGAGCCATTGTCGAGTGTTGAAGCTGTTCTTGCTGTTGGAAATTGGTTTTGTGTGAGAAGAAGTTTGCGTGAGAAGATGAAGAGAGTAGAAAGATTCAAGGCGAATATAATGTTTCTCTTCCGTACCTGAGGGAAGGAGAGCATTTTAAACTCTAGGCCCACCGCGATTGCAAACATGCATGACGACGGCTTTCGACGGAATTTGGCTTCTTAATTCCGCCATCAATGATCATATCGTTACTGCAATGTCCTCATTGCCGTGTAACTTGGTGGAGTGATTGTTGGGTGAAAGTTGGGGAAATGTTTCGTCGGTGTTGACGAGTCGTGCGGCAGCATGCAGCTTGCTTACGCGCTAAGAGCTCAGTTCCTGGACTAAACTCCGCAATTTGGTGGCCTGAAGATATAATTCGCCACGGCCTATGACGCACATAAGCAAACTGCAGAAAGGTCCCCCCGATTAAGCGAAGATTAACCTTAAATAATTGTATTGAGTGGAGTTGAGAAGAGGCGTACGAGTCGATGATGGGATGTGGAAGCCGTCGGTGATATCCCAGAGCCAGAATGGACTTGAAGTTCACTCATGTGACGAGGTACCCGTGCCAGCGACAAAGTTTGAACACCTGCGTACATTAAACATGAAAGACATTAATTTATAGACAAGATGTCTTGTATCTTACTTCATGCTTCCACTGGGGTGCTATAGGCTTGCTAGGAAACTTCTCCTCTGACCCAATTCAAGATTCGATTCAAAGCGCAGTCACGTGCACATTCTCTTGTGAGCACATCCGCCAGAGGAACATCCTCGTAAAGAAAGGGCAAGCATCAGATACTCGTTATAGCCGGGTCTATGTTCTCGCCATAGTCTCTGATGTTGAGAGACAGGTCATAGCCTCAATCGGCAATCCTTATAACAGGCTCTCACATCATTCCTGCGCTTGGCTCTCTGCATAGCAGTCACATGTGCTGGGAGCAAGAGATATGAGGAGACTTAGTATCTTAACGACGATTCTTTATAAGTAATAAAGTGCTTTAGTGAAGGTCTCAAAGTGCTGACTGGGTCTGTTCTTATTTACGTGGCAAGTGATGGTCATGCGGCCGCTGTAAACAGCTTCAACCGCAACCGCAACCGCAACCTGGACTATTTATTTACGAAGATCTCCAGCTCCAGAAGAAACAACATCACCAGTAGGATCCTAATCACTCCAAAGCTCCAACCATGGCGGTGCTGCTATTGATAGCCTTCATAGAGCCAGAAATGTTGAGCCTTTGGCATCGAAGCATCGCGAAAAGCCCCCGGACCACGTAACCAAGGACAGCAATGATAAGGATGCAATTCCGATGCAATTGACAAACATACAAACGCTAGTGATTCTGACTTTCTAATGTTCATCCTACTCGGCAAGGCGAATCTTCGTGTGGATGCGTACAAAACGCGCTCATCTTCATTGTTTACCTTTAGCTTCCCTAAACACACCTCGCTTTTGACTTGCGCTAACCCCTCACCAACACAGCCTTATAATTTTAAATAAGCAAAACCCTTCCATCAACCCTTCTTCAGCCCTAGCTGAATGGTAACTGCTCACAGTTACCAGCCCAAAGTCTTCCGCAGCAGCGGCTCCTGGCATCAACAGTACATACCGCGCGGTATAATCGCATGGGAACGGGGAGGTTCCACCGGGGGCGCCACATGCGCCGCGCTGTCACTGTTGTGGGATGGAGAGGGGACTACTGTGAGGACTGTGTGTTGCGCGGAAGGCCAGTGCGACCTCAGAACTCTGTAGGAAGACTATAGGACACCTATTTTTTTTTGGCAATTCTTTTTTGTATGTTGGATTAAGCGACGGGGCTTTCATATACTTCTCGCTAAGAGTGCTGTTTACGTAGCTCGGTTGAGGCAGATTTGAACGACGAAGCCAATATAAACAACAGCTCCGTGGAAGCATACCTCTTCAAATGAGCCTTGAACGTAGAACGCATTATGAGATCACATTATGCCTTTAGGTTACAATGTACCGAGAGGTAATTAATTCGACTTGCTTTCACTTTCTAAAAAAAAATAAGGCCGACCGTACATGGCTATCCGCGCATTTCGCGCTATTTGCGCTACTCGCGCAATGTGCGCGTTCCGCGCGGGATGCCGAACAGACTTTGAAGTTCCTCAACAGAGACTCGCCACAGTACAGTGCAAGCCTCGGTCTCATGAGATTATCGTTATAGACGAATGGGGCTGGATGTCAATCAAGCTTTCTGAATCGGTTCACCTTTGACTCAGTGTCCTTGCAGTCCAGGAAAGCCCACTTGATTCCTCAATAATGTATCTTTCGTGTACAATGCAACAATCAGGTTATGCAGGCAAGACTTCTTAACAACCAGGTTGGCTATCGTCGACAGAATATCAGATTAGAGACACTTGGCGAGCAGGGGTGACAGTGGAGCTTCAGCCTTAGGGATAAAGTCCTAAAGTTGATTCAATATCTTAGAGGCTGGCTTTGAAATGAAAAGGTCGTCCCATTCGTGCAGTGTCTATATCCAACTTCATCAATCCCGCAGGCAATTTGTATAAACATCCAACCATACCAGTTTTCAACTACCCTAGTTTTGCTCCACTTGCTCTTTCTCCTCTCTCCCCGCTCGAAGATGAAGCTTCACAAACAAAGGCGGCTTCTGAAAGACCGTGAAAACCTTCTGCCCTTCCATCCAAGATGTACACTCAGGCATGATCTCGATCTCAAAATTCCAAGCCATTTTCGCCATGGCCAAGCGAATCTCAGCGTAGGCGAGATTTTTACCGATGCAGTTCCTTGGACCATAGGAGAATGGTTGCATGCAAGCTTGATTATCGTTTGCAAACTGAGGTTCGTAATAGGCATGAGATTGTGGTAGCCAGCGCTCTGGAATGAAGTTATCGGCCATGGCGAAGTTAGAGTTCCGGTGGTAGGTGGACCATTGATGGATCCAGATTTTGGTCTAAATTTTGGTCAATTAGCTTTCAACATGTCATGAGAGGGGTGGAATAAGAAGTGACTTACGCCTTCAGGAATATAATTTCCATCAATGTTCGCACCTGGGGATATGCGCGGTGGGGTCAAGGCGGCTGGAGGATACATTCTTAAACCTTCCTCGATGCATGCATGCAAGTATGGTAAGGCCGAGGCAGCACGCATAGTGATATCCTTCTCAGAGCTGAAACTCTCTCGAATCTCCGTCGTCAGTCTCTGCCAAGCGGCGGGGTTGTGACCCAAGAAGTACGTCAGTCCTGAAAGAAGCGTGGCGGTGGTTTCACTTCCAGCAACGATGAATGATTCTGAGTTTCCCATGATCTCTGGGTGGCTCATTCCTTTCTCATCGTTGTGTCGAAGGATGTAGCTTAAGAAGTCCTTGCGTGGCAGGTTCTTCCCAAGTGCAAGACGTCTTTCAAGTTTCTCGCCAGTGTAATCCATGCTCTTTTTGACTTGATCCTGTGCGCTTTTGGTGATGATGAGTCGAAGCAGGGGCTTCAAAAGAGGGTACTCAGCGAAGATTCTAAGTTGACTGGAAGCCTTGACGAAGATGTAGATCATACTGATCCAAGCGTTCATGGTAGAGGTTTGCAGGCAATCGAACGGATCTCCAAAGGCAAGGTCGCCGATGAGATCAAATGTGAGAAAGTTGAAGAACTTGACCATGTCCAATACTTTGCCTAGAGCAGCGTTCTCTCTGAATCGTGTCATCAGAAGATCAACGTATGTCTGGATCAATTCTTCTTGTTCCGTGAGAGCTGCATCCGAGAAGGCGTGCGCAATAAGTCGTCTTTGGCGTCGGTGATCCTCCCTGCTGGCAGTGAAAATATCATGGACGCCACTACCGTTAACACCTTGACCACTTTCCAATGGACGATAAAACAGCCTATCTTTCTTGAACTCTAGCTCCCCGGCTTTTTTATGGCCATAAGCTTCCGTCCATCCAATGGAACCATCGATTGATAACTCATTTGGAGCTACACGAACAATGTTTCCATGCTGATCATGCAGAGCTCGAATGTCCTTGTAGAATGTCCCGGTCACGTTCTGGTAATACATTTGTGGCAAACCGGATATAGCGAGATGCTTGGGTCCTGGATATTTCGACAGAGGGTGGAAGTAAAGCCGGTAAACGATGACGCCAAATCTATAGAGCAAGCACTAAAAAGGTCAGCGTGAACGATCAAGTGATGTACGCGAGAGATGGGGTATATGTTGTTTACTCACGACACCGATGCTTGCCGAAATGGCCTGTGCGATCGACAGAGAAGCCATGTTTTCTGTAATCTCAAGTACAAGTAGAAACTGATGACCTCTCCTAACTTGAGAGAGAGACCTATAAGCTATATATCGTTCCTTCAAGTGACACAATATCCACCTGTCATGTATCCGAAGACCAATGTTGTGCATTCACAACCTGATACAAGGGTCAAGATCTCCATTTCGTCGGTCCGGACCATAACCCACCGCCGACTTCTATCAAGAATTATGAAGCTCTCAGAATATCCTTGGCATGCAGACTTGTGCAGGAGTCATGATAACCGATGTGACCCCTGCCGGCAGTTGTCAAAAACAATTGCAACCCATGTCTCCTCCAACGGATCCGGGCATCCCCGCACAAACATGCATTCATCTGCCATATCACTCGATCATTTACTGGTCAATATCCATACCAAACTTGTCAAGCGGTCCGGCCGAAGCCGTCGGAAGAGCACTCATGTGCATCATGCATTAGCTGAGACAATCGTACTCGCGTAACGCGGCTGCATGATGCAGACGAGTCCCTGCCGTGAGCAATTTATGTTGTTGACTTTTGGGAGTACATGAAAGTCGACTCATAATGGGTAGAGAGTGACGTTGCTGCAGAGGACTTTCATGCATGCGCAATTGGCAAGACCCAGGATCACGACAAATCAATTCAGCAGGATGACCAGCCTTGAAAATTGGTTGCAGGGAGATTGAAAGGTGGGGGTTCTAACTTAGGCGAAGTAATGTTTTTGAAGAAATCCAGGTAAAAGTGAGTGTAGAGCGTGGGTGCTAGACCAGTCCGAAGGAAATAGCGTTCAAGTGTGACTTAAAGGCCGTGCAATCCCTGCCCGGCACTTGCTTTCAGAGCTTTAAACGCCGGGAGTTTATGGCAAATGGGATTTGTCTCCAAGATACTTCTAAGGGGTTACTTCTAAGTAAAGATGTTAATGTTATCAACTTGCCAAATCCAAAGCCCCTCTTGAGCTCAGCAATGTGTGAAGGCAACAGTTCTGAGTGGTACTCTGCAGCACTTGACTTTCATTCTGTTGTTTAGATCTGACCAAGTTCCTCCAAAATGGTCTCCCCTGTCTACACAGCGCTCATGGCTAAACTTATCCCCCATGCTCCTTCTCATAATCGCTAGCGGTTTCTTTTTTGCTTTCGTGTCACGAGGCACGGCACGGCGATGAAATAGACGTGAAAATGTCCAGAAACGACTGATACAGTTCAAATCGATGATGCGATGTGGTTTCGCGAGTCAAATTATGATTGGGCATGCGATGCACTACTGACATGTCTCAAGCAGCAGCAATGAAGGCTTGATCTCGCTTGATTTTACGCGGAGGATGTCACTTAGGAAACTGAAATGTTATGTGAGTTCGGTACTTGAGAGTTGAAGTGAATTCAGTATGACCTTCATTGTCGAGACTCGTGCTGTCCTGTCCTTCTCTCCTCATTGCTTATCTCTACACATACTTAAGCACTTTGCTTCCAACCACTTCGCAAACCGAACACTAGGAACATCAACCCATCTCTCAACTTGCCCTGCTACAGCAAAAACAAGCAGCGTAAAGACAAAATACCAAACCCCACAGACCGCCCAATACAACAACGTATTTGCATGCGGTTGCAATCCCGCAACGCGCATCAAAAACTCTTGGAATTTCAAACCAAAGAGCACGAGGGAAAATAAATGGACCAAATAGAGCGAAAACGAGATTTTGCCAAGGTACTGGCAGAAATATGTCTCGAAAATACTTCGAAGGCGAGGAAGTTGCGAAATGGACAGCAGCAGCGCGACTCCAGAAATCGACCACCAGAAGCGAGAGTGGTCCTGCATGTACAGCGCTGTCGGAGTAAGTGACCTGAGAATCTCGAATCCTGGCATGGGCTTGAGATGTGCCTCTCCAACCATCAGTGTCGGAAATCCTGCGACGTAAAATGCAGTCGCGAATACCGCCGTCCATGCAATTCCCCGAATTCGCGGCATAGTTGATGAGACTGTCCCGTTCTCTTCTTGACTCAGGTTGAAGTCCGCTATCAGCATACCTGATAAGAAGCAGAAGATGTTCCAGCTCCCCATAGACATGCTGGAGATGGAGAGCAGCGCTACGAGTCCCATTCGCGCCCCATCGTTTGGGATCCATACCAGGATGAGCAATAAAATGTAACATACAAACGAGCCATAAAATTCCAACGGGATCGTCCACACCACGGCATCGTATTTCGGATGGGTGATGAATCCTTGCATCGCACGCTTGAAGTTGTAAATAGGACTTATCAGATGATATGTTTCCGAAATCCAATCCACGAACTGAGCGAAGAAGCTCGATTCCGGCACAAAAGTAAAATTGTACCCCGGCACAAATCCGCAGCGCGTTGACAGCATTTCGCAAAACGTCAGAAGAACCGGCGGGAGATATAATCTAAATCCACGACGGAACATCGAGGAAGCCACAGCTGGGGGAACTCGATGCGCTGAGCCGGCTCGCATCCAGCGGAGAGACCTGTGCGTGAGTACATAGCCGGAGATGACGAAAAAGAGGGAGACGGCCGCTCCTCCAGAGACGAAAAATGTTCGAAGAATAGGCAATTGGAGGATGTTATTTTGGTCTGCATCTGCATGCCAAGCAGGAACGATGCGTGCCCAGCAGCCCATTGCGTGGAACATGTATACTCCCAGAGCGGCGACTCCTCGCACGCCGTCTAGCCATGATGTCGATTTTATGGTGAGCGATCCTGGTGCTGGGTAGCGTAGGAACTTGTGTAATACTGTAGCCTCCTCTTTCTGTGGAGGAAAAGACTGAGAAGAATGGTCCGATGTGGGCGTGAAGATGATGCCAAGATGTGTTCGGGTATTCGCTTCGATATCGACCAGTTCCTCCTGTCCCATCACCTTCTCCTCGTCGATCGAAAGCATCGTTTTAGTGCGCATTCTGGAGAATTTCCGACTCAATTCTCCATGAAAATGAAGTTATAGAATGGATTGAATTCCATGCCAGAATTTGAATGTTCTTCACTCGAGGTCAATTAAGTTCCTTTTGGGTGAGGATCCCCGCTTTGACACAGGCTATCAAAGCTTCCTGGTCAAACGGACTAAGAGCTCGCAAAGGGATAAAACAATCGCTTCGCGAAACTAAACACTATCTCGTCTTAGATTGTATCAGAGGTTCCGAGAGTAAAGTATATGATTCGACGCTCTTTGTGACAGCCTGGGTTGTCCTTGACTTCGCCGGCACTTGATCGCAAATCAACGGTCGACATGAAACGGGAATCTTGCGGCTTACTGGGAGTGACCTTTTGTCCTAGAGGAAGTAGAAACAATTATATAGGAAAATGAGGTTCTGGGTTGGTCTTCCAAAACTCGGCCACCATCGCGGTCACGTGAAACAGTCGTTCTTGGAGACACTTGACAAGCAAACACAGTTTCTTCTAGATGCAAAACTTCGCTCCTCTTGCTCAATCACTGGTATGAATATCGGACGACCGTCCCTTAGGCCGCGGCAATGACCACTTGCAATAGCCTTGAGCTCGTGTTTCGCCATCACGTGAGTATTGTCCCGCCCCTTGTTCACTGCGGGATGTTTGGAAGGCTCTTCATTATATTACTATTACCAACTGAGCGACATATATGCGTTGTTAGAAAGGAGGATAGCATGGTGGGAGAAGCCCTTCCTTATATACAGATCCAGTAGCAGGCGACTAGAGGAAGGAGGTACGTGCTCCACTACACTAGAGCCTATAAGTTCTTTCTTTACACTTCCGGGCCATCCAGCCTATTGAGGAATGACATTCGCAATGTACGTCGGGAAACCATCATAGCCAGCCGTACTATAAAAGAACGACTGCTGACTCGCATAATATGTGAACGAAGTGGCAGTCTTATACGAGCAAGTCAACGTCAAATCCGAATTGACCGCACAAGACAGGGGCGTGAAATACTGCGTATGGGCATCGAACCACGTGTGTCGCAGACCTTCCATATAGTAGTTTGAAATGGAGCTATAGGCACATGCAATTTCGGGATCTGCGGCTGTGGTCACGAGACGGTTCAACGTGTCGATTGTGAAGACTGAGGCTTGGGTGATGTCGGTTGTGCTTTTGTAGGCTAGAGCATCGCCCACCAGGACTTCCATGTAGAGTGTAGTCCCACCGCCTACGGGTACCATTGCTAGCTTGAAGTTCGGGACAGGGGCGGAGACGGTTTGTACGGCACCGGAAGTTGCGACGGTGACGGTTTGGTAAACGAAGATGGTGCTAGGTGTTGCTGTTTGAGTTGTGTAGGCTGTCTGGATGCTGGTGGAAACGGCGGGGAGGGTGATGAAAGAACTCTGTGTGGTAGAAGTCACAATTGTCTCGAACGTTGTGAATGAGAGGTCTAACTCCGTGCTTGATCTCTCTGTGAGTGTCGATATAGAGGTTGATGAGATTGTGACAAAGATGGTGCTCGCTGGTAAGGTGGTCGAGATAGTTGAAGTCGTTTGCGGAACACCAGCATATGAGCATGCTGCCTGCAAGGTTCCAAGTCAGCAAAATAATTCTTGGAGATGTCACAGGACTGAAATGATTAAAAGGTAGAAGGACTTTCAACATACAACATATTCTGCCCAGTTCGTGCAAGCGGAAGCATACGCAGGGATCGTCAAAGATGCCGTGATTGTTGAAGACGCATCACGCTCTTCAATCTCGCAGTCTTCGAACTCGGTGTCTTCGAGATCACGCTTGGCCACTGCAGCAGCAGTCGGATAGTATGATGTGACGGTGGAAACTGAACTGGATGTGACCGTTATCACAGAAGTTGCGGTGATCACTGGAGGAGTGGTCGTTGTAGGGACGGTTAAAGACTCAATTTCGATGGATGTCGAATATGCAGTTGAAACGTATTGGTCCACTTCGGTTGATAGGATTGTGGAAGTGCCAGTCGTGCTTTCGGCATCGGTCTCAATGGATGTGGCTACTGCAGTCGATTGAACGTCGACTCCTTGAGTGAGTGTGCTGCAGATCGTTAGCGGGGTAAAGCCTTTTTAAGCTGGTAAACTTACGTGGCTAGAGGAGTTACAGTGACAGTGGTATATGATATGACGTTTGATGAACAATCTGCTCTAGCACTTGACATGAACGCTGTCCCTTTGGCAGTTCCCGCGACCGCTCGTCCTATTGAAGTCAGTATTGGAGGATTCAAAGAATGCGTAATACTTACCACAATTATTATTAGCGACATTTCGAGGCTGCATGACCGATGCTGAAGAGCCCACAGCAAGAGCTGCTAGCGAGGAGAGAATTAAGGATCTCATCTTTCCAACTTAGAGTAAAGAGTGAACGAGTATATTAGTATATGGAAAGAAATTATCAAGATGTCAGAGACAACTAAAGGAAAGAATCAGAAAGACTCGGAAAGGACTGAATGATTAAGGACAGATGCTGTCGGCAAAACGAACCTGACAACATCTTATATATGTAGTTTAAAGGCATTTCCAACGTTCGTCCAGCAGGCAATCGGAAACACCTAATTGTGGGTATACTAGATCTCAGCTGCAAAAGAAATGTGGCGTACAGCCTCGACGGCTTGGCGGCGCCGCAAGCAGAAGATGTGGCTTCGAAAGGGAGCTGGATCCAGCTAGCGGACGGATACACATGCCAGGAAAAGCTTCAATGGTGATTTTGGCGCCCTACGAGACCGGAATAAGCACTCAGTAGTTGAAAAGCCGTATGTGCTTCGACCAATCGAAATTTATTATGGTGGGGACCAGATTGAGCGGGGCATATTTCTCTTCTACGAAGAATTAGATGAGGGCAACAGATTTCGAAAGTGCAAGTCGACGCCGCTGGCCCTTGGCTCAAAGCACCAAGCACTGTACTTCGAGCACAACATTCAACGACATGAAACATGATGGACTTCATAGAAATTGGATGCAAGATTTGCATACACCAGAATTGAAAATCTCTTCTCGGAAATGGCGGTTCTAGAAAAGGACAAGTTCACGGACCAAAGCGGGGCGAACCACGCGGGCCGGAGGAGACTTGTTCAGCCGCAATATTGGCTTTTGGCGATTGGTGCAAAATTTGCAAGAATTGTTTAGAGAAGTGAGAACAAGTTCATTCTAATCTCGAAAAGGATTTTATAAGAGAGAGCGGGAGTTTCCTTCCGGGAAACGTTCGAAGGAAAAAGAGCAGTGCACGTGATAGAGAAAGTGGATTTCATCAAGAACGAGGAAACTTCAAGCTTGCATGGCTCTTCTTCGCTGGAAAGAGATACGCTGGCATTGCAGATTAGATGGTGATATTCAAGCTCGTTCGCTGCGCAAATGAGGAGATACTTGGTAATTTCACACTTCTGGTCTGGCACGAGGCTTCATCGTAAAGACTTGATGACGGTTTAGTACCATCTGGTCCGCTCACAGAGCTGATGAATATCGTTAAGACACTCGAGGTCCACAGAACGAAATGTTCGCAATCGATGTGATGAAGTATTGTGTTTGATGAAAGCAGACGAAGTAACTGAGCAAAGTCAGAATACGGACGCCATGAAAATCTTCGTTGATTTGGGCTTCCGTAGCCCGGCGGCCCGCGCCGAGAAAAAGAATTTGCCGATTCTTGGCCACAACATCACGGTGATTATCTATCTACTCATCAACGATTGAAAAACATACTCACATATTGACAAAGCTCCTATAACTCCTCCGAATGCATTATATGGCTGCTCTATTCGACGATTCATGCTCAGCTGAAGTTGCACTGAAAGATAAGATCTAGTGAGAATGGCTTTTAGTGACGAGCCGAACCAGCCACTATGGTTCTGAGCGGGACAAGATGGGGAATGCCTGCAGTAGATCATTTAGCAGAGAGCTATCTCATTCGTGGGCACAACGCCGTGTCTCAATTGCTGTCCAGGTGGAGTGCTGGTACAAGTCAAGTCCAGCCACTGACATGAGTGGAATCTGCGATCTCTACGATGACTAGGAATTCCTCCGTATTTCAGTGGCTTGGTTTCATTATGAGCTGCAGTAAGTGAATGCACCTTTACTGATCTAACGCAATCAGAAATGGTGAATGTGATACAGCAGTTCGAGTTACACCCTCACATGCAGCAGACTCTTAGCGGTGAACTTCAAATGAACTTCATCTCTTCATCTTTGACAAGTATTCCGACAGCCAAACTCCTTGACTGCGTACAAAATGGCGATCTTAAGCAAGATATCCAGCGCTTTCATCAACGTGTTCGTCCTAACTTGGGATTTCGGGCTCTTCATTCTCAATCTCCTCACCTTCTCGCATAAGCCAGGCCACGTTGTTCCTCCTCATGCCGCTGGACATGGTCTCACGTGGCCTGAGTATGTTCCTCCAAAAGAAGGCGATTCAAGATCAGCTTGCCCCATGCTTAATGCGATGGTACGTCGAATCATATCCATGATCACTGCGCCCTGTTCAAAGCGAGTCCTTCATGAGCTTTTCACCCTACCTATGAGGAAGTGTATCTGGATCTACTGCAGGAGCTTGCAATCCTTGAAACCTTTTCGATATAACATGTTGATTGGCGAAATAGGCAAATCACGGCATCCTCCCACACGACGGCAAGAACATCACATTCAAAGAACTCAATACCAAAGTCCGCCAAACCTTCAACTTCGCTCCATCATTCTGCTTCTTCGTGCCCAAATTCTCAGCCGACTTCCTGAATCGTTCGTACTGGAGCGGTCACTTTGATCTTGCCGAACTCAGCTTGCACAACGCCATCGAGCACGACGCCAGTCTCACCCGCCACGACGCAGCCCTTGTTCCAGACCAAGGAAAGCCCGATTCGCAGCTTGTGGATGATCTGCTGAAAGAAGCTACTGGCAAGATGCCTGATGGCTCTCCGCTTCTGACTATTCCCGATCTTTCCCGTGCTCTGTCTAAACGGAGGATTGATGCGAGGAAGACGAATGCAGCTTATTCTGAGAATCTTTTTCACAATATGTTTGGAAGCGCTAAGTACGTTTTCTTCCAGACTTTTTGGGTCGCTTGATAATGAACTATTAGCTCGTCAACGATGTTGACTATTTTTGGTGGCCGGATTAATGATCTGAAACCTATGCTCGCTGAAGAACGGTTCCCTGAGGATTGGGAACCTAGGATCCTTGCTCGGTATGGTCTCACGATGGCGAAGTTCAACGGGACGGTCCTTCCGGTTGAGTTTGGTGTGAAGACCAAGGTTGCAAAGCAGTGATCCAAAGCAGTGATCATGGGCGGGAATGCAGTGGTACGGCGGATTAACAGATCTAAATTGCCAAGGCAGTTCAGCGTGCGTGCTGGTGTTTTGCCTTTTCCCCGGGGCGACTACGAACTTGGCTTTCCGCAATAATGACATAATGAGAGTTATGAATGTTATCAACTCGTTTACGTGTGACTAACTTCGACTTGGGGCCGGGTTCCCAAAGTTCCGGGCGTGACGCTTCATCTCGAGATTCTTTCAGCGCGTCAATTGCTCATCAGGAGTGAATTGATTGAGAAGCAACAATAGAGTCAGGCCCCCCTCCTCCGACAATCTCTCTAGGTCTATGAACGAAAAGAGCCCTCACTCAAGTAACTCTAATGACTACCTTCGAAAAGTGCTTCTGCTCCTCCAAGTACATAAGCGCCTCCTCTAGTTCTCCTAACCCAAACACCTTCTCATCAAACACAGGTCTGACATCATTCTCCTCAATGAACTTCACCATGTCATTGAATTGATCTCGTGTCCCCAAGAAGAGGCCTCTCACGCTACATACTCTCCAGAGCGCATCCATGATGTCTGGCTTCTCTTCTCCAGCTTCTCCTAGGACGCCAGTCAGAGCGATAGTCCCGTTGACGGCTACGGCTTTGAAGGATTCGGAGAGGGTAGAGAGACCGCCGACGTCCACTATGTTGTAGAAACCTTCGCCATTTGGAGACAACGATTTTGAAACCTCGCCCCAGTTGGGAGATGTGCGGTAGTTGATGGTGTTCGCGGCGCCGAGGGATTTGAGACGAGCGGCTTTGGCGTCACTGCTTGTGGTCGAGATTACAGTGGCACCTGCGGCATTGGCAAACTAAGCATCATCAGTTCCTGGGTCCTTGCCACGGAGCGGAGAGCTTACCTGTAGCGCAGCAACACTCACTCCTCCCGTACCCTGCGTCAACACTGCCTTGCCATTCAAGCTTTCCACGCCACGGTCCCCGAACAAAGCATTCCAAGCCGTCAGCCCACTGCACGTCAAAGTTGCAGCCTCCTCGAATGACAGGTTCTTGGGCATACGTATCAGTGTGTCTTCATGAAACACACCGTACTGTCGTAAAGTTCCATGGTGTGCTTGCCCGAGCCCAGCAAAGATATCCACGGCCGCGGGGAAGCGTGAAGCTGCGATGGAGGGGACGAGATGAGTTATCACTTGGTCACCGACGGAGAATGAAGTCACGGATGTTCCAACAGCGATCACAATTCCAGCACCATCGGAGCCAGGGACTATGTTCGGAGCGGTAGTGAGGTGTTTCCCGCCCTGCTTACATTAGTGGGGGTTAACATTCTAGATCGAATTGTTGAAGCTAAGCTCTTGAAGACCAAAGTCCGTGGTTCCACTTCTTTACTTACTTTGATGAGCATCAGATCACGGTAATTGAGCGATGCCGCGTGGATTTTGCAAAGGACTTCATGCTCGGATAGTGATTCTGGGAGTTCTGCTTCGCTGAAGTCCAAACCGCCAATGCCGGTCTGCGTCCGAATTGTCCACTGTTTGAAGGTTTTGAGTGCCATAACTCTTTTCGAATTCAATGTATGCTGTGCAAAAAGATTCGAAGTCAATGTTTGCTTGACTTTTTCAATTATTAATCATCGGATTTAATGCTTGGAATTAACGTTCTATTTAATAGGGGTAGTAGGGTATACTGTTAAGCGAGTCCGAATGGCCCGGACGGCCCGGCCGGGACGGGATGGGGCCTTGAAATTCGAATCTACACAGAGGTGTTCTCCGAATAGAAAGTATAAGCCGGCATCTCTCTGTCACTATACTGGAACCTCCGTATACTCCAGAGCCGAGTATCACCAACCGACTTATAGGAGCTATGCAACCAAATCCTACCGACAACCTCATCAAGGTCGTAGAGCAGGAACCCGAAGATGTATACGTTGGTTGGAAGGCTCTTCTGGCTCGTTCTCACCAGCAATCTGAGGCAGGTGAAGGATCAGCAGTGGAGTATCCTTGGACTATAAGCTAGATGACTATTTGAAAGCAAGATGAGCTTTATGTCAAGTCACGCGAAAGCAGCATCCTTCTTTTCGCTGCCGAGCATCAATGCTTACCTACCTGTAGTAACAGAGAAGAGTCATCTGGGAACCATCAAAGAATCTTCATTCAAAATGCTAAGTTGCTCCCCAAGATTGAGAGTTTAAATTCGGGTACCATTTGCCATCGTTTCTTGACTGAGATGGGACGTTGCAGGATGCATTCACATGACTACGATTTCAGAGGATGAGGAGCATCCTAGATGCGCATTTTCGATCAAAGAAGGTCATTTTCAACTTTAGTCTAGATGTGTTTGAGTAACGTAGCACGTACAAGTTTAAACTTTAAGAAAGGAATGCAGCTTCGAACGGTGTTTACGTGATGGGAATAATCCTCGGGCAGTCACCACGGCCTTTCCGACCAGAATATCAAACTTGTTGAGAAATGGATTCAACACTGCAAGAATTGCTATTCAATCTGTTGAAGATAGCAGAATGCATTGATGCCCTCGCGCCTCTTGGAAATTCAATTGTCAGATCTTCTACTACTGGGTGTATTTGATCGGCATGAAGAAAGCCACCCCGAGCATGGCATATGCGACTCTCTCATACGTTCGGGAATCTGCATACCAGACAGCGACATCTCTACGGACATTCAACAAATATCAACAAATTGAAGCTAGGCATTCAAATTGATCGGCTACGCAAAACTCTCACTGATGCTGTGTTAGTCTGCCGTCAACTGATCATCCAGTACTTATGGGCTGATGCACTTTTTATCATACAAAACTTATCCTCAGATGTCCAAAATGAGATTTCGCATATGGATCAGGTGTACCGACATGTAGAATTCGCGGTTGCTGTGTATGTATTATTTTTCGTCCTTAGTATTTCACGTGCTAACGGACACTCGGAACATGGTAGATCTCAAAGTTTGATTTATGAATCAGCTTTACCGGTTGTCATTGATTTCAGGAACAGCATTAGTAACAATTAATTTTTCATTTCAGGGATTATTGCTAGATGTAGGGGGAAAAGAATTAAGTGATCGATGGTCCTCGCATGAAGGTCAGTCTCCCTACAGATCCTTGCTCTTCGCTCTCGCAAAGCTATCTCAGTTTCTGCATGTCAGGTGAAGACGCAGATCACATTCGTAGGAATCGGGAAATTTAGTAAGACGCTGTTCAATCCTACATTCAAATGTGGGGAAAAGTGCCTGAAAACCCCGGATCGAAGTGAGATTTATGCGCCTAAGTGGCACAGCTTGGGAGCTCTCAGGCACCATCTTACTACGGACGTATTCGTTTGAGGCTTTTACCAGATTTTATTCTTCCAATGACTGCGAGGGAAAAGCAGAGTCAATTGCTGATGCAGAAGCGAGGCTGACGATGACTGTAAGACCTTGATGTCACTATGTGGATTTTCATCCACAAAGTCGTAAGACGCAAGAACGGATAATATAACCCTGATCTAGCTGTGTCCACTCATGCCAAGACGTTCAGGTTTGCGCCTCAGTACAACGTACTACCCTTCAGCACTAATCTCACCCTTTCCATACTTTGGCAATACATTCTGAAACTATAGAAATGAATTGTCAAATCGCTTGCCTTCACTGACACAGGAGATCCACTTTCAAGGGGAATAGGATCAAACAAAGAGGACGTGTCTATGAGAAAGGAAGCTGTGGCAAGACAATGAACAATCTGGAAATGCCTCAGGGCAGTTGCAAGGGTTTGCAAACTGTATAAATACAACTCTCCAGCCTTCTTCCAAAGTCCATCGCATTCAAATCATTCTTGCCTCCCAATTACAACAATATACTTCTGCTGCGTTTTCAATCTATCCATCAACTCGCCAAATTACCTTCACCATGCAATTCAGCTCCGTTCTTTCTATCGTCGCCTTGATGGCAGCAGCTGTCACTGCCCAGAACAATATCGGTGGTTCATGTAGCCCTGATGGGAGCTACAACGTACGTTTATTTCTGTCCATGTTCTTGAATTCATTCTAGGAGCCGAATTCTTCCGAACTATCCTCGAGAACTGAGCATGAAAGATGTGTTTGAATTTTTTGGATGAGATCTTTGACTCTCACATTCCTGTTGAAGGTATATACTGATCTGTCTACAGTGCTGCAGTGACTTCCAGAGCATCTGTGTATGTAGCGGGGGTGCTTGGGTATTCGCTGCCAGCTGCCCTGAATCTTCTTGCGCTCTTCCAGCTGGTGCTACTGCTCCATTCTGCTCCGTCTGAAGGAGCACTCAAATCAAGAAATGAGGTACTAGCTTTCCTATCTTCGAGACTGCTTTCTATCCTTGGCGATAAAAGTCCTTGATCCCGTGTTGACAGTGTCAGAAGCATCAAGATGGACCTATCTCATCGTCAAGAGCAGAACTGGTTCTGCTATCGGTCGGTTCTCTGGTAGCTCTAGTGTATGTGAGAATGTATGGGATGTTAGAGGAATATCGGCAGTCGCTCGTTTTAAATAAGAAAATGAAGTTCAGATAGAAATAAATCTGGATTTTCAACCTGCTTGACACGTTTCTCTCAGAAAATCTCCAAAAACACTTAAAGCAAGACTCAAACCCGACATTTGCACCTCTTTGACAACATGGCCGACTCACTCGAGCTGTCACAAACTTCAATTCATGTCAAAGATGCTTCATAGTGGCGACAGAAGACGATGTACTTAAATGACATCCGTTCATCTACGGACCATTTCGGCAATCTCGGCAACTAAGCTCATAGTCCAGTGGCCAATTCCATGAGCCTTCAAGGATCAACTAAGCTAAGGGTAGTAGCCGAGGACTCTATAAATATCTACCGAGCACTGCCGATCACTTCTACCCGGACCGGACATCCAATCATCTCAGTTCGCTCGCTTCACGTACTATACGAGACGGTGGATTAATTCTGCCAAGAGATGCCCAAGCTCGAATTTACCTCTTCTAAGCGCTCGTAATTAACGTCAGAAAGCATTGCCTCAAAGACAACATCGTCATTATGAACAATATATTGTGGCTTATGAGATTAATCGTATACGAGATGTTACTGCCACTTCCTAAACAAAGACGTATATAATAAGTTCATAAGAGTAGGCAAATCAATCCATCAATCATTCAATTAACCTATCAATCGCATTTCCAGTCAAACACCCAGACAGATCTTCACTATATTTCCAGAAGAAAAAAAACCCAGTCGTTATCAACCAGCCAGCCATCAATATGTACACCAAACAAGTCATCGTGGCTCTTGCAGCCTTTACTGCAGCCAGCGCCGCCGTCCTTCCCCGCCAGGTCGTGACACCGGAGCCAGCTCAAGGTGCCCCAAGTGGCACTTACTCCATCACCAGTTTCCAAGTCGACCAACTTCCCGGTAGTCTGTACACAACATACACTCTCCAAGTCACAGATCCTTCGAACCCATCCACCGCACCCGACAACACATCTACGACCTGCTCCACAGAAGCATCTACCCTTCCCGCCATTGCCGGCTTTCAGGACCTGTCTTGCGACGACCCCAGCGTCAAGTGGTCTTTTGTGGCCAACAGCACAGGGTACAATTTGGAGATCAAGCACAACTGGGGCGAACAAGTACAACATGCAATTTTCGTGGCTTATGACAATGTTACGGATACGGCCACTGCCTTCTTCCCGTCGAGCGATGTGAAGAATAACCCGAACGCAGAGCCAGGCCAAAGCGCTCCTTATCTCGATGCTCCCGCTTCGTTTGATCTTGAGTACTACCGCTACATCTCGTAGGTGTAGACCAGTCGTGGTGTAGCACAATGGTGCGACTCTGGGATCTGAGGTTATGGGCGTAAAGGAAAGATGCATTTTTGTAGATTAGTATACTTGCTTGTGAACATGGATTAGTAAAGTAATAATGTAATTATATTGCGTCTCGCAGATCTTTGCTCATGTTGAATAGCATGTTAGCTCTTACTACATCCTACATTTGAAAATGCTTCCAGCTAGGACACTGACATTCCACCAGCAAAGAGTGGTCCTTTTCAAATGTTTTCACTAGTTTCAAGCACGAAATAGGGGTGGGAAGCTGAATCAGAATCAATACATCAGATACAAAACCTCCTTGGACATCCATCCATCTTCTCGCAAACTTGCAGGCGTGAAAGGAGGAGGGGGCAGGGGAGCTAGGTCAGGGTCTGATATGCCCAGTTCTTGATGAATTGTAGCATAAAATTGAAAAGGGATCTCGATTTATTTCAAGAATACTGCATCTTCGAATGAAAAAGCATCAAGTAAGACTAACGCTATGAAAGAAAACGCAGGTTATGATATCTGACAAACGAACACTTGACCTGCTTGACAGTCATGAAGCGTGAGCGGACTTGGAGACCACGCCCTCACCGTACAAAATGGAAACAAAATCGACGAAAGACAAATTCTCCGTCTTCCCTTGTGTATAGAATCGCTTCTCCACATCTCGGTCTCGGTCGTCTTTTCTTCTGAGTCAGCCATGCCCACACTTGGCCTGTCATAGGTGCTTTACTATCATCTGTACGCCAGGTTCGCGAGCCCCAGTAGAAGTGCGAAGTGCGAAGTGCGAGGATAGTCCGAGAATGCAAACTACAGTGCAGGATTACCTATGCAATGGCAAGAGTACAGTAAGATTCGGGCGCGTGTCACCCGTGTTCGGTACCCGAACCACCCAGGTGGGACACAATTTTAATGGCTCTGTAGCTTGTTTTAATCATATTGCGCCAAAAACTCCATTGCTCCTTTCAACTCTCCTTTAATCGTCGCCAGATGTTTCTCGCTCCTCGGCGTAACCTTTACCTTATATTCCAACGGCCGCACCAGAATGGCGCTCGTATAAGCATTCACGTCGAGCGGATGATCTGGCAATTCGGAGAACTCGAATGCCCACAACAACTTAGCGACAATTCTCCACATACTCCTCTCTGCCAGATGGATGCCCGGGCAGATTCGGCGTCCGGCGCCATACCCATAGTGATCCCTCTTCTCGTAATCCGAGCCTACAGAATACTTATCCGCGAGGTGGGGATGCGAGAGGAAGCGGTCGGGGTTAAACAGCTCGGGCTCGGGATAGAGGTCTGGATTTTGATGCAAGGACCAAATCCCAATCCAAATGACGCTGTTCTTGGGAATCAGCATGCCGTCGTACCAGTCGTCTTGTGAGACCTGGTGCGGAAGGCCAAGCTCAGATCTAGACATTTTGTTAATGATTCTCCTGCTTTGAACCAAACAATTAGAGTGAGGATGACCTACGTTGGTCGCCATCTCAACCCTTCCTTCACAATTGCGTTTATGTAGGGAAGGGCCTCAAAATCTGTGAACTGAGGTGTTCGGTCTGTCCCACAGACTCGGTCCAATTCTTTTCGTGCCTTGGCTTGCGTCTCTGGGAACTTGGTAATTGCGAGAATCAAAGTAAGTAGCATATTGGCGGTTGCTAGTGAAGCACTGATTAGAATAAAGATCCGCCATCTTTCGCCCGGGTCTACTTACTGTCCGCGCCTGCCTCCAGCAGTTCTCCAAACATGATATTAAATGCGTGCTGCGACATCTTCCAGCCTTCTGCATTGTACTCGTCCAATTTTATATCGATTATGCACTCTCTCTGGTCGCCCCGGGACCGCCTTTCATCTACCAGTTTCCTCCCATGAGACCAGAGCTTGTCCATGCGGTCGCGGGTATTATAGACCCTCTTTTTCCACTTGCCAGGCATGTACCACAAGAACGGGAAAAATTCAACTGGAGGGTTTGCGCCAGGTTCAATTGTCTCGAGCCACTAAGCAATGATTTAGTTTTTTATTTCTATTCAATGCGCCATTTCACCAAAAGCTGAGCGAGAGTCAATATACCTTATCCATGAAATCGTAGAACTCTCGATACCAGAACGAGTTAAAGTCCTTTGCACGAAAACCCCAGGATATAATAGCCGCAACAGATGTGGCGTAGAGCTTCGCCCACTCGAATACTTTGTCAGGATCCTCAAGGAGATTGTTCATGAAGACAGTAGACCTGCAATTCACAATCAGTTTCATCTTCTCGGACAGAACTGGGAGCGGTGGCACAAACTCTGCTTCCTGGATTCGAAAATGCTTCTCATCCAGAGCTTTGGGATTAAGGTTTTTCGTTACTACTGTTCTTTTCTCTCTCCAGGATGGCCCCTGAGGCTCCATCGTGATGTGTGCGCCACGAGTTATGAAGAGAGGGATCGGCAAGGGAGGTCGGTCAGAGTAAATACTCCCTTTCTTGTCGCAGAGCTGGTATACGGACTTTTGATCCGCTAGCACGATCATTGTCCCGGAAAAAACTTTGAGAGAGAAGACTGGGCCGTACTCTTTTGCCCATTCCTCGAATCTATGACAATTATGAGTTTCTGTCAATTTATATGTATATTCTTTCTGCACGATATATTGACAGTGTCAAGGTCTGCGAGGGATTTTACTGACTTCTTTCCAAGCCCCGTTGGGGGAATTTGAAAGCGCATTTCCAAAGATTGGAGTCGTTGGCGGGCCGGGAGGAAGTCGCTTGTCACGGCTTCCAACCTGGAGAAGACTATATATTCCATAAATCACCAGTCCCACGACGGCCAGATAGAAGGAGTTTATCATCATGTCAGGAACTGCCATAGTTGACAAGCAACTGTGAGAAGTGGCAAGGAAGGCGCTCAGCAAAGTAGGTAGAAGCACAGAACTGATACAAATAATCTTACTGTCACCAGTAAATCGTGGTGAGATGCGTGCTGGTGATGTCTTAGGGAAAAAGAACAGCAAAAAGGACTGGTTGATTGCATTTTTGAAAACTGGAGAAGTCGCAACCTTGAGCAGGGGTCGAGCCGAGAAGCTAGCACTGGTAAGTTCTTACGGTTGCAACCCTAATATCTTACATTCTCGGATGGTGATAGGCCCACTCGCTTTATCTTCGCGTTTTCGAACCGCGTGTGTGGGACATGGATAGAACTTGCGGGTCAGGTTAGATCAAGAATTGGTAATGTACGCTCGTGTGATCGGATTGCTGATTACTCTGGGCTGAAGGCAAAGCTACCGGTACCTGCAGAGTCACCCGTATTCGTCCTCTCTTGTTTATACTCCTGCCTTCTTTTGTTTCGCAACATTCTGCTTTTAAAGCACTCCACGGTCATCGTACGACTGTATGCTCTTGGACTTTTGTGTAATTTCAACAAGTTAGGGTCAGCATGGAAAATTAAACCGTTCCGTAAGGCCGTTGATGAGCAGGAAATACTTTCAATTCCAATAATTTTGACCTTTGGACTCTGTCTCCGACTTTTCAGCGCTCACCCGTTTCTGGCAAGAACATTGTTTCTCCACGCCCCTTATCTCCTTCTCCGAAAGCGACCCATGGCCTAACGTACTTGGTCGACTCTTGTTTTCCTCCTCCTGTCATTCTGTTGAACATCTTCTTCACTTCCTTCGCCCTGTCCTCAAGCGCGACCTCGATCTCATCTATTTGACAGCAAGCAAGTACCAATGACGCTACTCCTGCAGCTATGGCAGTCGCTACAGAACTTCCGGAAATCTCTTCCCTGGTATCAGAGCCTTGTACACTATCGTACACGATACGTTCCCCTTGAAAATAGAATTGAGCTTCGGTATTGCTGTAGTGAGTAAGTACTCCCATCTCATCGCAAGCAGCTATGCCGACCGTTTCGGGACATTGTGCGGGCCAGCAATTTGGTTTGTTACCGCCTTCATCGGCAGTGCTGCAGACCATGAAGATTCCATTAAATCCTGCGGTACGAACCGCTTCGCTGAGACCCTTGTACGGTTTATCGAGAGCAAAACTCATTGATATTACATCAACTTTCTCACTAATGGCCCAGTTCAAAGCCTGCTGAACATTAGTCTCGTGTGATGTCACTATTGCCTACACTTACATCTGTCACAGCTCCAACAGTAATGTCAGTCTTACTGTCACCAACTTTTGCAATATACAACTCGCAGCACGGGTCAATTGAAGTGATGAGTTTTGCCATCTGAGTGCCATGACTGTCGGCTGACAGCCACCAATGACTATCTCCTGTCTCGGAGAATGTCTGGCCCGTAAAGCTTTTCAAGGTCCCCGTCTCGAATTGCCCATCATCCACTCCTGTATCTATTATGGCAACTTTGATTCGACGGAGGTGATTCGATGGGTCGGCAGATGCCATACGTCTCTTATGCAATCGATCATAGGTCTTGACGAAGCTTTTCAGTCTGACAACCGTTCGCGCGCTATGAAGTTGTCAACTCAATTGCAATATACTTGCAGAACGAGACTCACTCTCTAGCAGCGGTCCCTTTCTGCTCTTCGATGTTCTGTGGTCCAGCAAGAGTCCAAGCGGCGTAATCAACGCTAAACGGTATCTGTGTCAGCTGAAGCAAGTTTTCTTTGGCAGTTCCCTCGGCTGATGCAGGCTTAGGGGGCATGCCCTTCCAGATATTTGTGAGCCACGTTGTGATCTCTTCTTTCTGTTTCTGCGCTCTTTCGATGCTTTTATCGTCTTTTCCATCCTATGATCACCATTAGATCTTCCTATCATGCTTCCCAAACCGGCGATGCCGATCGTACTGTACTCACATTTATGATGATAATATGGACTTCCTTGAGCTGGAGAGTCACTGCTTAGTCACTCGTTTGTCCAGGTCAATAGAGCAATACTTACACTGAGGTTGTTGATTCCCTCACAACTCATCCAATGACAAAGAGGTGCCCAACCTCCACTAGAGTATAGATGCAGTATGCGCACGTTCTTTGCCGCAAACTCCACACTTCTTATTGATAGATCGACTCTTTTCCAGTCAAGCTCTTCGACTTGCAAACCTTCAAGAGCCTCTTCAATTATTTCTTCTCGATGCGGCTGTATATGAGAATCTAATACCCCAAGCTTGAGAATTCGTTTCACTCCTTTCACAAGTCTTAACCATTGTAGAACATACTTGACTTCTTTACCCTCGAGGTGCCGTATTTTCTCTGCAGATCGGTGGCGGCGGATCTCGTCTAAATCGGGAAAAGAAACGTATTTCAGATAGGGTTGGAAATCGGCATTGTACTTGCTTGATTTGGAGTTGGGAGCCTGGGGAGCTTTCGATGAAGTCTGAGTCTCCATGCAGGTATCAGCTCAGTTGAATGAAATCAATCCTTTCTGTTGCGGTTTGATCAACTGACCGTCTGTAACTCCTGCGCATCTTTCCTCGAATTGGCATCTCTATTTGACTGATCTTTTTGGTCTTGAATCTTTGCTGCATCTTGTGCTTGCTTTAGTGCTTTTGCCTCGCTGACTTCCTGCTCCGCAGTCTTGACAAATTGTACAAACCATGCCCAGTTGCGGGAACTCGATACATTCAATTCCAGATATACTTCTCTGGCAGCTGTACAAGTTAGTTCTGGACTTTCCCCAAGATAGTGAACCTCACCTTGTCCTTTCTTATGTATTAGTAAATCGAGTTCAGATGAATAGTAGAATGAATCGAGATAACGAGCGATAAGAAACTAACCTTGCGCTCTTGGCCAGCACCCTTTCACGTCTTTTGGGCTCAGCTCCCTCAACATTCTTTCCAAAAGAAGATTTCGAATACTTCTAGAAACCTCTCTCTGATGCCTTTGTTTCTGCTCCTCCTCGAGTGCCTTTTTCGCCTTCAACTTCTTCCCTGGCTTTGGTGTTGGAATTTCGATTTCTTTTTCTGCCAAATCAACGGCCAATTTGGCTGCCTTTTTGACGTCATCTAGTTTTCTCAGAATTTCTGGGTGAGAATCAAGAAGGCGTAGCACAATTTCAAGGGTCCTATACTCTATCGCAGTCCGAAGAAGTCCGGCATCTTTTGCCAGATTTGGCTTCTTAGTCGTGATAAAGTCCCACACGTCAGTATGGCCCGATCTTGCAGCCCCTTTGAGGACTTCGAGACTGAGAAGTTTGTCTCCCTCCTCTGACGTATCAAGGAGTATCTTCAAGTGATTCAACTTCCCATCTTCAACCGCTTTCAACAAATGCGTTTGTCGTCGTCCGTCCGAGTGCTTAGCTAGTAGCTCTACCAACGAGACATCTTGTCCACTGACATATATAGCAACTCGCAATGGCGTCTCATTGGATGAGTTGGGAGCCTCTAGCATAGAATCAAACTGCTCGACATCGTATTGCTGTACGAAAGATAGCACAAGCTCAGCGATACTCTTGACACCATGGCGGCATACCGCATGTAATATGTTATCCCCGTTGTGTTCCTCGTAGGTTTTTTCCATGACCTCGGGCAATATTGCCAGGATTTGCTGAGCAATGATACAGTTTGGACTGTCGATAACACTTGGCGTCATTGCCGCACTGTCCTCATCGGCTTGACGACTCTTTCTCATATCCCATTGCTTCCAGAGTTCCTTCTCCTTGCTGAATAGCTTTATCAGAAGTTCGAATGCTGTCTTCAAACCCTTTTCTTCATCTTTGCCCCACAGTGTTACGGTTCGGAAAAACCGCTCTTTTGATGTGTCAACTTTAGACAGAATGTGCAGTTGGCTTTCAGCAGTCCAGTCGGTGTTCATGAGCAACTCTTCAATCTCGTCCACCGCATTCTCGTCCTCATCTTGTGCCAGAATATCCTCAATGCTTCTGATCCCCATGTTTCTATCTTTTCGGGACACTTGAAGGACTGGATTGGGCTCAAATAGTCTTTACCATCCAATCGACCCTGATGAACGCTGATCTGATTCTAAGCCTTCACTCGATTCCTCTCGTTTTCTGATGTCGTGATCTGTGTGATTTTGGTCATCAAACCAAAAACATGGGCTTCAGCTCCACAAGAATGCCTCTTGAACCAATGGTGCGAGTAATTATTGTCACTGGCTTATTATGTCCCGAGAAAATGTTCTCAGCAGGGTTCGGACTTCAGCTGAAACCATGTTGCTGCATCACTAATCACATGTACTCATGGCCCCCTGTGTAGGTGGGGCGAGTGGCGCTTGGGAGTCAATAGGCCTCTAGGAAGCAATGCATGGTCACGGCACAGTACATGCAGAAGGATTGATTGAAAAGACAATATATTGATGTGATCAACAAAGAGATTCAAAGTCATTGTCCGCCCCAGATATCGAGAATTTCCAGGACTTTCATCGGAACTCTTAGCTAGGGAGAAATGACTCTATGTGAAAGTCCTCCGGAAGATACACCCCATCGCCATCACCCACGTCTTTTACCAATGATCCCAGTGAGGCTGGGTTAATACCATTCGTTTTTCCTTGCAGGGGCATTTTGGTCGGCGAGAAGTTGACTGGATCATCCAGTGAGGTGCGCCTGAAGAATCGCGATACTTGGCCCCCAACTTGCCCCACCAAATAGTTGAAGCTGCCATGAATGTCCATCTTGAAAATTCCAACGAAGTCTTCCATATTCTGTCTTTCGATCAAAACCGCCACCCGAAATACTGGCAGCACCCCTAACTTTTGTTTTCGATTCTGTTCCAGCGTCCACCAAATGGTGTCGTCTAGTCCGGTGTCATCGTTGTTCTGAATATCTGCAGCGCCTTTGGCAAAATATTGCTGCAAATGTGTTTCCTCAACAGACGAATCTCCCGACACTTCAGCTGTAACTGGGGCTCCACCACTAACACCGAGTTTCAAACCAAGGTCCTGCGTCTTTTTAACAGTTGACTCTAATTTGTCCCAATGACGAGGACGGCGAAAAGGCGCGAAGGCAATCACTTGAGGGGATGCTGAGTTTCCGACAGGTGTGGTTCGTGCTTCTTTGAACGTGAAAGAGGTGTAGACATCATTGAACGAATGTCCGGACTTGGGATGAAGTCTGTACTCGACAACAAGGAGGGTTGCTGGACGACTTGGTATATTGTCGATAGTTTCCATATGACCATGAACACAAGTAATCATACGAACTGAAGCTTTGAAGTATGACTCTGCGCCTCTGTCTGTGATAACGAGTCGTTGAATCTGGTCCGGAGTTCGATTATGGGTCTTGAACGCTCCGTCTCCAACAGGCCCATCGTATGAAGAGCACGCAAGACCCTCGTCATTGAACAGCCTAGATGGTTCGATACTTTGTGTTGACATTATAGTTTTATTCTACTGTCATAATGAGATGAAGCAGTTGTACGTTCGAGAGAATAGTTTCCTTCTGGATCTGCGAGATCATCAGCTCGCGTGGGGCCAGGGCCTTGCCTGCCGCTGTCATGCATGTCTCCCAAAAGGGTGTGTTTTCCGGCTTCAATTTGAAATAGGTTTAGCGTAATGCATTACTCGCACACCTTTCCAAACAACACTTCACACTGAGCCGTCTGTGACTTGAGGCTCGAGGCTCGTCGTGATCGCTAGCACGTCGAAACAGCCTTTCCCTCTCGAATACAGATTGAACTGAATCAACAACATCTTCACCCTCTAGAGCTGAATCATGGATTATCTCAGTGATCGGAGCGATCCCGACAATGACATTGACAACATTCCCCCGGAAGAAGAATTTATCGATAGCACTGATAGCACTGATGGCGAGGATGGTGACAATGTTTCCGATTGGGACAGAGGTCGAGTCAGTGAAGCCCATAACACAATTATCCTGGAAAGGCAAGAGGAGTTACCCAGGTCTATTGACAGCTTGTTCAAGAAGGGCCTTCTCGACAAGAAAGGAGAAATGGGCAGTACCATATTACACCTGATCACTGAAAGATGGAGCAAAACCAACCGATCTGGGAGCGATCTGGCAGAACTCTTCAAGGCCGTGATGGAAAAATGTCCTAGACTGTTCCTTGAAAAAGATGATCTTGGCAAAAGCATACTGAACAGAAGTAGCATGCGAAAGAAGAAGAGCAATTTTGCTCAGTTTTTCATCTATGAATATCCAGATAAGACCGAAGAGCTTGTCCGAGAAGATCCGGATATCCTGAAACTGATGGTGGCTTCTTCAATGGAACTAGATATCTGGAAAGCTCTCCTTGGACGTCTGGGGAAATCTGCAGGGAAGTTGTTGTTGCGTTGCGACGAAGGAGGCAACACTTTTATTCACAATATTCTGCGCAACATAGACCATGGTCCATTCCATGTGGCTCTCCCGCATATTATCCTCGAGATAATCCGGGCCGCACCTGACTCCCTAAAAACGCTGAACGACGAAGGGAAGTCGTTATATGGTTGCTTTATCGAAGGCATGAACAAGAGAACGGAGTCGTCCGAGCTAAGAATGAGAAAAGAATCTGCACTTCCCGCGTCGCATGATTCGAGGACAATGACAGAGAAGTCATCTCGACTATCGGAAAAGTATTTTGATGGTCCAAAGATATCGCCGACAGGAAAAATATTTGACAACCCAAAGATGGATAATCCTCCATCTCGACGACCGGAAAAATATTCGGATGATCCAAAGATGAATATTTCTTCATCCAGACTACTCCCTGATCCAAAGGACAACGCTAAGTCTGCGGCCCAGACCTCCCAACCAGTGGTTCGGAAAAGGGCGAAAGAGCCAAAGCCCGAAGAAACGGAGGAACTCGTGAATCATATATTAGCAGAGGTCAAAGAAGTTCTCTTGAGAGAAATGTACCGTGGTCTCGGAGAAATGGAGATTCACAGTCTTCTGCACCCATACACATCAGGTACGTCCCGTCCTGTATTACGAAGATTGAGCCAACATTGACATTTTCCTCCAGAAATTGATGTAGACCTTCTCGAACTCGAAAAATCTCGAGATCCCATCCAAACTCTAAAGGGAATTCTAGAACCACTGCCACTCGAACCATTTCTACGATCTGTACGACTGCCATACTTTCGAACAGACTTAGCGGCAAGAACCGACATCTATTTCGAAATTTTAGGCACACTGAACAGCCATGGTGTCAGAAGAATAATGCGATTGGAGGTAGATGAAGCTATTGATTGTCCCAGCAGTGACGATACAATTACCAAAGCAGCCAGTGGCTTCCACATTGAGGAGTGGGACTGGAGAAAAACTGACATAGATACCGGAGTTCTTTGCAAAGTCGCTCCCGAAGCTAGAAAGTTGTATCTGTATTCCAGCGGTAACTTCCCTGTGCTCAAGCACTGGTCATCAGATGAGGGTCTTGCCATGTTCAAGAATGTACGTCCCCAAGAGTTTGTTCAAGCTGTTCATTGTTATTGACTACAACGTAGCTCGAGGAGGTTAGCCTTATTGTGTTTTCGAAGATCGAGACTCCACAGACAACAGAGGATTGTGTCCGAGAGTTTAGGATGAGGATGGACAAGGCCTGTCCTAAGATCGAATTCAAGGTTCGACATTTCAAGCCTAGCTTCGAAGGCTCGAGATCATGGTCATGGCTATTGCAAGGTGATCAGGGGAGACTTATTGAAACGGCTAAGGGACCAAATCCGTAAGCGTCGTTCATGCGTTTTTAAGGCATCTTCTGATTCGAGACACAGAAAAACCTTGACAGAGAGATTTGAGCGACTCACCCGGCATCTGGAGCCTTGTTTCGATAAACCATCAATTGATGTCAAGGTGTCTATCATTGATGACGGAATAGACCCTGTAGAGATCGGGAACAGAATTGGTGGTGGTATTTCATTCGCCCACTATCCTGGAGAACATAGTCGACTCAAGCCATACTATTTCTCATCTAATGGGCGAGGAACCGCTTTGGCGCACATCATGCTGAGATTATGCGCCCAGTTGAAATTCTATGTTGCCAGGGTTGATATAGAGCAGAGATCATTGACTCCAATAGTGCAAGTGAGTACCTACCAACCTCAATGATGTCTTCTGATGTCTACGCTAAAATACATCGGCAGGCAATAAACTGGGCGGCTGAAAGAGATGTCGCTATTATATTATTAGGATCGTCTCCAGATTTGGAAGGGGGGTCTCAGGAACAATTAAAGAATTACGAAAAAGCGATCGATACAGCAATGCGACGAGGCATTCAAATATTCATCCCTGTCGCGGACTTCCCAACTTCAAACCTCCGCACATTCCGAAGAGAAGGCATAATAGAGATTGCAGCAACATCTCATACGGGGGTACGGTCACAGATGCTGGAGCCAGATTTACCTTTCACGATCCCCATTGATATGCAGACGCTTGATCAACTATCTGAAGATAGTATGGCTACAGGGTTTGCAGCCGGAATCGCCGCACTACTTCTGTGTTGCGTTCGAGCATATAAAACATCTGATCTTGCTCAGGACAGGATCTCCGACCGTCTTATTGCCAATATTCAGCGGCCGAGGACCATGATGAAACTGTTCAAACGAATGCAGGACTCCGAACACTCAAAGAACATCTCAGCTGAAGAACTCCTTGAGATCCCCAAGTATCGAGGACCAGAAGAAGCGCATGATAGCCTTGAGCAGATCATTTCACTCATATCTAAATGGCTTGGGTGAATAGTGTAGTCACAGAAATCATGGATTTGGGCAAATGCGAATGAAGCTAGGAAGGGACTTTCTTACTCCCGCGAGGTTTAGGAATGGGTATACAGCAGGCGTTATAGCCAGTCGTTGCTTGCGAAATCTCTCCGTTTCTTGCCTATTAAACTTAGGTTGGGAGCATTGGGAATCTCTAGCTTAGCTCCTCATACCCGAAACTATAATAGTAGGAGGAGATACGACGAAGGGACCGCTATTGCAGTACAGTCTTTTTTTTTTCAATTTTCTTTTTACTAAAACTTTTTTTCCTACCAGAGAAACGGCACGTGATGTGATGAACAAAGGCATATTATACTCAGGCAGTACGGGGGGAACTTGAGACATAAAGGGCATAGGCATGATAATATAAAAGTCTTAAGTAGTGAAAGTGCAAAAAAGCTCTGATTTGCTATGAAATTTAAGTATTAAACATTTGTATTTTCTCTCAACCCCCTTAGCTAGCTAGCTCCTGTACTATTTCTGACCGCACCAGCTCTCATTGCACTAGCTCTTATTGCACTAGCTCTCTGGCTGCACCGGCTCTTTGAATCTCTTAGCATGTACTGGCTCTTTAAATGCACCAACGTTTAATAGTATAGTAGAACTAATAGAAGAGGAAAAGAAAGAGAAGTGGGAAGAAGCAGGATCTTATTCTCAAGGGGCTATGGAGCTACTCTAGCCTGATAAGGGAGCGCTTGGGTGCTTGGGTTTTAGGAAATGAGGGTATTTATAGCTTTACCCGAGTACTACTTTCCTTTATTTTATTCACGGGTGATTTTAATAAGGTTTAAGCAGCTCCACTTTATGTTCCATTTAAATGAAAACTTTTGCGCCCTCAAATCTTTTTTCTCTTAGCATTACTTTTGCGCATGTGCTAGTATAGTTAAAGAGCTGGTGCATGCTGAGAGATTCAGAGAGGTGCATTTAAAGAGCGGTGCAATCAGAGAGCCGGTGCAGTCAGAGAGCCAGTGCATTCATAGTGCCAGCGCACTAAATGCATGAAAGGAGCTATTTTATTGAGTACAAGAAGTAGCTAAGGGAGCTCAAAGAGAGTGCAAGTCGTGAAATCGTAGCGATTCAACTTATTTTTTACGCTTCAAATACTTCACATTATCATATTATCATACCTGTGCCCTTTATGTCCCAAGTTCCCCCGTAAGGCAGACACAAAGCCATTGTTCAAAACTCTCAAAGTTATCAAAAACGTCACAGTAGTCTTTAACAAGGTTTTGGGCAATAGGAACGCAGTGCATCTCTAGTGCCCCTCTAGTTCAGAATTCTTGTGTCGAGAGTTCCCATATTTTCAGTCTGTTTTGGCGTAAGAATGACTTCTTTTCGTCAGCAGATAATCCCCACCCAACATCGTCTTCAACACTCCATATAGACCTCGTAAAGGCCAGATACTCCAAAATAGAGCCAATAACCATGGTATCCATTTCCGCATCTCCCGATCCTCGCTCGCAATATCCACCTTCACTTTGTCATAGACACTCGGCATCCAGGAAGCTCCATATTTCGCTCTTACCGCGTCGTACGACTTGCGGTCGTAATGAGACCAGAATTCCTCCTCCGTGTAGTACGCATGCGCGTACAGCCACTTCTTCCCTCCGAGCTCTTGCACCTTGCGCTCGAGAGCTTGGTTTTGTCGGATGAACTCATGCCGGTTGGCAGATCCAGGACCCCAGATGCCGAAGTTCATGAGTCCGCGCTTGTCTGGGGGTAGGTGTGCAAATTCGGAATGCAGACCATGGCCCCCGTTTGGTGTGTCACGCGCCAGATGCAGAGGGCACAGCCAAAGAGGGTAAAAGTTGAATGTTTTGTGAAGCCAGTCGGTGAATTCTCCGACTTTGTTGTGCGGAACGCCAACATCTTGAATAATATAGTAGTTTGCCAGGCCACTAAGGTGTAGGGCGCGATACATGACTCTCGTGTGCATTAGGGGGTTTAAGATGAAACGCGTAATGCGATTGTACGGGACGAGGAAATACTTGAAAGAGTACTTGGCAACCCAAAAGCCGCCGCGGTCGTAGCGGAAGAGGTAGTCCAAGAGGGGGACGGACTCTGTGATAGAATTAGATGGGTTCTCCTGTAGCCTTTTGTGAAGTCGTTTGGCATGGACGTAGAACCACGGATCTATGCTCCGTGCAAATCGTTGGACTTTTGATCCGGGCGGAGGAGCGTCGGCAAGCCGTCCGGAGCAGACGACAGTTGAGCTTTGGGAGAAGACAATGCCGTCAAGATAATTAACTGAAGTGTCCGTTTCTGGTGGATACGATTAACATCAAGACCAGAATCCAGGGACTTGTGAAAGAGAGGGGAGAATTACGTACCTATCTCTTCTCTCATCATGGCAGTCGCGCCCATGGGGTCGTGCAGCGAGTAGGTCAGCTTTACGTACGGCCGCGCATCTTTCAGCTGCACCTCCAGAAGCGTGACTACACTGAGGGTACCAAAAGCCGACGCAGCACCCCAGAAAAGATCCGTCTTCTCGGCCTTGTTACGGTATGCCCGGGTCACGTCCCCATTCGGTAGAACAATCTCGATCCAGTTGATGGTGGTATCGAAGGCACCGTACCGGAACGAAGAGCTCTCGCCCGACGTGCCCGAGAATCCACCGCCCACGGTGATACCTGGAAATTCCATAACGACCAGAGGCACCAGGCGAGATCTCCCGATGGTCGCGGCCACGAGCGCGTCCATGGGCACGTTGGGCTCGACGAGTGCGGTCTTTTGCTCTGCATCGACATGGTGAACATGGTTGAGCGACGATGTGTCCACGGTGTTGTCGTGCCGCCGTTGGGACTCCCGTGTGCTGTTTGTCGAGCCATGATAGATGCGGAATGGGCGCTTGCTCTCGTAGAAATGTCGAACTCGGGATGAGACCGCAACGACGGCGTCGTCATGGGCGTGGAGATCGTACATCGTGGAATTCATTGTCGACCAATACCGGCACGCTGGAGCTTCTACCAAATACCTATGTCGCGATGGCTCGAATCCGGGTTTTTCCTTTTCTGATATGAAAGTTTTGTTGTTGCAAAACAGCTTCGAAGCTCTCTCCATTAGCGTCGCTTAGCTAGCTTACTTTGACTCCCAAATATGTGATTGCGTCCCCTGGGTGCTTTTGCCATCTGATCATAAAATCTCTCATTCCAGATATGATTTAGATCTGGAGAAGCTCAGCTTTGGATTCTTGGAGAAACCCTGGTCATTGCGCATGCGGGATATACTGCGACCAGTTCACCGAAAGGAATATTGTCGGTTCCAAGGCTCTCATACCAAAGAACACCTCGAATAGAAGATATATGCGGGCCAAGAAGTAGCAAAACGTTGCAAACCAATAAGGAAGAGATTTCAGCCGGGACCGGTTCGGCAGCCACCAAGTCATGGCTGAGATCGGAACCCAGAGATATATGACCGCTAACATGATGCAAACCGACGTCTTCCAGAGCACCGATTCTGTCCGTGAAGCGAAAGTAAATTTCCACGCTGCGCAGTGGATGCCGTTGAACATGGTTCCTATGGAAAAAACGCACAAATGATCCCATGGTCCCCATTCGGAGCTGTGGCTTTCATTCACGGCTGGCATGAACCAAGACGTGACACGAGCATGAGCCGTAAAGTTGTCCTTCACGATGGCGCGCAGGTCTGCGGGCACTTGATTACCCCTGCTGATGACTTCCAGGTGCATGATGTTCATTGGCTTTTCAAACCAGAACCAATCCCAACCATGATCGTGAGCTTCTTTTGGAGGAGGGCGATACCACTCAGATACTTCGTGAAGGAGACATATACCTCGCGCCAACTCGCAAAGCTGCGCCGAGGTCAGACCCGGATCGAGGATTGGAGTGAAGGTTTCGAGATCCATGGGCTTGTGCCACCAGAAGAAGTACATCAAGCCTGTACATCCGATGAAAGCAACGGTCGCGAGCTCGAGTGTTGCGATGGTGAGATGTTGATTGACTCGGGCGCAAATTTGTAGCATGAACCAAGTGGATTGAGCCAAGGCTATACCTTTCACTAGCCAGTCTGCGTTGCTTTTGTCGTGCAACTCTTCGAGTGTGATCTCAGGAATCACTAAGACGCCATGCTCAGTGAGCCATATGAGCTCCTTGACACGGAAAATATACATCTGCCTCTGCCCATCTGCAGATACGATTCTGTAGCCACCCATCTCAGCGTAGAAACCGTGAGTGATCGTCCACCATGGGTATGTTTTCTTCAGAGCTTTCACCGATCTTCTGGCATTGCGCCATTGCTCGCAAGAGCTCACGGCGAGTCCATCTGGACAGATCAGAGCAATAATCCACCATTTGACTTTGTGTAGGTAGTTCCGCCATGTCGAACTGTGCGGAGGTATGTTCAGGTGCAATACTGTCCAAGTGTTGAGGAGGAGGACTGCTAGACAACTTAGCAGGATGCTGAGAGTGCCTCTCCCATTTGGCTCTTGTACGAAGCCGTGCACGAGTGTCTGGTTGGAGGCAATGGCAACATTGTAGTCGATCGACTTGATCATGCTGTGTTGGGCAGACTTGACCAGTCTAGAAAACCCAGGCGGAGGCGGAGCATCTGCACCACAACAAGGAGCAACTGGTGAAATCGTTCATATCAGAGAAAGAGCTATACTGGGACCGAACCATGGTAAGGCTACGGAGCCGCTGGAGAGATTTAAATCGAGAGTGCGGCGCAGAGCCTCATGCGGGGATCTACTTGAATGATTCCTAAGCTGAAAAAGCCTCAAATCCGCCAAGACCAAAGGATCTGTACAAATTTGCTCTTGTGCATATCGATTTCAAAAGCCACCCAGTAGTCGTGCGTTTACTTATCTATTCCAGGACTTTCATGGGGAGTCTGGAAACATCCCTGGCACCTTGGGGGCTGAAAAGGGGTCGATTCGCCTATTTTAGCGCCACCAGCGCATCGCTTGATCGTTGATTGGATTTCTGTCACATCCTTCAACAATGCATCATTTTCATCGTTTTCACAACCAGGCAGCAACACTCGTAACTCACCCCGAGTCCAAGTAGTCTTTCGTCTTTCGTTCGAGATCAAACATTTCAAGTCCGAGAACTGTTCAACAGCGACATAGAGACTCAAGCTGCCGATCAGTTTCGAACGACTCCTGGAGCGATAGCCACTTGCCATTTGTCTCAGCCTCGTTGTTGTCACACACGAGAATCAAAATGCTTCCAAGCTCTCGGGGTACTTTAATCTTCTCTCGAGTGTTCGCATGGTTCTTCCAGTCTATCGCGCCCCTGAGTATCGCGTATTGTCTTCTCGTACTCTTTATCCTTTCGCCGTCCCAGCGCCTACCAATCGCACTTGAAGTATGGCTGCTAGCAGAAGCATTATTCTTCCTGTTGGTGTACCTCCCTATGTCCCATTTCATACACGATCCAGCCATGAAAGTGGTTGGAATCGATCGGTGGCAGCGCCGTGAGCTTTTCAAAAAGTGCATCACCACGATTACCGACCCGAAGAGGTACATTTCACTCTGGCATCATGGTGCAAAGATTGAGGATATCGGGAGGGAGAATGTCAAAGAATGGATCTGCTGGGCTTTTTTGGACAAAAGCACTGTTGGTCCTGACGAGGAAGACGAGCTGGAAGAGTATGTTGACTTGTTGGAAACCCTGCTTCCCAAGGGCACGTTGCCCAGCGGCAACAAATTTCCTCTGGGAAAGACTCCAGGAATCCAGACTCTCAGATTCTCATTGGATCCAGTCAACATCACCCATAAGCCTCTGCTCTTCTACGTCTTAGGTGTTGGCGGTGCTGATATATATGTGGCTTTCATCATGTGGTACCATGGATACCAGCATCATGCAACAAAGCAGTGGTTCGCCAGCTTTCCATTCCGACCACAGACATTACTTTCACCACACAGTTCACCAGCCCAACACATCTCATATTGGTATCGTCCACACACTTCGAAGACGAGATTGCCGATTCTATACATCCACGGAATTGGCATCCTGCACACATATGGCGACTTCTTCGCAGAGCTGGCAAACAGGCTTGATCAGGATCCTGAGGAGGATGGACAGATCGGTGTCATCGTCCTTGAGATCCTCCCAATCTCTTTTCGAATGACCCACGCCGCCCTCTCACCGGACGACATGCGCTCAGAGATCCGCTCAATACTCGACCAGCACTCTTGGTCTCGCTTTGTGCTGATGGCAAACTCTTACGGCACCGTCATCTCCACACAATTGCTCCGCAGTCCCTCCCTAAATTCACGCATTGGAGACGTGATCTTCGTCGACCCGGTCGCTTTTCTGCTCCATCTTCCAGACATGACCTATAATTTTACACGACGGCCTCCCAAATCCGCATCTGAGCACCAACTTTATTACTTCGCATCGACAGACATGGGTGCAGCGCATACACTCGCTCGCAGGTTTTCGTGGACTGACAACATTCTCTGGAAAGAGGACTTTGAAGGTCGACGTTGGACGGTCATGCTGAGCGAGCTGGACATCATTGTTGCAGTCGACGCTATTGGAAGTTACTTGACGCGTCCAGAGGGGCTCAAAGCACTTCAAGACGATCGACTTGAGAGCGAGTGGAAGACAACGAAATGGACAGGAGGCAAGTTGGATGTGATGTGGCTCAAGGGCCTAAATCATGCCGAGGTTTTTGATACCAAACGAGACCGGAAAATGGTGATAGATATTGCGATGAGTTATTCGAGTGGTGAGAGCAGGCACGTTTCTGAGAGATCGGCAGAGTATGCGAAGATGGTCGAGAAGAGTTTGCTTTTCAAAGCTTCTCCTGCAAGATTTGCGAGTGCCTTTGGCTTAGACAACACGCTGGATTGGGACCACGGAGAGCTAGATACGTCCTTGCGGCCGAAGGCGAAGAATTCGCTATCTAAAAGGCGCTTTAGTTAAGTCATGTAGTTCATAATGATACCAATGTTCAAGAGACAACTGGAACTTTAGAGGTTCATCATGATACCTCCTCGGCCACTTACTTCCCCTGGCTGTTGCATGAAATTTTTGATACGAAGTAGCTTGCCATAGCTTTCCTGGTAATTTCCTGATTATGAGGGAAGTACTGAAGCGCGAAGAGAAACGTACTTCGTCCCAGGGGAAATAAATGTTGGCGAATTGACCAGGACAAGGGAAAAGGATAGCTGTGATTGCACCAAAATCAAACCCTTGCTCTAGTCAAACGCTAACGTTTATTTCCCCTGAGACTAACCTCAGAATGCGCATTCTATTGGCTACATCGGCTAATGGCTGAGCAAGGCGATGTAAAAATAAACGCCAGTATGAGGCTCGTGTGCTTACTGCTGTGCCGCAGTACGATGAACCACAAGTCAATCTTCCCTTGGAAGATTCCACTGACAAACGCTGCATTCCGCATTCTGAACCTCCATCTCTGTACCCCAAGAACAAGACGAAAGTACCCTAACATCAGAAAATCTACCCCGCCCAATGTCCCAAGGATATTCGGACCTCCAAGTGGTCCACGACGACCAGCCTGGACTTGAATATTCTCCGCCTGCCCAAGGACACGATGTTGGAGGACAGTACGATCACGAAAGCAAATACACGACCAGCTCCTTACCGCTGAATTACCACGATGCGCAGATATCAGACAACCATGGCGGCAATGCACCTCCGCCCAGTTCAAAGAGAATATGTGGGCTCGCATCAAGGACGTTCTGGATCCTCGCTGGTGTTATTGGAATTGTGGTAGTTGCAGCCGCCGTGGGTGGCGGCGTTGGAGGTTCACTGGGATCGAAATCTACGAATACAAAGAATGCTGCTTCGACATCAACAGCTCAGATCGCGAGTACCAGCAGTTCATCCACCCCATCATCTCTGTCCTCGTCGACGAGCACAATCCCCTTATCAACCAGTACGATCACGGGAGGATCTCCCGAATATACCCTCCTTAGCGACTGTCCCTCCTCGAACAATACTTTTTATACTGTCAATGTGGGCCAGGAGATGTCATTCCGCAAGATCTGCGGCGCAGCGTATCTCAACGCTATCAACGGAGGAGATGTGGTCAATGTCAGAACTCTTAGCTTAGACGATTGTATCGTCGAGTGCGCCACCTATAATTTCCAAAATAAGACCGCCATCGCTGCTGGGAACAACAATGTTTGCAATTCGGTGTGTTGGCGCAATACTTTCACGAACGATGATTTTCCAGGCCAGTGCTTTGGCTTTACAACGCAAAACTCTTCGAGTACTTTTGTTGTACAAAATGAAACTATATGCGATTCGGCGGCTTGGATAGACCAGAATATATAGGTGTATATACAAAGATCTTTGGTGGGTCGCTGCATAGCACAGGCACGGCGGATGTATCAAAAACGTCTTCATGAATTGCATAGTCCTGGAGCTTGGGTTGGGCTTTTCAATGAGAGCTTTTGCTGATGCTCTTACATCCCGTTCTTCTTTGACCCCGCTTGGACAGTCGAAATCAAACCGCTCCCTCTCACGAACGTCCCTGGCCCCGATCCAAAGACACTTGAATGCTGGCAACAACGGCCAACCTTTAATGATCTCCAGGGTATCTGGGGGACAATATCATGGTGTGAAGGTGCAAAAAGTCTTTCCTGATCTTAAATTGTCTGAATTCTCGGCGGTGAGCAAGGCAAGTTCGAGACGTTTAATTCCGATTATGAAAGCATAAATCACTGTTCATTCTGTTTCTTTTGATTGAATCTCCGTGTTGACGAGCAGGTACATATCTTGCTAGAGGTTTAAAAAGTGACGAAAGAAGGCGCAAGCCAGGTGGGAAATTGCAGCTGGATGAAGAGCGGTAACTGTTCCGTTGAATATTCTCGCTTGTCTGCTCGCCCCTTTTTATGTTTCGCAATCGTAGGTGACTTCTAGGAAAGCAATCTTCGAAGAGTCTACAGTTTAATACAAGATTTTAAAGTGCCTTTTGCTGCTCCCGTCATTGAACCACATAGAACATCCTGCAACTGTCAGACTTCATTCCAAGAAAAAGCAATAATCAACTTCTACTTTTCTCTTTCTGTGGAGAAGCTGGATTTTGACAAATAGTCAAACTTATTGAGATCAATCCTTAATCCCAATTTGTGGGATAGTTCTCACACAACATTGGCTTCTCAATCAACCCAATCTTCATAATCGCATCATAGAAAGGAAAACCTCCCCGCTCGTCAAAAACTTCAAGTTCCACGCATCCATCCTCACAGACTTTTCTTACACGTTCCACAATAAGGTGCGCATTTCTATTGCCATGATCAGGATGCAGCAGAATCACCTTGCTCAACGATTTCAGTCTTTGTTGTCTCTTCTCTCCAAAGCCGTCGAAAAGAACATCGATCTGATCTAGCCTCAAATAGCGCAGAGCTAAAGTTTCAAGCGTCTCTGGCATAGACTCAACTAGAGATCCCATGTCATCTGGGAGATCGTCGTCATCATCATCTCTCTGACAAAGAAACTCCGCATCAACCTCGACAGTCCGTAGTTTCTGAAACAAACGGAGGGACATGATAAACCGCCAGGGCTCCACGATAGCCCAGTCAGGTTGAACAACCAGCTGTAATTCTTCCAAAAAATGAGCAGAGTACTGTAAGAGAGCATCAACCATCACATCCGGCGCGAATGCAACGCCATACGGCATGTTGCCATCGACTTCGTAAGCGAAGGTGCTGAGATGGTTCGTCATGCTGAGCAGCTCTTGCATTGCACGCTCATCGACATTCGACTGCTCGAAATCTATCATTTTGATATTCGGGTAGGTGACGGACATTATGGGTTCCGTATCTTCGTCTTCGTTCATTCTGCCTTCCTGCTTGATACGCCACCCAGCAATGTGCCACACTGAAGGCAGCTCCATGAAAGGAAGGAAGAAACGCAAGTTGTCGGCGTCAGTATCTCCTCGCTGGCCTAGACGGAAGGATTGTAATTTGCTCAGGGCAGTGGTCCTTTCTGGGTTCAAACGCGTGGCTTGAGCAATTCTCGAGACCATTTGAGAGGTGTAGGGGAGTGGTCTGTAGTGTATCCATATCACGATTTCTTTGAGGTTGGGAAGCATGGAAAGGAGGAGTGCTAGTGCTGCGTCGTCGTCGCCGTTTTCGCTGATAGCGGTTTTCCACTTCAAGTCTTCACCTTCTGTGAGATATGGACAAGCTACAGGATCACTTTATTAGCGACTTCAATCGCCATCATTCCACGGGAAAATTCTTACCCTCGACAGACTCTCTAAACCCCTTGCGGTTCTCCATGATCCCCCTTTCTCTGTCCCTCCCTTCAAACATATCCCCTTCATCTGCACTTCCCTCTCCATCAGATTGATCATGACTATACTCTAGCATCTGCACAACTCTGGGATAGAATGCCATGTTTGGATTGCTCTCGATCATATCCAAGTAGACAATCGGAGACAGAAGCCCATCCATTTCGACTGAGTAGCCTAGATATACAACCTTGTGTTTCTGCGCTAATTCTTTGTGTCTCCCCAAGTTTGTTTTGGCTACTTCCAAAAGAAATCTGCAAGTCAGAGAAACCCCGAAAACTCCATGTGGTGGAAGTAAGGAGAAAATCTGGCAGAAAATCTCGGGCGAAAGAAGGAACAGAGGTGCAGCCATGTTGACGGGAGGTGTATTGGAAGACTGAGGGGAGTCGCCTTGGAGAAAGCTTCGCTGGTACAAGAATTGCTTGTGATGATGGGCTTATATGCTGTCAGATCGATTTTCATGTCAGGGTAAGCCTTTTTTTTTGAATACGAGATTTATTCAGCAGGCATTTCTCAGCTTGCAGGGATTTATACGGAGAGTGCAGCACACTGCGTCTATCTAACTACAACCATCTTTCCGGCTGCAATCAAACTTTGAAACGATTTGATGTTTGAAAAATCACTAGGTGTGTGAGTTTTACTTGGAGGAAGAAGGTATACTTGAACCATACCCTTTCCTGGCCCCCACCCCTTTCATCAACCAAAATTTTTGAGACGTGCTTTTAGGACACTTTGATTGGCCCTCAAATTCTAGGAGATTTACAGATCCAGAGAAACAACTGCTATCATTGTACCAGAAATCTTGGTAGTTTTATTCTGATCAAGCATCAGAGTGTTTCTCAACAAGACCGTTCCAAATAGTCCTTGCGCTGCTCACCAATCCAAAATCGGCATCAACCAACAACAATCATCTCGAGCTTGTCTTTACCTGCATCACCTCATAACTCTCGACCAACAAACAGAACCGACATTGGGGACATGGGCGACAAGAGGGCGAACTCAATGTCGGAATCTCCACTCTTGCGTCTCCTCGACTCCCGAGACTGATTTAGACTTTGTGGGTTCTCTTCATCAATCTGCTCGTCGCCACATGGTGAGTCCGCATAACAGATGCAGATAGTGATTAGCACTACGACTGCTGCCAGAATAACTGCGGCGATGCGAAGCTTCAAAACTGATTTCTTCATGGTGGGCGTCTGCTTAGTTGAGTAGTCGTTGTAGATGTTGCTTTGAAATTGGGAATCGATGAGGACTATGGACTGTCTGCTACTGTTGGTGACTTTTGGTGTGTGCGAAGTTGAATATGTCGCTATTATTGGTTGTTTTTCCTCAGTGTGATTTGATGCGGCAGGATATTTGCGTGGACGATGTTCAAACAAAAGAATTCCAACATTTTTGGTAAGTGGTGGTACACCTAGGTACTTATCGGTAACTAAATTCTCATTTCGACTAGACAGACGTACTAGTCCAGGACGCGGGGAAGGTACCCATAGTAGCATAGCGAGCGGGCTAGCTCAGTTCTGTTACCTACACCCAAGGAGAAACATCCAAAGGCTGAAGGACATTCACCAAGTTATATCGCTAGAATCATCTGATCTGTTGTTTGCAATTTCCTCCTGGCTCTTGATGGGCCACCATTACCGCGGAACAAATTTCACATATTCGGCTTGGATTATGGATGTCACGTACATTGCGCCCGCGATTTCACAGCAGAAGACGACGATCAATATCGCAAGAACAATTTATCATTCCTAAGGATGGACAGTCGGAGGCTCGAGTTTCTGGTCTTCGGACAAGCATCGCTGCTCAGATAATGATTGTGAAAGAATATGCACTGATGTGCGTGCTTGTGACGTCTTGTGGAATTCGATTTATAAGATCCATGTGTCTCGTGATGACAGGACATGATCACAGGACGTGAGGGAGAGATGAGGTACTGGTGACAATTGAGACGATCGAGTATATCACTAAATAAGAAAGTTGTACGAGGTTGAAACATGCATTGACTGTACTACAAAAGACTTCCATCCCCATCCTCCACCCTCCACTCTCCATTGTCCCGATCGTAATACAACCACTGTCAATCCAAAGCTCTTCTTCCTCGACGCGTTCGTTTCGATGAGATGACGAGCTAAAAGTAAGGGTTGTCAGTTGGGGTTACCAACTGAGTAAGGCACAAATACTGTGGGGATATCTGCCAGCATCATGAAGGACATCAAACTGTCGAACAGTACACAGCAAGCTCCTCACGCGCCCTGAGGTATAAGCAGCCTGCAGGTCCATCTGTCCCTCAACTAAGGGCTAGGACAAGTTTGGAAACACTTCATTTAACAAGAAAACTCGCAAGAGCTCCACTCAGAGACAGCCAAAGTAGGAGGGTTGTGATCACCGAGTGATGCCTGAGAGCCGTGCTTATGTCTGAGGACGAGATAATTGAGGGAGGCTGCTGCTACCAGCGCTCATTACATGCTTGCCGAAGCGACGATTGAGAGCATGAAACAGAAACAGTAAAACAACCCTGTGCCTTACCTGGTTTGACTTGTGTATGGGATGTTGTGGCCGACAGAGTGTGCGACCGAGTGAAGTGTCGTGTAGGACCGAGGTTGTATTATTATGCGAGGAGGAGGGAAACTAGTGTAGAGCAGTCGCAGATGCAAGGAACCTATGAGAATGTCGATGAAAATGATAGCCACGGTGCATATAATGATGCGATCGAGCAGTGGGAGTCTGCGAAGCTTACCAGTCGATATGTGAAATCCGCATGCAGTCGTAGGGCGCGACTGTTGTGCGACTGTTGATGCTTGGAGAATTGTAGGCAAGGAAGGAAAGATAATAGAAGAGAAGAAAAGAGAGGATATAGAATATAGGTCGGTAATGTGGTGTTGATGTGTTGATGTGAACGGAAGAAGAAGAGAGGTGACGGGAGATCATATACCTGCTCAGCAGATGGCGCTAAAATGAGTGATTGCGAGAGTGGATCATCTCTAAGAACCACTAGCACTGGCAGGTGTTGCTGCAGAGAAGACGGACACTCTTGATCTCACTGTAAAAATTTTGCTCGTGGTATATCTTTCTGTTGTAACAATTGAAGTTACATATTGGGGAAAGAAAGATACAAGGCTTATCTATTCGAAAAAGAGAAACCGTACCCAGTCGCATGGGCATACAGGTTTACCAACGCTGCTCAGCGAAGCGAATGGTGTGTGATCTGGATGTAGCTCCGCGCTAATTTGTGTCTGGGTCGGAAGGAAAGCAACTCTCCCTCCTACACACTTTTTTTTGTTTCGCGCGATGAGAGCCTGGAGACAGATGCCACATATGTAGAAGATTTGTAGATTCTGTAAAGATGTCTGATTGATCGATGAAGTGCGTAAATGATGGTTCCAGCTCCGTGAAGTTGTGTATTTGGACCGTCAACACCATGAGGTGTGTCTTATAGAGCATCCCACAACAATCGGGACAGCGTGAACGAACACAGGGCAGACTATGGACTGCGTAGTTCCGTGTATCTTCGCCCATACAGGAATTGTAGTACACAGCTCTTGAGAAGAGACCTGATAGCAATAGAAGAAAGGGAGAGGATCAGTCTGTCGGCTTGCCTCACGAATTTCTGGTCCTCAATCCCTGCTCCTCCGGCAGTACTGTACGAGACTAAGAGACAGCGACCAATATTAAAGCAATTATCATCGAGACTCGAGCTCTAGCATCAGCGCTGGCAAATGCTGTAACAGGCACCGCTCAAGTGCTTCTGCCCACCGAGTACCACGTGACGCCAACGGCATCATTCGAACCCAAAACAGCAGGAGCAGGTAACTTTACACTAGAAAAGATGCTCGAGTACACGTTTGACGTATTCATGACCCGCGACCATTATTTTGACAACAATACACGTTCAATCAATACTTTTTTCTTCCCATAGCCAAATGGTTGAGAAGAGATGTCGTCCGAATTTTCTTGATCGAGACAGCGGTGCCGCAATCTGCTAACCGGATGTGGCTGGGCTTCCCCACATCTTCTTTTGGAGAAATCGCTCAATAGCTCGAGCATACGTCAAGTCTCTATCCCGATTCATATTTACTCGAGGAACAGTGGATGTCAAAGAACCACTCCCTTCAAACCGTCGGGAGTGTTACGGCCTCCAAAGTTGAGAAGAGATTGGAATCTCGAGACAGAGACGGCAGCATCTTACAAGCAACGAAAGCCAGATTGTGGCAGGTCTACACTTCCACTGATCGCTCCTCAGCACGTGGCTAAGGCATAGGTGGCATATATGAAGATGGAAGGGTCACCAAAACTTGAAGGTTGAAATGGTATATCAGCATGCGAAGAAAAAGATCAGTTCCTTCGATCTCGATGGATCGACTTTTCTCACTTATTTTGTCCCACAAGCTCTGGAACTGTGTTTCCTCATGCTTCATTTTCACGGCAGTTCGGTGAGCTGCGATTCAAAGCACCTGTCTTCAGGCTGTGGTAGGCCCCTAGCGAATTATTTCAGGCTCCAAATTCAGTGCATTCAAAGCCCTGGCGGGTGGGGGTTAGCGCTGTTAGCTTCCTGACAAGGCATGTTCCCGCCAGGAATCCAGATAAGGGAAGGGCAACCAGCTCTTCCCGTGACCAAATGTCCCACGACGGGAACCTGCTTCTAAGGTAGGTTTTTACAAACGGAAAGCTCCTCCCCTCAAAGAATCTTCCCTCAACATTGTCCTCAGATCAGCACCAGCTTCTTGGTTTAAAGAGACAGACGCTTCCTTCCTTGAAAGCTTCTTTCATTAACACCATCCTCCGATGGGCTACCCAGCTGGTATCTCTCTACTAAAGCTCTCAGGTTGATAACACGATCCTTCCTTCTCTTGGGTTAGAGCTCAGCAGTGGAATTCCTGAAGACGAGATACTGAGGTGCTACAAACAAGAACCCGCCGCCATCTTCGATACTGACCCGTTGCAGGCACTTCAAGCCAAGATGGCACATCTAGTAGCTTCATTCAATCGCCTTGATCGATCAAAGCAGCTTCCATCAGGTCTTCTTAAAAATCACTGGTACTTCACTGTCAGACATGTGCCACTTCACACCCAGCGGGTGACACGGTTCAGATCATCAATACCGAGAGCCGCTTCCAAATCACCACCGATCGAACGCAGATCCTATCTTTGCCAACCGACGCTGCGCAAACCGATGTTATTGTACCACTTCTTCTTGGAACATTCGTCAAAGGGCTCCATCGTGGCTCAGATATATTACCTGACGATGTCCCACCCTTTGCTCCGTTCTCATGGGGAACGAGAAGTCCGGACCTTGCCCGAGCTATCGAGGTCAAGCTCCGAGCTTTAGGAGTGCGGTTAGATCTCTGTACCGTACAGCCTGGGACTAAGGAACAAGGTGAAGTTGCTGATGAGAGCTGGATCAAAGTTATGGACTTAGTGACCAACACACTCGGGACAGCGTTACCTCAACAGGCAAGTCAAGGCAGGGTGATCTGCGGTGGTTGCAAGAAAGACTCTTCATGGTTCAGTGCTGGTTTGATGAAATGTTTCCGGTGCAACAATCAATCTTACTGCTCCCGGAGTGCCAGAGAAGCGACTGGAAGGAGCACAAGAAGGCTTGTGGTGAAAGAAGCAGAACATCCAATGGTCAACAGTCCTCTTCAATGTCCGGTCAAGCATTGGAGCCTTCCGACTATTACCACAGAGTGGCACGTACCATTCCCGAAGCAAAGGTTCTTGCAGATTCCATTAACTTGCCTCTTCCACCTAGAGGTGGCGGCCTTTCGTAAGTTTGTATCTACGTTCTGCACCAAGCTCTAACATTACAATCCAGTAAACCCATCCGCCGCCTTGTCATAACCGGTAAGGACACAACCCAGAACCTCCGACTCCTCCTCGGGCCCAACTGGCAAAGCGCATCTTCCACATGGAGCGAAGCTCGCATTGAAATTCTTCTCGATGCACCCATCGGCTCACCTAGCTACGCCTTCCACAAACGCAACGATGAGGGAGGTCTTGTGTCTAGTCCACGATCCGCAAGCGTAGATGAGACAGCTAGGATACAAACGGTTCGTGAGATCCAGCAGGCTATTCGAACACGTTTGGGAACGAGAAGACAACCCACCACCCAGGACATGAAGGCTGTTCTTCTGACATTTGGCAACAATTGGGGTGCGATGCTTCCGGATTATAACTTGGCGGTTAACACGATGGATCAGGGGGTTCCAGTGCGTTGGGGGTCTGGCTTCGATTGCTGAAGATTTCAAACACTGCTCGTGCAGACGAGAATTGTGAGCCTTTGCGATGCGGTAACTGTCCTTTAGAAGAATAGCTTTGCGTTATGATTTTTGATCAATCACGAATGTGTGTCTACGCCCGAGGAAAGCTGCTGTCTGGCCGGACATTTGCAAGAGATACTTAGAGTTTGCGATTGTAATCATTGAGTAACTATGAAATGGTCGAACAACTTTCGTATGTATCATCTCATAATGTGAATGCCAATTCGTTCAAAGGTATTATGCGCCATTGCCGATTCCGCTTGAATGTTCAAGAGGTGACCGTACAACGGGAACTAAAGACAGAAGAATGATAGATAGCAAAGCATTTAGATGCGTTCTTTTATGTATGAGCTGTTGCGCATCGTTGCGATGATCTTCAGTGACGGCTGTCTTGCGGCTGGGGATCTCGATTAATTACCCCGCCCCCTTTTCGAGGTTACCCCGCACCGCGTTCCGAGACACACTTGAGCCTTTGGCTGTGTTCGTCGTCTCTATTCAATTTGGTCCATAAAGTTGAAGTAATGCAGTTTCCAGCTCTATCTCTGGAGTTCTTTTCCAATCTTAGGACTCTACCTGATCCTGCGTATAACATCACTACTAATATTGATATCGATGGTACATTTTACATTGCTCAGTTCAGTTGGTATTACACATTCTTTGTTACATTACCTCATATGCTGCTCTTAGTCTTATCTGGCCTCAGCATGAGACATTGGTCCTTCGTATGATCGATCCGGACGATGTTATTAAAGGATTCCCGTTAGTATCTAAAGAGGCTAATGTTACTACTGATAAGATTGAGGGAGCGTAGAGTTCAAAGAGAATTAGATTAGAATGTTTGATCTCAGATTCTGGGGACGGTCACCAACTAGGACCATATTATTCCCTCCGACTTTAAATCCTTCAAACCTTGGCTCTATATTAGGTAGAAATCAAGCGCTAGTACAACAGGATAAACAGGAACCATGGATTGATCCATTCACGTATACAGCCTCAATTAACTCCTAGAACCCGCTGTGGACTTCGCTCCGGAACTGGAAAATGCTCCTCACTAGAGACACCATTTGTATCCTGTGGCATGTCTCCAATTTGGCCGTTGACCCTGTCGCTTGTCTCACCCGTATCTGGACTTTTGCCATGATCGGATGCCATCTCAATCCCACTATCCTCGGTTTGAATAAGGGTAGTAGGGTCCACCTCGGGGGTAGTGCTCTGCGCCACCACATCATCTTCAGATACATTTTCGGAATCCTTCTTCTGTGCTGATTTACCCTTGGCTGGTCTCGCCTTCTTTGGCGGAGTCGGCGTCGCTGTATTCTTCTCGGCTGAACCTGTTTGCGCCGTGGTCATTTCCGTTTCAGGAGTCTCAGTAGGATTATTCTTTGCCGTCTCTTTCTCACTTTTATCTATCTCCTTCTTCTGTCTCTTCGTCATTCCCTTCATCTTCGTGAGTATCAGACCTCTGATACTGATATTGGCGAAATGCATCACGGCGACAATGTCTTGAACACCTGGTGTGCCAGCAGGAAAGATCAGATGCAGCCCCGTCTTCTGCTCCTCGTCTGGACACCATTTGTCATAGTACCCCTTCTTGCCAGACACTTTCAAGCCTCCATAGACGGACTTGTGTGTTCTTCTTGTTAAGCTTTGGATCCATTTCGGCATGCCAAATATTTCGCCAGATTCTGTGAGAGGCTCGTAGCCGAGAGATAGGTATGTACAACCTGCTGCATTCAAGAGAGCCATCGAGGAGTAAACCAAGAGGTCGCTGATGCCTCGTGGCGCTGATGGATGCTATTGACAAATCAGCACATAAATATACACAAAGTCCAAGAATATGAAGCACGAATGATACTGTGGCCCACAGTAATTCGAGAGTACGGGGGCAATGAAACTTGGGACATACAGCGATGTAAGGGTCAAGGTGGAAGCCATTATTTGCTCCAATTCTTCGCAACGCTGCAAAGCCATTAGGGGTTCCCATACGATCCATGGTATAAACATAAGTCATAAGACCAGTAATCGCAAACGGATCAAACACTGTGATGAAAGCTTGAGGGTCGCCGCTATTGTTTCGAGCTTCTCGCCAAGCGTCATAAACTGCCACAAGCTTGGCCTGAAGCTCCGAATCCTTCAGTACTGAAGGATTATAGATACCTAGAGTGATAGCTCCTTTTGATGGGTTGAGAAGCTGTCGATTTTGACTGATGATGCGTTTTTGCGTCTTTTCTTGTATGACTGCGTTTGTAACTGGGTTAAGGACACGCTCATTGCCGAATTGTATTGTCGTCCATCTTTGTTCTCTTGCATATGAAGCAAATGTATCACTATTGAGAATTAGCTCTCCCGAGTAAAAGAATAATCAGAAAGCTATCTCATTCTTTCTCAGGATAAGACAATTTTAAAAACTCTACATGTAAACGAGACAGGAAAATTGCATACCTTGCTCCTATGAAGATAATACCCCAATTATGCTTCCGCCGGAACTTTGCGAATTGATCCAGGAGTTCAGAGAACAGTTCTTCAGGACAGAGAGGATCTCCGCCAACGAGGCACACGTGATCTTTAACCTTGAAGCAGAGAGCCGCATTGAGAGCAGTAGTGACAAAAAAGCTGTACGAGCCATCGAGAATGCCCATATGCGAGACTCGTCCATAGCTATCTGTGAGCATGCTAATTGCATCCACAGCTGCAAAGTCTCCAAGGGTGAAGATATTCGTATATCCAGTCGCTTTGCTCTTGGTGTTGATCTTTGAAGTTGAGACGGTGGAATTGGGTTCACTACTCTCGGAAACAGCGGCTCTCCCGGGAGTTGGGTTGAGGCTGAGTTGATCGAAGAAGGTATTTCGGAATCCTTGAGCGGAAGCGGCGTTGCTGGAAGGGTTCGTTGACGCTGGTGTATTTGTTACAGATGAGTGGACGTTGATGAGTCCTAGGGATCTCAGACGATCGAGAAGTGTCGGAGAATCGTGTGGAACTTGCATGTCGTGGACTAGCTTGTCGACCATATTGTGGGATACTTGCTCAAACAATTTTGGTTCGGGTGCTGGCGGTGGTCGATTTGCCGACCTTTTCTTTGCTTTCTTCACATTTTGCGCAGTCTTTGGCATCGACTGAAGAGAAGGCTCTTGGCCATTGATTGATGCCATTGTGAAATCTTAGCTGCCGTGGCTATTCCGAAGAAGAATTGTTCTCCTGGGCAAGTACATCAAAGAAGATGAGTCATCCGATCATCAGCAGATTCAAGAGCTAGAGTAAGTTTTGAAGAAGAAAGAAAACTGAAATTCAAGGCTGTAATATATTGTGAGGACTTTTCAGACAGTGGCAGTGAGATTACTCGAACTCCCAAAAAGAGCGAGTGCTCCAATCAGTGAAAAGTTAAGATATAAGATCGGAGTAATGCTGAACGAATCTGCGAATGGCGAACGTTGCCAGGTACAGTAATCCATGTACTACGGCTCGGGCTATGCTCCATAGGGGGGCTCGCTTAACTTTAGTGCTGTAACATTACGCCACATCAGCTGCATCCCTACAACATCCGGCACGGAGACCGACTTCCATTGTCTTTTGCCTTCCGGTTGGTATCTACCTCTGGGATGAGGCTTATTGGGATCTTGAAGGGGCGCACGAGCGTCTTCGAGTTTCACGTGATACGCTTTAGATGTGGTGTTTAAGGCTCAAATAAAGTTAAGGTTAAAGCTAAAGTTAGTAAGTCTAAGCCTATTTAAGTAAAGCTATAGCCTAATCGGGTAAAGCTTGACCCCTAGGATTTTATAAGTAAGAACGTTGATTTCTTAGTATAGAATATTCTAATCTTTGCCACCACGAATTAATTATAAATAAAATAATTAAAAATACTTCATTTGTATTAAGTCACGTGATGCAACTCGAGTTGCAACTTGAGTAAGTTGAGTTGAGTTGAGTTAGACTACAATAGCAACTCAAAGTCAACTCAACTCAACTTAACGTACTCAAGTTGCAACTTAAGTTCGTTGATTTTTTTGGTTACACTGGGTGGAAGATGGTTTTTCGCAATTAGCGGTATTGTCACGATCACGGGACCCATGGGCCATAGGCCCAGTAAGCGGGGGAACCTGACCACGTGATGAAGTCCGAGGGAGTCTGATGGACTCCCCGGGACTCCTGGACTCCAGGGAAAGACGGACTCCAGCACACGGAGAAACTATATAACCACTCAACTTCACTCGTTAGATAGGAGCTCGTGCTCAACTTGATTATTATTCTTGACTTCAATACTATTGCCGACTTTACTTCATCTACCATACCAACCCACGTGACCTTACTTCCAGGTAAGGCAGGAACCGTGACAGGTATGTCCAAGAGTTTATATTGCAGTTGAGGATGGAATGCGGACGGAATATTAGGCACACTGTAATCTTGTGTATAAGATAGGGTTATGTTAGGGACTTCTCACAGTTAAATAGAATGGGATTTTCTATCTTATTAGTAAGGTAGATTCCTAATTGTAATATTATAATCGTTTGAAGAGTTAACTTCGCAAAAAAGTCCCTCAATATAAAAGCACTATAAGGACGGCTGATATACGTTTCACTACATACAAGCAAAAGTTCGCATAACTCTTAACTAGGTTAAGAGTTATTGTTAGCATTTACAAGCACCTATATGCTGAATGAGAAGACAACTCTAACTGGCTCGGTCACGTGCGCAAAACCAGCTATCAAAAGAAGAAGGGAGTGCCTTCCTTTCTCGATATTCCATCACAGCCCAACGAGCGCACACTAAATTTTGATACTTAAACTTCTCGCACGTTCTTCTGTTTCCTTTCCTCTTCACCTCACTCGAAGTTTTCACTGCATGCACGAAAAATTTCACAACTTACACGCACTCTCCAAACTTGTTTTAAATCATTGGGACCTGCGTTATAAGGAGGTCTATATCAGAATGGCGGTAGCAGACTTGATTTCAGCATGGCTTTTGCGTTTCATTGCTCCAATCATCCTCTATTTTGCCAGACAGTATGCAATTCACAAAGGGTGGCTCAATGCACCCTCCAATCCTTCTGATGACATAGATCGTCGAGCCTTTGATGTCTTTAATGCCGTTCTCGAAGTCCTTCGGGGCATTGATGGGAACATCAGCGGGCACCGCGAGGAGTTCGTTGATAGCCTCAATGACATCAAGGAAAACCTGGACAGATTGAAAGAAATCAGCGAAGCACGCGAAAGAGATGGTGGAATGTTGATTTATCAACGCGTACCTACGCCACATGTCCCAAGTGCTGCTGTACACCTTGACGGCTGAGAGGCTATGAAGAGGACCTGAAAGCTGGAAGCGGCATCGCGGAAAGTGAGTAGGGCACCAGCGATGAGCTCGCACTTCTGCGCAGTGCTGGTGACTAGTAGCCCAAAGGGTGAAGCTAAGACGAGCTCAATCTGCGCGGTCTTCCAGTGAAAACAGGTCAGTTTGCCCTTGAGTGGTTGGGTTCTTGTTCGCTGACTACCCACTTATTCTCTGACATTCCGTACAAGCGATCACTGTATCCATGCGCCTGGCAGCCATTTGAATTCATCAGGTACGTAATAAGTCTCTGGGACGAACAGAGTACTAATTGCTCCGCTTTCGGCGAGCCAGATACTTAACGGGTTTCCCATCCCAATAAGACCTTAGCTGAAATACCGACATCCTCACCACCCGCCTTCCATAGTCAGGCTCCTTTGCGACCTATCCTCCCGAATTGATAGAAGTGGAAGGGGAAACACGAAAGTCTGATCCAAGCATAAACACTGGAAATTTGCTGTACTGGTAGGGTGGCTTTCTGCGTGCTGGATCCATTTTACGACGAACCCCACGACGATATGTTGCAAGAAGAAGCTACCTTAAGAAATTGAAGGATATATTTTCTGAGAGATCATATTTAGACTCCCTAGGAGCCGACTTTGTGCCTTGAACATAATCGTGTAGAGTTGATAACGTTCATATGGCGGAAGGGAAGTATGATTGGGTACTAGAAGAACAGCAAGGATATGGCCGAGTATCCTAAGCAGAGGGTGAGGCGAGGATGAGTAGGGCCTGAGCAGAGCGGCGATGCTGACTAGCCGCGTTAGATGCGGAATAGAAAAAATGTCGTCTGAGATTACCGAAGTAAACTACAGACCATACAAGTTCATATTGAGATCTTCCCAGAGGTTCTACTGTGACAATATCGTAACAACATTTTCTCTGAGCCTAAGGTCCTCTGGTTACAGAGTTGGATTCGCATTCCCGCCCTCTATGCCACCTCATCCACGCTTAGTTTAGCAGCAGCTTTCTCGCTCTGTATCTTATCCTCAATATTCCTAGTCTCCGAACCATCCTGGTCAACGTGATTTTGCCATTGGAGCGAGTCTTCTTTGAAAGATGGTAGAATGATCCGGAGAGCTTCCATAAACACCGGTATCAAGCCGAATATATACATAGGATCAGAGGGAATCTTAGATTGTTCGTTTGAGTTTGCAACGGCGTAGTCGCAACAGCATCGATCTAAGTTTTCGCACAATACAGGACGGCTTGTAACCCAAACCACAGGAACTCTTCACCCGGTGGAATTAGTTCTGCACAGAAAACGCGCCATGTGGAATTGACAATGGTATTCACCCCTTAGCAAATCAGTATTACAATCCAGAATTCTAAGTAATGCTATGCAAAGTCAGCAATTGTGTTTGCGAAACCACAGCTAGCGTATTTGTCCACCAGGATATGAAGCGGCGGGGGAAACTAATCTTTTCACCAAAGTTATCTTGGCTTGACATGTTAATAGAGCTCAAACGCCGATAATGAGAATAAACGATCTACCCAAGCCGCAGGCTGTTTGGTGGCTGAAACTCTTTCGTGCGGGGTCGCTGCTAGAGATGTGCCACATGCCACTGCAGACAAAAGTGGCACGATAGCAGAAGAGCCAAGAGGTATACTTCGCAGTGTAGTAGCAATCGAATCCACATATTTTATACTTGAGAATTGTAGAAAATCTCGACGATCCACAGTGAGGGATAAAGAGCTCGACAACAGTAATAAGTGCTTCTGAGAGTGATTGGTGTTGAAATTGTTAATTTTGAGCTGATTAGTTTTTGTTTGTATATCAATACTTCACCTGATGGCATAATAATCATACCCCAGATCCTCAACAGGCTAGCTCTCGTGTGACAAGACTACCTCAGGCAAAGCTTGTTGTCGTTGCCTAGATTCTCTCGTGTGTTCGTGTCTCGGTCGCGTTCACTGTGACATCTACTCCTCAGTTCACATCGTAAACAATCTACCATCAACTTCCTCAAAATACATGCTTCCTATCCTAGAAATCGCTAGCAAGCTACTCCAGTCATATCTTTCCTTCAATTTACTGCTTTCCCTCCCGAAATCCACACTCTGATTCAAGATTCGTGCGCGCCAAATGATCTCGTTTGCCTTCGACTCACTTGGTAGGTAATCGAAATCTGTTTTTTTTTCACCACAGCGGCACTAACTCATGCCAGCAAATACCTGTACAGCTTCGCTTCAAGAACAAAAAAGCCAATATCCCTCGAGGGTATAGATACCGGTCCTCTTTGCAGCGAAGATGCTGGCTCATCACAATCACAATTCTTTCACCGAACCGATTACTGAATCAAGTGTCACAAACTATCATACGAAGCAATTCGGTTACGAAACGAGTCACTTGGACGATCGACTGCAGCAATGAACAGAAACTGCAGGACGAGCTACGATTCAGACCATTGTGAATGTTTCACCAGAAGAAAACGATAGCATTATCGGTTCAAATCTTGGATGCCAAAAGGCATGAATTATTGTGGATCCTGCAAGAAATTCACAAAGAGGAAGGCAGGAGATAATGGCAGATGTGAGGCTGATGTTCTTGTGCAAGAATCAATATGTTAACGATGCAGGTTTTCAAGGGCGCCCAAAACGCAGGAAGGTTAGGAGCAAGAACTGGACATATTCGAACAGACGCCGTTGATTCGGACGGTGGATTTTAAAATAGTTCAGAGAGCTGCGATGATTGAACTCGAAGCAATTCAATGGAACAACTGCATAGGAGGACAGTAATAACGTTGACAGAGACAATAATATATGGTATACATGGTATGGGTACAGTTAGAGTCAGCGGTACTGATTGGTGGAGCACGGAGGATGAATTTACATCTGATGGCTCACGACTTGACGAATTACGGCTGCTTGGATGTAGTGTGCGAAGAAGATGTTGGTATTTCTTGTCAGCGGTCAAAAAAAGCGATGTTTCAAATTGCGACTGTTAAAAGGTTGGCAAACACATATAGATTAACTCTGATGTTCATCGTCTAATACATTTCCGACCATCTCATATGCTACACCGTCCGCAGGTTCCTGAGACCTTATTCTCCACGCAGATGCATCAATAGTCTGCAAATACAGCGTTGCGGGCCTCAAAAAGAACCAATAAATTGGGACAGCCAAGACAACTGTCGTTGCGTTGACAATCTGGTATCCATCAATCAGCGAGGTAGATCCAGTCATGTCATCAGCCATGCCTATTGCTTTCGTGCTGAGGAACTGCAAGGTATCATATCTAATATTCAGCGTCGTTGCCAGCACAGACATGTATACACCTCCGAATTGAGGGTCGGAGACTTGCGCATGAAACGCAACGAAAGCAACCCACATTGCAACTCCGTATAGTTGACTCAGACAAAACGGAATCAGAATAACAAGCCAGCGGAAGCGGGAATTGGGGTACCGGGCAACAAATAGGATCGTCAGTTGAGAGATGAAGGCGAGTATCAGGCGCCATGGAAACATCCTGCGCCAGACGTGCAACGGATGCCTTGTCTGCATGGCGTTTGCGACCAGAAAGCTACCTGCGATAGCAAAAGGGAGACCGGCAGTTGCGAGAATGGCGAGATCAAGATCGCTGAAGTGGTTTTTGACTAATTCGAGGATGGTGATAGTGTCGTTGGTTATAAATCCGACCATGGATGCCACGTGAACGAGCATCAAGGTCCACACATGTCGGAGCTTCAAGATTTCCCAGATGATATTGTAGACCTTCCGAATTGACTGGCGTTTCTGTCCTTTATCACTTTCTCTGTTTCCAATCATCAACAGGATAGCAGTAGCGATAAAGACAGTTGCCGAAGCCCCGAAAAACAAGAACGTACTTGCTGGTTCCGTTTTACCGTCTTCTTGTATTGGCGAATTCAGAGATGTCACTCCTAAGAACAGGTTGCATGAAATTAAACCGGCACTCGTTTCGCCTACATTGGTTATCGAGGATGCCCAATGAACATTGGGCGGCGAAAGCAGGTTTATAGACCATGAGTCGAGTGCGATTCGAATATTTGAACAAACAAACATGATGATCAGCCAAGGAAGCACAATCCATGCCATTGCGAGCGAACTGCCATTTGCTACCTCCATAACAAGCGAATCTTGTGTGAATGCGAGCCAGAAGAGAACGGCACCCCCTATTACGAAAGATGGTACAATCCATGTTTTCCTCCGACCAATGAGGGGGTGATGCAGTCCGTCAACGAGTGGACTCCATAGAGCCTTCCAACTGTAAGGATACTGCGAGATCAGGAAGGTACCAACGGCGCTATAGCTGAGTTGTTGGCGAAGAATGATGGGCATAGTGTACCACGAAAACGTAAGAGGAATTGCGTGAATAAAGTAGATAGTACACAGAAAGACTAGATTCTTCTTCTCGAGGAACGTCAGGACTGGCTTGATTGTGGTATGCTGCTCGTCAAGGCGCTCGGAAAGATCGCTGGAATCATCAATATCCCCATGATCGGTAAGCTGGTCCAAGCGGCGCAGCTCTAACATGGTGCCACGTTTAAGTGTTCCAGGGGCCGATGACGAGCAGATGAAGCTGATTCAAATTGCGGAGAAAGGGTGTAGAGAGGATAGAGTGAATAATTGAATCCTGCAGCTTGCGGGTGGTGTTGTTGTTGAGGGATTGAAAAATCTTGAAGAGGCTGAATAGGACGATAGGTTGAGGCTGAATAGAAGAAAAGTTGGTGCTGAGGCCGCTACGAGTCAGCTTGCCATTGTCCGTCGACATGCCCATCCTTAGTATTGGCCTGCAACTCACTGTGGTCCTCTGCTTACGCGTTCAGCTACCGGTGGCATCATTCTCTTGGTGCATCCTATGCTGACAGTACATCAAATGCATGTTGCGTATGCCATGAAAACCATTTGGGCAGTAAAGAGCGTATCAATAAGTCTGAAGATCGAAGTACAGGAGCGGGAGTGAAGATAAGAGTAGGTGAGACTAAACGACCCCTGGACTAGACCTAAAACGTCGAGTAAAAGTGGATACACGGATTCCAAGACACAGTCAGCAGGGTTTGGTTCAGTAAGACACACAAACCATCTGGAGATGCCAGAAGGTATCCCTATCTCCAGGAAAGATATTCTTAACTAGATGAAGTATCATTGAGACTTATCTTGAGACTGAAGCCACGCTTCCCTGCATCGAGTTGTGGAGATCTCGGATGTTTTGTGTCACGTGACCCGTACGATTGCCATAGCTTCGGCTCGGAGGATAATAGTTGAAGCACGGCAAGGACCGCACTACTGCAGACCAGGAGAGCCACTAGTGAGCGCATTTTAGTCCGGCTGCCGTACTACAGTTCATCTTCTTCAAGCCAGCGCTCTCAATAGACAAGCAGTTTTAGTGTATCCGATAAGAACTGTCCGTCTAGGCTGCTTATGGATATAATTTTTAAAATGTCCGTCATCTTATTAGTAGACACGGATATCAGTTCAAAAAAACTACTAATATCCGACTACCCGTCTACTCTAGGGGTAAAAGCCGGGGTGGAGGCTAGGGTGGAAGCTAGCCTAAGGATTAGAGAGATCAAAAGAGCTTACGGTGCTTGAAACTCTTTAAATATAAGAGGCCTGAGGTAGACGTGGCAAAAGCTTGAAGTTTGAGGTTGAAGTTTGAGGTTGAAGTTTGAGGTTGAAGTTTGAGGTTGAGGCTTAAAATCTAAGGCTTGAAGCTGAGAATATACGTTTAACAAGTTTTATTTGTCTTGTTGGCAGTAAAAACCGTCTATACCCATCTAGAATCGTGATGGTGATGGACATTTGAATCCGTACTAGTATGGGTAGTGATGGTTCAGGGCAAAAAACTGTCTGACTTATCCATTTTCTAGTGATCCCTAACTAAGATATTACACAGCTACTCCAATCGGCTGTATTGAGATCGTTCATGGCTATTCCTTTTTGGTATAGCTCTGGCGAATTTCTCCCGACAAATTCTATGTTATCCCAAAACATGTTAGAGTCTGGAGCCCCCTCCGGCTCCTTCCACTCCTCTCGTGGTGGATACGGCGATTTATCAAACAACAATCGAAGAGCATAACGTGTAGATGATTCCGTACTTCCCATCAAGCTCCAGCACGGTTCCCTGAAGTTCCCCTTCTCCATTCTGACCGTGAAGTACTTTGTTCGAAGGGCTTCATCGGAGAGAATACGTTCGTTCAGCATGTTGCCTTCTCGCATGATCGACGTATTCACCCCTGGTGCCAGCCTTTTGGTGAGAGTAATCTCGAGGTTGAGATGGCCTAGAAGCTGAGGGTCGGTTCGTGTGACACGTATGTTGTTAACGATTTGTTTTGGTTGGGGTGGTGAGAGAACCTTCCATTCAAGCTCCACAGCGATGAACCAGCAGGATTCTATACAGCACCATAACTTTCATATGTAGTCAGTAACCACTCCAAGGATAGGTGAAAATGCGGGGCTTAAAGTACACACTTCGCCAGTACCGTCCTTGTTGAATTTGATACTTCTGTGAAACCACGATCCGAACTGCCATCTATCTTCCCCGCAAAGAATCGAGCAAAGCGCTTCGTTCATATCGCTCTTGGTCGTTGTTTGTTGGCTAAATTTTGCGACAGAGCATTTCAAGATTGCTTTTTGGAAAAAAGGGTAGGCTGACGAAAGAACGCTTGGGCATAGATATCAAAGCGCCCAACGTCGACGCTACATACATATACGTACGCTAGCGTCTAAAAGGCATTTTTAGCATAACCGAACTTCGAAACACCGCTCATATACCGAGTATCTCGTATGAGTATACGTAATACGTATTTCACACATAACCTCTAGAGTTACGGTAACTTTAGTACTTTTATGGCTTTTCAGAATCTGAAGTCTCGGTTGATTGATACCTCACAATAAACAATTAGATATTGCATGTTACGGATCACCTGGATCACTTGGTTGGGGATCACGTGAGCACCTATGTGTTTTTAGCGCCAATACCCTCCAGCCTCCACGTGATCCTCCCTGGGGACGAATCAGGCTTAGAGCTTAAACTTGTTTCACTCTGGTAGATATAAACTCTGGCTCTCCCACTCTCCCCTTCTTTCTTTACCTTTAGATTCTAAGAGATAGCCAATCGATTCTTCGTCTACGTACTGAGCTCTCTACCGTGCTGTCACATTGCACTTTAAGTCAACCTTTTATCCAGCCCTAAATTCCATAGATCTTTTATTCACTATTCTTCGAATGTAGCTAATCCGAAGGCTGCATCGATTGCGGAACGCTTTTGACATTAATCTAGGCAGCCTAATCCACAGTTTCTAACTCCGCGAGTTTTCTTACACCCGCTGTATTCGATATTGCCACATAATCGGTGATAATGCTCAAGAGAATTTCAAGCTCGATCATCATTCCTACGGAAGTTTAGAGACTAGCCTAGTAGCTAGACTCACTGCTCATATGTTACATTCACTCCCCGATAATTGGTATAAAGCGACAAGTGCGGATTCATGCTTTGGCCTCTTAATCCAGATTTCTTTCGAACCAGCAATCATGCGGCACCCGACTCCCATTACTGCTTACTCGAAGTAAGATAACGCGTGTTCATTCAAAAACAAGCCGAGGAAGTCCAAAGCTACGAATGTGACGGATAACATGCCGAAAGATCGGTCTTACGTGGGGGTTTCCTTTCCTTGATGGGGGCCTAAGATTGCCGAACAAAATGATTACATCTGTACCGGATGATGTCGTTTGCAAAGCTTTCTGATTCGAGCTGAGTACGAGGTTATTTTGAACCCAGGGTAGCGGGTGGGGATGTCCAGCGCAGCGGCGCCGGGGCAATGGTCCACCCGCTCACCAATTCCACGTCTCGGGCTCGGGAGCTCGGGTTGATTCTGGTCAATGAAGATCGAGAGGGGCTTCGCTTATGGGGATAGGGGTGGAGCACGGGAGTAAGACGACTAGACTCTTTCGAGATTGTTGTGCGAAGGGTCTACGTGACCGAAATTGTGGGGTCTCATGCTCAGGTTGAATGCATGTGTCGCTCGAAATAACTTTCCAATTGCCTACCGCTTTGGAAAGGCCAGCCAACAAGTTTCGAGGCTCTAGAAGTGAATTTCTCGATAGTTCCAGGATCGCGTTTGTGCTTTGTTTGGATGCAAAAATATTCTTTGTAATTTTGCCTACATTTACTCACAATTTCTACCTCTTTCTTTTTTATCCTATCATGTTACACAGATTTCTGATTAGACTTGCACAGAGCAATGCGCCCCAGACTGAAGCCCAGTCTTCGTGCCTACGATCCAAGCCGAAACATCTAGGACAAAAGACATGCTCTGCTGTTGAACTATGATCCGCTCTGAGTTCTGCTAGCCCACGATCTCCTTGACAATCTACTACCCGTCAATCATTCTCAAGACGGCCAAAGAATCAAGCCCTCGCTTCGCCTTCAACTTTGGAAACGCTAGCTCAGAGCGAATAGGGACATCGACCCTAAGGTTTTATGCTTCCAAGAAGCGAAGAAAATTGACTAGGACAGGGTGGCCTGCACAGTTCTCCTTGAGATCCAGTTCGAGGAGGGCAATCCATACTTTTTTGGTGCTTATTCGGACTTGTGCCTACATGAAGAGTTGTATACTAGGAAGGGTTAATTACATGTCCTTTTCCACGGTCTCTTGACCAGGTTCGCCTTTCACTATACTCCACTTGAATTCATCGGCCCTTCATCCACCATTTCCCGGATCAATCTCTCTAGCCCTCTCATCCGCTTCCACGAACTTTTCCCGCTCAACCAGCTTCTCCGCCCTCTCCCTCTTCTCTTCCTCCTCATACATCTTATCAAAATCAAACGCCTCCTCCCTCTCAAACACCACATCACTTCTTAACAAAAACTTCTCCCCGCCCAGCAACTTATCCCCATCATGCCACACCGTATCCCGAAACACGCTCGCGCATCCCTGTACCGGCTGGATCCGCGCCAACACCTCCAACCCATCTATCCCATTCCAATAATCGCCCTTCGTAGCCTCGTGCCGCAAAATACGGGTCGAGCCACCGAGCGAGGAGGGGACAGTGTTCAGATAGATGTTTAGCGATAGGAAGGTTTGTTCGTTGAGGGAAAGAGAACGGGGGTAGTCGAAATGCGCCGTGAATTTGCCGTCTACACCAATCAATCCCCACTATATTTTCCTGTCAAAAGAGGGAGAAAACTTACCTTTTTCGTATTTCGATAGTCTCAAATCGGGATTCAGACCCTTTGCAACCCACCAATAGCCATCTTCGTCCTGAATTCGGGTCCCAGCATAGAATTTGCTGATGCGGGACCAGAGACGGTTTGCGAGTGGGCGGTCAAAGAATTGTTCTCGGGTGCGGATCGTGCCGTAGGTTAGATTTGAGGGAGAGAGGTCTGTGTGTGAGGCAATTATGGAGTTGCATTCTGAAAGAGAGAGGAGGTTGGAGATTATGTGGACGAAATGAGTGGGGTCGGTGGTGGGGAAGGGCAGGTGGGTCAGTGTAGCTAATGTAGAGGGTTCCGACATTATGTGAGAGTATCTAGATTGTACGGATACTTTTACCGCCACGCTTTCTTGATAAATAATATATGAGACACTTGGATGTTTGGATGGAAGTGATGTCTTCTTTCGTTTATGCCCAGCGGCGTCGCTGTTGCCTATTATCTGCCTGGGGTGGCACGGCCTGCGACTTGAATTTCGTCCATCTCAGCCACGTCGATCAAATGAGGGTTCGAGCCCAACTTATTGAAGAATTCTGGACGGACTTGATATATCGCGATATCTGCAAATCAAGTTTGCCCCGCACTTCAGATTATCATGCTCCGTGCTAAATATGCATTCTAATGTACGTCGGAACTTCAAAGCCTCACGACGCCTTTGATATGTGATGGCGTCTGCTGGTCAAGGCAGGTTGCGGAGGACACAGCGGTGCGACTAAATGACTCTGCTGATGACTGAAAAGACCTGGGGAAGAGGAGTCTCCAAAGCGCCAGAGTTGAGATCACATTGGACTCGGGAGGCAGCGCATATCGGAGATCCGGGGGGCCAATTCCTTCACCTTCTGATAATCGAAGTTACCAATAGAGTGGTCAGCCCAAATGGATGCGTCGGACATGCCCGCAGCTCTGCGACGCTCTAAGATCTCTCTGAGTGTGAGTCCAGCCATAGGTGATCTATTTGGAGGACGGTACGTCTTCAAGATAGCACAAAAAGCCCGGAAGCCGTGAAGCTCAGAGCCTTCCATGGTGTTGATGAGTGATAAGCGCCTTCACTCTGCAGGTAGGGCTCGCATCAAAGAGAAATGGAGGCTTCGAAAAGCAATATCAATTGAGAATCTCGTCCATGTTTATCCCAGCATTGCCAAGCAAGCCTTTGAAACAAAATTGATGCCAAAGATTACCAAGTCACAAATTGTTTGGACAAATTGCGGCCACATGCTTCTCCTTTCCCATAGTTACCAAAATATTTCCACAAGACCCAACCAACATGCTCGATTCGAAAACATAGTCGTTCGTTGAAGGTGGGGCGAGCCCCTTTCCAAAATCGCTTAATTTTTTTCGGCGCCACCCCACAAAATTCGCCAAAATGATGCAAAACTTATCCAAAAAGAAAAGGACATACAACAGCAGGTATTCGCTGGTGGTCACCCACCCAACTACTAATCTGCCGATCTGAGACTTATGTATGGCAGAGCGGACGGGATGCCCAGTTTTCCTCAGTCTATGGTCGTATGTAGCAGTGTTTGGGTTATTTATATCTATAGTCTATTCCCAATCATGCTGCTTTTGAGAGGACATCCTGTCCAATCGCAGAGGTGGGATACGGTCGCTCTCTTATCACGGACCCACTAAGCCAAAGCCTCATTCCTATCTGCGTATGCAAGCCAAGGGAAAGGGGATTGATCGTCAGTGAATTCGCCCCCCACCATCAACCTAACATGGGTTAATCTGCCTTGGGGGCTACACGACTGAACGCCCAGCTGAATATGTTACTCCTCATGATCCTTTCTCGAGCAACAAACATCAAGTAAGCACGGCATCGTATTTATTGTTCTCTAGCACTAGATCAAAGCTAGGTGAAAGCTAGACAGAACCATTATTTTGATAGTAGGGCGACTCACCGGTCATCGATGGCACCTACTATCCGCCGAAAGCCCCTTCCCAGCAGGATATGCACTGAGCCTCGCGCTTCGAGTACGCCTTCGTCAGTCAATTCGCAATCGGCTTCCCTAATTCAATTCGAAGACTATGAACTGGACCTGGGCTTGTTCACAAACTCGCATCCTGCTGCCGAGCATCAATCACTACTGTTTGCGTCTGATTCCGTACCGTCCACGGCTATTCCACAGTACCCTGGGCATTCACATTCAGCCCACATTTCAGCGAAATCGTTGAAGGGTGCAGATAGTTCCAACAGTGTTATTGAGCTTGGTGCGCCACCTATACAATACGTCTCATGGGGAGTTGACTGGAGGAAACCTACCTTTATCTGTGTTGCTCTGGTCTGCGCTTTATCACTTTCTCTCGGCCACCATTTCTACTATTCGTCCTTGAATAGCAAAATTGCGGGCGATGAAGCGAAACAAGCTTGGACTATCCGATTCGGAACAGGATTTGCATTTCTCATCGTCTTGTCCTTGCATGCTGCTACGGCTGTGGCATTTGGACAGTACGTTTGGACAGTGGTGAAACGAACCCCCTTAACGCTCGGTATGCCACTGATCCCACATATGGCTTTCGAGCTTGTGAAATAAGATGTGGATATTGACGTCTGGAAATAGAAAGCCTAGACACACTGTACTCCCTCACATCTGATCCATCTGGCATATTCAGCTTTGAACTTTTCAGCTCAGCTAAAGTGGCACTTCTCTTCGCATTGACCTTTTGGTAAGTGCAAGACTTCTGGCATTCGAGGCAAGGTCCAATATCTACTACATTTTCAATTGTTGCCCAATCCAGCCCCTGACAAAACCAATAGGTCCGTCGGCCTTGTAGGTATCACTCCTCCGGCCACTTTGACCGTAATTGCTCGAAATATTACATATTACGACGTTCCTGTACCGATTCTCGACCTTTCGCAGACTGGCTGGGAAAGGGTGCAGGAGGTGTGGAATCCTGGCTGGATTACATATACAATTGCTACTCAAGCTGCGATAGGTCTCGAAGTTGTGGCCCTTCCACCTCCTGTCGCAAGTCAAGATTGGGCTTATGAAATAGAGTTCCTTGGTCCCACCACCCGGTGCGAGCTGGCTAGTCCCGAGGAGCAGGCGGTTTTCGATAATGTTTCTCTATCCTTCGAGTCGAATAATCTAATTTTTAACTATCTGCAACTAAACGATGCCATCTGGAACAATACTATAAACTGGCAGGGCCCGATGGGTACGCCTATCAGGCTGTTTTATTCCAGTTGGGCATACTCAGACCTGAATAGCTTTGGAGTCGGACCAACAGATTGGTTCCCGGATTGTGCAGGGTGTCGCGACAGTTCGTATTCCTCCAATCAGGCCATTTATATCCAGACCTCAACAGCGAGTATCGTTTGCTATGAGAGCAATGCCTTATTTACTATAACCATACAATCGGTCGGTGGACAGCAGCAAATCACCCAAACTGATATTCGCCCGGCTCCCAATACTACGTCATCTTCACCTGCAAACTCAGCGCACTATTTAGCACTCAGCGCGCTACTAATGGGTAATCTGACCCTTAGCTACCTGTTCATTATGGATCCTGGACCCACTGCCTCCTATAAGGACCAATGGATGATTAACAGTGGTGATACGCAAATGCTATCAACTGGTTTAATAGCATGTAACGATATACAAGCGAGTCCTTGGGTGAACCTTTCAAACAAGGGTGATGGTAGCCCGGACACTTGGCCAAATTATGGCGCACTCGTCAGCTGGCGCCAGATGTTCCAGAATACGTTCCCTTCCGAACCTTGGATGTGTCGAAATCAGACCTTTCTTCGAGCCATCGAAGACCTTGCAAACAACATTACCATAAGCTATCTCAGCTCGCCAGAGCTAACAAATACCAACACGACATTCAAGACGATCACGACATCTAACAGCAGTAATTATTACCAGTATCGGCCTCTTTATCTCGCTTTACCTTACGGAATAGGCCTTCTTTGCGTATCTATCGTTGCAACAATCGGCTTATATTCCATCCATCTCAACGGCGTGACCCATTCTATGAACTTCTCATCTATTCTAGCTACGACACGCAATCCGGACCTGGATGTTCTCACGCGTGGTGCTTCGCTTGGTGCAGAGCCGCTAAAGACGGATATTAGCAAAGTAAAATTGAGGTTCGGACCTCTGCTAGACTCCAAGGAAGGGGAGAGAGGAGATGATGACGAAGGGATTCATGTTGGATTTGGACGTGCAAATAAAGTTGGGACTTTAAGGAAAGGAAAGAGTTACATATGATACCCTTGCTACAGTTTTAATAGGAAGAGGGGAAATAGTGAGGTATTTCCCACCAAATTAATTCTCCAATCAGACTGGCTTGCTTTCGAGTGTTGACTGCCCGATATAGGAAAGGCCAATAGCAAGACCTGATTCTAAAGAACTGGATACTGTTAGACTATCCGAAAGGCGGCCAGGGCCTACTCATAGGTATACTATGCAACGCAAACGACAATTGAGCAATCTCAAAAAGATGTACGCCGGCTATCGAGTCCTGGAAGTAATGGGCACGTCAAAAATAGGCAAGTATGTTGTTACTCCTGCATTGGGTGTGAGACATGGCTTAGAGCGAATATGTTGGCCGTCATACAAAAAGAAGGTGTGACGGATTTTGCAATTGACCTCTAGATAGGGTTAGATGAGTTGCAGACTAGCCTATAAGTTCAGGAATATATACCAACTCATATTGATCTACGATGTTGGTCTGCCCCGCTTTTTGGGCCCTCGCTTTCCTACAAGAGACAATCCCCCGCTCGGAACTGAAATGTTTCCCATGCACCAGCAACTGCTCGCGTCCGCTGACTAGAGCGGCATCAGCGAAGGTGAAACTAGAGTCTGGCTTTCTCGTTAACTTTGGTGGTGGGCGGCCCAAGCGATGACCTATCCACAGAAAGGTCCTGGTTAGAAGAGGATTGGTTTGTGACTGCAACTGCGACTTCTTTCATAGTCGCTAGATATGCAACCCGACGGTAATTGTCAAGTCTTTGATTCGAGTGGCCTGCAACGGTATGAGAAGTCATATCATTGTGTTCCTGTAGCCCTAGTAGGTCTGTGATATCTTGGGAACCAAGAATTGATTCTTCTAGAGCGCTCGCCATGCTTCGTTTCGCGTGGTCGGGCTGCATGTCCCATAAACTATCCAAGATACTTTGCAGATGGTAGGCTAGCTTGTATGGTGGGTTTCTATTCTTGTCCATTTGCATCCTGATATTCTGGGTCTCTACAAGGCATCGCCGCAAAATCTCCTGTGTGTCTTCATATTCTCGGTGAGAATGGCAATGAGTGAGCCAAGCCGGAGGTTGTATATCGCGCCCCTCTGATGCTAATCCAACAATTTCGCCCCAAATTTTAAGACGCCGGAACTCGATCTGCAAATCGAGATCTAAAGGGGCAAGGCAGGACTCGAAATTCACACATATTTTGTCGAAGACGTCTCGCTGAGAGAGTTGGTATAGTCGACGGGTTATTGTGGAAGCACTTGGCCGATTCTCGGGATCAAATTGAAGAATCTCCTCAATTAGAAGCGCCAAAGACTTGAACACCGCTGTCGATGAAGGGTCTGCGGTATACTTGCTCAAGAGATCTATGACGGCTGGAGCGATACCATCGACGGTATGGAAATGACGACTGATCAAGGGGCCTAGATTGTGTTTCCTTGCTTCTCTGAATTTAACGACGGCGTCAGGTCCGTCTCCAGGTGCAGCACTGAGATATGCCAAGACTTCAGAAAGAACGCAACCGAAGGACCAGATGTCACTAGCTCTACCGACTCGTGCCGGCTTGAAATCTTTGTCAGACGGCTCACATTCAGGAGCAATATAAGAGCCTTCTCCTCTCGGAAACAATGAACGAGAGCTCTCTTCTTCTGGTCGTAGCCGAGAAAGACCAAAATCGGAAAGAACAAGTTTACCGTTCATACAGAGAATGTTCTTCGGCTTGATATCATAGCGACAGCCAATCTTTCGCACTTTGTACTCATCTGGCAAAAAATTATGGACTGCTTCAATGGCCGACGACAGTCTCCACAGCGAGGCTAGAACATCGTCGCTTGCAGAAAAACAAGTTCCTGTGTTCGGAGATAATAACAACATGGAAAGATCACCATCAGCAACAGGAAAGAGGAAGTTGTATTCGTCTCCGATGGTGTACGCCGTGATGAGTCGTATGATATTTGGGTGGTTCAAGCATCGAAGAGATGACAAAACCTCCACCTCACGTTCGAAGTCTTCTTTCTTCGATGATTCGTTATCCCCATTGTTAACTGCTTGCAGACCAAGTCCAACTGAAACGCAGGGTACTGTTAGCCAGTCTCGAATTGATCCGGAGATGAAGAAGTGCATACTTGACCATGGGCCCCTGCAATCCTGTGGTGTGATGCATCGACTGTCACTTTGAACACTGTAGCGAATCCTCCCTTGCCAATTCGTTTCCGCCCCGGGAGAAATGGCAAGATGGTCCAATCTTCGAGCTCTCGTTGGGACTGGTCTTCTTGGAATCCTGGAGCAAGAAACCTCCATTGCCTCTAGAAGAATCGGCTGCACAGATCGGGAACTCGAAGAATTTTCAAAAGAGCCCCCTCGCTCAATGGTAGCTTGGAATCCAATTGGGCACCGGAAAAAGAATCCGTTGCCAGAAAGCGCGTGATCTGCTTGATATTTCCAATGGAGGCCAGCGTGGCAAAGAGCCGAATGCCGTTATTAAGAATTGCGATCGTGGCTTCTTGCCGAAAGTGAAAATGGATATCATGTTCCTCGAGTAGTAGGGCAATCTTATCCCGGGTAAATAGTTTTTCGAGCTTGCTCAAAGGGATGAAGCTCTTCCTCTCGAAGTTCACAATTTCCAGAGCATCAAGCTCACTGCGAATGTCAGACATATCGGATCAATGAAGGTTCCGCTGGAAGTACTGCTCAGAAGCACAAGTTCACACACGTAAACTCAATGATGTTCTCGCCGTTCGTTGACTGTGGATTGGGAATATAGACTCTTGATATTCTGAGCTGATGCGTCGGGCATAATTTTAACCGACTTCTGCCTGGTGCTGCTCTTGCAATGCATTACCTGAAACACATTACCTTAGACAGGAACTCTATCCTTAGCTCGTCTATCTCTCGACTCTGAGGCGACTATTGGTAAGAATACCATATTAAAAAATGTTTTCCAACGAATTAGGCCCTGGATTAACCACAGGTGGCGAACGCACCCTTTGATCTGACCTGCGTGGCGTTATTGAATGTTTCAGATAACTTTGAACATAAAGACTTATTATCAATCTTGTCTCTACTTCGTGCATCGAGCCAAACATTCTGCTTAGCCGCTCGTGTGATACCTTGCTCTCCATGTTCGAAAGGCGGCTTTGATGTACTGAACAAGGAGCAAGTGAACAGCGAAATCGACTTCGTCTTCGAGCGCCTAAAAGATCATAAAGAAGAAAAGGGAAGATCATCGGACAAGCCAGTGATCCTCGATGATAGAATTGATTATGTTGAGATACTAGAATGTCAGAAAGCACTTAAATCTACTGCATATCTACAGCATCTGCTAAGGGATATTTTCCAATGCACAATAGATTTCTGCTCCCACTTCGAAATTCCATACCTAAATTTATACCAGGCATCTCATGAGGACAAAATGTATATTACTCTGACAAACGAAATCCACAACACCCCTGCCTTTCTATAAAGTCAATGTTTGCTACACATCGATTTTCACGCCTCGTCCAGCTCTGTGTCTGTCTCCCAAGAGCTATCACTACACTCCACGTCATCCTCCTCAGGCAAAACTTCGTCTCGCTCAAGTATCTTCCGCAGGAATTCTAGGCTATCCAAAGTGTCAGAGTTCTCACTACCAAATAACCTTTCCCGTACTTCCACAACTCCGCGTTCCAAGCGCTCGGCGTCGTCAAATCGACCTTGCTTGGCTAAAACCAGAGCAAGGTTCTCAGTCGCGTAGAGGGTACAAGAATGCTCCTCTCCTAAAACTCGCATGTGTGCATCTCTAGTTTCGGTGAGCAATCTTTCCGCGTCATCTAATCGATCTTGGTATAACCACGTGCTTCCCAGTCCATACATCCGCCATAAGGTGTCCGGGTGTTCCTTGCCAAGTATCTCAGTACTTCGCTGCAGATTTACCCTTTGTAAACGCTCTGCTGCTTCGTACCTGCTCATTTTAAAGTACGTATTTGCAAGTTCTGCCACTCTATCTAGTGTATTTGGATGGTGTGGCCCGAGTTCTTCCAAGGTTGTGTCTAGAAGTCTCTGAAATACATTCTTTGCTTGGGATAGTCTGTCCGTCAACATGAAGAGCCCTGCTAGACTGGCCATACTAGTCAGCGTATATGGATGCTTCTCTCCCAGAATCCGTTTGTTCATCTCAGCCAATTCTATGGCAAGTTTTTCAGCTTCAGAATATCGATGGAGGTCGGTGTAAATGTCGACTAGATTGGCTAGGCTTTTGAGAGTATCTGGATGCTCTGTACCTAAGACTTGGCGCTTGAGCTGTAGTGACTGGTTTTCTAGAAGCTCCGCATCAGAGGTTTGTTCGAGTTTGACAAGAGTCATTGCAAGGTTCGACATGCTTTCCAGTGTTAGCGGATGACTTCTGCCAAGGGTCTCATGGTATCCATCCATGGCCATTCTTTCGAGCCTTGCAGCCTCTTTCCATAGTCCCTGTGCATAGAACGTTGCAGCTGAGGCCAGTCTAACAGAAAGAGTCCTCGGATGGTTCTGTCCATAAGCTTCTTCGGTGATCTTCAATACTGAAGATTCCAGCATTGCAGCGTCAGGAAACTTTCCTTGTTCGCGGAATGTGTAAGCTAAATTTAGCTTTATGTCCATGAACTCAAAGTTTTCAGGTGGCAGAATGTCTTCCTGGATGTGGAGTAGCTTTTTCTGCAGCGCCTCCGCATCTTGCCATTTCCCTTGGGCCCTGAATTGCGCTGCTAGAAATTCCATGCTAGCTAGTGTTGATGGATGCACTGCCCCTAAGACATCCATCCTCAGCACTAAACTTTCATGGAACTTATTTTCTGCCTCTTTCGACTTTCCCATAGTGAAGAGAGTAGCCGCCAGGTTGTGCATTCTCAAGATCGTACTTGGGTGAGTGCGTCCCAGAACGTTTATACTTGTTTCTAGAACATGACTCTCAAGCTCTTCTGCTTCAGGGTATTGTCCTAACTTCGTAACTTCCAAAGGGCATTACCTAGTGAAGTCATTGCATCCAGTGTAAAATGGTGATCTGTTCCGAAATTGACTTCGTACGTTTCCCAAACACTTCGGTAGAGTGGCTCCGCTTGTCCCCAAGTACTGTTTGAGAGAAATGTATCTGCCAACACCACTTTGCTGGCCAGCGTGTCTAGGTGGTCCGCACCTAGTATACTAGATCTAGTTTCTACCAATTGTGTTGCCAGATCTTCAGCTTCCTTCCAGCTACCCTGCTTTGTCAGGTATGATACCAAGTCCTCTTTGCTCTGGAGCGTCTTCCGATGGGATTGCCCATATACTTTGATGCAGCCTTGTAGGGCATCTCGGCCCAGATTAACACATCTTTGCCAATACCCCTCGGAAAAAAGAATTGAGCAATAAGTAGACTTGAGAGTTAGAGTAATAGGATGTAGTTCTCCTAAATTGGCGCTGATATCTGCAATCTCTCTGTCGTATTCACATTGGACGTTATCCATCTCTCGCAGTTCCCGGTAGTGTTCTGGAAGCTCCATCATGGTGACTTTTCCTTGGAGTTGGAAGCGACTGAAGTTTCCATCTCCGAATATTGACCCCTCACTCATTATTCTTATCGATTGCATCTGATCTTCAACAGCATCCAAGGGAAGACCGTTTGAATTCAAGATAGCAGTGGCCTCATTGTCATCCCGTCTGACACTGAAGCCTAGTCGGTAACATAAGGCAGCTTGGAAAGCTGGCCCTGGTGAAGACGAGTGGGTAGGAGTAGCAAGTCGTGGCTCTCGAGCTTTTTGCATAAGACATTGTGCCACGGAAGAACGAACGAGGTAATCGACCTGGTAAAATTGGAGTAAAGAAGATGTAACCTATGTTTGTTTTAGCTAATGTGTATTGATTTGAAGTGCATGCCATGATCACCTGAAAACTGTGGTTATCGCGGAGTAGCTCATCGTGATGCACAAATGTGTGCACAATAACTTCGCTTCTGCCACACCGTGAGTCATGTTTCAGTATCGATACTTCTGTGGCTATGGACGTACCCCTTGGTGCCCAAACCTTTCACTAATTGCTCGAAAGAGGTGCTTCTGTGGCGAGGGTCTTTGGCCAGCGCTAATTCGAAGAAGTGTAACAGTTTGATCCTTTCTCCAACTGGCATATCGAATTGTTTGCTTTCCTCCGTCATAAGAGTATATGCAAACTCTCTAATATTGCCCTGAGCACGAAGCGCTTCCAGAAAGTCGTCATGGCTCTTTTGCTCGGAGTTGAAGAAGAGCAGCCACATGCAAAGCAGGCCAAATGAGTACACGTCCATTTTGAGCGCCTCACTATATTGAAATCCTCGATGATGATGCTCCGGAGCGTTCCATGGCACAGATATGGGTATATCAACCAAACCTTCGCCAGCCAAAATAGTCGAATAGCCAAAGTCGGTCACTTTTGCTATATACTGCCCGTGTTCTCCATCATAGATCAGGATATTCTGAGGCTTGATGTCTCCATGAATAATATCTTGTTTTACCTTCAATTAGGACTGATGCTGTGAGTTGGAGGATTCTACTCACGAGAGTCATGCATGCACAATATGGCGGTCCCAATCTCGATGCACAAATTAAGTCTATGTCTCAAGGACATATGCCGAAAAGCCGTAGAGCTGGAGAAGGTCTTCAAGTCTCCGTACGAAGTCTTTTCAAACACCAGCACAGGCCATGATTTATGTGCAGTGTTTGTCTTTTCAACCTCCCAACATATTCCCTCTAACTTACAGATATTTGGGTGACTTCGTATGGACGGGTGACCTAGGACCGAAAGTTCCGAGATCAAGGCACGGTATGCTTTTCTTTCATCCTCTCTGATTCTGCCTTCGAGGCACTTGAACACAAAGCTCATCTGCGAGTTATGGGAGCCTGCCGTATATGCGAAGTTCCACCAAGACCTGCGTTTCCGAGCGCTCTTTGCCACGTGACGGGCAAGAAATCAACGCGGAGACTCTGCGCGATGCCAAGAAAAGAGTATAGATCGAAGATCCCCAGATCATACAACTCAGTGGGACTTGCGCTCGCAGAAGATCTCGTATAATCGAAGGACATTGCGGCGCAAAGAGTTCAGCTGCGGTTCGATGCTTGAGAGTTTCGCTTTAGACGCAATGTAAATTCGCAGTGACACTAAAAACAAATGATTACTACTGCTGAACGCGATACACACAGTGCATACGATAAGATACGAGACAACACAAAAGACCGAAGCAGGGCGTTGATGGTATCTCGTGAAGAGGCTCGTCAGCAAAACCACTCCTGTCCAATCAACAAAGTTTCGCGGCTACGAAGATACAACACCACAAGACCCGGAGAAAAGAGGCAAATTTTGTCTAAGAGGGTACTTGGATGTATTTAATTAAGAGATCTTTATGAACCAGATTTAATTCCAGATGTTATAATAGTCACGTGTACTGCTGCAGCCTAGAGGCCTCCTTTCTTTAAGGGGTTTCAAGCACCCTAAGCTCTTTTGATCTCTCTAATCCTTAGGCTAGCTTCTACCCTAGCCTCTACCCCGGCTTTTACCCCTAGAGTAAACGGGTAGTCGGATATTAGTGGTTTTTTTGAACTGATATCCGTGTCTACTAATAAGATGACGGAAATTTTAAAAATTATATCCATAAGTAGCCTAAACCGATAGTTCTTATCGGATACACTAAAACTACTTGTCTATTGAGAGCGCTGGCTTCAAGAAGATGAACTGTAGTACGGCAGCCGGACTAAAATGCGCTCACTAGTGGCTCTCCTGGTCTGCAGTAGTGCGGTCCTTGCCGTTCTTCAACTATTATCCTCCGAGCCGAAGCGCTTCAAGGCCAAAAAAACATTTCGAATTGTCAACAGCTCGATGCTTCACAATGCATCCGCGAGATATACTTTTAGAACCCGCCCATGTCGCTGGACACGTCGAACAGCAATTTCGATTGCCACCCGACCGAAATCTTCCTTGACCTCTGGAATACAGCGATATGGCTGTTCCAGAGCTTCTGCAACTTTTATTCCAACAGCGTCGCGATACTTGACAACATCCACTCGATCTGCTATTCAATCTCCCAATGCCGGACAGTACATTGATATTGATGGTGATACTATCTATGCTTTATCGACGGGAGCAGGTGCGAGAGCGGGAATTGCTATCGTCAGGATCTCAGGACCCGCATGCCTTCAGGTCAGCCATATTCAATTGTCACCCAGCACGCCGTTTCTGCCTTTGCGTGAAATTTAAACATTGCGGTGAAATCTTCATTATAGTGACTAATGACTTGCAGATCTACCGTGCTCTTTGTCCCGAGAAACCTCCTCCAAAAGCTCGCTATGCTACTGTTCGAATGCTCCACGACCCATCAGACAATGGTCTCATCCTCGACTCCAGCGCATTAGTCCTGTACTTTCCTGGTCCAAAGACGGTCACAGGAGAGAATGTCCTAGAATTGCACATCCATGGAGGACCAGCTACAGTCAAAGCGGTATTATCTGCAATTCCACGATGTTCACCCCATACACGCATGGCAGAACCTGGCGAATTCACCAGACGCGCGTTCGAAAACGGCAGATTGGATTTGGTACAAGTGGAAACTCTCAGCGATACATTGGCAGCAGAGACTGAACAACAGCGGCGTGCTGCTGTGCGCGGTACCTCTCGCAAGCTAGGACGATCATATGATGGTTGGCGAGAGCAGCTTGTCTACGCTCGTGGAGAGCTGGAAGCTTTGATCGATTTCTCGGAAGATCAACATTTCGATGAGTCACCAGCAGAGCTTTTGGCCGATGTTATAAAAAGTGTTCACGAAATTGTGGGGACTATCACCCAGCATGAATATGCCAGTCAACGAGGCAATTTATTGCGGAGAGGTGTTGAGATAGCATTGATTGGTCCACCGAATGCTGGGAAGAGCTCTCTATTGAATTTGATTGTGGGACGAGAAGCATCTATCGTGAGCTCAGAAGCTGGCACGACAAGGGACATTGTTGAGGTTAGATATGACATTGGAGGTTACTTGTGCACCTTTGCGGATACGGCTGGGTTGAGAAAAGCCTCAATTGAAGGCGGGCAGACAAGGACCGACAATTTGGCAGGTTTCGATAGAGATTCGAAAACATCTTCAATGTTTGACATTGTTGGGACAATCGAGCAGGAGGGTATCAAGCGTGCAAAGACAAGAGCTCAGGAATCCGACCTCATCATCCTTCTCGCTTCGATCGAACGAAACGAATCAGCCGTTGGAACACGGTGGAGCATAGAGTATGATGAAGATACATTGTTCCACATCCTCGGGGACGTTGATAATCCTCCAAAACCATCGATTATCGTGGTCAATAAATGCGATTCGGCTCCTGCAAATATCAAACCTGATTTACTACAAGGCTTCGAGAATCACCTGCAAGAAAAACTTCCCACGGGCACATTTCCAGCTATTGTTGGTATATCCTGTTTGGAAGCAATAACCCCTAAAAATGAGCAGGACAAAGACCCAGGTAACATTGGGACACTTACTGCACAACTCACGAAAGTGATCGCGTCCATGACAGATCTTCCAGCCGAGCAAGAAGATTTGATAGGTGTGACGGAGCGGCAGAGACAACTACTTTCCGCCTGTAAAGGGCATTTGATGGATTTTCTATCCGAAACTAGCAGCGATCAATTGTCCAGTCTAGAAGGGGACATGGAGGTAGATGTTGTATTAGCAGCCGAGCATCTCCGCTCCGCGGCGGATTGTCTCTCGCGCATCACGGGCCGGGGTCTGGCGGGGGACGTGGAGGAGGTATTAGGCGTTGTATTCGAGAAGTATGTACCCCTCATTTCTCACAAGAATCAAACTAACAATCCTCACAGATTCTGCGTCGGCAAATGAAGAAGATCGGTATTGTAGAGTGAAGGTGCATTAATCTATTCTAAAATTCTAGACCGAAAACGAAGGAAACCAAACTTTTCCCAACTCCAATGAAAATGCTCCAACATTCTATTCTATTCGCCGTCCCAATGCGTCTATCCTTCTATTTCCGCTAATGCAACAGTCTAAAATCCAAACTCCCAATCCCAAGGTCGCGAGACCGTTATGCGTCTAGGTACCGTCCGTCTATCCGTCGCTGCTGCATCACTCAATTGCTGCCAGCAGCCTTCTTTCTATCCGCACCCCTCCCCATCCATTATCCCCACTCTTTCCCCCTCATTCAAATCCCACCATCCCAAAAAGAAATCGAAGCGAATGTCCAGAATGCGATAAGAAACAAAAAAAAGAAGAAGAAAAAAAAAAACGCCGATCCCAATGCCCTCATTCCCTCTTTAAACGCCGAATCCGGAAACCCAGAACCCAAAAGTAGTCGAGATTATCATCTGCTGCTGCTGCTGCCCATTCCATCCATTCCATCGCTCGTCGCTTTGCCGCAATGCAATCAATCCCAATTCGCTCACTCATTCGCTCGCTCGCTCAAATGCCGCCAATCCAATCCAATCCAATCGCCAACCGAAAAATAATAAACCTTCCAATATTCCAAAAGTAGACCGCCTCGCCTCTCGCCTCGCCTCTCGTATCCCCCCTTTACCCGAGCCAGACGCTCGGTATCGGAGGATTTTGCTTTTTGTTTTGGCATTTTAATTTAATTGTAGCCCCCGCGACCATCCTCCTCCTCGTCGTCGTCGCCGCGGTTGTAGCCCCCGCGGCCGCTGTCGACGAGGGGGGCGTTGTAGCCGCCTCGGCCGGCGTTCGTGAAAATGGAAGAGGAGGAGCGGGAGTCTTCGTCGTCTGAGGAAGAGGTGTTGGGGCCGTTGTAGCCGCCGCGGCCTCGGTTGAGGAGGGAGGAGGTGGTGGTGAAAGTTGTGGATTGGGAAACCATTTTGTATGTTGGGTTTGTTGGTTGGTTGGATGGGTTGGTTTGTTGGTGCAGTTGACTTTGACGATATACTCGAAAGTTGATTGACAGATAGAAGTGTACTAGCGAAAGATATCGAAGAGACAGATGTGTAGATTAATCAAAAAAGGCAGACTGTAAGAAGAAATCCGATTGAAAGACTGTATGTATTGAATGAAGAAGCTGATGATGATGATGATGATGATGAACCCACCGAGAAGGAGAGACCGGTGTCCTCTATATACGAAAGAGAGTTTCTATTCGGACCTGCTTGCTTGAAGCCTCACTCACCCAAGCCCCCTCCATCCTTCCCTCCCTTACTAGTTGGGTTCGCAGCCTCAGGTACCGGACCGGATAGCATAGCAGAGCAGAGCTGATTTGATTACATGAAGTGACGCTGCTGATTGATTGATTACCGCACTTACTTGCTGCTGTGAGTGTGTGGTGGTGGTGTGGGTGTGGTTGTGGTTGTGGTGTGGTGTGCGCAGCAGTTCCCTGGCTCGACTAGCCCCCACCTGAGTTAGCAAGACAAGAGTCACCCATCTCACGAACGAACAAGAATATAATAATAATAATAATAATATTTTTTTTAATTTGGGTTCGATCTAACTTGGCGACAAGAAGGCGTTATTCCAAAGAAAGTAATGCGTGCGTGTGTAGTCAGTCATGCATAGGTATGCCATCCATCAGCGTGGTCCTTGTTGCCTGAGTATGTGGGACGAAAATGGTCACCAACACGACTGGTCGTCCATCACTCGTTATCATCTGCAGGTACGAGAAACAGCAGCAGCATCTCGGGCGCGCGAAGAACGACGTAAAAACACCGACTGGCACCGCATGGCAGACCAGACCCAACGATCTCAGTGCATGCAGTGCATCGCCCGGGTCCCCATTCATCGTGTGCGGCCTCTCATTGGGTGCGGACCCTGCTTCTTCAGCCCTACGAGATGATGCCAAGCTTGTTTGTGAATGGATTAAAATATACACACCATACATAAAAATACATAAGCGAACAAGGAGAGAGGAGGGGAGCCACACGTTAGGACAAGGATATAAATAGAGGGGGAGAGGTGATTGGGCAGGACCTGTGCGTGGCTGATGTGAGTAAGCTGACCCTGACCCTGACCTTGTATGTATGTATGTATGGTGGATGGGATGGCTACGGTACGGTACGGTACGGTACTGTACGCTACCAACAACGAACCAACGAACGAGCTTCTGGAATGGCATTTGGAAGCTTTCCTTTCTGATTTGATTTCCGGGTTGATTTGATCGATTGGGGTCCCTTACGCAGCAGGCAGTGGGGGTCCTTCTGCTGTGCGACGACTCCTCCCTTCTGGAAACGGAAGTTGAAATGGGAAAGCATTTCTCGATTCGATCCCTCCCAGATCGCTGGGACCGCGCCGTACAATCAGTGCGTGTACGACGTATTCCCATCATCCTCATCGACAGCATCCCCATCGCATTGCGCAGTTCGTGCACATTTGTCCGTCAGTATCGCCGACGAACAGCATGATACGATCTCTGCCTCGGTCCGGCATTCGCGACGCACCGCACCGGCATCGTTGCTACCCGCTCTCTGTTCTCAGCCAGCCTCGACGATACCTTATTCTTGCGGTGGTGGACGAGGCGCCGACAAGCGCCACGAGGCAGATTTGCCAGCCCACGGACAGCGAACAGGCGGGTGCACCCCCGCGACCGAGGGAGAGATAAGCGCGTGCGTGCGCACACATGCAATTGTAAATTATGGCTCAGAATCTCTCATCATCCATCATCTGAAAAAACCTCACGATTGAGGGTTTACGGGCTGTCCGAGGAATTTTGGTTAGTCATACATACATATGTATCCAGAGACTGGACGAAGACTATTGTGGATCATCGTTCGTGACTGAGTGAGTGAGTAATGAAACGTTACAAATACTGTAATCTCAATTCTTGACACTGCAGCAACAGCAGCAGCCGTTGAAAGGGGACTTACTTACTTCTGCCTGCCCGAGTGACACATCTGACGCCGGTAGCTAGCTAGCTAGCCAGATAGGCGATCGTTTGGTTCAGGGGTGTGGATGCGGGTGTGGAAGTGATTTGCGCTATGTCTTAGCGCCCGTTTTGTTTTTATTTTAGTGGGATATCTTTTATTAGAAAGGGAAATATAGGGACTTTCTATTTCCTCTTTCAACCAACTTTTTCTCTCTCGACAATAAATCAATCAATCGCATTCGTTCGTACCTACCTACCTACCTACCTATGTAGCACGAATTATTCCTGCCTCGTGGTCGCAGTATGCAAGTCAAGAAATTTTTTCTTTCAACTCACTTTCCGAGGCAATATTTTTTCTCTCCTATTTCGTGTTTCGTGTTTCGTGTCCATTGTGCCGGATGGGGTCCAAAACCTCCCCTCCCTCCCAGTCGCGGCGGCGGATGCGTCGGTGCGGCTCAATTCCCATTTCCCATCCCTCCCCTTACCACGATATTCCTTGTCGTGCCACGTTTTGCACGCGACGGGTATGCAGGCCACTGTAAGTCCGCAAGGCTGAGTCCGATGAGTAACTGGTCTGTAATACCTGTCTACCTACCGGTGAATGGAAGGGGTGTTTTTTTCCTTCGAGAAGATTTCTACTTTGGGTTTGGGTTGGTTGCACGCGATGGGGGGTTTTGGTTTTTTTGGGGGCCGTTGGAGGCTCGTACGGTGATTTACGGTACGGTACCTACCTAGTTCGTACTTTGGGGGAGGCTGATGGTTACCTACCTATCGACCCAAGTGCGCATCTGTTTTGTGGATGGGGAGAGAGTGTGTGTGTGGGTGAGAGAGAAGAGAAGAGAAGAGAAAAGTACCAGCCGGATCATTAATCATCCTGCCGCCGAAGAAACCGAGATACCATACCTACCTGGATCCATTCCTGTCTTGGTCTCGTGCTCACTCACTCAAACGTACCTACTTCTGAACAACGTCATAATCACCGAAACATGCATACATAGCCCTTACATACGCTTTGCATCTCACCCCTCCCTCCCTTGCTACCCGTTTACATATCCATCCGGGTTGTGGTGGTGGGTGGTGGTTTATTATCAGATTGACTGACAATTGATGACCCCTCTTACCCGACCGACCCAGCAGCACGGCAGGATTCGCGTTCCGAACCGCGTCTTCCTAGTTGACACGTTTTTTTTTTCCTGTTAGATTTCTTTCTTTCTCGGGACGCATGGATGGATAGGTGAGCTAATATTACGTTGTTGGGGGAGGCAGAGCGAGGGGAGCGCGGTACGCGCCTCTTACTCAGTCGTTTGTGGGATGGATGGATGGATGGATGGGTCAGGGTAGCGATGGCTGTTTTGGGAGGTTATTTGGTCCATGGCTGTGAGTCTCTAAGATTGGTTGTTACACAGATGGTTGGAGATGGAAGAGATGCGGGAATGGGTTTGTAAGAGGTGAGATCGGTGAAGAGTCATTCATGGTTTTGAAATCAGTTGAGTTGAGTGTAATATTCGATCATGGAGAACACGTCATCTTTCTTCTGTCTAATTCTTTGTATCCAGTATCTCGTCCTGTATCCTATGTCCTGCCCAAAGCCTCCTCTCTTACAGCCTATGTCCGATATCTTCTATCAAATCTCCCCTCTAATCTCCAATCTCCATTCCAATAGAAACTGATACATAGCTGAATGTCTAGTCGGCCGGCTACTTGTTCTTCTGCAATCCCGCCTTGAAAACAGGACTCTCCATCACCTTCGCCCAATCATGAAGCATAGTTGTATTCAAAACACTAAGTTTGACCTCCTCTCCAGCTCTTGTCTTCATCTCAGCTTCATATTTCTCGATAGCTGTCGCCAGCTTCGCTTCTGTGGTAATCGCTTCGACGAGTTTACCTGCATCGGTTATCGAGTGGTTGAGTCCTTGGCCACGTTCTGCAAGCGAATTGTTCGTTAGCTGAGCAAAGCTGAAAACTTTCAGATCAAGAACGCTTACGATAAGTCATAGGGTGCGCCGCATCTCCAGCTAGAGTGACTCTGCCATTGCGTGTGTCCCATTGATGATCAGGCAGACTTGGATCCCACACCGTGAGGTCAAAGTACCACGCAGGTTGATCCTCAGGAACCCATTCAAAAGCACTTTTCCACGGCTCGCAATATCCCTTTGATTTCCTTTTTACTTGTGCCAATCTCTCTTTGTTTCCAAAGGTCACTCTTTCGGTGGTTTGTTGCTCGAGACTGGCGTTCCAGGATATGTAGAAGAAGAATGTCCATCCTTCGGGCTTGTCTGCATCTGGCGCATCTTGCAGTCCAAAGAAGGCAAAGTAGCCGTCTGGATGAGGGGCAGCTATGTAGAGAGGATGGAATGACCGAAGAAAGAGAGCTTGTTCGTGGGTGTATTTTGCTTGGACAAATGTCGCTGAGTATGGGAGTCGGGTCGAGGGAGCGATTTCTGGTCCAAGTAGAAGCTTTCGTACTGTTGATCTTGCTCCGTCAGCGCCAATTATCAATCTTCCTGTTATATGCTCTCCGTCTTCAAAGACAGCAATTACGCTACTGTTATCATCTTCAAAGACCAAGTTTTTCAATCGTTTATTCCATCTTATGTCCAAGTCTTTCGCAAGTAGTGCTCGAAGTTTCGAACGGCGTAGTCGGTGAAAGTTTGGGATTTCGGGAGCAACCATAACCTCTCCCGTCTGGCCATTGAGGAAAGCAAGACTATCGACAGGCTTCGTAGGGGTGTTCGGATCGACTTGTACGGATTGGAGTTGTGCGGCAGCATAATCTGGAATTAGGGACTTCAAGATGGGTACACCCCAATGAAGTCCCATATTCCAATCTCGCTCACCAGGAGAGAACACAGCAGCATTCTTCTCGCACACAACGACTGGTATCCCAGCCTTTCACCTTGTCAGTATTGGTGCGATTAATGTTGTGAGGGGAAGATCTACCTTCCTAAGGCCATGTGCGATAGCCAGGCCAGTACAGCCTGACGAGATTTAGCAGGGTTGTTCTCCGCCGCAATCGCGTCTCTGTTCGTATACCTGAACCAATAATTATCACCGAGCTTGCCACATTTGGTGTCATAGATCTTTCTCCATAGTCTCCCATGATCAGGGGAAATATGCAAGGGCAGATCAGCAGCTAATGCGAGACGGCGAATGAGAGCGAGATCGCATAGGGAGGCGTGAAGGGTTAGCTCAATAAGTGTAGAAGTGTGTCGGGTAGTACAGAGATATAGAACGGAAATGCGATAGAAGAATGAAGATATATAGAACGGAGAGATTGCCCGCTGAAGAAGAAGAATTAAGACGTTGGTTTTTCTGACTGATCACAAATAACGGCCTGTTTCTTATCATTGACATGCGGGGCAGGTGCCATTTTTGGGCCGGCAAGTTCAGGGACTTGGTCCTTGCGGGACGCTCCACCAAGTGGAGAAAGCACGAACACATCCCCTCATCGGACGAACTTCTTTTACTTTTGCTGCTGAGGAATCCGAGAGGACGACAAATATCTTCATACCTTCATAACTGCAATTCAATGATTTCATGTTAGACAGTTTGTTGCGCATTGTTTCATTTTGAATCAAGTTTTCGGGGAACAAGTATCGAAGCCACCATTTGGTGTGGACAAGACAAGCCACTACGACGCGGGACGGACCAGCGATTCGTCTCAACACTCCACGTACCGCACCCTTCGCGACGCCGTTATCAATCACAATTGGCAACGAGACCCTGAGTCTTATCATCTGGGTCGGCTCACTTCTCTCGATTCTGCAGCCAGTAGTCAATGGAGATGGATTGCTGAAAAGGCACGGGAAGTGAAGAATGCTTCTCTATCCAGCCAGCTACCTCGACGAGACCAACATCGAGTATCTTTCCACTTAATTAAGCACCCACAACTTCGACATGGCAGATCTGACTCGAGGCCTCACACCAGCCATGGAAGCATCTTCTTCGGCAGCATCGCAAACAACACCTTCAATCCACACAGAACATTCGGGGCACGACTCTGCATTATCGCTCGCAGATACCATACCTGACAGCGGACAGCAGGAGGAAGATAGCGTGGCAGATAACTACGACGAGGAAGATCATGACTTCGACGACAATGATTCTGCCTTTGGGGGATCCCTCATCGGATGCGACACCGATACTCTTGCTTCCTACATTACGGACTATCGATACGAGAATGGGCGGCGATATCACGCATATCGGGATGGGGAGTACTGGGTACGTTTCTAGTGTTATTCTTGGTGCTACATCAGTCTTACAAGTGTTAGGGACCGAACGACGAGCACTCAAGTGACCTGCAAGATCTGGCCCATCACATGTACCTCATGACTCTCGAAGGCCTACTTCACCTTGCGCCTCTGCATAGTCCGCACAATATCCTCGATTTGGGCACTGGAACGGGGATATGGGCGATGTAAGTACTCAATCTCTTCATATTGTATACGATTCTAATAGCCTTCAGTGAAATGGCAGACGCATATCCCTCAGCGCATGTCATTGGAACAGACCTTTCTCCAATCCAACCACTCTTCGTACCACCAAACTGCGCATTCGAGATCGAGGACCTGAATCTCTCTTGGACATATCCGAAGAACCATTTTGACTTTATACATATTCGGGAACTGTTTGGTTGTGTAGCAGATTGGGATGATTTCTTCTCTCAGGCTTTCGAACATACCAAGCCAGGTGGATATGTTGAGATTCTCGAACATAGTGTATGGCCTGTAGCAGATGATGATACGATCAACGAGGAAAGTTTCTTCACGACCTGGGGAAAGACAGTCGTTGGGCTAGGGGAGAAGTTCGGAAAGAGTTTCACGATCTGGGAGGAAAGTAAAGAGAGGATGGAAAAAGCTGGATTCGTCGATGTGGTTGAGACGAGGTACAAATGGCCGATGAATGGTTGGCCTAGTCCCGAGCATCGAACGCACGGCAATGATGGAGACAAACCATGGAGGCGGTTACGGGAATTGGGTGTTTGGAATCAGTTGAGGCTATACGACGGCGTGGAAGGTTTCATGATACGGCTACTGACAGTCATCGGTGGGTGGTCGTACGAAGCTGCGCAGGTGTTTCTGGCCCATATGCGAGCCGAGTTGAAGGATCTTAAGATTCATGCGTATCTCGATGTTACGGTTGTGTATGGGCGAAAACCAGGAGGAAACCCGAGACCTGCGGTACCATCGTCTACTTCTACGGGTTACTCGGTACGACCGATGGTCTCCACCATTCCAGAAGACTACCAAGGTCTTCCTTGATGAGCAGCAAGTGAATGGAGAATGAGAGACGAATTGATCTCACGCTGCGAGGAAGTCGCAAAGTCATATTGCGGTTGTCCGCAGTTTTTGACTAAAGTATCGCGTTCTGCGGGATTCACTGAACTGCAGATAGTCTAGCTACAACGTATGGGATCCATTTTTTTGGGAGTTTGAGCGTGGGATCGATCTTTGCTATTTATTGGGACTTATGTTGTACTCATTTATGATGCCTTTGTATCTACGGTTTGTTTCAAGATCCAGACTTCACTTATAATGATTTGGGTTAGATGCCTCGGCATGGAGTAGAAGAAGGCAGAGATGAGAGCGTTGACTGAGTTTAAAGGATGACATGATATGGAAAAGTTGTCGACTTAGGGTATTTGGTGTATATATTTTATTCAATATCAAGATGGACATATAGGTACCCATCTTGCTTCGAGAGAGCTATGATTTTGGGGTGTCTTTCAACGCATACTTTCTCTGTCCCCACTTCAGAACTTAATATAACAGATCTCCAGGGCAGATCTGTCCTTGAAGAACAGATCCTTGACGTTTTCGAGATACATGGAGGGAAAAAGTAAATTGACGCTGCATATTGGCTCCCCATTTCTGCAACTCGTATTGGCTACGTCTCGACCAGCAGCTTTCCTAAACGAGACTAGTGGATACACACCAAGCCGAGATCCAACGTCTCCCCGATACTCAACTCCATCTCCATTCGTGGTGCTCAATCTCTCTTCGGTAGAGAACACGGATTTATGTTGACCTCTCTATAGCCTATCGGACTCCATTGCCCCTTAAGTCCATTAGTAAGGATTACGAGCAATCTTTGTGTTTTACGCACTACCGCCCTATTATCAAGCAACATGAGGCGGCACATCTAGACACAACGACAAGTTGGATACCCAATTCGACGCCCACATCCCTAAGCAACCATGGTCTACTGCGGTAAACCGTCCAAGAGCTGTCGTCAATGTAGAAACGTAGGTACAATCCTACCTGGCCTTCCAGACAATGTCTCACTTGTTCCAGGGCATTGCGTACAATGGCTAACAAGACATAGAGAAACATCAAGGTCAGAAATCTTCTATTACGCATTCTCTAACGCCATCCATTCCTAGCTAACCTATCAAGTGCGACAAAAAACACCCCTCCTGCGGCCAATGTCTCCGCGCAACCCTCACCTGCCCCGGCTACCCGGACCTCAACAACCTCCTCATCCGCAACCAAACCTCCATCACCATCCACCGCGTCTTCGCCCAGCAAACCGCACACATTCAACTCCCCACCGCGGTGCCCAACATCTCCGTGCTCGACCGCGCGAAATGTCTCTTTGTTTCCACGCACGTGTTCGGGTCCCATCCTTCCTTTTACTATATGAAGGAATTCTTCCCGCCGCGCGAGAGCGATGATTTTCTGATCAAGACCGTGCAGGCGGTTTGTCTGGCGTATCTGGCGAATGAGACGGGGAGGGGGGACGTTATGTGTCGGGCGCGGGTGCGGTATAGTGAGGGCTTGGTGGCGATGGGGAGGGCGCTGGGGAGGAGGGGGCAGGCGGGGAGGAGGGAGGTGATTGCTACGGTGCTGTTGATGGATTGTTTTGAGAGGTTGAGTCAGCTGGAGGGGGACGGAGATTCCAGGCATCTGGATGGGGCGGTTGCGTTGTGTAAGGTGCGCGGGAAGGCGCAGTTCGAGGATCCGGTTTCCGTGGCGTTGTTTCATCATTTGTCGTGCAATGTATTGGCCTCGTGTCTGAGCAGGGGGACGGAGATTCTGGGAGAGTATATGCAGCTCCGTGCTGAGGTTGCGGGGGTTATGCTTCCTACTGATTCGAAGTGGAGAGCGGAGAATTTGATTCTTGATTTTATGGCGCTGAGGATGAGGTTACGATCGAGTGATGAGGAGGGAGATGAATTGTGGGAAGGGCTGAAGAAGGAGTATAGGGAGTTGTGTAAGGTGTTTTCGAGGGTTAGGGATGATGAGGTGATGGTTAGTCCGGCGCAGAAGCGGAATATTTTGTGTTCATTGAGGGAGATGATGGATGGGCTTTTCGGGGAGTGTGATGAACTCATGAAGAGAAGAGAAATGGCAGGTGATTTGAGAGGGTCAGAAAATGGAGAAGGCTTGCTGGTGTTGTGAATGCTGCTTGAAGCAGGGGATGTCAGTTTGACACCAATGCGGCGACAGCTACTATGCAATATGGATCGACTTTCGACAAGAACTTTTGAGAAGAAATACGCTACCAATTCGACAAGAAGAAGTCGATGGTACGTCTCAACAGTCAAAGTAGGACAACAGAAGACGCAATGAATTCCCGAGAGCCTGGTTTGGCAACTTAGTGTTGGGAACTGATTTGAGTATGCCCTATGCTCTGCTTCCCTCAAAACTCGACAAACTTCATTCCCGGCTCAGGATACCGAGTACCGACAACCGGGAAGCTTTCCAAGATCTTGCTGATCTCAGACAATTCATCATCACTAAACTCGACGTCCATACAGTTCTCCTTAATCCTCTCCTCACTCCTGGCCCCGAAAATTGGAACGATCCACGCAGACCCCACCTTCCCATTCCCCCTCTTCAACCAACTCAACGCCAGCTGCGCAGTCGTACAGCCTTTCTTCTCAGCCAACTTCTCCAACTCTTTCACCAACAATAAATTCTTCTGAAAGTTCTCCCCTTGCCACCTCGGAAAATACTTATGGTGATCCTCCCCCATATCCTCCACCCTCCTAATCTTCCCCGTCAACATGCCCGCTCCAAGCGGTGTATGCGCCTCAATCACGATCCCCAACTCCGCACACGTTTCCACCACCCCATTCGAGAAGATCTCCGTGGACCACAACGAAGCTTCAACCTCCACCATCTCAATCTTCGCTGCCTTCGCCGCTCGTCGAATCGTCTCGCTTCCCACTTCAGAGAGCTGGATGCCCCCTATCTTCCCCTCTTTCACGGACTCAGCGCACGCGAGCACCGAGTCCTCGATCGTGACGTCTGGTGTGGGAGGTGCGCGGCAGGGGCCGAAGAGGTCGATTTTCTTCTTGCCGTCCAAGATTTGTAGGGCGGTGGAGACTCCAGGAAGTTAGTACTTGCTTTCGCAAAATAATCAAGAACCGAATGTCCGGCAATGGTATGAAACCTGTTCGGGAGCCAAGACATCGCATATGTGAAAGAAAGAAAGGGTATGGTTACGGGATTCACGTAGGAAGGAGGGCGAGACGTCCATTTTGAAGGTGCGGATGTCGACAACGCCGGTTTTGAGGCTGAAGACTACCTTGGTGGCGTCCTCGGGGTGAGCGCTGAAGTAGCGGTTCATGAGGTGGAGGGAGTTGTTGGAGGGGGGGCCGTAGAAGTCTGCGCCGTTCCAGACTATGGGTGTTAGTTAGGGGGAGGAGAGGGGGGAGAGGGGAGAGGCACCGTTTACGCCGGCCGCTAGGGCGGCTTTGAGGACGGCGAAGGTTTGTTTGTCGGGGAGTTGGTGGCCGGGTTGGGTTAATCCTTTTTTGAGTTTTTAGTACATTGTTGTTGAACGGAAGAGAAGAGAAGTGAAGAGGGATAGGTACTCATGAGACCTAGCCCGTTGGAAGTTATTGGTATTCCTGCAAGTGATGGCATCTTGAATTTTCTTGCTGTTACTGAAATATGGTTGAACGAGGTTGTAGTTTCTTCTTCAATAAGAGAAAGTTGGTGGTCTTTATATCTATCTGATACGACCTGAGTAGACCCCGCTGTGCCTCAACGACAAGCTGATTTCCTAGTTGGGGATAGCTTGAGATGCAGAGCTTCATTGGGTGGAGAACCCTGATCTGTCGTCATGGGTGGGAGCTAGGGTTAGGTCCCGCGACTGGATGCATACTGGATGGGGCTTAGTGGTCGGAGTTGCTGGTATATCCGGTGGAGGGTTTGAGTGGGGAAGTGTGTGTTTCTTTCGACGACAAGCTCAAGGAGTGAAGAGCGTTTCTACCTTTTATTCTGGCTTTGGATGATCTTTGGCTTATGATGACTTTCCGAAGCTCTTTCTTTTCCGCACGAGTTGGGGTTGGGTTTCTTCTTAGCGATCATCAGGCTAGTATTAATTGTCGTGTATCCCGGAGCAGTAAAGTAACGACTGCTGAAAGCTTCATCAGCGTCAAGCATCGAAAGCTTGCTATGCATCGATTAACCACTCTGAAAGACATCATGACCAGAGGTCTCGATTTGGAACTTCTATGTCTGGAGATGGAGGGATGCATTATGATAAGTAGGCACGATGAAGCCAATATTCATATCGGATCATTATGCAGGTTTGCCAGAGTTGGGTTGAGCATCATGCCCTTTGATGGGTACTTTCATACCTATGAATCTACGTACCTAGGTAGGAATCAACTGCCTAGGTGGGTTATCAAGTTTCCCTTTCCGCGTAGCAGTGTCACATAACTGGCTTTCCTCCCCTTTTCGTCACTCGCTCCTGCTACTTCTGACAGACGATAGATGTCGCCATTTATCTCATTTCCCCAACATCTAACACAAAATCCTCCGAACGCCATCACCCTCGAAAATATCTCTTTTCTTACGAACTCCCTCGACGCGTTTCTTCTCTTCTTTCTACAATCCCGTCATTGAGACCTCCCCTGTTCCAGCGACATTGAATCGACCGTCGGATGTGATCTCGTCTCGCCGCCCATGTCGAACGTCTTATCAGAGACTGTGACAATGGCTGATCAAGATGATTTGGACAGACCCAGGCTTCGACCGAAACAGATTCGAGCATCTGCGTTTATCCGCAATATAATCAAGTCCGTTCTTTTTGCCATCAATGCTTCATCACTAACTCTATGAACAGGTACTACTCTGTCAGCCCAAATACCCACCCTTCTACGGCCCATCCCAACCACAAAGGAAATTGCTACACATCCTCCAGTCAATCCACAGCTGCGACTACGCCGTCTGGGTCAACCTGAACAGCGTATTCAACAAGTCCGCCTATTGAGCTTCCTCCCGACTCGGAGTTGGGCAAGACTAGGCATGATCCGACATTGACAGCATTCGCTCAACTCGCAGCCTTGCGTCTTGACATGCCACGTGCAATCATGTCTCTCATTGATCATGAACATCAATATGTTCTAGCGGAGGCCACACGAAGCGTCTCGCTGTACGATCCAAAGAAAACGGAACAAGGCGACGAACTATGGGTCGGTTCAGTTCAGCTCCCACTCAAGTGGGGAATATGTCCTGATACTCTCCATACTTTCATCTCTGGAGATGGTAGCAAGGACAAATCGACAGATTATATCACGGCCAATCAGCATTGTTATATCATCAATGACCTTGCAAGTTTGGAGTGTTTTAAGGACAAGTCTTATGTTGCTGGGCCGCCATTCTTGCGCTTTTATGCCGAAGTTCCTCTAAAGCTACACGGGTATGTCGTCGGTGGATTTTGTGTGGTAGATTATAAACCACGAGCTGGCTTGGATGCTGCGGCGCTTGAAACACTGGTCGAAGTAGCCTCAGCTATAACTGAGCACCTTGGACTTGTGATAGCACAGGATCGCCTGAAGCGCTCTCGAGAAATGATTCAAACCTTGGCACAATTTGCTCGTGGCAAACAAGCACAAGACTTGCTGAATGTTATCACTCGGCGCTGGACACAAGACCCAGCAAAGGCACAAACTATGTCGTGAGTTCTACGCCCTCAATATGTCAACTTTCCTGTACAACCATGCAAGATCAATGTGACGCTACCACCAACTTCCTCATGTATCGCCAAAAGACACACTAACAATACTTTTATAGTGTACATAACCGCACGGATTCTGAACGACATGCAACAGAATCCAAGACAGAATCCAACACATTCATTGTACCGGATGTTAGTATTCAGGTGTCGGACTATGGCAGTGCACCGAGTGAAAGTGGGACAGACTCATTGACTGTTGACTCGACTATGAGTGAACATGGCAGTGTTTATACACCCACTGAACATGGTTTCTCGACTCCTACTGCAGACAACACGTTCCTTGCGGGAGAGCTAGAGATGCCAAAAAGTGTACGATCGTTTCTTTCTACGAACGCTTCATCTAGGAGGAATTCGGGGACAGACGAACTCGCTCGCACTGCCGTGAAGCTGCTTTTCAATCGAGCTTGCCATCGCATCAGGCAGGCAAGTGACCTGGAGGGCATTATTTTTGTGGAATGTTCAACTCAAGATACTGCAATGCCCAGCAAAGAACATACTCCTAAGTCCAATAGATCACCGGACTCAGAAGACGATCTGGCTCGAGAAACTAGCAATACTGTTGATTGCAAATTTCGTCCCATTGTCCCTGATACTGGATCTCAGGGTAATTCAGACACCGATGGAAAAGGAAAACAATCGCGAGTCTGCGAATTGCTGGGATATGCATTTCGGAGCGAGGTTGGTGGCTTCGGACCCGCACCTCTTCCAAGACACTCATCTCTGCCTCAATCAACATTGCGAACACTGCGAGACCACTACCCACAAGGAGAGATTTTCCATTTCGACGAGAACGGAAGCATCTTGGAGTTCGAGGACGGTCGAGCTAAGCGATGCGGTGCCGAGACTGATGACGAATCTCGGATTGAATTTGAGCGGAATAAGAAGCAACTCAGAGGTTATCAGCTTCTCGATGTCTGTCTTGGAGCACGATCAATCATTTTCTTTCCATTGTGGGATCCTCAGAAAGATCAGGTGAGTCGGCACGTCAAATCCCAAGGAGCTTCATCTCCAGCTAGTGTTGCTTTCTGCTGTCCACGATTTCTTCATGTTCGTAGCTAACATGCTTTCTTTAGTGGTTTGCTGGTAGCCTGGCGTGGACTAATGACCCAGCTCGACTGTTAGATGAAGATGATGTCGCTATGCTTGCTACCTTTGGTAGCTGTGTCATGGCTGAGAAGGCAAAGATGGATGCTCTGAATGCAGATTACACCACGACGAAGGCCGAATTCATTTCATCGGTCAGTCGGGGGTTGGAGAGAGCCCCTTCCTGGTAGATCTAACTCCAACAGAGCCACGGATGAAGAGGATGGATGGGCTGGGAGATGAAGTGCTTTCGAAGATTGTGGTTGTAGGAAGAACAGGAGAATCCGTACATTGATAGTACGCTCAGTGCTTAAAGAATTCGCCGAGTATTGCAGGAAGAAGAAGACGTCGTACATTGATAGAACATTCGGTGCTTATTGAATTTGCCGAACATTGCAAGAACAAGATGTCTGAATTGTGAATAAATTTTAAAGTGAAAGTTTGAGGTGAAAGTTTGGTTGAAAAATGTCTTGCATTCTTTGGATGCCTGAGATCACGAGTCCGCTATTCGCCTCAGCCGCGTAACATGATCCTCGTCATAGGGAACACCACAAGCTACGACACCAGTACTACAACCAAGGCAAACAGAGCTCAAAATGCGCTGAACCTCCCGTATCAAAGCTCTTCATTCTGAGCATCGAGAATCCTGCGTCTCATTCACGTCGATAGCACTCGATTGAAATAGCGACAATGACGTCGTCTTCAGGTCCGGCGAGACCAGCATCGCCGTCAAACAGCTTCTACGCCCTCAGCGACGATGAAGAAGGCGAATACAATACCATTACACACACGACTTCCGGTCGAGGAGTCAAGCTCCTCTTCTCCAAGAGCAAGGTCTGCCATCTTGCCCACTGCCCGCACTCGTCCATCTCGATGCGGGGTATCTCGAAGCATAAGCTGACGAACAGAACAATAGGTCTACATCCACCCCACTCCATCTGCGAAAGACAATATCCCAGGCTACATTGCTCTCCTCCAGCAGAAGCCTCCCCCTGATTCCCGACCTACTTCTTCCGGCTCAGCATCTGCGAGATTGAAGACGGCGAGTAGCCTCCTCCTGGCTTGGTTGCCGGAACATAGTCTGGGAGATGCTTTGGATACCTATGTGAAGGTTGATCTCAGCGATGGAGACTCGCCCCCAAAACAATCATACCTGGTTCCTCCGCCTCCAACGACGACCACGCATTCGGGGTCTGTAGGCCATTATGCGTATGCGATCCCCGTCTCGGCTGTATACTCGCTGCTCGTCCGACCACCCAGTCTGGGCTGGTGGTTCGGCAGCGTGATCATCAATTCGCGGGCCGGTGATAGTTTTCCCGCGCTGTTCTTCCACGATAGTGAGTGCCAGAGCACGATTCTGCAGAAGAAGAAGCATGCGAGGGAGAACTTTGATCCGTTTGGGGCGAATGGGGAGATGTTTTGGGGTGGGGATGAGGTGCTGAGGTGGTTGAGACGGTACGTGGAAGTCGAGAGGAGTGGTGCGGAGCCGAATATCTATCTGATTGAACCGTCGGCGGAGGATAAAGCTGCGTTCGGAGGGAAAGTTACACAGGCGGCGGTGGTGAGGAGGCCGAGTAGTAGCGGGGTGCAAGTGGGAGGTGCGGCGGGCGCGAATCCGAGGGGAACGGGAGATGCGCGGATGGATCCTGTGACGAAGTTCGTGAAGGAGGCGGGGTGGAATTTAATGGAGAAATTTAGCAAGGTTACGACGTTTACGAGACGGACGGCTGATTCGGTCATTGAGAATCCGAGGGTTCCGCCGCAGGTTAGACGGTTGCTCAAGAATCCGGAAGTCCAAACTCTGCAAGAGGAATTCGATAGTGCGAGGATATACCTTGCGAGGTGGGCGATGGGTATTGCGGAGCAGAGCGAGAGAGACAGAAATCAGAGGATCTGGACTGCGAGAGATGTGCTGGAGATGGAGGAGACTGACGTGGGAGAATTTGAGCTACTGGATACTGAAATGGGAAATCTCAGTTTGAAGGAGCTGAGGAAGACTGTTACGATGAAAGAGTGGACTAGCTTCTTTGATCCAAGGACGGGCAGACTTCAGGTCACCGTTGACGAGGTCAAGGAGAGAATATTCCATGGTGGTCTTGATCCAGATGATGGGGTACGAAAAGAAGCTTGGTTATTCCTGCTCGGTGTCTATGATTGGGAGTCTACCTCCGAAGATAGAAAAGCGGAAATTGCCAGTCTAAGAGACGAGTATGTCAGGCTGAAAGGAGCATGGTGGGATCGTCTCGTTGATCTTGGTGGTGAAGGCGAGGAAGGAGAATGGTGGCGTGAGCAAAAAGGTCGAATAGGTATGTGATTCTGAAATCTCTCGTTGGAAGACTACAGTATGGGCTGACATATCCCATTCCTTGGGGTCTCCGCTATAGAGAAAGATGTGCACCGAACAGATCGTACCATCCCCCTATTCGCAGGCGAGGATGCGCCACACCCAGATCCATCGTCCCCCTTCGCAGACGTCGGGACAAACGTCCATCTTGAGCAGATGAAAGATATGCTACTTACTTACAACGAATACAATCGTGATCTCGGCTACGTCCAAGGCATGTCTGATCTTCTCGCTCCGATTTATGCCGTCATGCAAGACGACGCAATCGCATTCTGGGGTTTCCAACATTTCATGGATCGAATGGAACGGAACTTTCTCCGTGACCAATCAGGGATGCGGAAACAGCTTCTCACTCTTGACCACCTAGTCCAACTCATGGATCCGAAACTCTACCTTCATCTCCAGTCCGCCGATTCTACGAATTTCTTTTTCTTCTTTCGAATGTTGCTTGTCTGGTACAAGCGAGAATTCGAATGGTTAGACGTTCTTACGTTATGGGAAAGATTATGGACGGATTACTTGAGTAGTAATTTCCATCTTTTCATTGCACTGGCGATATTGGAGAAGCATCGAAGTGTTATTATGGAGCACTTGAAACATTTTGACGAGGTGTTGAAATATGGTAAGTTTTATCTTCGACACTCGGCTTCCTAGTACTGATTTAGTAATAGTCAACGAGCTCTCAAATACAATAGACTTAGAATCGACCCTCATCCGCGCCGAAGCTCTCTTCCGCCGCTTCCAAAGAACTGTCGAAGCCATCGACAAGAAATCCAACTTCCCAGCCCCCAAACTTAGACATAGAGTCCAGAACGCTAGTATCGGCTCCACACAGTCTCTTCGCTCTCCACCGGCTTCACCTGGTGCTACGGCTAATACCAGTGGTACCGATACAACGACTGCGGGAGCAACAAATAGTGGTGCGGGTTCAAGTAGTCCAGCAAGGCAAGCAGGCAGTGCAGATAAGGGGAAAGGGAAAGCCAAAGATGAAGGAGAGTTGGAGGAGCAGAGACCGAAAGTTATCAGTCCTGAATTGAGGGAGCTGTTGAGCAGGAAGGTGGAGGTGCTACCCAGGAAGGTGGTTGCAAAGACAGGGGAGGGGTTGAGTAGTCTAGGGAAGGATGGGTCGAAATAGGTTCGAAATTGAGGGTGTGGCGTTTGGAGGGTGTATAGCTATGGGAACAGGTATTAGGAGAGCATGGACTAACAAACATGCAATCGGAACACGATTTGGCACGATATAGGTATTGGCATTAGCAGCAAGAATTGAGACACACGTGACGTTCCTCTCTGATTTCTTTTTTGGGAGTGGAATCTCCACAATTTTCTTCTCCGCAAGCTTCCCCGTCTCTGTATACTCGTCAGTGTGGCCACTTTTTACAAGTGTACCAACTAGATTCCAAGAATCCCCTTTTTATTCTTCCCATCTACTAGTCCCATGTCATGACGTTACCTCTTTCGGCATCCCCGCTAAGGGAAATATCTCGGTCTCTCAACCTTATTCCAACATCCAGCCAGATCCACAAGATAAATGCACTACTCCAAGATCAGGGTCCTCGTAGTCGTACTGGTCGGAATCACTCTGTTCCTGCATTAGTTGCTTTTTTCCCGATAAGCGTCATGGATTTAGGATCTGACATGTGGGTTACTTGTCATGTCCAGTATCTTTTTTCTCTTTGTGTAAACAAATCAGTTGGGAAGTAAGTGATGGATTTTGAAAGTATCAAGCAGAATTTCCGATTTAGATCTGGGAGGCAGACGAATATGAGTAAAAGGTTTCCTACCAGGGAACGGGAGCCGGTCAGGGAGGTTGTGGAGCAACAACCTGAAAGAATAGTGGTGCCGAAAAAGAAGATGAAGGGTGAGAAGAAAGTAACTATGAAGCCGGTTGATGGCAAAGTATCAGAAGGCTCGCCCCAAAGTCCAGCACCAAAACCAACATCGAAACCTCCGAAGGGAGATATTGCGGAGCAACCTGTTCAAGAACCCCCTAAACAGGCGGAAGGACAAAAGCTTTCTGTATCCGATTCCGGAGAGGCAGATTATGATTTACGTCCAACGAGTTCCAAGCCAAGAAGCGAATCTCTCGAGTCGTTGACTGAATTACTCTTCTCGGAAGCATATCTACGCACTCTCACCAGCGACCCTCAACTTCTGGCACGATTTAGCTCCTTCCTCTCTCACTACGAACCATCGATCGCACCTCTCGTTCTCCAATACGTCGAAACGCAAAAAGTGGTCAAAGCCATCTCATACGCCAACGCAGTAGCAAAGACCCTTCCAGGAAACGAAAACGCGGCCGAGCTCTCGAAATCGTTTCAAGACTCTGCTCAGCATGCTTTCGACACCCTTCTCAACACCGCTCTTCCTGCTTGGGTGACGTATAACCTAGTTAAGACATCAACATCTATCCTAATCGCCGAAATCACGAATCAATCCACGCCTCTAACGCGCGACTTAGTCGGGGGCCTCAGCGAGGTGTTCTGCATCACGGATCCGAATGTGGAGGATAATCCAATTGTATATGCCTCGGAGGAGTTCTATCGATTAACGGGGTATGGAAGGGATAGCGTTATTGGGTTTAATTGTCGGTTTTTGCAGGGAGGGAAGACGAGGAGGGAAAGTGTGAGGAGGTTGAAAGAGGCGATTGGGAGGGGAGAGGAGATTTGTGAGACGTTGCTTAATTATAGGAGGGATGGGAGGCCGTTTGTTAATGTGTTGATGTTGGCGCCGTTGCATGATGATAGGGGGAATGTGAAGTATTATTTGGGGGCGCAGGTTGATGCTAGTCGGTTGGTGGAGGGCGGGAGAGGGGTTGAGGGGTTGGAGAGATGTCTTGTGAGGAAAGAGATGGAGGAGAAGAGGAATATCGAAGGCGATCGCGAGCCGAAGCAGATTGTACTGGAGAAGTTGAGGGATTTGAGCATGGCTTTTGATCTTGAGGAGAGTGCTGTGGTACAGAGTCAGAGTCGACGGAATTCAATATCCAAGGATGAAGAACCATTTACAAAAGGAAGAGCGGCAAGGAGACGACTTGAGTATGACGGCGAAAATTTGGCCAGTGAAGACGACGACTTTGGTGACGAAGAGAAACACACCTTACCGGAATGGACAATTTCTCAAAACAAGCCGACAGGCAAATTACCAGGCATATACAAAAAGTACCTCCTCGTCCGACCGTACCCATCTCTTCGAGCAATATTCGTCTCTCAATCAGCGCGCAGACTAGGAAAGCTGCAGCAGAAACCATTGCTGTCGTATCTCGCCGCTCCAGCTTCAACGCTGGCTGGGTTGAAAGAGTGCTTCCAGTCCGGTACACCTGTCACTGGGAAAGTTGCAATCATGAAACAAGCAGGGGTGAAGAGGGAGGGAACGGTGACTGGGAAATGGAATGCCAGAGAGAATAATCCAAGTACGCACGGGGAGATTTGCTGGATCTCTGCTACACCCATGTTGGATGGGAATGATGGAGTGGGAGTATGGATGGTTGTTATCGTAGATAAAAACAGTGCTTCCTCGAATACTGGACGGAGGATTGAGAGATTGAAGAATCTCCAAGACTCTACTCCTGAATTGCTGCGCGGAAATGGAGATGTGCCTATCAAGCCTAAGCTAGTGGGTGGCGGGGAGCAAGATGAGCAACAAGGGGCGGAGATGAAAGATGAAGGCTCGTCCACCATGGTGTTAAGTCCCCGCACACCAGATCAAAGTCAGAGGTCAGAGGATAATGTTCCCCCGAGCGAAGCAGAGGACACTGATGCCATGAGAATAGAGTCTCGGAATGGCTCAGTGGCGCTTAATCATGACTCTGCTGAGCCTCGGGCACTAGTTAACGGTGCCTTTCCCGAGATTTCTGATGGGGATGAAGATGAGCAGGACCCTTTAACCCCGCCAACAAAAGATCAGGAAGAGGATAGCATCAGTTCGGATACGACACCGCGACAAAACGGGTTGAGTGGAAGTCGAAGGACGGACGTGGGGTTGAGAGCTATGGATTATTTGAGTAGTCGATCGATGAAAGTTGATGGTCAAGATGGGGATGGGGGGGTTGATTGGAATGTAGCTTCGCCTTATAGTGTTGATTAGGAGAGTTGGAGGGAATGGATGCATCTTGAGCAAGCTTGTTGCGGATCGTTGAAGGAACTCATGGAACTAATCTTACCCCGCAGTTCAGACCCTCGTGATCCGTGTTCCGTATAAAAGCTGATGGCTGTCTGGAATTCTAAAAGTTATATTCTGTAGTTTTGCTAGTGATAACGATAGTAGTTGGCTGCCATCTGCAACTTATAGTTAGGTGTATTCTCGAGTTTTATGAAACTTTAAAGGTTGGAATTGCTACAGCCTTGGAGCTTGCATCAAACTAATTACATGTTCTACGGACGCGTTCAAGCTTAATTCAAATACAAGAAAAAGTCTTTAGCTCAAAGTAGAGAGCCGAAGCCCGCCCTCTGTTTGTAGTCTCGCTCAAAAATCTTCTCGCGCCGCCTCCCTTGGTGTTTAACATGACAGCCGGATCTTCTTGCTCTTCATGATATGATAATGATGTCTATGCTTTAGAATCTGGTATCTTGGTATCATGCTCTATTTCTTCCAAGATTTTCCACTCAATACTCATCCAGGAGATGAAATAGGACCCTAAGCCAAACAGCAAGGAAATTGTAAGGCAGATGGCAGTTACAACCTCATCTCCCCAACACCCCGCTTTTCTGGCTGCACTAAAGACACTAATAGCGATGCCAACTAGTATGAAAATTATGCTGTTCCCTACTAGCATTGACGGTATTTGCCATGCAAAACATTGCAGTCGACTAGCATCGGTAATTTCAGATTCATCGAAGTAACGTGCACGGCCAGAAATGGTGGGCATGAAAAAAGCCCAGTGACCTGAGTGGAGGCTAGCTCGACCTAGAGCGATAGATTGCTGTCCTGCTATTCCAACTGCAAGAAGCGAATGAACCAAAGCGCAAAGTAAAGCAATCTTGGCTGTGTATGGAGGCACTGGGAACCAGGACCATGACAGTAGGCTTGCTACAACGGACGCCACGAGAGCACTCTATTGAACCTGTCAGCGTAGAATTCTTAGACGCAAACTCTGTATTGTAACTCACGGCAACGGCTACTGTGTCCAACTCTCGTTGCTTAACAGCAATAAAACGCTCAATGACGGCTCCTCGTTCAGATGAAGTGGTTCTCAAAATATGCCTGAATGTTATGCGGGATGCGTGCCACGGTGACCACCCAAGTCTTAGAGTAACTTGACAAACATTCTTGATGTGCGAAAATCCGTTCTTGAAGTGTAGCATCAGTCTGCGAAAGAAGCCATTAGTCCAGGTGGAAGGACGGGCCGCTGTGACAGTCTCGAACATTTCGAGGTGTTTCTCTACTCAGATATGTCAGTTGCACTACGAGAAGAGGATAAATCAATTGCGACTGCTCTCAAGGCTTTGTTTTTGAAGATTCTGGTGGAACTGTGGGAAGATGGTAGTTGTCATGAGGCTCGGCCGGGCTCTGGAACGCTACCAATCATACCCGACCACGTCCGAGCCGTTCCACAGACACAAAACTTTTCTAGGCACCTGTCTCAACTACGTCTTGTCGAGAAAGTTTCTCCGTTAATTATCCCCCCACTCCCCACGTCCTAATTCATCACTCACTATTTGACTCGGCATCCATTTAACATCCGGGCTACTTACTTATTACAGCCAATTACAGTCGAATATGGAGGTACCATTTTCCGAGCCTCGTCATATCACCATCTTTACGGTAGCGGCTGGGACGCCCAGTGCTCTCACAGACATGAAGCTGGGACGATTTATCCCTACTTCCGCTGTTGACCACTGGGGAATATACATCGAAAGTGCAGACGACTACGAGACTCACAATGGGTTATGTATTGAGCTTGACCGCAGTGAAGATGGAGGGATCATAGCACGAGATCGAACAAGGCGTGAACGAGAAGAGAAAGAACCGCAAAAGGGAATAAAATACGACTTCACTCAGAAGTTCACCGCATGGGAAGATAGGAGAATTATTCAATGCGGTACACAATAATCCAGACATGTCGTCTACGCAGTGAAAAGCTAACATTCAATTAAGCCAAGGATATCTGCAAAGATCAGATGTACAGTACCTATCACGTCATAAAGGGAAATTGTCAAACTTTAGTCAATCTCCTTGTCCAGAGAATAGCGAGTGGTGATTTATATATTCCGAAAAGTACGGCCTCGCACATATTTTCCAAGGGACCTTCCAACGCGAACTTAGTTGGCATCTGGGAAGCCGACATGGTCCCTTCCGAAAGACTTCGACTCATGGCTAAAACTCGAGCCGCAAGTAAGGTTCCATGGAATACAAATCAACTGGAAGCTCCAGGAGAGGCGTCATTCACTCTCGTCCAATCTGCTATGGGACCTTTGTGGAACATCTCGCAGGTAAAAAACCGAGATGACCCACTGACTCTTGAGGAGCAACGACTAAACGCTTACTACCTATCCAATTTGATCGATGGAGCGGTTGAACCAGTTCAGGAACAAAGTCTGAGGACCGGACGAAGCCCAGGACTGCGGTCCGATATCGATATCAAGGAAAGAATCAAAGCGGCCGAGATGAGCGTGAAGAATTCTCTAGAAGAGACGTTCAGACGTTCGCGGGGGATGAGCACTCTTGGAGCCAGCCTAGCCGTCTATGATGACCCCAAAATTCCCCTAGAGAGACGGGAAGAGATGCGAAAGCGTCTAACGGATTTGAATAGTCGCTATCTACGCTCGAAAAGGGCGGCATTGTTAGATCAAACTAGACAACTACCCCGATTGTACTTGGGCAAGGATACTGTTCGGCGAGAAGACATTACCTCTGAGCAGACCCGACAACAGCTTGAACTTTGGTTGAAAAATGATGAGCAGGACAACAATCCAGAAATCGTAGATAAAGGACCATCCCAAGTCTCGGGTCCCAAGGAATCGCGCTAGCTGGTCATACTCGCCTGCGGGCATGAATTACCTAGCTGTGGCGAGAACATGCTGCATTGCAGATGTAGTACCTACATTGCACGTATGACAGTAGCCAACAGGCGTTATCTGACACTCAATCAATGCATTACCACCAAGATGTTCTACCCCATCTCGCTTCCATGATCTTGGTACCTAGTAAAGAATATGGATTTTCTACGATCTCTTTCCCGCTTAGACATGCTCTTATACAGTGACAACGACAACCTTTGTAACCATGGATTCATTGAATATGGCAACCAAATCTACAGACCACCTCTTAGTACGGGCATCAATCTATGGCCATCTACAGCAGAGAAATATCCGTTCAATGCTTCCTGCACGAACCTGAATGCGCCGAGTGTGCGAATGATTTAATCACAGTTTCCCTTTTGATATAAATCAAGCCTCAGCACAACTATCTCGGATCAAGCGGCAAGTGAGATCATCACCATTACTTCAAAGACTTCCTGTCACACAGTAGTCTGGACCTAAAAAGGGGGGTTTGTCACGTGCACTCTTAGGGTGCATTCTGCCTATATATAGGGCCCTTCGGACCCTCTAATTTGAGGTCTTTTCAGACCGAATCTACTCTGTCACACTTCCTCGACCGGGTACCGATGGTACTTTGGGAGGGGCCGAGAGAGAGCGAACAGGATGGAGAATAAAAGAAGAAAATAAAGAAAACATGCGACACCGAAAGCGAGAATGAAAGGGAACCTGCCATGTATGATAACTTACCAGACAATGTAAGTTCTCTAATTTGTTAGACCGAAGTAAAGTTCCGAAGTTCTGCGCCAAAAGTCGTTTATCAATGGCTATATACTATCGACCGCTTATGCCAGACAAACGAAATAAAGAGAAACAGGAACGAAACCGATGTCCTTCGACAGCTTCTCTATCTAGCTATAATACTCGTCTAACCACTTTCGCAGATCGCCAATGGTGGGGTAGTCCAAGAACAGACTACCACCGACTTTGATATCTAGCTCTGTCTTGAACTTTTCAGCGATGACGAGCGACATGAGACTGTCAATGCCCAAGCTAGCGATCTCGGCTTCATCCTCCAAGTCGGACATGCTTAATGCGGCCTCCTTAGCAATCAGCGCTAGTGCTTTGCCAGTGATAGTGCTCAAATCGACCGTGGACTCGGCGGATGGTGCTGCGGCATCAACGGCGACGGATTTGACGTCCTTGACAGGATGAGGCGTCGTGGCGAGCTCGCCTGGTGAGAGAATACTCATCTCGACAGCGGAGTCATGGCGAGAGTGCGCTTTCCTCGCTTCCGATTTAGTATTCTTCGATGCTACTGGCGCTGGCGTTAAGCTTGGAGGAGGTGAAATCTTTCGTGTGCCCTCCTCCTTAGTCTGTTCCGGAGGAGAGAAGAATCGGCTGAGCAAGATACGTGGATAGCGGCGGAATTGGATACCGCCAACCATACCCATGATGGCACCGTCTTGTTCCATGATATACACGTCGCCAAAATAAATCGTTGGGTCCTCAACCGTCGGAATCATCTTAACGTATGAACGATACTTGGCTCCTGGGATTAAAGGCTTCGCAAAACGCATAGATTTCCAACCAGGTGTCACACAATAATTGTTTTGTGTATCCATGGCATCGGAGCAATTCATAATGAAGCCAGCCAAGTGCGCCACGCTATCAATAAAGTATGGCGGCACTGTCCAGACGCCGCTTTCCTTGCTAGTGAGTTGTACATCGGCGAATCCTTCCAGGTCGTATATCACAGCCGTTTGCATGCCGCGATACTTCTCAGCGTAGTCCACCAATTTGCTGGCAAAGAGGGTATATGCCATGTTACGCGAGAAGCGGCTTGCTTTGCCTTCGACGGCCAAGTGCTCCAGCGCTTCGACTCGGCTGTGAACGAGGTGAGCGATCGGAGTCCAAGAGGAGAGCCAATCAGTTGCAACGCCGTAAAGAATACTGGCGGTGGCAAAGGGTTCCTGGACGTTGCCATCGTTGTCCACGTTTTGCCACGTCAAGTCCACCCCGGAGCGGATATCACCAGTGGTAGCAGTCACCTGTATCAACTGAGGCATCTTATTGTTGCTCTGAGCGACAAGACCCTTCGTAACGACCAGGTCGGCTATATTCGCGGTCACCTCGGTGCTCTTAGGGTAAAATTTCCGGTGGATATATCCACCCAGAGTGTAGGCAATGTCGGCGTGGATAGACTAGGTATGTTATAAGCACCTAATGAGGAGTGTTGTGAGGAGTCCACTTACCGATGTAACGACACCACAGCTGTTCATCCGGTGTCCATGAGCAGCAGCTAGGAAATCTGGCTGCATAAGATCAGACTGCATGACAACTGTTCCGGCAGAACCATTGAAAGTCTCCTCGATGATCTGCTGCACCGTTGACGTCTGGATATTGCCAGCCTGCTTGGATACCGGTTTGGTGGGACCTTTCTTGGTGTCATAGAAAGTATTACCCTTAGTCAAGCACCAGTCACCGTTGTACTGTAGCCAGTAAGTCTTATCGTTCCAGGCGTACGTAGGCAGATCCAGAAGACGGAGCGACTTTTCGAACGGGCGGTGGAATTCGTTCCAGCTAACCTCAACACCAGCAAGGTGGAGTGCGGCCATACTCTCGGACATAGTCTTCAGATTATCATCGCCGCGACGGATTGAAGGGATAGCAAGCTGGGTATCTGGAATGGTAGACTTGACAAAGCCGGTGCAAACGGGATGCGGCCCAATCTCGATCCATACAGTCTCGTTGCTGACGGCGGAAATGTTTTGAGCATTCTTCAAAGCGGACAAAAAGTCGACTGCCTCTCTGGTACCCCGGCGCACATAATTTGCGTTCAGAGTTTTGCCGTCGAAAATGACTTTGCCGAGCAGTGGTGAGATGACTGGTAGTTTCGGCTCTTGGAAGATAACACCTGTCTTCGAAAGGGCTTCGAAATCGTCCAAAATAGGATCAACCTGCTCGGAATGGAAAGCAAAAGCGAGGTCTAGCTTGATACAGCGGAACCCGGCAGTCTCGAGTGGGACAGCGATCTTATCCATTTGATCCTTGGTACCGCTGAGTACTGTATCTGAAGGACCGTTGACGCAAGCAACTGTGTACGGGTTGCCTCCTGAGTTCTCGACTATCTGCGAAAGAGAAGCACGTATGGCCATCATAGTATGACTGCCAATCTTGCACTTCTCCTGCAGCAGCTGAGCCCTGCGTCCGACCATAAAAATAATGTCATTTGCAGTGACTACGCCTGCTACATGCATCGCAGCGTACTCGCCTAAGCTGTGTCCCATGATGATGTCCGGTTTAACCCCGAGAGAAGACCAGTATTTGGCCAAAGAAATCTCAATACAGACTAGTGCAAGCTGAGTAACAACTGGAGAGTGAGCGTGGTCCTTGGGATGCGACCCATCTAACGCAGGAACGAAAGATGGGAAGCCTTGGCCTTGAGCGAGACAATCAAGATGCTCAATGGTTTCTCGGAATGTCGGTACGTTGTGGTATAATTCGAGACTCATAGACTTATACGACGCACCTTGACCAGTGAAGACAAAAGCGATGGGCGGTGGATCGGACTTTCCGACTGCCTTGATGGCATCAATCTTCTGCAGGCGAGAGGTGAGCTGCTTCTTGAGATGGGCCACGTCAGATGTGGCAATTGCCACACGATGGGTATGCTGGTAGCGGCGTGCCGTCGTCGTATATGAAAGGTCGGCTAGATTGACGTCTGGATGGGAGTCAAGATATGCAATCAAACGCTCGATATTCCCAGATAGTGAAATCTTAGTCTTTGCAGAGATAGCAATGATGTGAGTCTGACGCGGGTCGGTCTCGGTGATGACACGAATTGGGGCCTCTTCCAGCAACATAGTTGTATTTCCGCCAGCTGCACCAAAGTTGTTGACAACTGCAAGCCGCTTTCTGCCCGGTATCTGCTCCCAAGGCGTCACCTCAAAAGGGATGTGGAGATTACGTTTGTCAAAGTCTCGGGGAAACTTGGGGTTGATCTCAGTCTTGATGCCTACATGGGGCGGAATGGCGTTCTTTTGGAGCATGAGAAGGACCTTGATCAATGCCGTCGTGCCCGCAGCAGATTCGCTGTGGCCCACGTTCGCCTTCGATGCGCCAATATAGAGTGGCTGGCTGCGGCGTTTGGTAAGCGGGGCATAGACGTTCATAATGCCCTGCATTTCCTCGTGGTCACCAGCTTGAGTACCGGTGCCATGAAGTTCAACATACGACACGGACAGGGGATCTACGCCGGCCTGGCGTAGTACTTGACGGGATAGATAAGCTTGATGACCAGCATGTGGGTGAGTAATTGAAACGGCTTGGGCAGAATGATTAGTTCCAGCACCGAGAACAACACCTAGGATATTATCGTAATCTGCTTCAGCGTCTTCAAGTCTTTTGATAACAAGAGATCCAATTCCGTCTGCACGGCAATACCCATCCGCAGTGGCATCCCAAGTTTTGCATGCGTTCTGTCCCGTGGTCAGGAAGTGGCCGTTGCACAAACCCGAGAAACCGTCTGGGTTAGTAAGAACATTGACACCGCCGGCGATCGCTGTGTCGATTTGGCCGTTCCAAAGTGCTTGACAAGCCACCTATCACGATTTTAGCGTTTTCTCTTCTGACTTTCGAGAATGTAACACGTCCGAGCACGAACCTCAATTGCTGCAAGTCCAGAAGAGCAAGCCGTATCAATACTATAAGAAGGACCCGCAAACTTAAAGAAATAGTTGATACGTCCAGGACCAAAAGCACGGCATCCACCGGGAATATAATAGGTAGTGACTTCCTGACCTTGGTTGACCTCACGATAATCGTCAGCGGCTTGGCCATAATACGTTCCAATGCGTTCTAATTGTGTAGCAGCGGTGCGGTTGCCAACAAAACCAGCACGCTCCATCGCCTCGTAGGCGGTAACAAGAGCCAAACGCATCTGCGGATCAACGACTTGGGCTTCACGTGGGGACATGTTGAAAAAAGGCGCATCGAACAAGCCCGGCTCATCAATGAAACACCCGTATTGCGTCATAGTCTTGTTAAGCTGCTTACCTGTCGGGTCGTAATGTGTTTCGATGTCGAATCGGTCAGCTGGAACCTGGCGCGAGACGTCTAAGCCCTTTTCGAGGAGCTCCCAGAACTTTTCAGTACTGCTCGCGCCCCCTGGAAGTCTACAGGACATACCGACAATGGCGAGCTTGGACTGCGCTGCGTTGCGGGGCGTTGTGTCTCTTGGCGTGGCTTGGGCTATCCATGGCATGAGGTTGCTGATCGAGATGCTGAGCTTTGAAGTACTGCTTTTCAAAGCGATGTTGAGGTCGTTAAGCGGTATGGAGTTGCCAAAGCAGTACAACACGACTTCGGAGGTAATGGTGTATTTCACTCTGTCGACCACTCCACGAATGACATGGTCCCAATAGATCGCCTGCGTGAGGAGTTCAGAGATGACACTTTCGAACAGCTCAGCTGTATTCTTGGATTGGTATGGCAGACCAGTGCTGGTTGAGTACAATGGTATCACTGGCCGAGAATCCGTGTCGAGAGTGCTCAATGAACTGCCATAGATGATGCTGTTCGTATCCTGAGGGCCGTAGATATGCGGTGCGTGGCAGAGGCCGCCGTAGACTGGCAGTGCAATGAATTTGGCCCCCCGAAAGAATTCGGACTTGACGAACAACGTCTTTAATCTTGATGGAGGCCCACTCACTGTTACTGAAGTCCGGCTGACAGCGCTTACAAAGATTTTTCCGGTATCAGGTTTCATTTCTTTGGAGTGCATGATATCGAGCTCCTCCTGGGCTGCCACGGGATCGACATTGTGAACCACATATGCCCACGTATCTGGGCTTTCTGACAGCTCGCGGCCTTCCAAATTCTCGGAGATGCCCTGGACGTGGATCCCCAGGCGGAAGGCCAGGCGAACGGCATCTGCGCCGGCCAGTGGTATATCGGCTATCGTCGATGACAGTGCAACGGCAGTTGCTGTGAGCAATCCAACACCCAGTCCTGCGAGGCATGTGTGTGCAAGGTCCCTCAGCTCTGCTGGATGGTGCTCTGCATATCTGACAGTGTTATCAACTTATTCTCTTCTGAACAGTTCTACTCACCCAATGTACGTCGCTAATTGGACGACGATGAGCAGCACTCCGTCAACAGCGCCGCATAGAAGACCGTCACGCAGCTTCGTATCGTCCGCCCACGAGAAAACGGTGTCAAATGGTGAAAAGAGTTGCTTCAGTTCGGTCGGAAGTCGTCTAATTTCGTCTTTCACAGCCCACGTGACCTCGCTTATAAATCGAGCCAAGACAGGGTGATGCCGGTCCTTGCTGTGGTTATTCAGACGTCGAAAGAGATCCTGCAGATCTTCTCTGGGAAATTCATTGCTGAAATACACAAGCTCCATCTTCCGCAAGTCTCCGTCGGACTCTGAACTGACGGCAGGCGTGTAGATGGGCGACGGAGCATCCATCAATGTTCTGCAGGCAGGTGTCGTGAGTTTCAGCCGCACTTGTTACGATCAAGAGGACAAGATTGAGCAATATTCAGCCTATAACGAATGGTTCTTAGCCTTATCAACCTCGTTGCTTGACAAGAAGCAGCGGAAGGCGCCGCTTGCGCAGCTATATCTCACAATAGCCTGCCCCGCAATGTCTTTTCTCTGCCGTTTCGTTATGAGTGGTGGTGTTCACTAAGGGGCTGATTGGGTTTGCTTGATGCTGAAGTGTGTGGTGGCGCTGTCTGCCTCCAATGTTTCTCCTGTCATCAGGTGTATTCATCCCGAACTGCAAGTGGTTCTTTCCGATTGTGGCGTCCCGAGTAGCTTCCCGAGAGTGCAATAGCCTCCCCAGCATCTCAGATCTTCGGATAGAAACATCTTTCTTCCGACTTCTGACAGCTGTCTTTGCTAGTTCCTTTGAGGTACGCAATTCTCCACTCTCGTCTTCAAGGTTGACCCATCTTCGCAGAAAAAGAAAACAACAACAAATCTACCCTAAGACAGTTCTTATCATATTTGCCCAAAATTAATAGGCTTATTCTGAGACACCTCTTTACTATCTTTGCGCAGAGTTACACCCGGGATACATTGAAACAATGCTGCAAGACGTTGATACTCTCGTTATGAAAGACGACAAGGGCGGATACCGGCAGATCAACAAATCGCTGAATATCTGTGCGTTCGACGATTATCTCAAGGGCCAAACAGCACGACTTCCACAATTGGCGAACGTTGAACAGCATACGCCTAGAGTACTACGCGTAATGGGTCAGAATCCAGGGATTGTAAATCCTCCATTTCCCGTCTCTGATCATATCCTGCAAAGTCTACGTGGCTGACACTTTTCCGAAGTTTACTTTCCAAGGCACGAACACATACATTGTTGGCACTGGTCACGATCGATTGATTATCGACACCTCCGGGGGTGAACCAGAGTGGGCCGAACTCATTGCATCGACGCTCAAATCCGAGGACATTGGTTTGTCTCATGTCTTGTTGACCCATTGGCATGGGGATCACACCGGCGGAGTCCCTGATCTTATACGCCTCTACTCTCATCTGAAAGATCATATCTACAAAAATGACCCTGATAAATGCCAGCAGAATATCACCGACGGGCAGGTTTTTGAGGTGGAGGGTGCAACGGTACGTGCTCTGCATGTGCCTGGACACTCCGAAGACCATATGTGTTTCATTCTTGAAGAGGAGCAAGCTATGTTTACTGGCGACAACGTTCTTGGTCATGGTACCAGCGCTGTAGAAGATCTCGGCACTTTTATGAACAGTCTGGAGAAAATGCACTCCCAGAATTGCATCACTGGCTACTCAGCTCACGGCGTCACGATCACGAACTTACCCGCCAAGATTGCTGGAGAGTTGAGTCAAAAACTGCGGCGTGAAAGACAAGTCATGCAAGCGCTTGGTCAGTTTCGTAGCCATGGCCAACGGAGTGTAACCGTCAAAGAGCTTGTCACAGAAATTTATGGCGAAGGGTTGGATGAGGATACGCGGACTCTCGCGCTGGAGCCATTCATAGGTGAAGTGCTACGGAAGTTGGCTGGTGATAATCGAGTTGCCTTCGAGATGAGAGCAGGCAAGAAGAAGTGGTACTCAGTGGAAGCAGTGTCACAGATTGCCACAGGAAGATTTGCAGACGTGAAAGCTTCTTCACGCGTTATTGTTCAAGCGGAAGAGCTTTCTACTTGATATGTTATGAATTATCTGGGTTCTATACTTCTTTTTCAATTTAGATACTATATTCTTGACTCAATCTGAGCGTACTCAGACTATTTCCTCGAATTCCCCGAAAAGCACTTTGAGTGACTGAATAGGAGAGAGATTTACTAAGCGAGGCGCAAAGTACTGTAACCCCGCATTAAAACACATCTCAAGCTTTTTGAAATTATGTTGAGTTACTTGAAGCTGCACGAAACATTACAGGCAGCTAGATAGCCTTGCGGGGGCATCTTCATCGCTCTGATAATTGCATTCAGTAGCAGTTCCCAAAAACAATCCGACGGTAACTTGATAACCTTGAACCGCAGACATACGGCCACAAATCAGACCACGAGTTCGACGAATGTGGCAGTGGGGTTATCTACGGAATGCTACTTTGGCTCATGCTATGTTTTCTGCCCCTAGCCACAACTGCATGTTTTCGATAATCGATAGGTTACATCCGCTCGACGGCCCACACATAAACCTCCTATCGGATTCACATGCGTTCAACCCTATGTGACAGCCAATAGACAGCCAGCAATTTAGCCGTCATAGGAGTCCGACGATAAGATGCATATCAACTCAGCGAAGTACGGGCACGTCAACATTTCCGACCGCACTTGAAACTATCCGACCCCTCATCGCGTCCCAGATTTCGGCATTGGTCTTCCAGCTTTCTTTACTTGAAATCATCTTGTTCGTTTTTCCAGATGACGGTAAGCGTGTACTCTCTGTCTTGAAACCAAAGTAAACATGGATCTTGCTTTCAATCATACCTCTCACTCCATTTCACCAGACATGCTGTCATGGATTGACTTGGCTTCCGAGTCGGCTGCCACGATCGGATCGACTGCTCTCATAGCAACCCTGGTCAGCGCTCTGGCATACTTGTCATACACTCCTAAGGTCGACAAAAAGTCACCAGCCTTTACGTCTGATACATTTCCGTTCATTGGGTCATGGAGGTTCTTCACTCAGAAAATGTAACACCGCCCTTCTCTCTCACTGTCCAAAGAAGACTGCAGCGCTGACAGTGAGGTCAAGCGGCTTCTGGAAGAAGTCCATGGCAGAATCCAAGACAGGTAACTTCAGTTTCTGGCTCGGCAAGAACCATATAGTCGGTGTTTCCGGAGAGGCTGCGCGCAAGATGTATCTAGACGATCGTCGTCTGCACCTCATCAAAGGAATTACCCTCATCGGACATGGGCCAGACTTCATAGACGGGCGATCAACTGTCATCCACGATATTTGGAAGGGTACCGGCTCGAGTGATCGTTCCTATGCCGTTCGCCGGTTGCTCGACCTGCAACGATCAGATCTTCTTGTGAAGCGTCTTCCTCGGGTGACAAAAGACGCTCGCGTTGCTTTGGAGGCCATAGCTGCGAACCTATCTCCGGTCATAAACCCATCAAAGGTGTGCTATCGCCTAGTGGTGAAGCAAGGTGCCCGTGTTGTGGGTGCCGACGAGATCTCGGATGATCCAAAGCTACTGGATGCTCTTTTGAGCTACATGCCAATTCTCCAATTCACCAGCAGTCTGCACCTTCTTGCTGTGCCTTGGCTCTCTTATTTCAGCTTATCATACTGGAAACGCAGATACGGACGTTGGGGAGTTACCAAGATCGTGACCCCTCTTGTCAACAAGCGCATGGAAAAGGATGCCGCTCGCGTGGACGACGCTTTACAAACTTTGATCGACCACGGTGATAGCAAAGATTACATCACCAACTTCCTGATCAGCATGCTGTTCATCACTGGGGCCAATGCCGGCGTCATATCTGGCTCCATGCTGAACATTGTGGCCCATCACCCGGACTGGCAGGAGAAAATGTACCGTGAGATCAAAGCTGCCGCCAATACCCATTCCCGGAACAAGAATGCGTCCCTAGTCGATCAGCTAGACTCGCTCCCATTTGATGCGTGGGAAGATATGTCGAGCTCCATCGACCTCTGCTACAAGGAGGCGATTCGAATGTGGGTAGCATTCCCCATGGGTCGCTTCAACGACAGCCCCAACCCTATCCCGATTCCCGGAACCAACGAGGTCATACCACCAGGCAGCTTTGCCTGCTACAATACCGTTGACGTACATTACTCCGAGAAATTATACCCAGACCCGATGAAATGGGAACCTGAGCGCTGGCTTGAAGGTCGTGAGGAGTTCAAGAAAGAAGCATACGGCTGTGAGTATCCGAAAGTCCTTCTTTCTGTAGCAACGACTGACTCGTTCATCAAAAGGGATGGGCTGGGGCGCGGGCCGTCACCCTTGTGTTGGCATGCGTTGGGCCAAGATCCAGCAGAATATCATCCTCGCATATGCCTTAGCCTTGTATAAATGGAGCGGTTGCGACGAGAATGGGGAGCTCATCTCGAAATTTCAGCAACCGACGCATGCGCTCGATCATCTCGCTCCCAAGCTACCCCAAGGCACTCATTGCAAATTTGTTCCTAGAGAGGCAGAATAAAGCGTGAAAAGATAAGACAGATGGGAAGGAAGCCTATGAAGGCAAATGAGGAAGCATGAGCCTGTAATCCGCGATAGGTTCCGAACCTTTCTACAGAATGAATAAGCAATGAATTCAGCTTAAAATGAAGAATCATCCTTCCTAGTCTACCAATGTCAAGACGGCGTGTGACTTGTGCCGAACTTTGCTGCTCCAGTGGTAAAGTTGAAACGTCAGCAGGCTATCGGCTGGCGGAAGATTCATCATCAAATGTGTACTGAAGCACAGTACAATCAATATACCTTACTGTGTGATACTATCCCATGTCTAGTTACCCGCCTCAGCTACCATCATTCATTCCTCACACACATGTAACTGACTTTTGGATCTACTGAGTGGAATCTCATACTCAATTTGCTACAAAATGCGATCTGACGTTGGTAGATTCAGTTAAATAACGAGATGCTACCTTCGGTTCCATGTCCAGAGAGAGTCTGAAACCAGTGAATTAACAGACCTTGAAACCGTCGACAACCTCGCCGTCCCTCACAAACTCCTCAATCCAACCAATAGTCATTCTATCGAGAGTTAGCTACTACTCTTCAGCTGCTAAACTGCACAAAGGACAAGCTCACGAGCTTCTCTTCGTATCAGCGAAGTTCTCATGATCGTGAATCAAGTGTTGCTTGTACCACGGATCCTGTTTAATCCGCTTGTAGTCCTCGATATCTTCAAAAACTACCTGGCTGAAGCAATCGAAGTCGGCGACGTTGCACATTTGAGGATCAAACAGCTGAGCCATCAAAGCCCGTGTAGCACTTTGATTATGAATCTTTGTGCGGCATCTCAGTCACGAATGTTATCTTGACGACAAGGATGAAGGAATTCACCTGTGTCCACCTTTTGATCTTGTATTTGACCATCAGGTCCTTTGTCATCGGTGCCGAGATGTTGACCATATGATTGCGGTAGTCTTCCTCACTCATTCCCGGCTTGCGGTAGCCGCAGATAGTGAGACAGAGATACCTGCCCTTTGTTGGGCTCGACGCCACAGAAGTCTCGGAGAGGTGGGAAGTTGATGCTGTCATGTTTGGCGTAATTGACCCAGAGTCACCAGATCATCACCATGTCGATTCCTGTTACCAGTGGCGCATCATAAATAAAATAAGGGAGGCTAACGTTGGCAAACCAAGAAAATTTCGGCATCCCGAATTTGTTTTCCGATCAATCTGATTTGGCTTCCGATACATCCCGAAGGGAAGGGAAAGTTGAGGTTGCAGTGCGTTAGAAGCCTCGGCCAATCAAAAGCCACTACCCCTAAACAGCCGAACAAGCCATACCGAATCGAGAATACGACACCGAATCTGGAATACGAAAGCTACCATCAACAAAGCTAGGCTCTTCTGTCCCAGAACAAAAGGTTTGTACAAGCGAGATTCCAAGAGTCAAGTTTATTACAGATCCAACAAGGTCTTTGCACCAGTACTTGAACTGCTTTTCTTGAGTTTGTACAACATAAGCCTTTATCCAGGTGACGACACTTTGGCACTGCTCGTTCGCCACTCCTGTCCTTACCTCTCCTTTTCCCTTTTCTACTCATTTTTCACACGCTCACTTCTTATTTCTTGTTATGCGCGCCACACATTTTCGATGATGAACGACACCCAGAAAACGAGCAGTACGACGCACGACAGTGAAGCCATGGAGAGCAAAGAAAAGAAAGACATGGCGGGAACAGACGGCGACATCGTCTATCCTTCCGGAATCAAGCTCGCGCTGTTGATGCTGTCAATCTTTACTGCCATGTTCTTGGTGTCCTTAGTAGGGGGTATACCTCATACGAACTGGAAAAGCTACTAACTTGACAACCACAGGATAAACTTATTATCTCGACCGCCATCCCTCAGATCACCGACGACTTCAAGTCCGCAGACGATATTGGCTGGTATGGTACTGCGTACTTACTTACGAATTGCGCGTTCCAGCTCGTCTTTGGCAAGCTGTACAAGTTCCTCCCTATCAAGGCCACCTTTTTGACATCCATACTTCTGTTCGAGGCTGGCTCTGCCCTCTGCGGCGCGGCTCCAAGTTCTATTGCGTTCATTCTTGGTCGAGCGCTCGCCGGTCTGGGAGCAGGCGGTGTCCTCGCCGGCACGATGGCCGTTATGGTGTATTCTGTTCCACTGCAAAAGCGGCCCAAATATCAAGGATATTTCGGTGCTGTGTTTGGCGTCTCATCGGTACTCGGACCTACTGTTGGTGGCGCCTTTACGACACATGTTACTTGGCGTTGGTGTTTTTATTTGAATCGTGAGTACACGCCAGAGAATTATTTACGTATTGATATGATTGACTGACATGTTTTTGTGCCAGTTCCCATCGGAGGTGCAGTGATGATCTTGATATTCTTCTTACTTCACATCCCCGACCGTGCTGCCAACAAGATGTCTCCCAAAGAGAAGCTTCAGCAAGTGAACATCCTGGGCCTACTTGGCCTTATTCCCGGAATCGTCTGTCTATGCTTGGCCCTACAGTGGGGCGGCACTAAATATACTTGGGGTAATGGACGAGTGGTAGCTCTACTTGTGCTTGCTTTTGCACTTTTGATTTTCTTTGCTCTGGTTCAAGTCTGGAAACCTGAACAAGCTATTATTGCTCCTCGAGTTTTTGTCCAGCGCAGTATCGCTGCCGGGTTTTGGACGAGTATATGCATCGGTGCCCATCAGACATTATTTTGTAAGTCTGCTATATCAACAACGAAGAATATTTTGTGCATCTACTGACACTTGATATCTAGTGTATTACCTTCCAATCTGGTTCCAAGCTATTAAGGGCAAGACAGCCGTAGACAGTGGTATCGATTTGCTCCCTATGGTACTCCCCATTGTCTTTGCTTCTATTGGCAACGGCGAGCTTGTCTCTCGGATCGGTTATTACACACCATCTCTGATTTTTGGTGTTTGCCTCACAACAATCGGCTCTGGTCTCTTCACCACCTTTGAACCCAATACTTCAACAGGGAAATGGGTAGGATATCAAATTATATACGGCTTTGGTCTCGGTTGCTCCTCACAAGCACCAAACATGGCTGCGCAGACTGTACTGCCCCGCGACGACGTGGCACTCGGCGCGTCGCTGATGTTTTTCGGACAGACACTTTTTGGTGCCGTATTTACTTCAGTGGGACAGAACGTGCTCGATAACCAGTTGACTAAACGCCTCGCCGGCATCCCGGGTATCGATTCCCGGGTAATCCAAAGCACGGGCGCTACAGACCTTCTCAAGCTCGTCCCGGCTCAGTATTACACCACAGCGCTCGATGCGTATGATACCTCGCTGCGTGTGGTCTACAGAGTTGGTCTTTGCATGGCCTGTCTTGCTATCCTTGGAGCTGCTTCGATGGAATTCCGGACTGTCAAGAAGAAGACCCCACCTAAAGACTTGGAGGGCGAGGGCGCTGCTAAAGAAGCCAATGGTCAACATGATTTGAAACAGCAGGAAGCCACGGATGCCATGGAAGGAACCAGCGAGAAAGCAACAGCAGGGGCTTTGAATAATGAGGAGAAAATCGACGGCAGGGAGGCAACTACGGCCGACAGCAGCGAGACTGCACATACGGTCTCCTAGCGGGTGGAAAAGGCTGAGCGGTAGTCAGACGAGGAGATGAAAGCAGAAGCTTGGGTGATGGTAGCTTGAGGGTTATCCTGTACGATCTTGGGGGGAAAGAATGGCTTTTCATTAGAGTAATATTAAGTGGAGGCTGGAAGACAGATCACTTGCTGGTTGGACCAACTGGAAATAGAAAGTGACTGGAAAAGTTTATATAATAGTTTGCAATGTACTCCACTCAACAATCACAACCACCAATTCAGCTCACTCCGATCTACTCACCAAACCGACTATAGATTGAAATATTCATCTTCAGCTCCTGGGTCACAAATTAAGAACAGCATGCACACAGAGGTACCAATCCAACAGTGAGATTTCTTGATATTATGATGCTAGTGGGATGGTAAAATATGAACTAAGAGCCACCTGCAATCTTAAAACTTCAAAATATTCCAAGTGCGCCCATGACAGCCCCTGCAAGCGGAAGCAACGACCTCATAAAATGCAACCAAGTCCACCTCACCACCAACCCCTTGACTTGCTCAATCTCTACATCCATTACCTTACTCGACGCCTCGAGCCGAAACAGCTCATCATTCGTAGACACCATGAAGATCCACGTGAATGGTGCTATACTGACTGTCGTTACACCTGCCAGTGCGAAAAGGCGCCAGCTCCTTTTATTTCTGAAAGATATATAGCAATATAGAAGCAATGTGCCAACAGCGATGGTTGGCATGATTTGGTGGCCGTAGTAGTACATGCGTGCCCATTGGGGTAAAAGTTGAGAAGCTTCAGTGGCAGTGTCCAGGAGGACTGGAACTGCGATGAAGCAGAGCGACATCATTGCTCCTGGGAATTGTTACTCGAGATTCGATTTCAAGCCAGTATAACGCTATTGCATACTTACCTGAGAGGAAAGCACCTGTGAGCACTGCCGTGACTTGGATGCTGATGGTAGACATTGTGGAATTATTCTTCCAAGAGTTTTGTTTGGGCGTTGATGAGATAGGACTTGCAATGTTGTTTGGTGCGTTCCAATATTGCTCGGAGGGATGATGTATTCGATGTAAAAGGCAATTTGTGTCTCGATCGTTGGAACAGATTCCAGCTTGATGGTCACCTTGTTTCCGAAGTAAAAAGTATGGCCATTAATGGCTTTGTAATCATTTCAAAGTCTAGCCATTAAGCGCTATGGCAATGAAATTCAAGGCTTCAATCAACAGCAGACCGTTGAAGGAGAAAGTCCAGCGCCGCAGGATACGCGAACTAGACTTCTGCCCATGAAAAGCAGCGACGAACACTACTGCACTCATGATTGGTCCACTCGAGTGTAACTGTCACGACCTATCGGAACATTTCGTTCAGCTGAGCCTCACGCGCAAGTGCGATTCTTCCCGTTATTGCATCGAAACGTTCCGATTTCCGATCATTGCGAACCCGATTTTCCGATCGCTAAGTCGGAATGTTCTCGAGAGATGTTTCCCAGCGAGCCTCAATGTCCTCAAAGGGCAGCTCGGGCGGTACGAGCCCAGATTCACTCCGGATGCGACCCGAACTACACTAGTACAGTTCCGGTGAAGTGGGAAATTGACCTGCTGAGTCGTATACCTAGTCACAAATCAAAAGAGTACGATCTATTTACTTGGCGGATTGAAAAGGGAACAAGACGGAAGTATATTCTTATATTTTGTAGTAATAATAATTTAGAAAACATACGTTTTGTTCGTGAGATATTTATATTTTATGAGTAAATAGGGGTAATTCTCGCTTAATAAATGCTAATCGAAAATCATAGATCATCAAAATAAACATAATAATCAGTGAAGTATAGAGTCTCTTTAGAGAGCCGTGGGACTATAAAGCCAAAGACTTCCACAAAGAAGCAATTCAACGCATTCACCGAGGTCAACATGACGATACTACCATATTCTCAGGAAATGTCGTCTGAGACTTCCCCAGGAAGCGAAAAAGTCAAGACCTAGACCATGCTGGAACACCAAAAAGATAATGCAGGTACAGAACCAACAACCATAACGATCCCTACAGAGGATCACGCTATACAGTGTCCACTCATTCAATTACCTGGTGTGGGGCAATTGGACCCTTAGACCCTTAGATTCATGCATAATTATAACATAGTTGCTTTACGAACGCTGCAGCGCCTTATAGTCAATCTATGTCATGAACTGTGAATTCTTTCGATATCTGGTTCTGTCTTGCTCTGTTATGTGTAGTTTTCAAGATCTGAGAGGCAGATAAGAGGAGACGCTGCGATAGGGGTTGAGCGCACGGACGATCTCAAACTTAAGTCTATTTATATTAGAGTAGATGCCACCCACATTGCTCTCGCTACTATCAAGATGTCTTCGCGACTGCTATAGGTATATCATGCAAGCTGCTCAGAGTCGCCTCAATCGATCTATCATCTCCAGTGAAAGCGCCCGGAGTCGCTTCTTTAAGTCCACATCAAGCTGACTATACATTGCAGCCGACAGTGGCAACTTCATTTCGAGATCCAAGTCCAAGTTTGCCGACACCTCAGTTTCACCTCTTCTCCACTCCTTTGCCGCCTGCACTTTGAGCTTCGATGATAGTTGGTCGATGAGACGTCGCACCCTGTGGAGTTCCCCGAGGACTTGCTGCGCTGTCATGCGTAGTGAGTCCGCTCCATCGAGGTTATGCTTACCAACGGTGGAACACTGGACCACCAATCCAGATAAAGACGAGCCAGACGATGAGCGTGAGTAGTTCGCTGGAGGATCCTGTGTGCCCGTCTTTTGGCGTGCAATAGCCTCGTACCAGCCCAACACTCTGAATATGATGAGAGACACAACGACTAGCAGGTAGCCATCCTGCAAACACGAGCACTCCAACATCTTACTCACAGCCTCGATGGTGATTTCATTTTGGGTGATAGCAACTTGGATCGCCAACGGTGCAGAGCTTTGATCGAGATAAGACGAAGGAAAGAGCTTGGCCATCAATCCAAGGGCCCGAACCAAGCACGAGCAGGGTGACTCGGTTGCGTGGATTTCTTGAAAACTGTGAAACCCTCTGTCGGCGGAGTTGAGATCTTTGGGTGCGGGGCTTGGGATGGAAACAGCAAAGAGCTCGGAGACGTCAAAGGCGGGGAAGCTTCCAGAAAGACTGCCATTATTGCTGTCATCCATCCCCGTCGAGAAGAAATCTACGGCCCCAAAGAAAGGGACGTCAGCCATATCCGCAGAAAACGACATTGGAGGGCTGATGTAGTCTGTCAGGTCGATTTCCGTATCGGGAGGTCCCAAAGACAGCATCTGATCCATAGGACCGAACAAGTCTTGCAATATGTCTGGAGACGCCACATAGCTCTTCGTTTGAGGGGACATGTGCAGACTGTCCGGCGAGTGCAAAGGATCGACGCGTTGATTTGCAGAAGGAGTGGCAAACCAGTTCACATTATCACTATCATTTGCATTGGAATTGACTGCGGTGTTTGAAGCACTCGGACTGCGGTTTTCACTTCCGCTTCCGGTGACGGTCGTGCTCGTGCTCGGTCGGCTATTTGGCTTTCGGCCTCCTCTCTTCGCCGCCACATATTCGCAGGGGACACCACGCTTTGAGCAGCGGGAGCAAGTTGGCTTCTCGCGCGAGCATCTCAATTTAGATGCTGCGCAGGCATGACAGCTGCTTCGTAGTTGAGGTTGCTCATGATCATGCAATGCGGCCATGATAAATGGATGGATGGACGTATGGATGAGGGAAAGAATAAATGGATTCAATGGGTCCGTGAACAATCGAGAAGCTCTGCTCAGGCAACAATAGTAAATATAGAGTGGCATGATAGCTGTCAATATCCATTTTGTACTTGCCCATGTTCATTTTTTGACGCAATGAGATTCTCCCAACGACATAGCGTTTCGGGCCTTCCCATTGCAGCTGCAGTAAGGTTGGATTCCCTTACAACCCCGAATCCTTCTACCGTAATAGGAGGTATTCGTTGCTGATCTTCGTGAAAGCGTGGTACTCAAAGCGTGGTGCTGTGCCTAAACTGACTGGCTTTTTGGCGGGTTGCAGAGATGCATTTTATGGGACGCCTTATGACTCGGCACACGGCTTGCTGATAAGGTTGTGCGACGGTTAATTTGAGCGTCCTGCACGTATTCGGGACCAGGGGGTTTCCCGATACAGAATCAATTGATTGATGGCCTGCTTACTCTGCGAAGTGCAATCGGCGTGTAAAGACCCATATGTTGAGTTGTGCGGTTTTGCAATGGTGTTTGGAGCCTCTTGAAGCTCTTCGGGACAAAAGGAAGTAGTTCCGATGCATCGATAATTAATTGAAAGCCTGCTCGCACGTCACTGCATGCTTGCATTTGTTCAGGACTTGCGAACATACCACTGACTGATTGATTGATTAATTGAAGGGCCGATCGATCGATTGACTTGCTCAACAGCCTGCAAGTCACTCTGGTGTGTGCCGTTAATTCAGCTGCCATGGCGAGCGTGAGCCAGTTGATCCACGAGCTTGCCACTGCAGCTAAGACCTTTGAAGACCGTTATCCGGACGAGAGCATTTTCGCTATTACCAACGACACACCTGATAAATCAGAGCAAGCCAGACGTAACGTACTCGCCATCGCGAACCGGCTGCAGAGTCTGCTGGCCAGGCCAGCCGAGTTCATCCAGCATCTTGCAAGCCAGGTGCGTATGCTACATACCAGTCGAGGTTCTCGATGGTGTGCCAAAATATGAAATGATTAACTGTTCTGCCTAGAACCAACTCCTCGCATGTATGAACTGGATGGGCGAGTTCCAAATACTTGCATGCATCCCACTACAAGGCAGCATTGCAACAAAAGAAGTTGCCGACTTGGCCGGGGTACCAGAGAAGCTGCTGTATCGTGTTGTGCGTATGATGGCAACCGCAGGCTTTCTTCAGGAGCCTCAACCCGGTCATATCGCTCACACGGCATTATCGACGCCCTTGGTCACCGATCTCTCTTGCTTAGACGCCGCAATCTTCCTCGCCCAAATCGCTGCCCCTACGGCGTTGCACATGGCTTCAGCGACGCAGCGTCCTGGAGATCCAGAGCCTGTAAATAAGAGCGCCTACTCCATTGCTTTCAACACGTCGCAGACGTTTGAGTTGACATGTGTAGAGCGGACAAAGTTGCAGCGTCAATGGTTTGCGTATCGCCGATGTGCTGCTGGCGATGTTGAGGGCAGCATGACTGAGCTTCTTGGGCGACTAAACTGGCATAGTCTAGGCGGTGCGTATATAGTCGATGTGCGTCTCGTGCTCTTCCCTGTTAGTTAGCCATGTGCAGGTGAACGCTAACTCTTAGATCCCACATATAGGTGTGTGCCCAATCAACAGAGGCAGCCATTGTCCTCGCAGAGATGTACCCATCGCTTCGTTTCATCGTCCAGATGATGGACGAGCCAGCACGCGAAAGTAATGGCCCGGCCGGTCCGGGCAAAGTGGAGAGCTCTGGCGGGAGGATCACAGTCCAGAAGAGGATGCCTGGAGCGGTTCAAGGAGTGATGAATGCCGCCGTGTACATTCTCCGTCTGCCCACCGCCCAACAAATGCTTGTCGAGTTGAATGCACATCTGGGTGTGCTGCGTGCTAATACCTCGGCCACCTTGATTCTAGGACCGCCGTTACTCCCAGAGCCAGGAGCTGTAGACCGTGATGTGGAAGTCATCGCGCGTCAGAGGGATCTCTACAGACTCCAACTAACGAACCAGTACGGGATGGAGCTTGGCGAACTGGTAGAAATCGTCAACGGGGTTGGCGACAGCGAGGGCCATCTCATAGTAGCTAGTAGGCTGCGTTCCCCTACCAGTACTGCCGTAGCCCTAGGAGTTAAGTACGAGGCATATGTAGGAGGCACTCATGCAGCAGATGAAGTGATATGATGGGATGCTACGGTAAATCAGATACGGCTATTTGTTGGGGACGATAGACTCACATCATTAGCGTGCGTTCGGTTGATCATCTGTCAATGGTATAATGGAATCAACGTTCATGCTTGTCACGTATCATGATGTGTAAGAGTGTAAGAAAAAAAAAGTAGGTGTAATCTTCTAAGACGTTGCTTTAAGGGCTGCGCTAGCGTCTCTAGTGCTACACGTGACCCTCATATGCTCTTTCTCCTCCTCCATACATAGTTAGCGCAGAAGCCGGGGTTCCGAGGGCAATTATATATGACTATTTTATAATTGGAAGATAACCATTATAAAATTTTCCGAGAAAATATAACTATTAACTTAGTGAAATAAGTATCCCGACTCAGATTAAAGTGATCATTAATCACATCCCTAGACGAAAATGGAAAAAGCAAAGAAACCCAATATAGCCTTAGGGGATGTATGGCTTGAGTGGGCACTCATGGTGCGATAAATAGCTAAATCTGCGATCAATTATCTGAAAATTTATACGAACTCATGACATGACATTGGGAATACTGCTATGCATGTTCATGAGTTCAAGCAAGGCAATTCATGAAATAACATGAAACTCAGCAGTAGTGTGCCATTACATCAATGAATAACGGTAATGAATTGGCAATCTCATATAAACCGCCTCAAGCGAAGTACGACCCACAAACTCCCTTGACAATCTCCCATCCCTCATCGAACGCCTTCGCCATCTCCTCCGGCAATGGACCCTTCTCTAGATTGGCCAAGTTCTCTTCCAATTGTACTGTGCTACTTGCGCCAATGATCACCGCATCACCATACTCCCTCTTCATCAAGCTATGGTGACTAGCCCACCTGACTGCCGCCTCAGCAGTCGTCATACCTAGCTTCTTTGCCACCGGTCTGATCACATCCAGAGCATCGAAATGCGCATCATTCCAGTACCGTCCCCGGAAAGCCTTGCCTTGCATCTTCTTCGGATCAAATCGGCTACCCTCTTCGTGTTCGATAGTGTTGCGATGGTATTTGTCCGTCAGCATACCGCCAGCTATCGGGCTGTACTGATAGAAGGCGATCCCATAATTTCGCAGACATGGGAACAGCTCTGGCTCGACTGTGCGCTGTAGTGCATGGTAACCTCCTTGATAGACGTCGGGTTTCTTCCAACCATTTCGCTCGCACAGCTCGCAGATCTGTGCGACCTCCCATGCAGCATAATTGCTGAGTCCGAACCGCTTGAAGTAGCCTTCCTTGTACAGGTCGTCTACCGCTTCCAAGGTCTCCTCGTACAGGGTACTACGCTGTGAAAGTCGAGAGTGAGCAATGCATACGTAAGACTCAAAGGAAAACGAAAGAAGTGCGTACATCCGGTGCGTGCAAATACCACAAGTCGATCTTGTCAGTCTGTAACGCCTTCAGACTGTCTAGCAGTGCGCGCTTGAGCCCATCTTTCTTGTGTGAGTACATTGGTCCGCGCGGAATCGACTTCACCTTTGTATCTATAACGATACCCCTTTCCTGTAACTTCAACTGGCCGAGGAGTTCTTCAGAGGAGCCGTACACTCGCGCAGTGTCGACCTCATTGTGGCCATGCTTCTGCAACACATCCAGTAAGGCAGCGCAATCTTTAAGATCATGTACTCGGGCTATTTCGGCGCCTGCGACGAGAGTTAGGTGTTTGGATATAGAGAAAATGTTTCAGTGTCCCGTTAACTCGATGCTTATTGGCAAAGTACAGCTGCTGACTGAGGAATATGTATATAGGTAGAGAGGGAGATAGTTACCTTCTTTGCCCAGCACCATGGCGCCAAGCACAACTTTCAGTGCAGTTTTGGCTAGAGCGGTGCCATTAGTGGTAATATGAACGGTCTCAACTTGGCTCGTAGTGGTAGCCATGTTAATTTTACTGCAGCTCGCTGTTTCAATCTCCGAAGCGTGATATAGATTCTTGAGTTGGAGGGAAGCGAGAAAGCTGGACTACATCTAATAGTCTGCCGGTGCGCTGGGTGAGTTTGTACTGGGGCATACAGCAGCTCCGAGAAACTGTCGGAAAGATCGGTAAAAACAATGTTGCCTCTGGCCAGGCGATTTCATGGAGATCACCGGGTCAGAACGGAGTTATCAACTGCCGAATTGAAGGCAGTTGACTTCCTAGGTAGATCCGCAACTGCCTCCGAGGGCGTAACGTCCCGAAATTGAGGTCGTCTTCTCATTGGGCATCGTGCGGTAAGTACTGAGGATAGGATACGAGAGTTCAAAATAGGCCAGATTGAGAATTGAAAGAGGCGAATGTCAGCTATAATACATTTAGGAGGTGAGATAGATACAATCAACAAATTCTCTCAGAATCAAGCCAGGACACATTCAACAACACTCCCAATCGGCATTCCCTCCTGACTATGTACGCCGATGATCTTGAAGCCGGCTTCGTTCATCAAAGACTCCCATTGAGATCGCGATCGCTCTTTGCCGCCAATTACAAGCATGTTTATATCTCGGAGCACGAGACCGGCTGGCGGCGAGTGATCTGCGAGAACGAGATCTGTAATTAAAAGTTTTGGGCTCGGGTTTGAGGGTGTGGGTTTCACTGCGAGTAGTAAGTGTTGTGAAACGAGACGATAGTTATGAAATGTAACTTACTAGCAGGAGCGAGATTCTTGAGGATTTGTGGACAGGAGGAATCGGGCCAGTCGTGGAAAATAGCTTTGAAGAAGTAGTTCGCTCCTGTTGATTGTCAGCTTTTTGCATTCCTTCTCAGAACGATTGAGGATGGTGTGTTCTCACCTTTCACAGGCTGTACCTCCTTAAAGAAATCATACGCCATCAACTTCACCTCCGGATCCAAATCCACTACACCGCCCTCAAGCACAACTCCCATATCTTGCAATACCAACTTCCCTTGCCCCTTGAAGCCCTCCACGGCTCCTCTCAACTCTTTCACAACATGACCTTTCCCGCCACCAACATCGACCAACACTACGCCATCCTTATTACCCTTTAATTCGCCCCACGGATAGCAAGTACTCAACTCCTTCAGCCCAAAGGACGCCGTTACCATCATCGCATCATTGAACAACTTCATCCTTTCTGGCTGCGCTCCCAAAATCTCAAATAACCCCATATCTTCCTTCCCATGCGCGAACGAAAACCCACAATTCTTCGGATCAGTTGGAGAATGAAATCCGAACTTCTGATAATATCCTCCCGCCGAATTGGCTTGTGCTTGCAACATATTATCAAAAAGATGCTTCGCACTAGCTTTTGCGGGCGGACCGGTCAAGAAGCGAGAGAACATGGTGTGGGAGTATGTCACTTCCCCTTCTGAGTTAGTTCCTTCGGTCAGGATGTCGAAAGCTCCTAGGACACGAGCGATGCGGAGGACGAATTCTGCATCTGAAGAGGTTTTGGAGGCGAGGGCGGAACAGGTGAGAGATTCGCCGGTCATGGGGAGGGCTTCTAGGAGAGACATGGATAAGGCGATTCGGATTGCGACATTTAGGTTTGGCCGAAAGTTTATCTCCATGAATTGTTGTGGGAGTGGCGTGGTGAGTCGGGTAAGTTTCGTGGAAATAGATTGGATAGTTTGAATGGCAAGGGCCTTTTCTTGGGGGCTTTGGGCCGATTCATATCGTTTGATAGCGTCCTGGATTGTCGTTGAGAGGTTGGTGAGTTCCGGGAGCGGTGGTGAGAAAGGTGGAAGACCTCCCAATTGTCCTGGTGCGGACATTATTGTGGCGGGGTAAAATTGGAGCCGGCTTATATCCGCAATTGAAGACACTTGCTGAACTGACAGAAAGGAATATCTCTGAAAGATTGAACAATAATCGGATGCTAACAGTACTTTCTATATCTTTGCGAGTATTGCTCCGTCTTATATAAAGCGAACATGTTACAAATTCGGACCTACTGGAGGTCCGGGAAATGCCCCTCCAGTACGTACTGAACTAGCAGGGATAAAGCTCTCACGCAAGGCAGTAGCTTAAATTGGATTGGATCGCTCGTACTCGCGCAGGACAATGCAAGCGCGATTAGATTTTGAAGTGAAATCTAAGCGCGAAATGACTCTTTGCTTTTTCATTCTTGCGCGTCTTTCTCTCGGTTTTGACTTTGTCCCGAGTTTATCGCAAAGGCTCGGTATTAAAACATGAATGCTGACACTTGTCCAAATCTCAAGCTGCTAGGCTTCCGTCAACTTGATCGGATTTTTTGATTGATCTTAGGTTGCATTTGGAGAAGCGTGCTCGAGCGTTTGCACGGAAGCCGATGAGCTGACTAGTGTCACGGCACTAGCAGTATCGAGTTTTTAGCTTCAAGCTGATTTACGGAGTCGTGTTACCGATGGCTATAGCTAGCACTCATTGACTTCTCCGTATGCAGTATTATCCATTCCCCAGTGGTCAAAAGGAATAATCACTCGTGTCATGTGACTGGATTTCACGTGAGGACCATTACTCAGCTTCCTAAATGGCACCAGTGCGACACACTTTTCAGACAATCTGACTTAACAACTCCAGGGGAGTCAACTAAGAATGATATGTATTTGTATGCCTGGCCCTCAGAATAAGACGAAAATGTTGGTGAATCTGGAAAATTGTTTGAGTAAGAGAGGGGTGTTGTACGGAAGTACCATCTTAGGACAGCTGTGAAACACAATTTGCTTGGTTGGTTACTGATGACGCTCTTGAATTGGAGAGGATTTTTGGCGACTTGGGATGATAGTGAGAAGGTGTTCAGAGATGCTCTGAAAGAGCATTTTGAGGAAGTGAGTGTGAGGATCGAGGGTGTTGTACTTTCTGAAGTGACAAGGCAGAAGTTGGAGAAGATTAGGATGAGGTCATAACCGCGTTGAGAGAGAGACGTGAAGTTGTGCACGGCTTGAAAATGGCATATGGACTAGGTAGGTAGTTCTTGGCTCGCTTGTGGCATTCAGGGGTAACCGCCGAGGCGATCCACGTGATCCGGTAAAGGTATTCTTTCATCTTCTTGTCGTGGCCTCTCCGGTCATTGGTCAACTGCTGATCTCCATTTCAAAGATATATTCGTTATTGGTATTTGAATTCCGGTATCGTGTCTTACAACTACAAGTTTTTGAGAAGTCGGACTTTTTATCTCGCGGGCCCTAGTCACTTCTATCATAGGAGTCTTCGATGCACACAGTCTTCAAAGTTATATTAAGCAACGCTCCTGAGAAATTGTTCTGAGCATTCTTTGTCTCGTCTGGCTAGACCTCGAGGCACACTACCGACAATACTCATCGTCGAACCTCCTTGCCTCTCATTATTGTCCCTCCTAACGTTGGACTTCTACCCGATCCCGAGATCACGAGTGTTCTCCCAAGCCTGGCGTACTGGACTCAGTCGCAGGCCAAAAATAATTCCCGAAAATTACATACATGAGGATGGACCGAGTTGGTATCCCAGTCCATCTGGCCCCTTCCCCTAGCATCTACCATCTTCACTAGAGATATTTGGCGATTTAGGGCAAAGTCATAGTTCGTATCCATAAACTAAGTATCACAAGTCAATTTCCTACCAGCACCGTCTTCCATCCGGAGCTCTTGTAAAGGAGATGTTTGGAAGTGCTTGAGTGGCTTTATCACATGATCAAGACTTATTCGTTCCAAAAAAATTGAATAGAAGTTCTCTTTCACGTCTGATACCTATTATAAGTCTTTATCAATCTTCTATTAGACTTGTTCTCCAGATTAAAGATAAGAAGTATTGATCTCTTTCTTGGAGGGAGCTTTTCATCGAAAGTCCCTCCACCTTTTCCACCGTTGTACCAAACCTAGGTTCTGGAATACATGTTGAAGCTCAAAGATCAGACAAGGAGAGACTACATCTGTAAGTCTTGTTGCTCGCCATGAGAGAACCCTTGGAAACATGGATGAAGAAAATGCTAGATGATTGGAGACACTTACCACTTTCTCAGATCCTTCAGTCTCCATCTTTTTGTTCTTGTCATAACTTGGAGGGCATTTCTCAATGGAAATCGAGAGAAGATATCACGTAATATAAGATGCCTCATGAGATCTGACCTACCACGCATATTCCAACAATTAACAGAGCAATTCAATGATCCTCTCGACATGGCGCGAACACTCTACTTCGGCGTCGAATTGGAGTTCTGCCTTGGCTATTTGATGCCTAATTTCTAGCAAAACCACGATTCACGGCCTTCACCTCGCTTTCTCAAGTTCCCGATATCAATCGAAGCGATCACGAAGGCTTTGAACGACGCTAAACTTACCAACAAGGATGGCTCCAAAGTCATACCTGCGCAAGTGGACAGTGGATTCGACAGTGTCCGATCAGGGCTTCTCCTCTTGGCGGCCAAACACCAAATTGGTGCTAATCTTGTGAAATCCTCCCTGGCATGGGATCCGCAGCAGGAAGGCGATCTTGGAGACCCAGAGTACTGGTCTATTGGAGAAGATACTTCTATCGATACATCGAAGTGTGACCCGGACTACTTCTGGTATCGCATGGAGATCACCTCTCCAGCTTTAAAATTCAGCAAAGGCCAATCGATGACCGACGTTCGACGTGTCTGTGATATTCTTTCACAGGATTACCTCACCGTGGTCAACACAAGCTGCAATCTTCACGTTCATTTCTCGTATGGCAGGATTCTCAGTCGCATGGATGAAGGCGATCGTTAGACTTTCGAGGACCTTACGAAACTCGCCATGTTCTTCTGGGCCTTCGAGCCGCTGTTCGATACCCTTCACCCTCCTCATTACATATCACATCCTAAACATGCAATATCGATGCGTAGACACTCTATTCTTGCTGACATACTCCAAGAAAATCCAGCCTTCGACTCGATGGACACACACTGGTTGGCATCAGCAGGGATCAAAATTATTCGAAGTGCTCTCGATCTGCCTGCCTTGACAAAACTTATCTCTCAGACTGATATATTTGAGGGTTTTAGCTCACGAGACATGTCAGTCAGCATCCATCATATTACTCATGTTCTGTATCCTGGATGGAATAGTTCAACGGCAGGAGATATATACAATGATCGCTTGAAGAGAAAAAGGCACACTGTGGAGTTTCGTTTATATGAAGGAACATTGGACAAAGACAAGGTGGAGCACTGGATCAAGACTCTCGGTGGCATCATCAATTGGCTTGAAAACTATACTGTCGAAGAACTTGAACGCAAATTGATGCAAATGCTGCCCAGAATGAAAGAAACGACGGATCTAGCTCCGCAAGAGAGGGGTTCTGAGGAGGGGCAGGAGGAGAATGGCGAGGACAGAAACAGGAAGGCAATGGGTGGAGAGGGGTTGGCGGGCAAAGGAAAAGAGAAGCAGAGCGATGAGGGCGAGCTGGGGGGAGGGACTGACGAGGAGAATGGTTGTCGGACGGTCATTGACATTCTTGAACAACTCGGTCTTCAATGCCAGGCAGACTTTTACAGAGATAAGTTGTATCTTCATGCAGATGCTCTGCAGTGGGTGGGATGAGCTGACAGCAACCTTTCCTGAAGTCTTCAAAGGCTTGATAATGGAAGGAAGATAATGGACATCTTTCGATAGTAATCACGAAGCTGTGAGATTCTTGTTAGCTGAACACAGTGTTTGGTCTTCGACATGCAATACAGCTCCCCGCCCAGCCATTCTCGCTTATGCCCTTCAGGAGTAATCACCGATGCGAAATACGTGAGCATGTGGGGGCTCTTTCTCTGTAACATTTTTATACTCAATACCTCTTTATAACTCTTCTTCGCTTATATCTGTATTCTGCTCTCTGACATTGGATTTCCTCAAAACAGATTGTGGTTTCTAGGAAGTCAATACTTGCAATACGGACTAAAATTGCGCTTTAATTTCTTTTTTGCTCTGATATAGACAGTACTTCATTAATCATAAACTAAGAATTCTCGACAAAGCGATCTCGACAAAGGAAGCTCCAAACCCAAGTTGGACAGTAACTCGAGAACTTACCGAGGAAAAAAAAAGGCTCCGAGCCGCAATGTGGTCGATTCTTATCGACTGGCTGGACCCGAGCCTCATTTCTCCACGCGAATCGTGGGACATAACAATTGGCCACCTCAATCTTAATCTGCAGCGGAGACCACTTTGAATGCAAGTCAGGCTTCGATTTGGGGGATTGGCGGTTTGGACGTAGAATGATTGGCTCTGGGGACGGAAAGAGTTCAGCCCCCAACCCCAATGAACAAGGTTAAAACGCCATCTTGCCACCCTGTAATTTGTTTCTTCCCTAGGGGCGGGGTCGATTCCATCAATTGATAAGGCCAGAGGCGCGCTGCCGAATATTTCTTTCAGAGCTGCTGCGCACTGTAATCATTGTCGTTGATGCAAGCATCAAATGCCCAGAATGCGTGCCACTTTGATCTGTCTACTCTTTATCTTTACAGGAGTCGCGAACGCCCAACTCGGTGCAAATTCGACTATTGATCCCAGTACCGTTTCAGCAACCGTAAGATGTAAGACCAGCGGCCAGGCTTTGCATGTGAAATTTCCTTTACTAACATTGGCAGCGCAATGGTGTGAAGCCCAAATTAACACCTGTGGTGTATTGTGTAGTGGAGATGCCAATACCAATACTTGTGACACGGTACAGATCCAGCCCTCTTCTACCTCATTCTTCGTTACAGATGCGTCCGATTTTCGAGTTTGGGTCAATTTGCGTCTAAGCATCGAAGATGTTGGCTAATTGAAGGGCTGCACTAACGCATCCAGACCACTCTTGATTACGGTTGCACTTGCGCTTCAAACAGCTCTGCGCCTGGCCTGCTATACTATACCGAAACAATCCCAACATACTGCTGCGAACAAAACTACGCAAACTGTATTTCTGCAGCTTCAGGGGACGCCAGTGCTCAGGCTACTTGCCAACAGAACGAGAAAACGAACTGCGGGCATCTAGACCCAGCAAACTTTACAGCTGTCCCCGTTGCCTCTGCATCAACTAGCTCGGCGACAGTGAGTGGGACTAAGAGCAAGAGCTCATCCTTGCCATCGTCTCTATCCTCATCATTCTCAGCAGCAACCTCGGCTAGCCAATCAAGTAGCTCATTACGCTCGTCGGCAACGAGCGCGACAGGTTCAAGCACTTCGCCCAATACCTCGCAACAAACAAACACTGGAACCTCTTCTCCCGCCCACACAAGTACCCACGCAAATCATGGTCTTTCGACGGGCGCAAAGGCAGGAATCGGAATCGGAGCTGCACTCGGCGCACTTCTCATAGTCGCTTTGGTGCTCGGGGCTTTCTGTTATGGCAAACGATCTGCAGCAAAGAAAACAACTACAAGCAATGAGAGCAACACATTTGAGAAAGCAGAGCTTGGGCCTGGGAGACCACGACCGGCAGAGCTCAGTGGTGAGCCGTTGACAAGTGAGGAGAAAGAGGAGTTAGATAGGAGGAGGAGAGCTGCTGAGCTTGAAGGAGTTCCTCCAATTAGCCCTGAAATACAGCAGGTTGGTGAAAGAGCGGAATTGGAGGCATTGAGGGGCATAAAGTGGCAAGTACATGAGGTTGAATAATGGTAACATATAATGCTAGACTCAATACAGCGCTACAAAGAAAAATTATCCACAAATCCAGTTTTCGGAACGGTCTAGTCGGTGCGTTTCTTTCGACTTTTCTGCTCAATTGACGCCCGATTCTTTCTGTTTTGTCTGTCGAGCTTAGAAGTCTCGTCGTCTTCGACTTCGAGTACGGGCCGTCCCACTCATACAAGCAATATGAAAGCTTTGGAACCTGGAGCAAAAGCGGGTATTGGTGTTGGGCCAACCTTAGTGGGCCTTGCAGTTTTAGGGGCATCATATGGGTTATTGTAAAATTGCGGAAAGGCAAGAGAGAAGTTGTTGTAAAAGGTGGATCCGACATTTACTTTCAGAAGCCAGAGTTGAGCGAGGAAAATAGCACAGCATTGGAAAATGTCAAGAAAGTGACACATGAAATCAATGGCTTTGAGATTCCGTCCAAGTTGAGAGGATGAAACTGCAAGTTGAGTTAAATGTGTGGTTATTTTGCAATGCGTCGTACAACTAGCTTTCAGGATCAATTGAGCACTTGGGGGATTAGAATTTCCTGAGAAAAGTACTAGTTTTCAAGAACAATCAAACGTCTTAAGTATGTATTGGACGATTGGAGTTTCATTTTGCGTCCCGTATTTTAGCTGACTGTGGCGTGCGGGGCGTGCCTACCGGCAAGGGTCTCATGCATCACGACTTCCCAACGTGGTGAGCTGACGGCTGAACGACACCGGAGAGTCACTATAATTGTCTCATTGAATGATGGACATTCACCGCTTCCACCACTTAACGCCAAAAGCTGACGTCCAGCTCACTACTTCAGCCAATCGAGGTGGCGCTTTCGAGACTTCAAACCATAAAGTCCTTCTCCGTTCCAGTCTCAGCCTTGAAATTCATTGTCTCGTTTTGAAACACCTCACAGCCTGACACCAAAACAAAACCAAGATGTTGTACGATCTCCTCGAGCGTCGGAAAGAAAAATTCGTTCTCTGGATTCCAGGAGGTGCCGAACCTCCAAGTCTTGTCCTAGGCACCATCGACGGTGCTACTCCAGCCAACTTCACGCAACTATTTCAAGGCCAACTGGTCCAGGCTAATGTTCCTGATGTATGGGAACTCGATCCAAATACCATTCAACCGCCTCTGCAGGATGGTGCTGTGTATCATTATTTCTTTCAGATCGTCGATAGCTCGCCAGAGAAGCTAGGCACTATTAAAGTCACAGATCCTCTCATTTATACGGTCGATTACAGAACTACTACAGTTCGGGACGATCACGTTCCTCCCCCTGGCGTCATCAAGTTCCGAGATGGCAAGCTTTGGCCCTGTGATATTGATGGAGGAGAAGCCGATCAGGTGTCCGTACCAGCACAAGAAGACATTCCAGACAACAATCACTTGGTCATATATGAGCTTCCTGCCTCATGGGCCAAATCTGGTACAGATTCTCGAGGTGTGGATGTTGATGTTGGTACTTTTGTGGACGTCCTTGCACTTTTTGATGTGAAGATAGCCGGTCTTCGCTTCAAAGATATTCCCCAAGTAGCGAATGAGGCCATCTTGTCTGAGCTCGGTATCAATGCTCTGGAGCTACTACCAGCTGCCGATGCAAAGCCAGAAGGGGAATGGGGATATGCTACAGCTCACTATTACGCCACTGACTTCGATCTGGGTACAGCTTCCCAGCTGGTCAACCTGGTAAACAACATCCATGGCCAGAACATTCGATTCTTCACAGACGTCGTGATGGCTTTCGGGCATGATCCGTATGTTTACATCGCCTTTGATCAATTCCACATACAACCGTACGATCCCAACGACCCTGGTGACAATTGGCAATCTCACAGGGACAACCAACTTCGAGATGGCTATGGTGGTAGGAGTTGGAAATACATCGAGAACACGACAACTTATGACCCAAAATCTGGTCAGACTCAAGTTGTCCATCCTTCGTGGGCATTCCACCAAGGACATCTCCATCGGTGGATGTCCGACTTCGGGGTTGGTGGACTTAGACTTGACAGCGTCAACAACATCGCCAATTATGATTTCATCAAAGCTTATAAAGAGTATGCATGGGCATTATATCAGGCTCGATATCCGTCAGCCTCTAACGCCAAGTTTCTCGTCATTGGTGAAGAGCTCGCTGATCCCATCGATATGATTACATCGGGCACTCTCAATTCGTTATGGAATGAAGCTTGGCAGACTCGACTTCGAGCACTTCTTCTAGGTGAGAGCTCAGGCGACAATTTCGAATGGACAGTACGGAAAATGGCAAACTGTATGCTGGACACTGACCACCCATTCACTGATGGCTCGCAAGCTATCAACTACATCACATCCCATGACGTTGAAGGCTACCGCAAGGAACGACTTTACAACTTCCTCGACAGCAATGGTATCATTGACAAGGAGACACGTTCGAAGTTCGCATTTGCACTTCTCCTCACAGCTGTTGGCATCCCGATGATCTTTGCGGGCGAAGAGTTCTGTGATCAGATGGATCGTCCTATTGGCCAGAAACAAATCGATCCGGTGAACTATGAACGAAAGGCAGAACCGTGGCGCTCAGCTGTCTTTAATTATGTTGCCAATCTCGTCAGATTCAGAGAACAATGTCCAGCTCTGGGAGACGATGACACGAATTTCTTCTTTACGGACGAAAGTCGAGGTGGCAAGATTATGGCTTGGACGAGAGGAGGAAGTGGAAATGCACCAGTGGTCGTTGTTGCAAACTTCACTGATGAGGATACGCCCGGAACCGAGTATGTGATTGATGGATGGCCGGATCAGGATAGAGATGATTGGAGGGAGGTTAGTCAAGGGAGAGATGTGCCGAGAGAGTGGGTAGGCAGAGAACCCTTGATGCAGTGGGAGGTGAAGATCTATACATATTGGAAGTGAACACATGGGACTTGCTACTGGACATTGCAGGCGTCACGCATGGTCCAAAAAGACTCCATTGCTGTCAGATTATGTTTCTTTAGCATTACATTCATCGCAGTAGTATTATGTGCTGATTGACTAGAAGTAGAACCTCAAACTATGGGTATTCGCTCCAATGTTAACAAATAACACCTTTTCCAATCCATGCCAACTCCATGCCGTTGTATTATCATTACCATAAATTCCCAATCATTCAGTGAGCAACAAAGATGCTACCGCAACCCACTGAACGCACTCTTTGGAGAAGAAACCCAGCCAGACGAAACGCTACTCGCCCCAGCATCCCCTTCATCATCATCTCTTTCCTCCCCGTCTCTATTTAGCACCACATCCTGCAACTCCATATCCGGCACATACCCCTTCCCCTTCTCATCCTCATGCTCATGCTCCGACGCACCCCGCAACGTCGTCCCCAGCGACCAAACCGTCCTCTCCTCCTCGCGATCGCCCCACCCAGAACTAAGATCCTCACTCTCAGTCCCCACACTCTTCTCCCCTCTACTCGCCCTCCGTCTCCGATCCCACGACCATCTCACCTCTCCCTCTCTTCTGATCCTCATCTCTTCTTGCTCTCGCAGTAAGACCGAGGACAGATTCGTCGATCCGGAGACCTCAGCTGCGACTTCTTCCTTGGCGGGCAGCTCGAAGAATACTTGTTTGGATTTGGAGTCGATTTCTTGGGCCGGGAAATTGTCCGGTGGTACTTCGTGGAGGATGGGGGATATGGTGTCGAGTTCTGGTTTGGTGTATTCCGTGGGTTGTGAGGTTGGCTGTTGGGCAGCAGAGAGCTCAGATGCACGCCGTTTGGCGAGAGTTTTGGGTTTGTAGTGGCAGACGTAGAAGAGGAGTAGGATCAGGGAGATTAAGAGGATGGCACCGCCAATGGCGATTCCGGCTATGGCTCCTGTTGCAAGCACAGACTTTTTGGTAGAGGTGGAAAGGGAAGTGGTGTTGCCTGGAGGGTAGATGGTGATGATTTCTTGAGTGGGAATATCATAGCGAACTTGTGAGATTGAGAAGTTACGTCTTTCGTAGTCGGCGATCACGTATGTTTCTTGGAAGAATGCTCGTCCAAGTCGGTATTGTGAAGAGTCGTTTGCGATTTTCATCGGGAAATAGAGAGTTGGTGTATCGACTAAGGGCCATGTGGCTTGAAGAGCGAAGGCCTGGTAAGAAAATACGAGATTGATGGGAGAACCCAGAGAATCGGGTCGTGTGAGGGTAAAGTTGATAGTAGGATTCTGAGCAACGAGTAAGGTGTGTTGGGTGTTCGAGATAGTGTATAATTGTGTCGTTGTATTGTAAGTGAGGCCGAATGTGGAAGCAACGAGATCGCAGGTTGAAAGAGGGAGATATAGATATGGAACTGTGGAGTCCAAGTAAGTGATAATTGGTGTCGACAGAAGAATTGTTGGATCATTGGAGCTGGAATTCAAAGACGTGATACTGGTCACCTGGACTGCTAGATCAGGTTGATCGTTCGTAGAGAAGTTGAATGACAAGTTGTTTGGTATGAACCGTGATGCATCATATCCTCCCAGCGTGAGACTTCCTAGAACTTCGCTGGAATCTATTGTTCAGAGTCAGTGAACATTCATAAATAGGAATTATAAAGGCGCATACGATATTGATTTCCAGCAGTGTACGCCCAACTTGTACTTGGAATCATAGATTGATTCTTCAAATTCTGCATGAAGCTAGGAATAGGATCATTGAAGCTTGTGAAATTGCTGGACAATGGCTTCAAGCCAAAGATGCCCATGAAGAAGTCCTTTGTTGCGACACCAGCCACAGTTTGGTTTTTGAGGGTCGGACCGCCACTTCCCTGAAAGCCAAGAGTGATATCGTCAAAGCCATATCTGCCATTGCCCGAGTATCCGAGATTCGATTCGAGTCCGAGTCCATAGATCTGGGTGGTCAGATTTGCCAAGTTCGGTACCCAAGTTGTAGATGCGGAGTAGTTGTACAACCCTCCTCGTAATGTGTCGCAATCAGTCGGATCGCCTGAGCCACACCCTTCTTCTGCTATTGCCCATGTCTGAGTTGCGTATGTTGAGATGAGCACTTTGACACTCTGAGGCGGGCTTCCGATCTGTATTGTGAAGGTTGACCATGGCCCATCGTCTCCATCTTTAAAGTATAAGCAATGTTCAGTGACTAGACGTTGTCACTCACCAAACTCTTGGGAAGGGGGAATCGAAAGGGGCGCTGGAGCCGTGCTTCTCAGATTGACAGATCTTGCTCGGACAATATATGGCAATGCGACCCCGCATAGAATTACATGACGCAAGAGTCGTGTCAGTAGCACACATAGCATTTTCGCACCACCGATGCAACATCGAGACGGCTGGAAAGTCAATAGAAGAAAAGGAACGGTTTCTGTCGCAATCGATAGGAAATGGCTTCAAGGACGAAGGAGTAGAGGCGTAGATGGCACCCAATGACCAAGAGACATTGCTCTGGTGGCAGACGAGGCTGAGGATCTCATGTCCACACAAGTGAGCATCAACTACCACAAGACAGGACCTGCCGTCGAAGTCAATGAAATGTCGATCTCAACCCTGGTTTGGGACAACTCATTCGGAAGGCCCGGACTTCAGCTCCTTTTCCGGTCCAATCTCTTCCAAGCTTGCTCCGACGGCTTGCATAAAGACTAGGTTTCAAAGCACGCCAGCTGGAGAAGTGAGGAATGTGTTTCTCCTATCTGACCAACTATCGTGGCCGTGGAAAGCCACCACTTCGAAGTTTGGGATTTGGTGTTGGTGTGCTAGAAGAAATTCATTTCGGTTGGACACTAAAATTGGCTTCCCATGGTGGCTTGAGGCGAAGTGCAGCAAGACTGGGCCCCCTGATCAATTAACCGAAACCCCTGACCGAGGCTGCATTCCACCCGACTTTTCATTCGCCTATCATTTCTTTTATATCTATCGACCTGCCCATGGTTGTACGACTCCAGACAGATATTCTGCCTAGTCGTGTACATGGATGTGAAAGCAATATTCCTCATACCACGTCGGGCTCGTATGTCGGTCAAATGGGGTCCCGACCTCGACTTATGCTTAACCTGACTTCGTTCCTGCTAATTTATGATCAATGAAGAGCTGATAAACAAAGGACTGATCGATGGCGAACAACAACATCTAATTTTTGAATCCAATACAGTCCCTACAAAATTCATTTTCTGTTCAAAATGTTGCCCCAAAGTCTCTGGCTCTTAGTCCTTTCGTACCTGTCTAGCATTGAAGCCCGATCCTCACCACAACTACGGGGTATGAGACTGCGTCCTCATCTTAGAATACTGCTGAGTTTTTACAGGTGTGGCTTTCTCAAATGGTACTTTCACAAATGCGTCGCTCTCGGTCGTATCGAGTTCGATTGGGTCTGTTTCATCAGCAGTACCAATATCGACACAGACAGCAACAGCGACTTCAATTTCAACCTCAGATACTGGAAAAAGTACAAACTCGAGTATCGCGTCGCAAATTTCTGCTAGCAAAATTTTGAAATCTTCAGCACCAACGGAAAGTCCCAAAACAACAAGGACGTTGAGAAATGAAACAGTACAAACGCATGCGCCTTGTTGCTTTGTGATTCAGGATACCATTAGTGAAGAATGGTGGCAAAGAACTAGCTATATCTCTGCAACAAATCTCGTCAACTTGACTTCGTACACAACGTACATCACCGAACGTCCTGGTATCACAGCAACCCGGGTAGAGACAAATGTCTATCTTACAAACGCTTCATTCGCTTTCACCTTTTTGGTGGGGAAGGATCCCATTTCGAATCTTATTAATTCGGCCCCCACTCCAGTGGAAGCTACCCAGGTCTTGAATGCAACTCAAATAGTAACAGGCGGCATTACAATGTGAGAAATATTCCTTCTGACCAAAAGACAATGAACTGAGAAACGTGACAGGCAATCTCCGTCTGCATTCTATGTATATAACACGGTAAAAATCATCACAGCAGCACCTGTGACAGACGCAAGAGGACATGTATACTGCGCAACAGCATCAACAGGTGCACACGGTGATGTATTCCGCCACATAAATTCAAACGCGGAAGCATATTTCGGCGGCCTCGGAATTGTTGGACAGAGCTATGCACCCATATCAACAAGCGTCACCACCGAGACAGACACATACACTGAACTCTATCCCATAACTTCTGTAGTTACCGAAACGAACACATGGTCTGAGGTTTTTGTATCCACGCAGTATACCAACTCAGCCGGGAGCGTTGTGGTAGAGACTTCAACCCCGACTGGTGTTGTGATCTCACTCGTGACGCCCTTCATCTATGCGCCTAAACGAGGGACAACCACTCCTGGTCCTTTCGCACATTGTATTCAAGACGCCGACACTGAAGCATACGGCTACGTTCCCAAGACTCTAATCGATTTCCTCGCCTCAGATCCACAATACAGCTCCCAGTACCCTGGACTTGAATCCTGCTATGGTGGCGGACCATCCATAATCCAGGCTCCCATGTGCTATGTTCCGTTTGAAACAACAACATTCCAAACTGCCGGTGGAGATATAACCAGCGCGACAACTATCTATGTTGGAGGCCCCATACTTCAAGACTCGACGAATATGCCGAATCAGCCGACTAATGGGCCTAGTGGTGATGTTTCCGTGATGAGCCTTCCCACGACGACTGCTCCGCCATTGACCGCTCCTCCCGGTGGTCAGACACCGCCGACTACGAGTCTGTTCACAGTTCGGCCTTCCCCGGCTACGCTCATGCAGATCATCCCAAGTCACTCTACTGATGATACACTGCCGTCGTCTCCAACTCCACCGCCGATTACGATCCAAGCATCGACAACGATCCCAATATCGCAAGCACCCGCCGGAGCGATCGGCGTATCATCTGATCTTAGCGGGACACCTGTCTTGGTTTTGGGACCAACGACCATTGTTCCCCAATCGCCCGAAATCGTGATTCCTGCTTCAACCACCATACCAGTCTCTGAAGCTCCTCCCGGAGCTACGGGGCATTTGTCAACCATAGCTGGGACACCAGTGATCATCCTGGGGCCAACAACAATCCCGCCTCAACCAGCAACACCTGAACCCGTCACAATCGCAGCAGTGACTACTATCCCGCTCTTTCAAGCCCCGCAAGGAGCATTGGGAAGCACAGCGACGATAGATGGAACGCCATTCCTGATCATCCAACCCACAACCATAACCCCGGCACCCACAATTCCTTTCTCCACAACCTTTGTCTCAGGAACAGCATTCCTCGTCGTGCCTCCTACTTCCATCCCAATATCCGAAGCTCCAGTCGGACTTACAGGATCCACCACGACGATAAACGGGACTCCATATCTGGTGATCACATCATCTACTTCTCTGCCCGCTCCACAAGCTCAAATCACAGCTTCTGGCTTGGAGATAACCACCATTTCTGGGACGCCGTATATAGTGGTGCCGAGCGCGACTGAAATTCCATTGTCTCTGGCACCGGCCGGACTTTCGGGCTCGATGACGACCATAGATGGAACTCCGTATCTAGAGATTGGGGCTGCGACGACGATTCCGTTTGTGGGAGCAGGAGTGACGGTTGAGGGAGGGACGACGGAGTTGGTTATTACAGCGCCGACTACGATGCCGGTCAATCCTTTGTTCTCGGTGTCTGGGGAAACGACGGTCATTGGCGGGACGACCATGGTGGTTTTGTCTTCGGCGACCACTGTGGTAGAGGTGAGTTCAAGCTCGACGTTTCAGAGCTCAAGTACGGGCGGAAGTCAGAGAAATCCGAGTACGAGCTCGAGTAAAGCTGGAGCTGCGCCAACATTTGGAGTGCAGATGTTAATGAGTGGACTAGGAGCTGTAGCTGGGGGTGTTGTGATGGCTGTTTTGTAAGCTTATATATAATGTATTTTGAGAGAAAGGAAGTAATAGTCGCATAATTCTAATGTAAAGAAATGAATCATGCATCAAGTCGAAGAGCATGTCTCTTACCGGTACTTTTTGGTGCTCAGACGCGAGTAATAGTGCAACGAATGAACAAAATCGGCAGGGTGTTTTCCACTTGGAGTACCTGCGTAAGACGAACATTCGAGGGAATATAGACATGAGTTTTAATTCATTTCTGAAGTGTCATCCAATGCTCGATAAGGCGAGCCATGCAAGGGTATACCAAACGCCGATTCATGCACCTTTTCCATCCCGATATGGTTTGCATACCGCCCTCTACGTTGGGCTTGTACTACCTGCACCTACAGCCTTGCTCTTTCTCCTTTTCAGTTTTGGCATTCCTGGTGTTTTCGGACTCTTCTCAGAGCGACTTCCCTTCCTCTCCGGTGGGAGATCTGTCTTGAGTGATGGAGGTGCTGGCGGAGCTTTCCCCGGCATCTGTAACACTTTTCCAGGAGCTGGCACCATGAGTTTACTGGCATCTTTCCGTCCAGTTGATTTGAGATGGAATTCGCCCGGCTGCCCAGTAATTGGGATTTCGTCCATATATTCATCGCCGTACTTGAGTGATATGAGTAAAGAATCTTCCAGTATCCGCGAGCTAATGTAGCTGCTTCCATTGGATTGTGCGGATTTCTTTGGAGTCTGTAGAGAGTCTGGAAGTGGTGTAGTCTCTTTACTAGCTTGCCCGAGTTGGGATTCATTCGTTTTCCGATTGCCGCTGGAAGGAGGCATGTAGGTATGACCCATTGCTGGGCTGAAGTCAGGCAGAGCTGCGGCGGAAGAGACAAACTTGTTCAGAGACGACATGAGCGACAACTAGGATTGTTAGCTTGACACAATACAATCCGCATGTAGATGTACCATTCGACTTCCTAGCACATCTGCCAACGACGGAGCCATGTAGATATTTTCTCCAACTACAAAATACGTCGAATGGACAGTGATCTCATCTTCCTCCGCGTGTCTCTTCCTTCTCGTCTGCTTCCTAATAACCCAGACTCCTGTTCCAGCACCAGGTGTCATTTCAGCAGGCTGCTCTGAGATCATGAACTCGAGGCCTGACATCGTCCGCAGATGCGCTTCAAATGCTACCCTCGTCGCGACCACATTCATGAGACTTGGGATATATTGCGCTTGTGAAGATATGATTCCATTGTTCGAGGTAGGGTCGAAGAAGGGCGACATCGCAAAGTAATGGAGAACGGAGTTCTCATGTATGCCCATCATTGACTGAGCAGCTCCCGGAGACCGCCATTGTATTTCATCGAGAGGAGGATCCTGCGAAGTCATGGTGGCTATTGATGGACAATTAAAGTCCGCAAGAGGATAAAGAGCTATGGTTGAAGTTCAGCCTCCAAAAATAAGGTTTAGCTGCGATGACGCTAAAGCGGGAATGTTAGCCTTAATTCAATGTAGGGCTTTCAGGCAACACCTTCCAAAAGCCGTCAGCAAAATACTTTGCCGTCTTGACGTATGACCGATTTAGCATATCCGACTTCTTTTCCCTTTCAATCTGTGTGATACTTCATACCATTCAAGATCCCATGTGATTATTCTTCCTCATTTAAATCTCCCTAGATGCCCAAGACCTTCTGAAACTCAGGCGAGCATCGAGGCAGAATTCCGAATTCGAGCTATCTCAAGCACCAAGCTCTAGAACAAGACAAAGTGATGCCGCCGGCCTTATGTCCCGGTCGTCATGAAATTGACGACGTAGCCCTGGATGCTTCGCCATCTGAAAACCTGCTCATGCGTCTGCCAATCGAGATTCGCATCGACATCTACAAATACATGATTATGAATCCTAATGGCTCCAGCTACCATACGACTGCCTACAGCTTCTCCGCGGAAAGAGGCTATTCATTTTATACTGTCAATAACGCATGCCCAAGTCTGTATGACCTATCTATACTTCGAACATCTAGGAAAACGAGAAAAGAAGTTCTAGAAGTGTTCTACGAAAACAACATCTTCTGCATTGCACCCTTTCGGAATCATCGCTACTCTGGCTCTGGATATGAACCTACTGGTCTGTTATCGTTTGGCAACATTCAACACCTGTGCTTAGACTTATGGCATACTTCAAAATACGATGCCGATAATGAAACAACTATGTTCTACAACATGGTCAACATCATCGCTCACATGTCAGATTTCTTGACTATGAAATCAATTACACTTATTATCAATGCCAGCACATTTACAAGGGACTTGTTTGTCGAGGGCTTGCCGTCTTCCAAATTAGGATTCGAAGCCAGCAAGTAAGAGCTGAGGCCACCGGGAATGGCCCACTTAAGCGAGACGCGGTAACGCGTAAAAATTCTACACCCCATTTTAAAACCCTTACTACACAACAACCCTCTTAGGAATCAGTCCATAATTCAAGATGGAGACACCTCTTATCCTAAGTGATCCTATCGAGAAAGAGAATAATGAATGGCCTACCCCTGCACGTGCAGTCATTCGATCCCTATAGCGCCAGGGAAAGTCGCAACGCGAGATTGTCTCAGAGACCCATATCCCTCGAAG